ATACCTTTCTCGCAAGAAGCTTGGAAAGAAGATATTCTACAGTTTCTTACGCTTAATCGGCTTCCATTTCATCTTATCGAGCATTTAACGTTTCAGCAATTTATCACTCAGGCTCGCTGCGCCTCATCACTGTCAATAACCTCCTCTGTCAATACAATCCGCCGTCGACTAAGGAGCCTTGTTCAAGACCGGCAAGAGCGTATCCTTCGAACACTACCCGCCAGCTCAAAGATATCGATCGCACTGGATTGCTGGACATCTCCATTCTCGCAGGTCTTTATAGCAATTACAGGTTATTTTATTGATGCTGATTGGGTCTACCGCGAGGTTCTACTTGGGTTCAAGCCTCTGTACGGAGCACACACTGATATGAATCTAAGTAGCGTCGTTCTTCAAACGCTTATGGAGCATAACCTTGAATCGCGAGTATTTGGATTAACAACAGATAATGCATCTAATAACAAGACCTTGATAGATTCTCTTCAACAAACTCTATCAGATGATGTTATTATTACCCGGATTCCATGCCTTGTTCATGTTATTCAGCTTAGCCTCAACCAGCTTCTTGATCGCATTAAGGCAATCCCACTTAATGATTCTGCTGTGACAAAATGAACAAAGAAGCAATCAAGACTAACTCAAGCGAACGCGCAGCATCAAGAACAAGAGATATCTTATATCTTAAATAAGATCCGCTATCTCGCAATCTATGTGAACGCAAGTCCTCAACGTCGAGAGACATTTTATAATCTTCAAACGTCAAGCGTGAAGCTAGTGCCTATTCAAAATGTAAAAACTCGATGGAATTCAACCTTTTTAATGTTTCGTCGGACAAAGCGTCTACGTAATATCTTTGCATCGTTTTGTGCGGAATATGACTGCGAAAAGATGTTACTTCAGGATGAGAAATGGCGCCAGATTGACTATCTTTTTTGTATTATTGAGCCATTCTTTGACTATACAACTCAGCTATCAAAGACCTGAGACGTTACAGCGCATTATGTGTTTAAAATTTACAACAAATTCTTCGAACATCTTGAGCAGTCAATAAAGCAATTACAACAAAAGCGCGCTCCGTGGAAGCAACAAATGTTTTATGCACTAGAGGCTGGTCGGACGAAGCTTGATGAGTATTATTCTTAAACTGATCATATCCAAGAACATATCTACACAGTTAGTACAATGTTGGCATCAGTGAACAAATTCAAATTCTTTCTTACAAAGGATTGGGATCAGAAATGGCACGATATCTATCGCAAGTCCTTCCAACAGGCTCTTATTCCATATCAAGAGCAGCTTTCAACTCTTAATCAATCTTTAGACGGGTTTCATTCAACAACTCGGCTAAGTTCAAAGCTTGATAAGATGTTAAATGAGAGTGAGATACAGTCAAATGCAATAACTAACGAAATGATCCAATATCTTGATAGTGGTGCGTTTAAATTAAGTCTTTGCTAAAATATGCTAACTAGTTAATAGATTTTATTTCTATTGCGCCTCTTGCGTTCTGAAGAAAGCATCAAGCTCGCTTTCCAGCAATCGCTGCTCTTGCGCGGGATGCACTCTCCTTTCCTGCAACAGGCGCAGAAGTTGAACGGCTTTTTAATATTGCTCGAGATATCTGTCATTATCGTTGAAAGAGAATGAAGTCGCAAACAATTGAAAAATTAATGATGTTTCTTTACACATCAAGATTTGATATGGAAGAGCAGGAGACGAAACTTCTTGAAAAGTTCTTCTTTCATGAAAAAATAGAATCTGCGAAGGAAGAGAAAGATGAAAAGCCTGACGAAGTTGAGATAGACTTAATTAATGATACTGAGAAGCAGAATACTATAATTAGTGACGAGATAGGGCTAGATGAAATAGACGAGATATGTGAGATAGATGAAGCCCAAATACCGCTGCCTAAGAACAACATCCAGGTACGGGTCTCAGGACGGAAGCGCAAGAGCCGTGACGATAATATTTTTGAGTATCATTAGTTAGATTTCAAGTGCAGATTGAAATATATTATACTTTGTTTTCTGATTTTTTGATATATCATAGTCTTTCTCGTTCTTGCTTTCTGCCAATTTAGTTGTAAAGGAAATACTTAATATTACCGGCAAAAAATGCATAATTTATGTAGTCACGGGCCTTGGCATATATGTGATGTTTGTAACCCAAGTTGGGGCCCCGGACCCAGGCTGGGTCACCCAACTTAACCCGGACCCAACGCTGGGTCGGAGTCTTCGACCCAAAACCCAACCCAGCCCGGGTTGGGTCCGGGTTGGGTCCGGGTTATGTTGGGTTGTGCGGAAGTCTACCTATATTGTATCAAACTGCCCGAGAAGGGTGGCACCCGAAAGTGTGATTATGCGGTGTAGGCTTTGAAATGAGTGGATTTACTTCAAATTGTGCTGCAAGAGGGTACCGTACTAATGAGAAAGGATTGGAATTCTTCAACTTGTATTGTAGATGCTGTCGCTGCAATCCAAACTTCTGATGCCATGACTGTTTAGCCGCACATGTTTGTGACCGGCCCAGATCACAGATTAGCAACGTTGAAATACATGACCAAGTCTACGCCAGCCTCCAAATACTGAACACAAGTGGGAATGTGCGGACCAACTAACCCGCTCAATCGTAAAGTTGAGAGGAGGGGGGGTAGTCATGCCGCAAGTCTGACGAACGAGTAGTGGGAGAATAGAGTCATGTAAAATATACACCGGAATAAGGTCACTGTTAAATAGACCCCAAAAGTTTTGTCATTTAATCCTATGCAACCTACGACCCCAAGTATCGGGCCCTCGCCATAATCCGAAGAAAAAGACTGTTTTGTCCAATGAGCTCCAAAGTCTCAGTGTAATCCGTTCTTGAGCAACCCGGAGTACAGCGCCATCAGCGCTAATTGCCCAGACATTGACGCTGGTCTTTGTTAGCAGCCAGATCATCTCTTTGTAGCCTGGGAATAGCAACCCGTAGTACCTTGCCTGAAGGCCTGTTCTCATATTGACTTCAGTGCCTTTCTTCCCAAGAAATTGTACTATCTCCGGATGACCTGTTTGAGAAGCAGCCTGGAATGCATTGCCACAGCCGCCGCTCTGTGACTTTGCATCAGCGTCTTTATCCAGTAGTGGCTGCCATAGCTGTTTTGTCGGCCGAGAAGTCTGAACAGACTAGGTTGGATTACCAGTATTACCACTATTGGGAGCAGAGTCAACCGTTGGCCCTTCGCGATTGTTGATCCACCGGAATCAATATTGGTTTACCACTTGCCGAGCGTTTGAGCCTGCTTCCACTACTCATTTTGTTTCATAATGCTTTCGAAAGAACTGTAGTGCTGTATCTCCAGGTTCTATATACGAATCGGTATGGAAGCAACGTATCGTAAATCCGGCAATCACTTCTTGACATAAGAAGACGAAGGAAGCAAAATAATAGTAGAGGCGGAGGGCGAGTTATCCATACGATCCATCTCAATTTTTGGAAATGGCTATAGACTTTCTGCATAGGCGGCTCTGGCAGTCCGACTAGCCGATAAACCTCCCTTTACACTCAGGCAAGAAAATTCGTATCCACATATGGTGGAAGTATCAAGATAGATAAAGAAGAAAATGGAAGGATGGAAGAAAAACCGGAGAGAGGGGTGCTGAAGTCCACGATCATCCCCAAGCCGACCCTGAGGCAGACACTCGTGAATGGCAATGCCGGTTCTGGCCAGAAGGTAACATTCGTCACATCCGGGAGGTCCTTTACTAACTGCTTGTCGAGGTGTGACTAGCAGCTCCACCTTATGGACTCAAGATGCGGTTCATGACAAAGTCTTAGCCTGAAGATTAGCAAGGGTGTTCTGAAAAATCCCAGTAAACATAGCGTATGGATGACGATAAATACTATCGAAGCAATGCCACTGTCGTGCTTTGTCTTTCAATAAACGCCCGTGTTTGAATAAAACATATGCAATCCGTTAGAGGAGAAGCGATAAGAACCCAAAAACACACCCGGACCAAGGTAATCCAAGATTCTGATACACTGGACGAAGAGTGGAGAGAAGATATTGCTTCTAAATATATCTGATTACTCCGATGGCCGCCAGTGCTGGTAAACCGATCAGTTATTAGAGATGTAGATCAGGACGAATCAGAAGGTTATTTCTTAACCCGAAGCAGCAGTTTTTAACTCGATAGATATCAAAGACACATGATAGTAGGCAGCTGCGGACAACCGCTATTTACCCTCGAGCTGAAACTTTGAGCCATTGGGTATCTCACAAAAAGAGCGAAGTTCCAACTCTGAAATGAAGTCTATACCAATATGCGTAACCCAAGGTCCGCCATCGCGGACGTCTCACAACGCTTCACACCACAGCGGACTACAAGCGATGTTCTGGAGTGCCAAAGCCACGGGTCATTCTTCTCCGGCGTAAAGAGTCTTGTCATAAAACCCGCAAATGAGAGCAGCCAGGAAGTATGCTATAATGACGCTAATAAAGCTGCGTTAAAAAGGAGTCTGATTTGCCGCCAAAGAAGATCACAGTAAACGGTCGTAGGACTAATGATGAGCCCGCAAAGTAGCCAAATATTATCGCATACGCGAAAGCAGATTTTAGGGTTAATGAAAAAAAAAAAAGTTTTTGTCAGTGCACAAAGCTTGACAGGTCTTCCTAGTCCAGCAGGATGCCATAGCGACGGTGTTCTCTTGGGCCTCAATTAATCAACGAAAACAAGGACAGTGAAGAGAAGCTAGTTTAAAATTTCTTTGAACACCTTCGAAAATCTTATCACAATGTGCTCAATTTGAAAACAATTTTGTCCACTTGTTTTATTCAAGTTCTCACATCAATCGCTTTGGTGAAGATGTCAAGATTTTTGCATGATTTTACCAGAAACAAAAAACCGAATCCAAGCCGACATACACCGGTGAACGCGACTAATTTCGCCCGTTCTTCGAAGAGATATTGATATCCTAAGCGCAGAAGTCGACAATTTAACAAAAGGAGACACAGCATTTCTAAATCAGCCTTGCAAGAAGCCCAACTGCTGATCAACCACACTGCGCACTATCTCATCCCAAGATCTCCATTGAATCCCGAGCTCGACCTCTGCCTTAGTCGTATCAGTGGGCATGGAAGGAATACCCTCAACGTCCTGCGTGATCTTCATGCCAATATGGGGGTAGGCTTTGAGAGCGACCTTCGCCACTTCTTTCCAAGTGGTTGCGGGAGCGGAAAGCAGATACTTTGAACCGTCCTTAATCTTCGGGTCTAAAGCCTTGACATGAGCTTCAGCCACATCTTGGATGTGCACACCAGTAATCCCGCCAAGCGGAACACCTCCAGTTAAACTGCCCCAGAGAATTCCATTGGATCCTGCTTGAACTTCCTGTGCGGAACTTTGCATGAAATTGGTACCAAAGACAAATGCTGGATGAATAGTGACCAAGGAGAAATGTGGCTTTTCGGTTCCCCAAAACTCCCAGGTGGCGTTGTTTGCAAGCAATTTGGATGCTCGGTACAAAGTCATCGGTGTTGCATCAGGATTGTTAGGATCAACGAAGTTGGCCTTTGGGTCTACAGTGAGATTCCAGTCGTTATCCTCTAGGGCAATGTCAGCAATTTGCGTTTGCCATTCCAACACGTGTTGACGATACCTTTAATGATGCCACCTTCGGGTATTCCGGTGATAGGAATCAATGACGCAATAGACGAAGTAATAACGACCTTCTTGATGCTTGGCACGGTAGCTGCCTCCTTGAGCAGGGCCAGGGTTCCCTGAACTGCAGGGGTGAAAATCGCATCCTGATCTGTGCCACGGGCAAGGGGTGATGCTAAATGCAGGACAAAGTCCACTCCGTCAAGCTTGCCTCTGAAAGCAGCTTCATGGGTCAGATCAGGAATAGTGACAAATTCCACGTGGTCGCGGTGGCCTGACAAGACATCTTCCAGTTTCTCTGATCTCTTGCGGACGCCGATTCGAAGTCGATATCCTGCCTTCAGAGCTTCAACCGCAGTGGCGCTGCCAATGAAACCAGTGGCACCAGTGATGAAAATAAGGGGAGCGGACATGGTGATTATGTTTGGCGATGGTGATTCAAATGGACGAGGTCTAGCAAGGCAGAAGTTCAAATCGACTTTAATAGTGTTGTTGCGAAGGGCATTGATTACCAATCGTCATTATCGTTCTTTCTAACCGTAGGAAAAGCGGTCGAATTTGATATACAATTGCAACCTGATCGGGGCTAATTTGTCCGAACATGAAACTCCCCACTTAGGGTGGAATAGGCCTCTGCCGACAACTTTGCTTCCGTGACTGATAATTTCCTCGGCAACGGCAAGATTAACATGCTCTGGCAAGCCGGAATTGATTTCAAATCAATCGGAACTGCTATGCGTGTCGGCAGGATTCTACTAGTGGATGATTAGTGAACGTTTTATCGGAAGTAATAGCTAGTACGCCTTGTAGGCCAATGGGCCTCAGAGAGTAACGATCAAGCGGAACCAACCTTGGATGCAAAGGCTAATCCGATAAATTGAATCATTACAAATCAATCATTCGGGGCTCGGTATTGCCAGACGATTCCAACTATATAATGACTTGTAATATATTCAGCGACTTTATTGATCGCACCAATCTTTGAATATTACTCCGGAATATCACCTGGCTGACTGACCCTTGCTGGGTGTTTGATAATTCGAGCCAATTCCAGAAAACAGTCTCCTCAGATAATACGCCTCGCAATATGACCAAGCTGTTTACGCCTTTGCGTGTTGGCCGCATGGAGCTCTCCAATCGCATTGCAATGGCCCCTATGACCCGCTTTCGTGTCGACGATACCCATGTTCCTCTTCCCCTAGTCAAGGAGCATTATGCCCAGCGCGCTTCCGTGCCGGGAACCCTCCTCATCACCGAAGGAACCATCATCACTCCTGAAGCCGGCGGTTATCCAAATGTGCCGGGCATCTGGAACGATTCCCACATAGAAGCTTGGAGGGAAGTTGTGGATGCTGTACACGCCAAAGGCTCCTTCATCTACATGCAGCTGTGGGCATTGGGCCGCGTAGCAAGCGCAGAAATGCTCAATGCCTCCGGATTCGACCTCGTTGGTGCCAGTGATATTGCCGTCACTGCAGAGGCGCCCACTCCAAGGCCCCTAACCGAGAAGGAAATCCAGTCATATATCCAGCACTTTGTACAGGCCGCGCACAATGCCATTGCTGCTGGCTTCGACGGTGTTGAGATACACGGCGCCAACGGCTATCTCATTGACCAGTTCATCCAAGACGTTAGCAACAAGCGAAACGATAAATGGGGCGGATGCGTTGAAAATCGTGCCCGCTTTGCTCTCGAGGTGACCCGCGCTGTCGCGGAGGCTATTGGGTCGGACCGTACAGCTATTCGCTTTAGCCCATACAACACGTTCCAGGGTATGAAGATGGATGATCCACAGCCACAGTTCGCCTATCTGGCACGTGAGCTAGCTCCCTTGAAGCTGGCATATGTGCATTTGGTTGAGGGCCGTGTTGACGGTGCTGAGATCGTTGAGACGACGAACGAGCTGCACTTTTTCCTAAACGCCTATAACAATGCCGGACCAGTGGTGGTCGCCGGTGGATACCAGCCTGCCTTGGCGAGGGAGGCAGTTGATTACAAGTATAAGGATTACAATGTGATCGTTGCGTTTGGTCGACCGTTTACCTCGAACCCAGACTTGCCATTCCGGATCAAGGAGGACTTGGCTCTCACCCCGCACGATAGGAATGTGCTATATGTTCCGAAAGACCCCAAAGGATATAATGATTGGGAATTCAGCTCCGAGTTCAAGGAAGGTGTGCAGCTGGCAGCTTGATGTAGTTCTTCCTGGAAGTTCCCAGTTTGACAGACCTTCAGTACGCTTTTTTCTATCCAGTTTAGTCCCAATAAATATCTAGACATGTTTTTGTTTGTTTGTTTTTTTTTTTTTTTCTTCCAAGGCTATATCTCAATGCCTGCGCCGAGTCACTGTGAGTGGTCCTGATGAACGGGATTGATGCGGCAGAACCCACGCAAAAACACTCTCCTTCGGCATCAACATCCCATTTCATCATTATCTGCAAAATCTCCTGGACAGTGTCAATATGAATAGGAACTGCGCAAATTGCTGGCAAAACATTGATATGCGTCTTCCAATAATAATCTCTGACCCCGATACCATCTCTCCCCACCACATTAGCTACAAAGTGTATCGAACCATGGGTCATAAGTTTCTCGTATTCGTAAATCAGGATAAATTTTAGCCTTATTACGTTCACGGTGGGTAGCCAATACTTTTCGGCATGTTCAGTAATCAAATTCCAATTTCCATAGCTTAGTTGAGTGGACGTGACCCCCACCAACTGTCCCCACTGCAGATTCGAACGGAAATGGCCCGGAATTCTTATCTGTTTGGGTTTTGTGTACATTGTTTGCACAGGTTTAATGAAAACATCCATCACACCCCAACACCTAAGACGGACACAGATTCTAATATTTCAATCATAAATTGAATACGATTAACTGCCCCTCATTGTCTCATCGATTGATTTTATTGCACGTCGATCACACGGGCACGTGGGTTGACATGGTGCTGGGGGTTAGAAGAATGGAACCGGGGATGTCTTGTAATCAACCCGACGGTCGTTCCAGCCATTTGGGTGTGTCAGCATTTGCAAAGGTTATTCGACGCTGTGGCGAACGGCGTGATTGCTAATATACAGAGGCACAAGTACGCATTGGGAAGCCGTGAACACTCCTCCGTCCAGCCTTCCAATCCTTCATTGGAAGTATATACGTATCATAAATAGCTCACTTGCACATCTGATTTTGTTGCCTCAAAGAAACAATTGAAATTGCCAGTCAGACCATCAATCCACAGCATGGTTCAGAAGTCGGTCCTTATTACCGGTTGCAGTGAAGGCGGGATTGGTGACGCTCTGGCAAAAACCTTCCACAGGAAGGGCTTCCGAGTTTTTGCCAGCGCTCGGAATACCGCGAAAATCCAACATCTCAAGGATATGGGTCTCGACATTGTAGAACTGGATGTCACGAGCGAAGAGTCAATCAAGCAAGCAGCGTTGGCTGTGAAGGCCGCGACGGATGGACATTTGGATATCCTGGTCAACAACTCCGGCACAGGTACCTTGACCATATGGCTGTACTAAAGTAGCTTACTCGCGGCAAGAAAAGCGCTGACATTTTATAGGTTACATTATGCCTTTATTGGATTCAGATCTGTCCGTCGCCAAAAAGATGTTTGATGTTAATGTCTTTGCTATTGTCGCCGTTACTCAGGAGTTTGCGCCGCTTTTGATCGCCTCGAAAGGCACGATTGTCAACATTGGATCAGTCCTTGGTAAAATGCCTTTACCATGGCAAGGATACTACAATGCAAGCAAAGCGGCAGTTGCTATGCTGACTGATCAAATGCGTATTGAGTTCTCTCCTTGGGAAGTTCGCGCAATTCTCGTCAACACTGGTGCAATCAAGACCAAGCTATTCCAAAACCTTCCAAGTGCACCGCATCTACCCGAGAACTCTCTGTATTACGCTGCAAAGGATGTGATTGAGCCAGCATTGGCTGGTACTGAGGTGGAGAAGAATGCCACAGATGTCAATTCCTATGCCGAGGTCGTTGTCAACAACGCAATCCGATCGAGCCCTAAGAAGCATCTTTGGTCAGGAGGCGGGTCATTCATGACTTGGCTCGTTTCAACATTTGGCTGGTCGACTATATGGGTAGGCAATTTCCCATAAATCGATAGGAAACCAGTTCACTTTCGCTAACTTACATGGCCAGGATACGTTGCTCCCTTCCGTCGTCCACATGCCAGATATTACGAATAAGATTCGTTCTGCAGAGAAGGTTGAAAAGGTTCGCCGTAAAACAAAATAATCGTTCTCGCTCTTTCATGCTTGTTTGGAATAGCAGGCGTTTCGTGCCTTCTGCGGTCCTTTCTTAATGCTCGCGTTCAATTCTTCCGCCCCATTCGAAATCAATACGCATAATTTATCAGGCAGCACGATTCTTTTGCTTTTTGCGACGATCTTTCCAAATCCCATTGTTGGAATATTCATTTTTTTCTTCGAATGATGTGGTCCGGGGAAGCAAACGTACAAATACCTTTTTTTTCAGTTTCAATTCAACTCTTGAATTACATCTCATTGCTATATGCTTGTAAGGCCAAGATTTGCGAAATTGGTTTGAATGAGGTCAGCTTCCAACTCGGTGCCAACATAGATTTCTAGCAGGAGATGGCTTTTCGAGCTCCATCCAACATACTTATGAAGTCTCACCAACGTTGAAATCAAAGTCAAATAACATGTCCTCGAGAACAAAATCGTATTGTTATCGGACATGTACAATCGCGCGGACGCAGTGTAGGCATACCCAACCAGCTCCAAGAAGCGATGAAAAGTGGGCATTGAACCCCTTATAACAGTGATGTTATAATTACTCATGATGATTGTTTGCGGTGATAGGGTCAGTAGTCCAACACTCGACTATATGATCTCGGGGTTTAGCTGCAGCCAACGTTGACCAGATGCCATATTAGAGAACCAAGGAGCCAATGTCTTTCTAGTGCCAGAATCTATTCGATGGTCTCGATCTGGGCAGCTCACTGCTAAACTTAAATAGCAACCTCTGCAATCCCAGATAATCTGGGATGCGGGATTCAAGAAAACAAAAAATACCAATGCAGTGATATACTAGGGGAGGTCAGATAATTCTACTGGTTTGATACCGAGAGACTTCAATATCGAATGGAAGCCGAGTAATCTAGCTGCAAATACTACAATGTCTTCCTCCGAGAGATGTGCGAGCTTAGCGCCGTCTCTACGAATTATGCCCCAACCCGCAGTAAGCTGCGAATGAGATCCGCCCCCAGCAAGATATCCTTTCAGGGATTTACCTAAAGACGATGGACTACTTGCCCCGAAGCACCGAGAAGCGATTCCAGGTCCATTAAGTCCATTGACGAAGACAAAGGAAGTCTGAATGTTTGCCATTGCAGCGGTTTGCTCACAAAGCAGGTGTGTCTGTCAATCAGTGGCCTTGCAGTAAGGATGGATAGTGCCGATCTGAACCCGTGAGATTCTAGGATGAAATTTCAGTGGAACCTGATCAATGTCCGTTATAGGTCCGCAATCCCTATTCCACGTAGGGTTCAATCGGGTAGATGAGTAATTGACAGCCCGGACCTCGGTCGGACTGACTCACGACTCCGGGTCTACGGTGATCGAGGAAACTGTTGAATTCGGCCGGATGTTACTCCGTACTCGCCTCCTGCTTTCAGGTAGTAATGATGTAATAGCTGGTTTGTAAGCCCTTTGGCTTTACAACAGGACATTACTGAAATAGTTAAGTTCGGCAGAATTGGTTTATTCCAATGCATTTTCGTAATTGTTTGCCAAATTTTTCGCCTAATTCTGTTCACTACTTCCTCCTGTCTTCTTTCTGAGCTCACAATATTGCCAAATTACGTGCAAAGATGAAAGCGGTCATCACAAATCGATTCTTGCCTAGGCGTCTGCTAAGTTTCGCTCTCGGTAGTCCGCTTGGGCAGGGCGCTCAAGTCAAGGATGTTCCAACCCCAGACATCACTGACAATGAGGTCTTAGTCAAGGTGCGCGCTGTAGCGCTGAATCCGATCGACTTCAAAGATGCCGATGTCCTTTCCCCACGCAGTTCGATCTTAGGCTGTGATTATGCGGGCGAGGTGGCTCAGGTCGGTAAGAATTCGGGACAGCGCTGGAAGGTTGGAGATAGAATCGCTGGCTTTGTCCACGGTGGCATGTATCCCGACATTGGCTCATTTGCTGAGTATTTGAAAGTCGATGGAGACTTGGCCTGGACGGTCCCTGATGGAATGACTTTGGGTGAAGCCACCACTTACGGACTTCCCGCCGCCACCGCGATGCTGAGTCTTGCGTATCTTGACATTGCCTGGGCGGATATTGAGAACGGACGCAGCGCTCAACAGGACGACCAACCGACCATTCTCATCTATTCAGGCGCCTCGAACGTCGGTCTCTTCGCCATCCAATTAGCTAAGAGAGCAGGATACAAGGTTGTGGCAACGGCGTCGCCACGTTCCTTCGACCTCGCAAAGCGCTATGGTGCCGATGCAGTATACGACTACCGGACCTCTGCGTCCATTGACGAAATTACGAGAGCTTACCCGAATATAAACAAAGCTCTGGACTGCTTTTCCGAAGGCACTTCTGCCTCCTTCTGTGCTGATGTGTTGCGAGAGGGCAAAGTAGTCACACTGCTTGATCAAGGAAAGTCCAAGAGGGCAAACGTTACTTATACGTTTCTTATGGTTTATACTGCATTCGGTCGCGAGTTCCAGTTGCTGGCCCCCCTTGGCCCTGTATTCCCAGAGATGCCGGCAGACCGCGAGGTCATCAGCAGTTTCTATGGTCACTTACCCACGTTGTTGAGCTCTGGCGTTTTGAAACCTCCAAACATCACAACGATCAAGGGCGGTTTCAAGGAGATATTTGAGGGACTAGAGAAGCTTCGCAAGGGCGATAGTCGAAGCACAAAACTTGTCGTCGAGTTCCAGTGATTAATGCACCCCCTCTCCCAATCACGTTCTGTCAAAATGCCTGTACTTTTCACTCCGGCGTGAACTGTTGTCTTGTTTCTGCTGTGGGATTACTAGGACACGACTAGTCTAATCACTCAGGATAATTCATTAGTGCTTGAATTCTAGTACCTCGTATGTCATTGATTACTTATGGGTTCTGATCCAGTGCATCAGTTGATTCTACGCCAGCTGAGCCAACGCTAAATAACTGTACAGTACTCTTACAAAATGATACACTGCACTGCCACACAGTCATTTTCTTAGTGTATTCTGTAGATAATGAGCTGTGTGTAATGCATTGTCAGTTCATGTTTGTTGTAAGTTAGTTGCTAACTGTGGAAAATAGACTTCTGTACAACCCATAATAACCTGGACCTAACCCAAGACCCAATCTGGGCTAGATTAGGTTTTAAGTTAGAAATTCCGACCTAGTATAAGATCTAGATCAAAGTTATATAATTTAACTTCAATTGAAAATTTTAATTTCGAAAAGATACAGTTTGTTATGGTCTTTATCAATTTCAGAAAGTTTTTGATAGGAAGCGAGAGCACAGCCAGTCGCTCATTCACTCCCCCCTCTTCTTCCTCCTCCCTCCTTCCTTCCTCACCACTCCTGGAGCCACTACTCCCACAACAGAAACCTCCGATGATGGAAGATTCGAAATAAGGTGCCGCTTGTGTCGGCTTCTATATTCGTTCGAGGCCTGGAGAATAAACCGAGCCAACAAGAACGTTTGACTAGGCAGCCTTCGCTTCGCAGGTAGGCGCGGACCCCAATAATTCGTCAGTTTTGCTAAACGAATCCTCGTGAGGAAGATAGAAAAACATTTACCTCCCGTATCGCACGTCGCTCGGAAATTTCTCCATCTTTAGATAGCCCGTCTGGGCACGACTTTCCCCTGCTCGATTGAGCAGGCAGTCATTACCTGGAACCAGTGTTCTGTGTTTTTCTCTTCTCGTGTTACATCGAGGAACATGAAAACAAGGATCTCCTAGATGTAAGGTTTCATTGATTCATGATGGCACTGGGGGATTGACTTTGATCAACGAGAAAGGTTCCTCGCACATACCTCCTCGAAGGCCCTGCTCTACTGCAAGACGACCCGATCCCCGGTCTGAGTCAGGACACGAACACCCAAGAGGGTGGCAACTTGGCTCTTGTTACCTCACAGAATGAGTAACTAATTCCTCATTCTCGGGTCACCAAGAGCCCGGTCCATAAGGACGAGGAACACCCTTGCAAGCGTCGTCACCGTCGTCACCGTCGTCACGTTCTACGGCTGCAGCCGCAGGTAAACCAGTGGAGAGATAAGAAGGGCGTCCTTGAGGCAGGGAAGAGTCCAGCAGCGATGGGCTTAATGTGCCGACCGTGACTGGTACAGTTCTTCATGGATGCTATAGATTCAGACATCTAAGATTGTGGGACCCAGAATCAGTTGAAATATCGCTGTTATACGGGGTATATTCTGTGCTAGAGGTGAGCTTTTGGTGAGGGTTCCAGGGTCTTTGATCATTTGATTCTCTAATAATAAAAAGGGTGATGCACAGGGTAACAACCGCAGGCATCCTCCGAATAAGAACAAAAAGGCGGGGAAAGTTGGTGAGGGCAATTTGAAAAATGGCGGAAATGTGAAAAATCTTGAGCAGTTTGTTGGGAGTTTTTCAGTATCTCCTCAGAGGCCATGGCCGATTGACTATTATAAGAACTACTGGATTGGTGTGGAAGTCGCTGCTATAATGCAAAAACGGATTCTTTTTCCGATTAGTTGCGGGATAGAGTATATATCCGGATCTTTCCTATAAGTTTATTCTACCAGATACCGCAAGTAAGTATCCACGTAGGAGCTCAAAGATTCAGGCTAATGAAGTATACAGGAAGACATGATGCCATTAGAAAAACACACTAGATTAATGAAGCAGTCCCTAGAACCGATTGGTATAGCCGGAGATGTATGATGATAGAGTTTAAGGTAGCGAGAAGAATGCCAGAGAATAATATGACGAGATCTTTCATCATCACTTCTACACCATGGCTCAACTCACAACATAAAAACTCGCTATCCCAGCAACGATCAAGAAACCCCACATCACTCAAAATGAAGGACCGCAAGCCAGCGATTTTATCTCTACCCATCGAGATCCAGGAGTCAATCTTCTTGGAAACAGACATGAGGACGATAGTGGCATCCGTTCAGCGCACCTGTCGAGCCTGGCATGAACTGGTCAAGGATTCCTCTTCAATCCAACGGGCACTATTTTTCAAACCAGCTACAAAGCAAGACCCTGGCAAGAAACCACGGTGGAACTCTATCCTTTGGCCTGCTATCATCCGGTATTTGACGGAGCATGTAGAGATACATGTATCTTCCCTGCACCATTATACCTACCCTCCGCCCGTGATATGGCATGGATGCAATACGCAGGCATACAAACGAGAGGAAGCAAGTTGGAGGAAAATGCTCGTCCAGCAGCCACCTAAAACCTGGGCGGAGGTTGAGAATAGCTACCCTTGCCGGTGTGATGGTCGCAAGTGCGATAAGTCCCATCAGAAAATAACCGAATTGGCCAAAGAATCCCTAAAGAACGACGGCTTTATACGGATGGGGGATTTTGAGAAGATTTATGACTTGTGTGTGGAATTTGGCTGTTTGTTTCTTCATCAACTGGTTGGAGTGCGTATATGACTGACTCTTGCTAGGTCACAAGGGCGAGCCTGGTGTCATCTGGAATAGATGCATGGGTGGCTATATAAGGGCTTTTCTTCCAAGATATGCCTGCACTGGACGCTTTCTTACCAGATACGATGTCTATCGACGACGAGTGAATTGATAGTGTTGGCCTCTTTGCATATCCCATACGCTCGTATTACTTGATAATGCATTTTATCTCTATTTTGCCGAATTCTATTGCTAAGCGTAGCCATGGGCTTCCAGGATTTTAAAAGACGAGTGATTATTAATAGTAGAATGTAACTAACTAGTCTGATCGCTAGTGCTTATGAATCCACCTACTGCGGCGCTGCCTACGCGCCTTATTTTGCTTAAAGGCGTATCTCGCGACGTGTACCTTCCTGCTACTCAACGACAAACAATCGCAAATGTCGTCTGACCCGAATAGCCCCTTCTGGGGCCCAACTACGGCAAACTCCAAGTACGTTTACTGGTCCAATAACCTCTTGTTCACTATCAGCTAACATGCCCACAGTTTCTGCGAAGAGGTAATCACACAATCAATAACTCTGCGCGTGTATTTGAATAACATTTTCTCCAATCGAGATAGGACTATGCTATAACCCGATACATCGCCGAGTTCATCAACAGCCTCACCAACATATCCTATATTCTCTTCGCAATCCACGGTCTCCGTCAGCTTCATCGCAAATCAAACACCGATGTCTTCCGTGCTATCCCCTACTATGGTCTTATGGCAGTTGGCATCTGCTCTGCCGCATTCCACGTCACTATGAAATACCATACGCAAATGAGTGAATCCCCACACCCGGCAGCAATGTTGAAAGTAATGCTGACCTGTCCAAGTGGATGACCTCTCCATGCTCTTCGCGACAACACCCGTTCTCCACCGTGTCTTGACAGCCCGTTCTAACCGTCAGGACTCGGTTCGATTGGCCATTCTTCTTGGTTCTGTTTTGGCAGCTCTAGTGGTGTATCATGTCGCCACAGATGAGCTCATTCTACATTCTGTAGCTTTCGGTGTCATGGTGACCGTAATTGGGATCCGCACGATGCAGCTTGTCAAAAGCCGCACTGAAGCGAACTCGGCAGAACGGAGGAAGGTCTGGGGAATAGTGCGATTTGGAGCCGGTATCTCTGCTGAACCTTCCCTCTGACCCTCGGAACATGTGCTGATGTATGGTATTAGTGATCTTCAATCTGGGGTTTTATATATGGCTCGTTGATAACAAGATCTGCGGGATTCTGAAGACCTGGAAAGCCAAGATCGGTCTTCCTTGGGCTTTTGTGTTGGAGCTGCATGGGTGGTATGTTCTCTTCTTGCTGGCCATATGTCCTTTTATGCAAATGAGTACTAATTAAAGTAGGTGGCATATCTTCACAGCCATTGGCGCGTATATCTTCATCGCTATAGTCGATCATCTCGTCTCTGGTGAGGATCATGAGGAACTGGACTCGCTGGCGTGGCCGGCTCCGTGGGCTGCTCGGTCGATTTTCGCAGGAAGCTCTGTTGATGAAGGAGATTCGGAGAAGAAACAAGAGTAATTTGATTGCGCTCCTTCATGGAGAAGAGGACGAGAAAAAAAGGATGGAATATTCACTGAGAGTCCTAGATTGGTGCTTCTTGTTGTGCTATGGCTGCATAGTGCGTATCGATCCAATGACATGGAGTACAGAGTTATTCTGTCTATTAGGCTAGGAACCTGCGTTTTGGATCCACCACTTTGACTTCAAAAGGAATGATGAGAGACTCGAAAAACAGCCCCGAAACCCAGAAGACAGAAAGGTATATCAAAGTACAATTCTAAATATGACAAAACCTGACAGCACAGTATGTCCGTCATGATGTCTCTGAATCATCTATCGTCAACCGGGGTAACAGATCTCTATAACCGCGCGACTAAAGTTGCGCGTGCTCGTAGCGAATGAAGCAATGCATCGACATCCCTGCGTTGGCCGATCGGTCCGATGTCCATCCGACTCTCATCATTTGTAGCGCTCGCAGCCTCGCACCCCGCCCTGGACATCAACAACTTTTCGACAGTTTAGGTTCACTCTACTTCCAAAAACAACGCGCCTAGTTGCCATCAACAGGATGAGAATATCTAGTGTGCTTGCTGTGGTGTTCACGGCTGGTGTTTCTGGGATCGATCCCAAAGGTGCTTAGCTTCCTCCAGGCCCTCTTTATCGTATTACCTTCGGCGCTAATTCAGGAATACAGGAACTCCCCATCCCACTATCCACACCGTCGATCATGATGGAGAAGAGCAGCCCTTCTTACCCAAAACAACTACAATGGCTGGGTGAACCCTGAGGATTTGGCACCGATGCCACAGTGCATCGCTCAACAAGATCAGACAACCTGGCTGAGGACCATGACGAAATGCACTGACAAACAATGTACCTCTCACTTCGGAATCATCTGCACCCACCATCAATGGCTCACTCAGCTCAGCTGTCTCAGCACTGAATTCTCCCCGGATGTCATCCAAAGTTATTTCGCATACTGTCATAGATCGATCCTCGCCAAAGCGCAGTTATATCAATGGATTCGCACCATTACCGGTCGAACGTGGCTTGTCGATATCGGCGACTCTAACGGACTACAGATCCTCTCCCCCGCCTCGCTAGCTGAAGGGTACGCAGCCGTTGACGTGATTGACAAGGCACCAAAATGTCTGACCGACTCGATTTCTGCCTCGTCGATGGAGCCATTCCAACATGTCGTAGCTTCCTGCGGCTTCACGGGCACTACCAGAGATACCGGAAATGCAGCTCGTCCTTGGGAGTATAGTGAATCTCTACGGTCTATGATAGCTCTGGATTTTGAAACTGCTGGTTACGATCTCATATCGAATCAGATCAGAGATGGCGACTATTTCGACAGAGATTGCTTCTGCAGCACCTTCACGATGGATTTTAAAAACGAACCCTGTTCAGAGTCAGGAGAGTTGGATTTGACGAAAGAGCGCCTCTGGATGAATGCCACCTGTGGATCGACGTCCCTACCCGATAACTGGAGACACGCACTGAAAACCACACAATTCGCGTACATTCCCATCGATAATTGGAACTGGCCCAAGTGTGTTGCGGATATACCGAAAGAGGTGATCCAACTTACTGATCAGTGTGCAACCGATGCTTGTGACCTCGACTCAAGTGGTTACTGCAAAGTCAGGCGTGCCGTTGACAGGGCATGCTTTTGCCGCAACATCAGCTACAATTCCTGCGGTGGTTCCTGCCAGATATTCGAGACCCGAATAGACTATATCAAGTGGCTACGCGGTCTTTGTGACAATCTGCAGGACTGGAACGGTCTGCCAGCTAATTGGCGTCAATTAGCCGCTCCCACCGCTAGCGAAATGATTCCATGGGAATGGACTCTCATGCCATCTATTGATTCGGAGGCATGTGCATCGAGTGAATGGAAGCTCGGAAGCTTTGCTTTAGTCAACATAGCTACTCTACTTGCCGCATTCCTCAGCCAGATAACAAGCAGGCATCGAAACGCGCGTGGTTCTTCATGGCAGTCACACCCATGGCATTGGTTTTCCAAGGGTGTTCTGATCGCTGGTCTGCACCTCCTGACAAACTGGTTCAACAGCTTGATCATTCAGTCATCTTCTGGTTACGAGAACACCCCCGTTATTCAATTGACACTCCTCTGGTGCTCCATGCCTCGTCTTGCTTGGCTGATAATGCCGCTAAATGGTCTACAACCCATCGAAGAGACGAGGCTCTCCGCATTTGCGTCTTTGCTACTTGCGGAAGGTGCTCTCCAACTTGCATCATCATATGACATGCTCATGACCGTCGACTATGGTCGACAACACAACTTCTACTTTGGAGGTTTAGAAGGAGCAGACAGAGCCGACCAGGCAAAGGTCATGTATGCTGGAGCACTCATGTGGCTTGTTGTCGTTATCATGACACTCGTCCAATTCATGCGAGCTATGCGTAACCTGAACAGGCCGAGTATGTCTGATCATCTCCGCCCAACAAGGTGGCAGAGGTACGAGCATGCAACGACAAATGCCACCACAAATGAAGCCTACCGAACATCACGAGAGAACCAGACCTATCACTGGGCACAAAATGATATTAACGCACAGAACACACCATTAACAAGTCCTGAGCGAGGAGACTACAGAACGTATGGCACGATTTATGGTACTTTCTCTGTGAAAGGACGCCACCACGTCGTTTTTCAGAATCCAATTCAGGGCTTGTACGCTTCCGCAGTCATGAACATGTTCCTTTTCTGGGTTGCGCAGTGGCTCTTCTGGGCTGGTCTCATTGGTCTTATGGCGGATGAGTACGTATCCATGCACATACCACCCGGTCTAATGACCAATTACCTTGACTAACTAAAACTAGATTCTGTCCTCCTAAGCATGGGATTCTCACAGCTGTCTGGATTGTTTCCTCGTTCGTAGGTACTGTTGTTTCAATTATCTAACCATGGTATTGGTTCGATTGGAGTGTTGAGGCTACGACGAAGCATATGTCATGAGCTCAAAGGCCGTGGTTATTTTTTCCGGCCCTTGTACTTATGATGGCCTCTGGAGGCAGTTAATCGCTTTTACCTAGCGCAGTTAACTAGAAGCCTCACCTTGTTTGATTGGGTAGAGTTCAATTTTTAGAATCTTTATTTGTGTCTAATAGTAAATAAGCTCCTGTAGCGACTAGAATGAGGGATACCCTGTGTTTTGTTGTTCACGAAACAGCACGTCTTCCACCCACAAGTGACAGAATGGCAGTCATGATGATACGGATTAGAGTATTCTAATTTTTTTTTCTTTTTTTTGCTTCTGAAAATGATTAAGGATATGCTTTGCTAAGCGCCTAATGCAGAGTACACGGTTTAGTAAAATACATTCAGTAAGAGTTCATTCGCTTGACATCAATACATTTTAGGTGTTGCAAAGAAACGCTGGGATAGGTCCAAAATAGAAAGGCTGACAAAACTTGCAGTGTTCAAAAATTGATAATAAAACAGTCTGTTGTTTGGGGGAGATCAATACTCTCTCATCTGTGAACGAAATTAAAGCAGTACATACATACACCTTGCAGCCATTGAGGATTATTCATGAAAGGGACCTAGCGCGACATTCCAAAACATAGATTTCCTCACGTTTGACAATGGCTGTTCAGCATCAGATTTACTTTTGACGAAGACACATTTTTCTCGCTCTTTTCCTCGTCGCGAAACCCTGGTCGATGTTGATTGGCGACTTTTCTTCTTACGCGAAGCAGATCTGCCTTTGTTCGATGTCTTTGAGCTGGTTTTTCCTGTTGAAGGGGCCGGCGGGGGGTTCGTGGAAGGATTTGTTCCGACGAGTTTCTCCATTTCGAGATATTTGCTGCGTTCTTGATGTGTTTCGTTTCGGCTCTCACGAAGTTGATTCAGGAGACGTTGTTGCTCTCCCAATGCACCAATCAATTGCTCTTCCAAGCGGAAGCTTTTCGCTTGTGACTCTTCCAACTGTGTTTGTATTTGATCTCTTTCTTTTTCGAGGATCTCGACTTCTTTCTTCAGAATCTTTATCTCTTCCTGGAGAAATGAAAGACGAGATTTTAGATCTTTTATCTCCTCGGTCTCATGTTGCTTTTTGCTCTTCTGGTCATTGTCATTGCCCAGCAAGCTGCGGAGCTTTCTGACTTCCCCTTCCTTTGCCTTCAATTGACCATTGAGCTGGCGAATCTCACGATTTTTGCAATTGACCTGTGTCTGTAATTCTTGAGACCTGATCAATTCTTCTCGAGCAGCCGGGTCTAATCGCTGATTTTCGCCGGGAAGGCTATCTCGAGTGGGCTCATTAAGCAGGGACGGGGACGAGGACAGAGGCGTGAATGGCGTGTTAATCTTGTTGTCGAAATCCTGCACCGTACGAGATGTCGCGCTTCCGGCGTCCGGCGTAGATAGAACAGACTCGTCTTTAAGCCCAGGACAGTCAGTATATAACACGCCCCAGTCGAATGCTGTCTCAGGGAGTAGCTCCTCCATACCTGTAAGTGATAATTTAGGGCTGGGGGGTCGATTTCTACTAGGACCGACGCCCGGATCATCCTGAAAATCCTTCACGGCAATCTTCCCCTTTGCCTCTTTTTGCTGGGGGCTCTGCTTTGTCGAATCGGTTCGCTTTGACGAGGTTTTGCTAAGACTTGAGTCCGGTCGATGGGTCTTTGGAGGCCGTTTGGGATTTGGTGGTGGACTTCTCGCTGGCTGCTTTCCCTTGGATGATGTGGGCGCTTCCCTTGACAGTTGACTTGTTCGGCGGTTTCTCTCAAAGTTATCCTGGTTTTCTCTTTCTCTGCCACATCCTTCGTGATTGTGAGCCATGATACTGCCAGTGGACTGTTGAGAATTCCAGCATCAATGGACCGAGCTGATGAAAGGACTGGAAGTCCAACGCCGGCTTCTTGGGCGCGGGGTAAGCGAATCCTGTGACCTGCTGTGTAGCAGGGGTCACGAGGCAGCTTATGGACATAATATGCGGTCATACGAAGCCAAGCAAAATGGTATGGAATGTGGTGGGTTCTCGGTCCTGTTAGCTGACTGGAGAGATTCGACATAATGCACAAATCCGGGAACCATATTATATAAAGTGTACCGAAGGCAGGAGAGCTCTATATCAGCCCGAATAATGATCAGCAAAGACAAAATCATGAGGCACCCTCTTGAGCCGCAATAAAAGCAGCCACGCTACCCGACGCGCGCGGATATTGGGCCTGAGCCTGCTGAGCGCTTGTGCTTTGCCCATTCGAACGGACTCGGTTCAGGTCTGCCTGCCCCCAGCCACCTCCACCCGGTGTGTGTATGACGCATCTATCCCCCGTTTCCATCCTCACCATATTCTTCGATCCCATATTCACCCATCGCCATTCCTCCTTGTCCCCTTCTCTCACACGACGAACCCAGTAATTCGCACCTCGTTCTCCTGGCTCCCCTCCATTCATTCCGTATGGAGGTATGCTTCGCCGCTCCGTGATAACGCTAAAGCTCAAAGGTGCCCGACATTCGATATCACGGACGACTCCATTACCTCCATTATGAATCCCCCTTCCCCCAGTGCCCTGACGAATGGCAAACTCGCGCAGAATCACCGGGTAACGCTTCTCGAGGCTCTCAGGATCCGTGATCCTGGTATTGGTCATGTGCGTGTGCACACCTGAAGCGCCGTCTTGGATAGCTGTAGCGCCGGAACCACCGCAAATTGTCTCCCCAAAGGCATACGCATAGCCGCTTAGCCGATTGCCGTCTTTATCCTTACCTCCCTCGCCAAAGAACCCGAGACAGTTCATGCAACCGTGTGAGGCTGCGGCTACGCGGAATGCGCGAAGGATCACGTCGACTATGCGCTGTGAAGTCAATGTGTTCCCAGAGCACACGGCAGGACCAGCGGATGGGTTGAGAAAAGATCCTTTCGGAAGGATAACGTCGATCGGGGCCAGACAGCCTTGGTTGAGTGGGATGTCAGTGCCAATCAACAGGCGCATGGTATAGATTATAGCAGAGTGTGTGATAGCCGGTGGAGCGTTGATGTTGCCGAGGAGTTCACAGCCAGTGCCGGTAAAGTCGAAGACGGCTGATCCATCTGAAGCGATGGTGATTGAGAGTCTGATGAGTGAGCCGTTGTCCATCTGATCTTCGGCTATGAGGTGAGATCCCAGCTTCTCGCAGGTCGACCGAAGGTAGGCTCTGACAGCAAGCTCGGCGTTGGACTGGATGGCGCCCATATATAGCTGAACCACCGGTAGCGTGTATTCCTCAATCAGAGCCTGAACAAGCATCATTCCCTTATGGTTGGCCGCTACCTGGGCTTTCAGGTCGGAGATATTATCCGAAATGTGACGGCTCCCTGAACAGCCTGCGTACTGCCCAGGACTGAGAAGGATTTCAGTGATACCCTCATCATCGAAGTGTTCAGCGTGAACAAGCTTAAATGATCGAATTGCAGCACCTTCTTGCCAGAGCTCTGTAGAGTTCGGCGGCATAGATGTACCCCCAAGTCCTCCAATATCGGTGTGGTGGCCGCGCGAGGCGACGTAAAACGCAACTTCTTTCCCGGATCTTTCGAAAACAGGCGTAATGACTGTTATGTCAGGTAAATGTGTTCCACCGGCTTCTGGGTGATTTGATACTAGAACATCCCCAGGAGCAAGCTTGCCCTTGTGCAGCTCGTGCTGAAATTTCACCGCGTAGCTCATCGACCCGAGGTGGACAGGAACATGGGGAGCGTTGGCCACAAGCCCCCCTAAAACAGTTAGCATATCTTTTAGGTTGAGTTATGATGATTCATACCGTCTGGTCCGAATAAAGCGCAGGAAAAGTCCAAGCGTTCTTTGATGTTCAACGAGACCGAGGTCTTCTGTAGAGCGCGACCCATTTGCTCCGCGATGCTCATAAAGCGATGACCGAATACCGACAACTGGATATGATCTACTGATGTGGGGTCCTTCAAAACAGGCGATGCGCTCGCTTTGACGTCGATAACGACGTGAGACTTCAGGATCTTAGCCTCAGCATTCGGCGTAATGACGAGTGTCTGGGTTTGGTCAATGATGACGGCTGGTCCAGTGACAATTACAGATGGTGAGAGGTTCTGCAACAGGTACACAGGCGTGGCGCAATTTCCCGGGCCTTCAAGATACACCATCGTCTGTTTTCGTTTAGCCACTCATCACTAAGTAAAAGGGAGAGGTATCTTACTGTGCGCTCTGCTATTTCCTTCGATACAACGGCGAAAGATGTTTTTCTCAACTGCGCATCGAGCTGGGTTCCATCTGGACCCAGGCCTCCACTTGCCCCAATGCCCTTAACACGAACATCATCCACAAAAATTGGCCGCTCATTAGGAAACAAGAAGGCAAACTCGCGAAGGTGTGCCTTCTTAAACTCTTCCTTGAAATCACCTTCCTGCGGCTTCAGAACCATGATAGATGTTTCGGTCCCTTGATAACGCATATTCAAGTAGTATTGAAAGGTGATATCATTGTCTCGGATGCCCTGTTCGATAAGCTTCTGATGAACCTTGCTCTGAAGATGAAGTAGACGACTATTCAATCTTTCTTGCGACTCGTCGTTGTAGACTTCGTTAACGGGCTCTTGGGCGTCCTGTACCACGTTCGCCAATGCCATGCCTACACAATCAGCATACCTCCTGCTATAGAGGAGGAACTCTTACCATATGCAGACAGAATACTGGAATATTTGTGAATGATGACTGTAGATATTCCCAGCTTGCCTGCAACACCGCAGGCATGTTGCCCGCCAGCGCCTCCAAACACACTGAGGTGGTGACTTGCTGAGTCCATGTCAGTAGATTAAAGCCAACTATTATTAAAGGTCTTACCAATATCATATCCCTTTCCCTCTGTAAGCGCTCGGATTGGTCTACACATCGCTTCGTTTGCGACATCCAGGAAGCCACAGGCCACCTCTTCCGGGCTTAAGGACCGGCCTGTTTCGGCGTTGATTCTGGCCGTGAGAGACGCGAATTTCTCTCGTACGATCCCAGAATCGAGCGGCTCATTCTCGTTCTCGCCAAATATTCTAGGAAAGAAATCTGGCAGAAGTCGACCGAGAAAGAGATTGGCATCTGTGACAGTGAGAGGTCCCCCTTTCCTATAGCACGCAGGGCCAGGGTGAGAGGATGCGCTCTCTGGACCAACTGCAAAAAGGCCGTTTTTCCACTGCAGTGTTGATCCACCACCGGCGGCAACTGTGTTGATATCCAACTGAGGACTCTGAATCGTCACGCCGGCAGTAGTACTTTCGAAGACCGTCTCCAATTGCCCTCCATATCTCGAAACGTCTGTCGACGTACCACCCATGTCGAACCCTACTATCGGGATTTTATTCCGCTCATCGTACGAGGTGTTGGCATAACCAACCACCCCACCTGCTCTGTCAGCAACCTTCAACGCTTGAGTTAGATATTCAAAGAAATTACCTGCAGGTCCGCTCAATATGCCTCGGAGTCCACTGAAGCTATTGTGACTTACAAGCCCGCCATCAGACTGCATGAAGTCACAGCGAACACCATCCAGATTACCACCTTCAAAGCCCTGGGAAAATCCGGCCAGATACTTTTTTATCTCCGGAGTCAAGTATGCATCGGCTGAGGCAGAGCTACCACGAGGAACCATTTTGATCATGTTCGCAGCCACAGCAGAGGATAGTGAGACATGGGTGAAGCCTTCCTCGATAGCCAGCTCTCCAACCCGTTTCTCATGTTCGGGGTATATATGCGAATGAGCCAGGCAAATGGCAAGAGTATCGATGCCATCGATGCGAAGACCCTTCAGTGTCGCGCGCACCTCCATCTCATCAAGGGGTTCGAGGATTCGGACCATGTCGCCACTAATACCACGTATCAATACCCCTGGTATTTCATGTTCAGACTTGAACAAGCCATCAACGTCCTCGTCAAATCCCTCAATGGTAACTCTCGCGTCAATCTCACGCACGTCGGAATACAATACCTCGGGCTTGACGATGTTGAGATCAAATAGCCTGGGTCTGGATTGGTATCCGATATTCAAGAGATCCCGAAATCCCTTTGTAACTAGAAAGGCGTGCTTTGTCCCCTTTCTCTCTAGCAAGGCATTTGTGGCTACTGTGGTGCCCATTCGGATGAACTCGATGTCCCGTTTTGGGAGAGGGCTCCCGCGGGTGAGCTCTTCGCCATAGAATTGGGATAGAATACGTCGGATTCCTTATATAGTAAGAACATGTTGAGCACCTATTAGTCTCGATCATACCTTCTGTGGGTGCATCCTCATAGTTGGATGGATCAACTGAGAGAAGCTTTATGACAACGTCTTGTTGGCCGGGGAGGCTAGCCCAAACATCGGTAAAGGTACCACCTCGGTCTGGTTTAATGGACCCATGTCAGCGCCGAATCTTGAGATAACTTTCAAGCCTTACCAATAGCAATCTTAATGCCCTCTGGTCTCGGTGCCATGGTTCGTATTCTGCTGGTTTTTGGTCTTTGGGCTTCGGATTTTGTCAGGGGCAACAGGGGCCTTTATAACTATTTTGAAGATACCAGATCCTCATCGAGCACATTGCCCCCCTCAGTAGGCGATAACTGCTCGCGAAAATCCGGCAGGTCGTTACCGTAGGCCTGGAGGGCCAAGCAAGAAGATCAATCATGCTTCAATATAATTGGCGGGGCTAAATTAGTATCCTCCACCCGTCGTATCGACCATCCTCTTCCACCAGGCGATCCTTGACGCTTCCCCGCAAAGCTTATCGGGGCGTAGGATTCGAGTCCTGGAGTCCTGATTGAAATAACAGAAGGTCCTTCCGGTGATGGTTTTCGAACATATCATTTGCTCCAAACCCCTGATATCTGCCAAGCCCTATGATAGGGTTTCTTTCGGAATCGCCGCCTTTTTGGCGCATATATATAGGCCATCCAGGTTATGTGCCTCCTGGATTCATTGTAAACCTTCCTGAAGTTGAAACGAGATTGTGAGCACTAGATCGATTTGTCATCCCTTCTATCCCATCATGAAAGATCCAAAGACCCCAGACGAGGAGACTCCAGCTGTCAAAATGGAACTTGCTGGGGCCATGGATCAGGCAGCATCATATCTGGCTCAGAGTAATCAATATCCGCCCATGACGCCAGAGATGGAAAAGAAATTGATTCGGAAACTTGACTGGATCCTGGTTCCGATGGTAAGTGTTGGACTCCTCCATGCAACATACACGGTTCTAATCAACAGCCAGTTGTTTCTGACGGCCACATTGGGAGCAGTTGATAAAGTTGCAATCAGTACGGCGGCTATATATGGGCTGAAAGAAGGTAATCAACCCCGAACGGTCTTTTGAGTAGATACTCACCTTTACTGCACAGACCTTCATCTAGTTGGCCAGCAATATTCCTGGGCAGGATCCATTCTCTCCATCGGTGTACGATTTCCATACCTTACCTTCTGAATTAGCCTGACTCAACATCGCAGGCAATTGTTGGGATGTGGCCCTCTTCATACTTGATTCAAAAGCTCCCTTCGGCGAAGTACTTATCATCTTGCGCGTTTGGTTGGTCTGCCATGGCCCTCTTGATCTCCTCGTGCCGGAATTGGAGTGGCCTGATGGCGTTACGGTTCTTCATGGGTAGGTGGCCCCCATATAGCCCTCGGCTAGTGCTACAGAGAATGCTGACAACATAGGCTGCTTGGAAGCTATTATCGTTCCGTCCGTCACCCTTATCGTCGCTGGTTTCTATAAGAAGCATGAACAACCGCCGAGAAATGCTATTGCTTTGGCCGCAGTTAGCTCAGTGATCAACGGCTTTTTATCATGGGCGGTTGGTCATATACCTGATTCTGCTCCATTGGCGATCTGGCAGTACCTGTATCTCATCGTTGGTATGTCGTGCCCATGACAAAGTGAGCAGTTCTAATCCTCGCAGGCACTGTCTCCATAACATGGTCTATAGTGGCCTTTATTTTTCTCCCTGATTCTCCCATGACTGCCTCCTTCTTGTCCGAGCAGGAGAAATATTATGCGGTGCAACGGGTGGCTGAGAATAAAACCGGAATTGTCAACAAGCAGTGGAAAGGCAACCAGGCCCTCGAGGCCATCATGGACCCGAAGACGTGGATCCTTTTCTTCTTCAACATTGCTATCAACATTCCCAACGGAGGTAACGTCTGGCATTCGGTAGGACCATGTCCCCGTACTGACAGTCTCAGGCCTCACCACCTTTAGTGGAATCATCATCAATAACCTTGGATTCTCCCCTGTTAACACATCCCTCTTGAACATGCCGACCGGTATCATGTCGACCATCTCGGCCTTTTTCTTCTCGTGGCTAGCCGCGAAGTGGACCGACCGGAGGTGTCTTGTTACGATGATCGCGGCCTGTTTGCCGATCATAGGATCGGTGGTTGTCTATACTCTTCCACGAACGAACATTGGGGGGCAGATGGTCGGGATATATCTGGTATGTGCTTGGTCTCGCAATCCTTATAAAAGTCCACTAACCGTGCAACAGTTATATACCTACTTTGGTCCATACGTAGTTGGTATGTATTCCACCTGAGTAACCGGGTCATGCTGAATTTTTCAGGAATTTCAATGGCCCAGGCCAATACTGCTGGCCACACGAAGAAGAACTTTCAATATTCGATTTTGTATATCGGCTATGCCGTTGGTAGGTGTCATCTCGTCGTCCCTTTTGCAATTCCGAGCTCACACCGCACCCAGGCAATTTGATCGGACCTCAAACATTCCGCGAGGAACAGGCTCCTGCCTACACAGGAGGCTTTGTCGCGATGTTAGCTTGCTATTGTGCCTGTATCGGTCTGATTGGGGCGTATTGGGTTCTCGTAATCCGAATGAACCGGCGATTGGATGGTATTGATCCTGAGTCTGGGCCTTCTAACGAAGGTGACCTGGCTGGTGCATTTTCCGATCAGACAGACTTTGAGCAGAAGAACTTCAGATACACTACCTAAAGTTCCGTTCAGGAGCAGTACTAGGGAGGGAAATTCAAACAATGTTGCATAGTTGCAAATGAATGCTATGTCTCCCCGTACTGACATGATTAGTTTGAGATGCAATCAGAAAGATAGCCCTTCAATTGATGGACAATTCATGAACGATGGCAAAGGATTGAAAGATGAAGGATGATAGAAGAAGGGCGACGAAAGAAGGAAGGGAAGCGGACGGACCCTACAGAGCAAACAGAACAAACAGAGCAAACATATAGTCTTCACTCACTAACCCGAGTAGGAAAGGTGTTTCCCCGCATGGCTGATAACGACCGGAGGAAGGTCCACCGCTGAACTTGATACACCTGACGATCATCGTCGCGTACGAGATTCGCTTTTTTTTTTTTCATTTCTGGATGTAGCCAGCTAACTGTGAGAATTTCAATGGTCTCCCAAAAACGCATTCAGTGCGAAAACCGTCGACGATCCGGTTGTCACCAATGCAAGGCGAAGCATGTCCGCTGTACCGAAGAAACACCGCGATGTCGGCGTTGCGAGCGTTTGAACCTCAAATGCGAGCGTGGTCTAAAATTGATGTTCCAAGAGGATGCGCTTCAGCGAGGTATTAGTTTTGGCCGCGAAGGTAACACCTCCGAGAAATCTTGGGTTCTACATTCTTAGGCAAACAAATATAGGGAAATGGGGCAAGAAAGCTGGCAAAGAAGCTGCATCGTCCTCTTCGCATACAACGGGATGCCACACTTTACTCCCGTTGGACCAATACGTCGGAAGGTATATCTTTCTGAACACAACAAAGAGCGACTTCCAGAATGAACATCACCACTTGGAACTGACCAGCCTTGACGAGGTTACTCATGACGATCTATCAGCAATGACCATGGATTATGATCATCTCGATCTGATGACTCTCTCTTTCGGTCATCCGTTGGCTGAGTATACCGAAGCCGAGAGCTATCTCCTTAACTACTTTATTCATGGGATCGGGCCGAACTGCGCATTGAGTCAGCTAGACAACCCATACATATCGCTCATAACGCCGCTTTGTTTTGTACATCCAACTCTACGAAACGCTTTGCTAGCAGCCTCGGGGAATCAATTGCGCCTTTTGGGAGACACGCGGTTTGCCAAGGAGACGTTGGTTTATAAGAACAGGGCCCTAAATAGCCTGCATCAAGCTATCTCGCTCAATAGGATTGACGATGGTGTTATTGCAACCGTACTGATGCTCTGCTTCCATGATGTAAGTATACCCATGACAATTTTCAATTGTACTGACGCAATCAGATATCAGATGAGTGTGATCCCTCATGGGTAACGCACCTTCATGCCGGTTTTGAACTGCTGAACCACACTACACCAACGCATCATGAGAGTACATCCTTACGTAAATTCTGTACTATGTATTTTGTCGCACACGATGTCATGAGTCGAACAGCGTCAAAGAAAAGGGCGCAGGTCAAGCGAGTATACAGTTGGACAGAGAGCGATGACTTAGATGAGGTGAGATGATAAGACTCCTGGGAATGCTAGAGGCTGACAGGCTAGATTGACATGGTTATGGGCTGCTCAAGAAGATTGATGAGCCTGATTAACGAAATTTCAGACCTCGCACTAGAACAAGCCATGGTAATGCCATATGTAGCTATTGGTGATAAGCATCGCTAAGCTGGTACTAGGACGCAGAGCAAAATTCTTTTCTTAGGAGAGAAGATGGGGACGTCAACCAGAGGGCTCTCGCAATCAAGGCCTCACTATACGATCTGAAGCAAAGTCTCCCCGCACACTCAGCAGACCGAGCTGACCTGTTTCGAATTGCGGAAATAAAACGATTAACAGCACTACTATACCTCACCGAAAGAATGAATGACACTACGTGCGTACAGCAAGCCTTCAGTCCCACTCTGGACCGAGGAGACTTCTCACAACATCAATGCACATCCAGCAAACGGTACCTCATGGCCACCATCATCCGTCAAATCTCTCCTCTACCCGACTCGGCAACACTATTATGGCCACTGTTCGTCCTCGGACATTCTGGTACAGAAGATGAGGATCATCGAAGATTCGTGCTAGACAGATTAGGCAGATTGCAAAAGACACGCAATCTAGGCAGTGTTCGTCGCGCGAGAATGGCAGTCAAAAAGGCATTTCAAATGGTAGACCTGGATAGCCGAGGAAGAAGCACGTGGAGCGCGGAGACAATTGGATGTATCAGTCTGGCATAGCACTTTTGTCTATCCATAATAGGGGGTTCTTGACACATCCCGTTAAATACAAACTAAACCGACTTCTCATCCGCCGAATTCTCAATCTGCTCAACCTCGACCTTGACATCTTCATTCACCTGACCATCCAACTCAGGCCACTTGGTCATGTGTCTAGCAGCTTGAACGGTGTCAAAGACGGGTATATCACGCTGGAACAACTCCTCGATCTTTTCCAAGCTTTGGCCCATTGTCTCGGGGTAGAAGAGAAACGCCACGATTGGAAAGCAGAACGCGATCAACGCGTAGACAATATAGTATTTATATCCGATATTGCTCAGGGCAACGGGGGTGATCATTTGGACGACGAAATTCCTATTGAAGTCTCAATCAGCAATGTCTCATGGTAAAAAGGGGGCTGTTATAATGAGACAAACTTACCAAAGCCAGTGATTCGCCGTTGAGATAGATGTCATCGCCACGCGCAACCGGACCGGCGCAACCTCCGTACAATACAGAAACGAAGTCCCCAGAAACCCAATGGGAAAGAAAAAGTTGAACAAAAAGATAAAGATGACGCTGAAGATCGAAGCCGGCTCATTGCTATCCGGGAAACTATTCGTAATAGCCAACCCAGTCATGCAAATCGTCAGCCCCGTTCCGGTGAGCAGGAAGAGTTTCCGTCTCCCAAACCGATCGATCGTGAAGAAAGCGACAAACGAGGCAAGAAATTTCCAGGTCAATGCACACGCGGCCAGGATACGAGAGAGATCGTTTGAGAGGCCCAGATCTTGCTGGAAGATAGTGGTCACATAGGTGCTGATGACGTTGGCGCCGGTCATATGGATGAAGAATTGGAGGCCCATACAGAGCATGAAGCGGTAGAAGAGTTTGCCCTGTTTCATGGTGAAGATATCTCTCATTGTTGCCGCAGACCGGGCTGTTTCTTCCAGCGAGAGCTCGATCGTGGCGACCTCCTGTCGGAGATTTGGGTCATCCGGGGATACTTGTTTTACTCTTGCAAGGGCGTGAGCGGCTGCATCACGACGGCCAGAGCCAACAAGCCATCGTGGAGATTCAGGAAAGAAGAAAATCGAGGCGATAAGCGTTATGGAGATGACACAAGGGATAGCAAGGGGGACACGCCATGACACCGAAGACTGCTCGATATGGGAGAAGCCGAAATTGATCCATGAGGAGAGCATATATCCACTGGTGATTGCGATACCGTCCACGACGACATGGGCTCCCCTATTAATTGCCGGGGAGCATTCCGATTGCCAGACTGGAGTTATAGTACTCAGCTCTCCGACACCAATGCCGATTATGATACGCCCCACTATAAGTTGAGGCAGGTCGAACGAGGTACAGGAGATGATCTCCCCAATCAAGGTCAAACAGGCGCCGATGAAGATGGTCTTGCGTCGACCAAACCAGTCTCCAAGTGCTGAGCACGATAAAGCCCCGAAGAGCGCACCGAGAGTGAATGATGAGACGTAGACCCCTTGAATCACGGAGTTATAGGAGGTCCCGTCATCAGCGTGGGTGGTATCGATTTCGGGAAATGTTCGAGTCCAGCTTTCGAAGGCCAGCAAACCACCAACACCAACTTGGTTGTATCCAAACAGTATAAAGCTGGGAAAGGTGACCAGGATGGTCTGGGCTAGCATGAGGCGTCGTCCTTCCAGGAGCATGGTGCAGGCCAAGGGAAATAAGACTTCGGGTGACATGAGCACAAGCAAACGTCACGTTGCTTGCCACGACTTTATACTCGCTTCCATGATATTGAGCGATTTGAAAGCAACTTATGTGGGGACTCAGTCGACCCAATGATAGCTTTGATTTGAAATATCCCCCGCATCTTGCTCCTCTTGAGCGGAGAGATACCGGGGTAGGATCCACAGGCCATGTAGCCGACTACCTAGGCGAGGACCGTGGCATCAATTGCTAGTCTGACAAGTCTTTGCCCTGAATTGGATATACCACGCAGTTATAGGTTCATAAATGCCACATCATAGCTGAATTCGAAATTACAAGGACCCGCCGTCAACCCCTTTCACCACTCTATACAGCCTCTTATGTTCCTCTAGCAAAACCAACGTAGCCATAGTCTGGGGACCCAGCCTGACAAAGCTAGGCGTCCATCCACGGAATATCCACTTGACTCCTTCGGTGCTAGTCAATTCCCTAATAGTATTGAGACTAGACCCTTGTCCAGAGCTTCCCATCAAGTGCGTCTTGATCACATCTATCGGACTGCAGAGCGTAGTCGCAACAAGACTTGCCAGTAGAGAGGCAGATACATGAACGGCAGGATGCTCTCCCTTTGTGCCCGTAACGCGCATCAACAAGCCTTTGAAGACATCGTAGGATGCTAACTGACAGCTCGTCATGGCCGCACAGCGAAAGCAGTTGGGCCACAGCCCCTGAGTAAACGATCTCCAGCCCTCGTGGCGTTTCATTTGAACCCAGGCGTCAAAGACATGGGCATAATTGCGTCGGGAGCCAGGCGGAAGCGATCGGTCATTTTGCATGCGTATATTCGCGATATCGCACGGAGTACCGAATAGAGCCCCTATGAAGCCACTGCATCCGGCTACTAGGGCTAGAGCAGGTGCGTTTAGAGTGACGTCTTTCTCCTTGCATATATCTTTGATTGATTCGTAGAGGCCGATGCGAACAGATCCGTACGTTACTATAAGAATGAAGTCAGTATAATCACGGACAACTTCCGAGTATATGCGTACACTGCCTCATAAGCCCTGCTGACAGCTGCCTTGTTTAGCTTCGTTTGCTAATAGTGGATATCAATCAGCTTACTCCACTATATAGCCCTGATAGACCTTCAGCCCGAATAACCGTCTTAGCCGTCTTGAGCGTTCCTTGTCCAGGTCCGCCATCCATCTGCATTCGCACCTTGACTGTGTGTGTCAGTTGTGTAGGCCGCACTTTTTGGTTTATACTCACTGAGATCTAGCGGATGCGATACAGCAACTGCCATACATGATGCCGAACCACCGAACCATTTCGGATAATCAATTCTCGGTGTGGCTGACAGAGATTGGAGATAAGGTGATGGGACACTTTGTTTTACCTCCGCCATGGTGCTTGATGTGATGCTAAGCAAGCTCCATCGGCCTGAGCAGGCCAGGATGATCGATTTATATCTGGTCGTTGCTGGACTGCCATGTAGATTGGATCATGGTGTCATATAGCCGTCTCGGGTGTTCCTCATGGCATATTGACGAAGTAGCCGAGAGACGGTTATCATAAACACACACTGTTGCTAGCACCGAAGTCAGGGCATTAAGGAAATTATGTCGCTTCAAACCTATTGGTGTTGTGGTCAAGTCTACCGAATAGTGTATTCATCTCGAGTTGAGTTGTGGGAGTTGGGTGTTTGCCCAATCTTCAGTCACCTTCAGGAACCTCAGCTAATTACTCAGAAAACATTATCATATCTTAAAATACGCGCACAATCTAAATATGATAATCGATAATGGGAAAGCCGATCATCGACCAGTCTCATCAGAGCACAGCGGCTGCAAGATATTTTCTCGTAGCCAGGACCAATGGATAGTAGTGGCATATTCCATGGTCCTCTTCAAAAGCTTGAGCAATTTGAACAGCCCATACACATCTCTGGTGTCTGCAGCTGCTGCTCGCCAAGGACCAAGTACATGCTGTGCCCACAATGTCAACTAAGCTTTCCCGATAATGGACATCAGACTACTCACAATCCGATCGCCGTTGTGCGACGTATCACCGAATGCAATATACGTATGCCAGTCATGGCCAATAACGGTCCACCCTATCATTGGCGGCAGATCACTGAATGAACAAGGCTGTATTCTCTGCTGTAAGCTCCTGAGATGCTGCATTCCGGCCGCTAACCATAACGCAAGTTGAGCAAGCGCTTCATCTTTCTCTCCATTCTCATCATTGGCTACCAACCCGGAGAACAGTATCAGTCGCTTAGTATCAGGATCCGTTGACTGGCTCAATTTATCGCCCACTTCCGTGAGGGATAGTATTCGATATAGCTCCGAAGTCTGGCTGACGCTGTGATGGAAAGAAAAGGCGTAGTCGGCCGTTTTGCGGATCCGATGATGGTGAGGCATTAGGGGAAGCAGATCCGGGTTTATTGTTTGTGTTTGACTATGTCGAGTATTAGCAAGGAAACGAGAGAACAGATAGTTAGACTTACACATTCTCTACTTTCAGCATGCTCCCCTTCGATGCAAAACGGAGGAGTGGATGAATGACACTCGAGCACCATTGACTCCCATCTTGTTGCCGACTACTGCAGTCTCTAGCCTCATCAAGTATTTCTATCACGCTCTCCCAGAGACGGGCAAGTTCTCTATCCGAATGAGTCCCTGAAATGTCATACGCGGAGTCCGGGATTGACTGCGCGACCAGGGGAAAAGAAGTGAGTATCTGATCCTATACAAGAGATCAAGTTAATATCAGCTACTGGCACTGCGAGGTAGTGATTATTTGTTTGCACCTTCAGCTGAGCGGGAATCACTCCTTCCTCGAGAGATTGGCTGATAATTTCATACACAGGCATAACCCTTTCCGGCAGAGCTATCGTGGATGGAACATCACACAAGATAGCAGGCCTTGACACTCGTAAATCATGCAGTAGATCTCGCACCCAATCTACCGTCCGTTTATGACGCGTCGAGGTGGAATGTGATTCGAGGTCACTAAGTGCGGCAGCCGATGCACTCTGGTCGGGCAGTATTTCATCATTGTTGCTGCCACACTGACGGTTCGCGGGGTCCTCAGATCTATGACTCTTCCGTTTCCGGTTTTCCAGTAATGGGGTCAGCTCGGGGGATGAGAGAGGTGATGAGTCTAGATCAACAGGAGGTGGCGTTGGGCGGTCATGAAGCCAGCGCCAAACGATTGTGTTGTCGTGAGGGGCCATGGCGCGTTCGAATCACACACAAGGTGGAGAAAGGAACAAGACTGTGTTCAGTTACAGAACTCCGTAGAAAATCTGTACATTCGCATCTGGCATGTCACGTTTGATGACTGAAGTGAGTGTTGATGCGTGTACACCGTAAGGGTCGGCATGTGGATGATTAGGTGCCTGAGGCCGCAATACATATGCCAAGCATTCTGCCATCCGTCTACCCTGTTTTGATGCTCTTCTATACCGTAGAGTGAGCACGCGAGAATTCGGACATCTTTGGAGCCTCGGGACTTGTCTTGTATCCTACAGGTATTTCTTTGTACACCGTGCAAATAATATAGTCGTGTATGTTATCGTGCTATAAAGAAGTTGAAAGAAGCCAAACCCATCTCAACAAGACGAGTTGCGTATGTACAATTGTACATCTCCGAGCAGGACTATTTGGTAAACTAAGAACAGATAGCTCCTCTAGCTCTTCTCACCCTTTTCATTACCCTCATCGGCACCAACATTCAAATCTATCTGCCTCACCCCCTCACAACCATCCAAAACCCTCATCCCCGGTGGACCCGTAAACCTCTTCCTCCCCGTCACAACCCACGTCACGACAGCAATCAACGCAATCAAGCCCACTGCCGCAGAAGTATAATTCATGGAATTATGAGTCACAGGGTAAGACGTAGGGAAGTTGAACGTGATAGCTGCGAAGAGCAAAAACAAAAGACCCAGAACATTCAGCGCGATGGACACGGACGTCGGAAGTGCAAATGGTCCTTTCATGGTTGGGTTATGCGATGTCATGTAGCCCATGAGACGAGAGGCGAGTGCGATCGCGTAAGAGACGTAGAACCCCTCGGTAGAGATGGCAATGACGGTTTCGAAACCGGTCGTCGTGCCGAAGTCGATAGCGTCAAGAGCTAACTGCACGACTAGGGTGAGAAGGACCGCGTTGACGGGGACTTGGCGCTTTGGGTCGACTTTGGCCAGGATGGAGGAGAATGGTAATCCGTTGTCTCGGGCAAAGGCATACACGGATCGTGATCCCTCGGCCAGGAGGTTGTTCCCCGCGACAAGAACAATCACGGCGATCATGCTGGACAGGAAACACGTCCCTACTTTGCTTCCTGTGGAGTCGTAGAAGATCTGAATAACAGGGACACCGGTGGACGTGTTCGCCGTGGTGTCGATGTCGCCGATACAGAAGCAAAGGGTCAATAGGAATGCGAAGCCGGTGACTGCGCCAAGGATCACGGAGAGGATGATTGCTTTGGGAGCTTCCTTCGACGCGGACTTCATCTCCTCGGTCATATGTGATGGGGCGTCGTAGCAGCACATGCCGAAACAAGCTTGAAGTATGCCGACGATAGCAGCCATAGAGGACCCCCAGCCTGTGAAGTTTTGGAAGTCGTGGAAGACAAATGACGCGGACTGCTTGTTGTCGTTCGTGGCGAGGAGGGTGATCATAGTGATCAAGAACGAACCGACGTTCCAGATGAGGATGAATCGAGCGATCCGGTTGAGAAGATGAGGTCCCCATATATTGACCGAAGCCGAGATAAAGGCCACACAGTAGGCGACGAGTACAGTCTGCCAGCGTTGGATTGTGTATTGGGGGAAGACAAGGTTGGCCATGCCGAGGATGAAATTGGCGCCGATGGAGTTATTTGTTGCTCCCATTGCAAGGATGCCTAGAGCATGTTAGTATAAGCTTGCTGCCAGGTTGATGTATGATGAGGTAGACAAACCGATAAGCATAAACCATCCGCTAATGTAGGACAGTCCTCTGGCTATCCGTGGAGGCGCAAGTGCCGCAACCCACGAATACTGTCCTCCAGCAACAGGATACATACTGCACATTTCGGCCATGGGGATAGCAACGGCGAGGGTGAGGAAGCAGACGGCGATAAAACTAAAGACCATGACAGGGGGGCCGCCAGATTTGACGCCGACGATGAAGACACCACTCAAAGCGGTCCATCTACAGTTGTTAGCAAACGCACAGTCAGGAAGAAGAGGAGGGTAACCCACGATGTGACCACACTGAAACTGAATCCAATCATGCCGAGTAACCCAAACGTTCGTTTCAGCTCTTGCTCGTAGCCCAATTGCTCGACGAGAGCATCCTCCCGTGTCGAAGGGGCGAACACCTTCGTTTTTTCGTCGTTTTCTGCCATAGTGACAACAATCGGAACCTGGTCCCTCAAGCTAGTGAAATCAACTCATCCTTGGGACAAGCATAGTCGACATCTTATTTAAAGCAGCAGACCACCTACGTGGGTCCATCGCTTCCCCGGAGAATGACTGCTGGGTCGAGATAGTAGATTGTAGAAGCCGAGGGCGATAAGAAGGGTGATGTAGATGCTTACCCGATAGAGAAACTCGGGGCGATGGGTGGAGCTCGTTTTGCGGGGGAGCAAATCAAAAGCCAGACAGGGCTGCCCATTTCTTTGTCTGATAAAAGACTAAGTTGCATTACTCAGACTTGGAGTACAAGAATGACATGAGCGATAACTTGATAAGAATGCTGACAGGATGTGGGGGGTCGCCATGTTTTGATTCCGTTAGCTAATAAATTTTGCAGGTGCCACTGGCAGTGGGCGGCGATTCAGGAATTGACAGAGACGGCATGTAGGATATTGTCCTGATCTGTTACCATAGTCCATAACATAGAGATAGTCAGACCTCTATATTACTTATTACCAGCTTAAAATATCGGTCCTCTATCCGGACAATCAGATTCGCAATTGCACCGTCTCCACATGCTCCTGGTTACAATGCCTATTTACATCAGTTCCTTGGGTAGATACGGTCTCCTTCCTTTACCTTCGAATCACGCGGCAACAGGGGTAGCAACCATTAGACCTAACAGCGAATTGACCACTTCAGCAGCCGCAAGCGTGGTAGTCTCGCCAGCCGTATCATAGATAGGCGCAACCTCAACGACATCACCACCGACGACAGGAAGTCCACGCAACCCATCAAGAATAGAAAGAAGCTCGCGGGAGGTGAATCCGCCCGGTTCGGCAGTACCGGTTGCTAATGGGGTCAGCCCGACCATGTCGCCTCACAGATGAACAAGACTTACCGGGTGCATAGGCTGGATCCAACACGTCTATATCAACAGAAATATAAACCCGGCTGTTTCTCACACGAGACTTGATTTGGTCGACCACTCCATTGATGCCTAGTCGGTCTATGTCTCGCGCTTTGATCATGTCAAATCCACAACGGATGTCATTGCGGAGATCGCTTTTCCCACGGTTGACGGGGGCTCGGAGCCCAACGTGGATTGAAGAGTTTCGAATCAAGCCCTATAATTTTTAGCAAGTTACACTATGGCGGCAAGGATAGACACACCTCCTCATGGGCTATATGCAGGAACGTGCCATGGTTGACGCCACTGGGTCATATTAGAATTTCAACAACAGGGATGGGTACAGTACAGTAGTACTTACGCATAATGGGAGATCCCACCACCTACACCTATTAGCTCAGCGAAATGCAACAGGTAGGAGCGAAAAACTTACCCAGTACCTCCGGATCCCAAGTATCTACTCAATCAGCCACATCCGAGCACCATAGAATGCAACATACCTATATGGCTATCGAAATGGATCACCGACACGGGCCCCCATTTCTCATGGGTCGATCTCAACGCCGAAAGCGTTGTCGTGTGATCACCACCCAGCGTGACGATACGAGGGACGCGTCCCATTCCAGTAGTGTTGGCAGGACGGGAAGACACAACCTATCTGTCTTAGCCTCGCACATATCGGAAACATACTCAAGAACAAAGAAATACCTTATGCGCCAGATCGAGCTGCTTCAGTGCGGCGGTATTATCGAGCCACGTTAGCGGCGCATCTCCGCAATCCACCAGTTTCGCCCAGCTCTCGTAAACGTTGTCGCCGGTGTAGATACTCCAGCCACCAAGTCGGCGAGAGCCAAGACGAATTCCCCCCGGACCGAACCGGGCTCCGGGACGACCGGTGACGGCCTGTTGCCTGTCAATTTCAATTCCAGTTAACGAGATTGCAGGCAAGGCAGCGTACCGTATCAAAGGGGGCTCCTAATATAGCAATGTCATATGGCTGTTTGCTTGACTCCTCATCAAGAAAACAATTAATATAGGGAATGTGCGCGAAGGTCGTCAGTCCCGAAAACTGGCTTCCGGAGGTGATATCGACGGTGTCGTGATGTCCCATAGGCATTTGACCGGAGGGATGGACGGCTGCCACCGGAGGGAAGACGACCTCTCTGGCCAACGATAAGGAAGATAAGGATAAGGCGAGTAGGGCGAATCTCAACATATTGAGCACAATGTTCTTCGATTTAATGGCGCATTCCAAGCGATTTCAAATCTAGGCGCGGAAAGCTTGGATGGTGAGAATATATACACTTCCCGAAGTAAACACAGACTAACTTGGCCTAAGGCAGTCAACCACAGGGCGCCGATATGACGAAATTGCGGGGCGACCTGCCTGGTAGTTCTTTCCTCTTTCGGGCCCGTACCCCCACATGTGATTTTTCTCTCCTTCTGCGCCGATCTCTCCGCTCGTATCAATCTCGCTCAACAGATAACATAGCCATCATGGTACGAGAACCCTGTTTGATCGTGGATGACTCCTACTGATGCCGGTTTTAGCCTCACGCTGACTCCTCTTACTTCGGGGGCCCCAACGCCTCCAAGAGTGACGTCTACCAACAAGTCATTGACCAGAGTACAGGGCTGGTCTACGGTCAAAGGAACTGGGTAAGTATATTGTCTCCTTCGAATATCTCTTGATTCAGAAGCTAACATACTCAAACAGGTCAGGTAAACTCCCTCCCTTCCCTTCTCTTCCCTCCCCCCTCGCCACCAACCCAACGCGTCGCAAACGCAATCTAACCAACCCCACCAAACCAGCAACTTCTCCAACGTCGCCTCCCTCCTCTGGCACGCCTACGCCTCTCTCCCCGCTCCTTCCTCCTCCGTAAACTGGGCCGGCTTCTACATCCGCCAAGACAAGTTCCCCGTTCTCGGCGCCTCGTCCGCCGAGGAGCGCACCGCAAAGACCGACGTCCTCGTCCTAGGCCCCTTCCAAGGCCGACCGGCGTGTCAGGAGATCCGTTTCGGCCGAGGCGTGTGCGGCACAGCGGCGCAGAAGAAAGAGACGGTGGTGGTGCCTGACGTGTTAGAGTTTCCGGGTCATATTGCGTGCGACGCGAGTAGCCGCAGTGAGATTGTGGTGCCGATTTTGAGCGGTGGGGAGGTATGTTCTATCCTTATCCGGCCCTTTTCCCTTGCCACTCCTGGCTTCTGCTTTGGGTGGGTAGTGATTAACGCGATTTCGGGTATTCATTAGACTGTCGCGATCATCGACATCGACTGTACCGAGCCGAACGGGTTCGATGAGGTGGATCGGAAATTCCTCGAGCAGTTGGCTGCCTTGCTCGCTGAAAGCTGTGATTGGTGATAAAACAAGGTAGGATCTCGTCGGGTACCTACCTACGTGGCGAAAGATGGCCTATGGCAGGATTTGAGGCTTACAGGGTATGACGTACATAATGAAGGTAATGAATAGATAGACGGACATCCATTGGCGAAGGAACAATGCCTTATCCTTGCAGACGATACAGGCACGTACAGGGTGGGCGCTTCACTGAAGTTCAGGAACCTGCCGCAGGTGTAACATAACTACGTAAATGCCAGTATGTACTTGTTCGGGATTTGTTCCTGCCGAAATGGGCAGGTTGCGCCTGAGGATGACAGTAGACTGAAACCAAGGCGTGGGCAAAATGTAGGAAATACGTTACAAGAATGGATCATGGAGATCATCAATCAGGAAAAGAATACCTTCCAAGTTGTGCCATGTGATACACTTGGCCCACTGCGACCCGAGGGATTGAAACTCACAAAGTGTCGCATTGGACGAAAGTTATCCTGTGAACCTAGGGGATGATCTCACGAGTTGTATGACGATCCATCCGGCTACTTAATTTGACTTCTGTGTCACTCTGTGAAACTCGGCAGAGAAATCTATCGTCATAATATCCCGCGGGAGCACAACAACCCGCAGGAGAGACTGTGAGCAATACAAGCGACACTCGAAAAACAGGAGAAAAAAGGTTAAGATGGAAATCAATGAAATGAAAGCCCGAGCAATAGTCTCGTCAACAGACGAGGACCCACGAAACACAATAGATTGAAATAAATGCAACTCGCTAAGCAAGCAAAGCTCGCAACGTAGACGGGACCACGAACACAGGAGAAAGACAAGTCTATCTAAGAACGCTATAAACCAAGAGAGTGAAACAAGGGATATCCCCAGCCCTGTATCTGTATCTGTATGATGATATCCTTTCCGAACCCGAACCGGATGAACAAACAATCAACGAAAAAACAAGAAAAAAAAAAGAATCCAAGCGCCAAGCCAGCAGTGTACCTGGTATGTATGCTTTCAGTAAGGTATCGGCATTAGCATGAGAGTGATGTGCCTGTATATCTGTAGTGCAGGTGTGTAGTGATATGGAAGGATAGAGGTGACTACATGCTGAGCATGCTCATTTGGCGCTTCATCGGGCTGATGGATCCCGCGTCGCCGTCTTCGCTAGGACCGAAGCCACTGTCTGTGCCGGCCAGACCGGCATCCGTGTCAATGTCCCACTCTTCGTCTTCGTTCTCCTCGTCGATGGCGTCCACGCCCGCTTCGGAGCCGCGTTGCCAGCTCTTCTGCACGGCGCCACGCGTGTTCCAACGGAGAGCACGCTGGACGCTCTGGAACCATTCGCCGCTGCCGGAGACCACGGTGGGGAAGGGATATTGACTGGCTTCGACAGTAACGTAGTCCCCTTGGCGCAGCTCGACGCGGCCCTTACCGTCAAAAGAGCAGTAAGCGGTCGAACGGGATCCGGCAGGGACGGCAATGCGTAGTAGGAGAGAATCTGAGAGGACCATGGGGCGGAAGGATAACGTGTGCGGGCAGATAGGGGTAAGGAGAATGCCGGGAATAGAAGGGTGAATCAGCGATCCTCCGGCGGACAGTGAATAAGCAGTGGAACCTGGATCCGTTAGTTGCGCCCTCAGAAACGAAGAGAAGAAGCATACCAGTAGGTGTGGAGAAGATACAGCCGTCGGCCTGAACGACAGTGAGAAGGTCGTTGTCCGCGTACAGTTCCAGGTTGGATACATATGGCGAGGGCCCTCGATCCATGACCAGTTCATTAAGCACTTCAAATTGCTCTCCTTCCTCGACAGCGTCGGCATCCGCACCTTTGCTGCGGTCCTTGCGGAAGACGGTACACGTGAACCGCATCCGTAGGTTAACTCGCATGCCGATATCCCCCATGACCGCATTCAAGTGGTCCTTGTAGTTTTCGAACTCGAAGTTCGTCAGAAACCCGAGACTTCCGAGAGAGAAACACAGGATAGGCGGAACCACACGCTGGAAGAGCCACGAAGTGAAGAGCACCGTTCCGTCGCCGCCCAGCGTCAGCACCAGATCAAACTTTTCCGGCGACGTCCAGCATAGATCGGGAGTCCAGTAGTTGAGCATCTTCTCGAAGCGAGGCTCCTTCGCCATCAATCCCGCCGCATCGAATCGCTTGGATCTCCGCAGTTTCGCATCCACATATACATTGACACCCAGGTCGCTTCCGTAGCGCGGCGTCGACAGCAGCCATTCGGTCAACTCACGCGTGAGATGTACCAGACTATTATCCCGCGCCTTCGTCACAATCATCACATTCTTGACCGCCCGTTTGATCGGTCGCCGTTGCAATTGTTTCGAGACCTCCCGGACACCCGTGGCAGTCTGGACCAAGCGCGAATGGGACAGCCATTCGTCATCCGCAATCTCCTCCAGCACTTTCTGAATATTCACCGCATCGTCGAACCGCTGATGAAAGAAGCACGGCGACTGCATAACCAGACGGGCCGTCGACGGCATGCGGTCAAGATATGTACCCAATTGCAAGCTGGAAAGAGCTGCCGACAGCTTCTGCGACGACGGATTGCTGCAGCGACGCTCCGTTCCATCCGATGGATTCGAAGTAGCCGCGCTAGGATGCTGGAGCCCCAGAGAGGCCGCCAGCGGCATCGGGGTATTGTTATTGGTGTTGTTCTGCTGCTGGGCCCCCGACGGTCGAGACGCGAGGGCTTTCATGATAGTTTGACGGGGAATTGAATCACTAGACAGGGCGTTTCGATGATGACTAGCCAACGCGGCAGGACGGAGAGGCAGGAAAGGCGATGAGGGTAGCGAGAGACCGACAGCGTCCTCGCGGGTGAGCTCAGTATTCCGTGTAGTGGGGACGGAGGGACCAGGATGTCCCGAGGTGGGATCACTGGCGCGCGGTGCGTTCGAGGTCTGTGAGGAATCTATGTCGCCGACATAATCACGGAGAGGTAATGTACCGGCAGAGGAAGTGTGTGCAGTTGTAGCACGGCGGAAATTGGTTGGCGGGGCAGGAATTTGGGACGTTGAAGATGACGACGGAGCAGTGATTCCCGTGGGGTTGCAGCGATGGTTCTCTGAGGACTTGGGGGCGTTCACGGAGCCATGACTGGAATCAGAGGAAGCCATGGACGGGGGTGGAGATATGAGAAGAGAGAGACGCAGAGTTGGGGCGAATCAACTCTATTTGATTTATTGGAAAGGCGAAGGAAAGAGGGAGGAAAAAAGAAACGGGGGGAAATAATGATGGAAAGTGACTGTCGGATGTAACGGGGTTTGCAGTGAATTGAGCCAGGGAAACGCGGATGAGCTGCGGGAATCATTGGTTCCGCAACGGGAGATGACAGCAGCAGTCAAGGGAAAAAAGTGTTCGATAGGCTTCTACGGCCCTTGTCAGACGGAGTTTGTCAGCTCATGGTGTAAAAAAAAGGAGAACTCCGCAAACTCGGTAGAAACTAGGAGGTTCCTTTAGCCCCGGAGGAAAAGATGGGTGTTTGCGACAGATCACAGTTCACGGAGGGTTGGGAATTTTTTTTATTTATAATCTGGAATCTTCCTCGGTTTGACTCCGGCGAGGGATTTGATCGTCATAGTCGGCAATAATGCAATGACGGAATTGATATCGGCAGACAGGACAATAATATACCTCGTTCTTCACATCGAAGGGGAATTGGGCGATGCAAGGGGAGTTCGTACCTTCTCTCGGTCAGACTAAACCCACCTATCACCTCTTAATTACTAGTTAGTTAACTATGGGGCAGGCTGCCTTGCGGAGTAGGTACGGAGATTACATTTACAGTAGGTATGGATTGCTCTCATTTCTCTTCTGCATTCGGCATATCACAGCAATCATATGTGGCTGGCTGGCCTTGGCTGGGTTGGCTAGCTTTCTCTATAGAGTACGGAGTATTGTATCACATACATGTTTTGCCCTCTCGCGTCAGATCCATCCCATCGCCCTCCGGATCGCTGCTCACTCGCATGGATCCCTATTCCTTCGTATGCAAGCCCTCCTATCATGTCGTTCTCCTCTTCGTAAAAAAAAGGTTGGGAAGTCTGCGGGCGCCAATAATGACCCCATCCCCGTGCGCACTCCCATGAAGGAGGGTAGCCAGCCTAGTAGACTGAGACCGCAGCCCCTACGCCAAGAGGGCATTCGAATTGGATGCAGACCCGAATCGAGTTAGTCCGAATTGCCAGCTGAATGAAATAGAAAACAAAAAGTACGGAGTACCAATGATGGCGACCGATGGATTGGGCCGTTCGGCGCGCGGCCCGGTCGCTATCAGTTGGGATTCCGGTGTTGGTAATGGTGTCTTTACCCCCCCGCACAATCCCTCAAGCCGCATCGATTTTCCACGCGTAGTCTTGGTGAAGTTTGTCCTCGACGGCCTCCCGCACAGTCCCTTCCAATGGTTGGCCGTCCGCATCCTCCGCCATCGCTATGTCCCCGTCGGAGCTGCTCGTCAAGGTCCCCTGACAGATGGTCAGAGCCCGTTCGCGCACCCTCTCCCACGTTTCAAAGTCAAATGAGCCTTGGCTTTCGTTGAGCAAAAGATGTCCCTTGGAGGAGAAAGCGAGCACGTGGAGGGAGGTGGCCGACTGGGCGTCCTTGGGCGACGGCTCCCGAATCAGCTTCCCCGACGAATCAACCCCCAGCACGGTCGCAGAGTAGGTCATGGACAACGGGACAGCGGCGGACAATAGTGCAAGGAGGGAGGTTTGGAGCAGAGCAGGCAGAAGAGTAAGATACTGCAGATAGGATCTGGTTAGCGCAATCACCCACCCGGCGAAAAGGAAGAACTCACCGAGTCTCCTCTGCTGACGCTTTCACCACCAACGATCGCCAACGTGACCACCACTCCTCGTCTAGCGTATGATTTTTCTCTACCCAGGATCAATCGTCCGAGAATGGTCTTGATGATTCCCTCGACGTATCGCTCCCCAACCCCTCCGGGCGCAGTACCAGGCTTGACGAAAACTTCCACGGTCGCTTCCTCGGGCTTGAGAGCATCCCGACGGCCTGGCAGCTCGATCGGAGCATTCACCGAGCCCAGGATATTCGAACCGGTCGACGGACATTTGTAGGAGGCCGAGCCGTCGGCGCGTGTGAGGGGGGTGAGGGACGATATCGGACCGACCATGATGGATAATTCGGAGCTTTGATTGGAACGATATATGTCAATGAGTTCGAAAGAGTGGCTAGAGAATAATCAAAGTCGAATTCAGAGGTGGATACAGAGTGAATCGTGACAAAATCAGCTTGGTTGCGCTGCTTTTTTGGGCGGATTTCGGTCGCTGCGCTGATTGGTCACGGGGTCGCCGCCTTTCTTCCTCTTCTTCTCGATTAGTAGCGAACATCACAACTAGCCAATATATTCAGATTCTAATGATCTTCGTTTCTTTGTTCACCTTCATCAGCTACAGTCAATGCATAGAATATACGCTAGATCTGATCTACGGAAATTCCAATCGCCAGCAGTGTAAAGAGGTCCTCACCAAATCTCTACCACAGACGCATTGTGCAGAATATATAATCCCCTACTACACCATTTGAAACTTACCGCCTACTGAGAGCGGAAGTTTCTGTAGGCGTTCTACAGGGACCAGGTACGGTGGTTAAAAACGATGAGATGAATGAACGGAGGGTTTTTAGATAAATACTGCATCGATCGATTGCTTGCTGTAGGAATCGAGGTCTTCCAGCCTTGAGGGGTCCGGCGAAATGCTTGGCATCTTGCCTCAGGCATTTGATGCCTTGCACGTGAGGCGTGTCCGTAGCGAGCGAGGTGTGCCCGTAGCCATCGTCTCTCTGTCTCTCCACCAGAATCCTGGAAGAGGCGATCAATGAAACTGCATCCCGATGATCTTCGGCATCTCAGACCAATAATTGCTGCCTCACACCCCGCGTGCCATGCCTGTCCTGTCAGCATTCTGTTCCGCACCCTTCCAGAACCTCCTACTACTGCCATGTCTGCGTCTCTGACTGGCATCAACTCACGTGGCTAACCCGACCAGAGGTCTAGTCTCTCGCCACGTCCGTGATGAGCAAGCCTCCCCTCATTGTCCTTCTGTGGCTTAGATAGACTACTATGCCTGAGCTGTCTGCGTCTGTCCTCCTTGGACTGGCGGCGAACCAATCCCAGCATCTTCCAAGCCATTAGCGGCCCGGCTTCCAAGGACACGCTCGCGAGTCATCTCTTTGGACGCGAATCATCCAGTCGGACGATGAGTCGGCCAAGATAAAGATCCTGGCTGTTCCAATAATACGCAGTGCTGAGAAGAATGCAAGCATGGCAACCCCTCACGATGGCCCCCCTCGCTTGTTCCGGCTGTCCTATAAGTAGCGATCGAAAGAAAAAGAAAGGAAACTTACCAAAGAAAATTCGAGGTCTTCGACATCTTGGTGCTCCTGAAACCTTTCTCTTGTCCATATTGTGCATACCGGGATTCCTGGACATCGACCTTTCTCCCTTTATCCTCCATCTATACTTGAATGGGCATTGAAACTTCCCCTCCGGATGTCGAGGAATCGACGGAACCCCCTATATGTTCTTTACCACAGGAACACCCACCGCGTATCGATGTAGAAACCAAGCAGGATTTTGAGAAGATCGACAACCCGCAAAACGTGTCGGTCTTAGATGATGCTCAACGTCCTGCTGTAGACCCGGGCCAACCCATTTCCGAAAACCCCTTGGATTACCCTCACACCGTTCACCCTGCTCAGCTAGCAGAATCGCTCAATGTTGCACTCCAGTACGCCTCCTTCTAGTCCTACAATCACTGCTTGCTGACCTGATAGCCATGGCCTGTCAAATACCGAGTCGGCGTCCCGTCTCCAGCGAGATGGGCCGAACAGGGTCCGAGAGATGCATGGAGTGTCGGTCTGGAAGATACTTCTAAGACAAGTGGCCAACAGTTTAACTTTAGTATGTTCTGCTGATAGTGGGATCCGTTGGAAGTACCTGATAAACTTCTCAACGTCAACCGCCATGCACCGGATTGTTCGTTAGCCTGTTGACAAGAACGCCTAGGTTCTCGTCATTACCATGGCAATATCTTTTGGAATTGATGACTATATCGAAGGCGGCGTGATAACGTCTGTCATCCTCCTCAACATTGCTATTGGGTGCGTGCTTCTCCTCCGTATATGAGCAGGTGCTGATGAATTCTAGCTTCGTGCAAGACTATCGAGCCGAGAAGACCATCATGTCGCTGCATCGACTGTCTGCACCCATATGCAAGGTTCTCCGAGATGGCCATGTAGTCTCTGTGAGGGCCGAGTCGCTCGTCGTGGGAGATATTGTCCACCTCGCTGTCGGAGATATTGTCCCTGCCGACCTGAGACTCATAGATGGGATGAATGTCTCCATGGACGAAGCTTTGCTGACCGGCGAATCGCTCCCGGTGGCAAAAACTCCTCATATCGTCATGGCCTCACGAGACATCCCAATCGGGGATCGCACCAATATGGCATATTCGGGATGTAGCACAACCCAAGGTCGAGCCACGGGGATCGTGACCGCTACGGGGATGAGGACCGAAGTGGGCAAGATCGCGCAGCTCCTTCAAGAGACATCTACCCATACCAGCTCCAACATCTTCAAGCGAGGCCTTTATCGGACTAAAAACACGGTCAAAAATGTCTTGGGACTAGTAGGCACACCTCTACAGGTGAAATTAAGCAAGTTTGCTCTGCTGCTGTTTGCCCTGGCAATTTTGCTCGCCATCATAGTGTTTTCAGTCAGCGAATGGGACGTCGAAGGCGAGGTCCTCATTTACGGAATCTGCGTCGCCGTGGCCGTGGTCCCGGAGTCGCTTATTGCGGTCTTGACAATCACCGTGGCAGTAGGAACCAAAGCAATGGCCAGAAGCAATGTCATTGTGCGAAAGCTCCAATGTCTGGAGGCTGTTGGTGGCGTGACCAACATCTGTTCAGATAAGACTGGTACCCTGACGCAAGGATCAATGATTGCAGCAGCGGCTTGGATTCCTCAAGCCGGCAATCTCACTGTCCATCAGACTACGAATCCAATCGATCCTACGAGTGGGTCGGTTCAACTCGACGACGTTGACTGGAACCCAGAGAGTCTGCAGGAAAATCATGCACTACGGACGTTTCTCACCGCAATTGCGTTGTGCAATCTGTCGGTGGTAGAACGGGCAGGACCATCAGATATCTCTGGGAAAGAGCCTGTTCAGTCACAAAATGACTGGACTGCCGTCGGCGAGCCTACCGAGATCGCACTGCACGTTCTCGCAATGCGCTTTGGCATGGGAAAACCAGCTATATTGCAGGAGCGCGACATTGCCCTACATACCGAATACCCTTTTGACTCGTCAATCAAACGCATGACAGTCGTGTACAAAAACCCCAAAGCCCAAGTCCATGAAGTCTATACGAAAGGGGCGCCTGAGACAATTATCCCCAGGCTTCGTTTGAGTGAGCAGCAAAAAACGTTTATGCAGGAAACTGCGGACCGAATGGCTGGAGAAGGTCTTCGTGTGCTATGCGTAGCTTACAAAATGACTCCGATCGACGACGATTCACTGGTGTCCCCGCGCGCCAACGCCGAGTCTGGGCTCACTCTCGGCGGTTTGGTTGGGCTCTACGATCCCCCTCGTGTCGAAACGGCCGCAGCTGTTCGGCGATGCCAGATGGCTGGCATTGCTGTCCACATGTTGACTGGTGACCACATCCGAACGGCAACGGCGATCGCCTCCGAAGTAGGCATACTGGACCCATTCGTCAATGCGAAGTCTACCAGGCTTGTCATGGCGGCTGAGGAGTTTGATCGGTTGTCTGACGCCGAGATCGACGCGATTGAAAAGCTGCCTCTGGTGATTGCGCGCTGCAGCCCGACTACGAAAGTTCGAATGGTTGAGGCCATGCACCGACGACAGGCGTTTTGTGTCATGACAGGCGATGGGGTCAACGATTCTCCCGCTCTGAAACGGGCGGACGTGGGCATTGCCATGGGGAAGAATGGCAGCGACGTCGCTAAAGAGGCCGCTGATATGGTACTAACGGACGACAATTTTTCGTCCATTGTCAGAGCCGTGGAGGAGGGAAGAAGATTGTTTTCTAACATTCAAAAGGTAGTCTCCTTCTTTGGTTCCCATATGTCCTGCTGACCTTTCCAGTTTCTCATGCATCTTCTGATCTCCAACATCGCCCAAGTCATTTTGCTTCTTGTCGCCCTGGCATTTAAAGATGCAGAGGACAACTCAATTTTTCCCATTTCTCCAATCGAGATTCTTTGGGTTAACCTAATAACATCTTCATTCCTAGCCCTGGGTCTTGGTCTCGAGGAGGCCAGACCTGATTCCATGTATCAGCCGCCTCATGATCTAAAGGTGGGAGTGTTTACCCGGGAGCTGATCACCGACAAAATGATTTACGGCACATTCATGGGCTGTCTCTGCCTCGTATCGTTCGTCTGTGTGATTTACGCCGAGGGAGCTGGCACCGCAGACATGGGTCATGACTGCAACGAGGGATGGAACAGCAGCTGCGACGTGGTGTTCCGGGCACGCGCCACGACCTACGCGACCTTGACCTTTCTCTTATTAGTAACAGCCTGGGAAGTCAAACACTTCTCTCGCTCCCTGTTCAATCTCGACCCGGACAAATATCCCGGTCGACTCTCCGTCTTCTATTCCATCTGGCGCAACCGGTTCCTTTTCTGGGCGGTCATCGCAGGCTTCGTGATCACCTTTCCAGTCATCTACCTCCCGGAGGTGAATCGAATTGTTTTCAAACATCACGGCATAGGTTGGGAATGGGGTATTGTCATTGGATGTATGGTTGTGTATTTGGCTTTGGTGGAGAGCTGGAAGGCGACGAAACGAGCAATGGGCATCGGCAGTGGTAAAAATGCCCGGCTGACGATGGGAGATGCCGAGATGAGGGCTGGTCTTGCGTCACCGTTTTCCATGAGTGCGAATGCCAGTGTTGATGCGAGTGTGGAGGTGAAGTAGGGATCTAGACTTCATGGGAGTTAGGGGGGATCATTCATCATTAGATGAAGCTATGCTCAACCATAGCCAAACGGCCAGGATGGGACGGTGTCCAACACACTGTTTATTGTTTCTATCGTTCAACTGACCCTATCCGATCATTATCAAATTATCACCCACCTATAAATGATGCAATTCCAAATCATCACGAGGTATGCAACCACTGTAATCTCCCGCCAGAGTATGACAGGATTGATAAGCGCCACCTGCAGCTGCCGTGGGGGCCAGCCGCAGCCTTCTGCTCCATCCTTTGTCGATAACCCCCTCATCCCCTTCTTCCAACCCGGTTCTCCTCCATCCATTGCTCCAGCTCCTTAGACAGTTCCCATCCACCAAGATGAGGATCCTCTGCCTTCACGGCCAAGGCACCAGTGGCACCATCTTCAAGTCGCAATTATGTATGTCCCCGCGTATCCCCACTCCTGTCAGACAAACAAACCGCCGACCATACACCCCATCTATCACCTCTCCATCGCAATTCCCCTTTTCTTTGATAACAAATAACCCTAACTCTTCAAAAAGCAGGAATCTCCAAACGTCTAACCGCCCATCTCCCCGTCCCCGTTGAATTCGACTACCTCGATGGTCCATACCCCTCGCCCCCCGCACCGGGCGTGGACCTTTTCTACCCACCTCCATACTTTACGTTCTGGCGCGAAAACACGGTTCCAGCGGTGCGGGAGACAATCGCATGGTTGAACAATATCATCGCAGAGCGAGGTCCATATGATGCGGTTATGATGTTTAGTCAGGGATGTGCGCTGGGTGCGAGTATGTTGCTTTTGCAGGAGTGGGAGAGTCGGAATCAGCACCAACATCAGGACCAATTCCAAGGTCATGGAGAGAAGGAGCAGGAGGAGGAGAACAGCAACACGACAAGCCATTCACAACCCCAGAAAGACAAGGAAAATCCCCCCTTCAGCGCAGCAATCTTCATCTGCGGCGGTCCGCCTCTCCAAATCCTCTCCGAAGAAATCGGCTACGCGCTCCCGGAATCGATCTTCTCCCGCGACAAACTCAGCCGAACCAAGCTCGCCCAAGTCGCCAACTCAGACTCGCTCCTCGCGCTGGGGTCCCAGCGATGGAATAACAAGGCAGCCGGGGGCGGAAGCGCCGATGAAGAAGAGAAGATACGTCAGGAGATCGCATCGTATGGGGACGTGCGCATCCAGATCCCTACGGTGCATGTGTACGGGGATAAGGATCCGCGGTATGAAGCGAGTGTGCAGCTATCGGGGCTTTGTGAGGAGGGGAGGAGACGTACGTTTAATCATAATGGAGGGCATGAGATACCGCGGTTGGAGGCTGTGACGGCGAGGGTGACGGAGATGACGATTTGGGCGCTGAGGGAAGGGGGTGTGATTGATTGATCAATTGATTGAGTTGGGCTCGAATAGACCTGAGGCTATGTATGACAGGCTATGGTCTGGAAATAAACTCCGCATGGTCAGACACGGGTATCGGGCAAGAAGCCGAAATGATGAGATGACGGAATCAGAATTCAACATAGACTACTTACTTACCACAGTACTGCCACCCAGTTGCTACCTACATAATAGATTCAACCTCGCGTTAATCCATCCTACACCAAGAACAAGAACAAACAACCATCATTATTTACATCATCCACCTCTCAATCCAGCCACACACATAACCCAGAACACAGTAATCCAGATAATCCAGATATGCACACCAATTCTCGCCAGCCAGATCATTCCACGCTACTCTATACCGACGATCCCCTGCACGATGACATTGTCTGTTCTATTCAGACGGTCAAGCGGATGGTGAGAGATCGGCAAGATGACATCACCCATCGTATAACTATCGAATGGTCAACGCGCCCCGCTATGGGAGTATACCTGCCATATTCCCATTCGATCGTGTATAAAAGTTCCGTGGGAGAGCCTGCTCCTGTTGATATTTTTGATCCTAGAGAGATATCTCTTTTCATATTTACATTCAGTGTCCATTTCTCCTAAGACACAACATTCACACAATTTAACCAACCCAACACTCGCCAACAAAAGAAAACAGCAGCAAAATGTCCGCAGCAGAAGACTGGCAAAAGAAGCTCGTAGGAAAGAAATTCGTGGAGAGCGAGACGGACAGCACCGGTGGTGATGTATGAACCCCTGTCTTCCACGTCTTGATCCGGTTGAGCAAAGATTTAGGTATTTATTAACGTACCATTTGTTCGATGGTAGACATTCACATCAGCAAGCCTTCCGCAGCCAAGTCGGGTCCTGAGAAGTGGGGATATGAAGACCATGGATTTTAATCAGGATCGGTAATCCTCTCTCTCTCTTTCTAACTTTGTTTATTCAACCTTCCTTGAATGGTGGAGGGTGAAGGGTGCCTAAGGCTAATGAAGAATACGTAAAGGTTGAATGTTCATCTCGATGACAAGAGTGTTTGTAACCATGTTTCTTTGGGATAGATATTCCATTTTTCAGTTGTGAGGGCTTGTGGCTGTGGTTTCATGATATGATACGAGGTTGATGGAGCGGTATACGCGGCTCAAGATTAGTCATTCTTCGTCTTGATTCTGTATTCTTTACGATGGTTGTATGAATGTTTCAATTCCAATATACTATGCCCTGTCCTCAAAATCCATAATGGCTATTGTCAGGAAAGGATTAGGCATACTTGATCGAGAAGGTCAACTTCTCCGAAGTACCCTTAGTACCGATAGCGCCAGACATTACCCCATTGTTCGACGAGATATCAGTCAGCGCACCGAGACTGCGTCCAGATTTATCAAACATCCGGATGAAGATCGTGTCTCCCTCTTCAATGTTACTCACGGAGCGGTGTCGGAGTGAATCAAATGCGAAGGTGGCCACCTCGCCAGACTTGGCCGCCGAGGTCTCCAGGTAAAGGACGGATTTGTCGTAGAAGCCCGGAAGGGTTGGGGTTGAGGTGAGCCATTTCTCGGCCTTCTTGGAGAAGATGCGGTAGGGGACGTTGCGTTTGAGCTGTAAATCATTAGAGAAAGGTTGAGATGCAAAGAGGGGAAGGGGCTCTAATACCAGTGGCTTCTCATTAGAGTTGTGTTCAACTACGATTTCGAACTTCTGGTCGGTGGCGTTGTTGACAAATGAGCAGCCGCTGCTCATCATACTAAACGTGTCGATATCGTCGATGAATTTCAGCTGGGCCGGAGTGTAGGAACCGCGGCCGTCAAGATCGTGCGTGAGGATACCAACTTCGCTTTTGTCAGTGTCGGATTTCCGAGATGTTGAAGGATGACTGCACTCACTGCCAGCCGCGCCCATCTCATTTAGACCTGCCAAGTACCGGGACCCTTGGTTCAAGGATACAGATACTTTCGACTTGACCGTCTTGACCTTTGGAGGTGCTGTGGTGCCTGGCTTTTCAGTTACAACTGGCTTGATGGGCGGAGTCTTGTCCCGCTGGGTAGTGGATTCTGGCTTGACCGGAGGCAGGACCTTCTCCGTCTTCCCGGACTGAGTAGTCGTGTCCGGCTTGACAGGAGGATTGGGCTTCTCCGTCTTTCCAGAGTTTACAACAGGAGTCTTCGGGTTTACTGGCAGGCTTGTCTTGTCCGACGTACCTGTTCTGTCTCCACCAATCTTACCCGCGCCGGTGGACGGGTTCTTGATGGCATCAATCTTGGCTTTGAGGATAGAGCCACCGGGCAGATTCATAATCAGGTCGGTCACTGGTATCAGAGATTCTTGCTGCCGGGTGTCAGTCTTAGTGTACGCCAGCAGGGCAATGGAATTCATACCTTAACGACGCGCCAGTTGTAATAAGACGCAACTGTGTTGCACCAGAGAGGCGGACTGGAAGACAGTTAAGTTAGCGATTTCAAAACTCCCTTATTCACCGGTTTAACATACTTGTTGCAAAGCAGTGTGTCTCCACCCTTCGCCTCCCAGGTCATAGTCATGTTCATCTTGCTGGTCTTGTTCTCTTCCATACTGTTGGAGGCTGAGCCGTAACTTGCACTTGCAGAAGCCTGGACCCAGGGAGAGGAGAAAGAAAGACTTGCAGCTGCTTTCATGGACTTAGCTTTCTCTGTTCTCTCTGAATCCTGAAGCTTTGTGCAGTCCTCGGACGAGTGGAGTCGCCCTCCGAGTTCAATCCGAGTCGCGAAGAAGTGGCCTACACCGTTAGCAGTTAACCTTGCATTTCGGGAAAGTCCATACCATATTTTTCGTTGAAATCGGTCAGAGACAGCGTATCGCCTAGGTTGTTGATGTCCGCTTTGCATTCCTCGGTCAATTCCAGACTGCTTTCATCCAAGTTTATGACCACACGGGGGAACTGGTCTCGTCAGCGTGCTCCCAACATTGGATCTTTCTACATACATTGTAGGTGATCGTCAACACCTTTGTCTGGGTGTCATTCTGAGTGGCCGACGATTTGGAACTGTTGGATGAGTATCCGCCCTTTACTCCAGCACTCACACCAAGTGCGCCTCCACCTCTATCCTTTGTTAGCGATTGTCGAATATTGCAAAGAAAGAAGAAGCATACATGGCAACTTCAGCTGCATATTCACTCATGGAGCTATCTGCCATGGCCTTCGCAACAGACTTGGATGTCTCAGTCATTTCGACGTAGGAGTCATCCTCAATACGGAATCGAGGAATGCGAAGCATTTGCTATTCAAGTTAGAAGAACCCTCTTTATCATTTTATATAAGCCTACCTTTGGGGGAGGAATGTCAGAAGCGAAAGAGGTCTCAAAGTCCTGGAATTGACGTTTGGCCAGTTGGAACGCTGTTGAATCAGCACCTTTATTCTTGCACACCCATCATTGTACATACCTGGGTAGACGGCTCGCTCGACCCTCTTGTTGATAGCGACCTCGTACATGCTTGTCAGGCTTCCATGTAGAAGACAATTGTTTCTGAAGACGATGTTCCAATGTCTCTCACTCATGTCCGACGGATAACTACAGTCGTCAGAAGTAATTCTCAAGCCCTGACGGGACAACATACACAATAGCACCACCCGTCTTTGCCATGAAGTTGGAGTGAACATATGTCGATGCAATTGCTTCAGCTTTGGTGGTGGGTAAACCCGGTGCCTATCTTGTCAGTGATGTCTTTGGCATCATGCGAAGGCCCGCCCATACCTCGGGTAACTCGAGATTGAGCTTGGACTTCAGAAACTCCTTGGTGTCGGCATCCAATTCCGTTTTAAGGCTCTTCAATTTCAAATATACATTCAAAGCCTGGGTGTCTTGGCTGAGGACATTGGCGCCCTTGGTTGTGGTCTAACTATTAGTTTCTGTTCATTGTCCATGGGTAATCGCAACTCACCACATCTGCCGTAGTCTCTTCTTCGGCCATGGGCTCTGACGCCTCCTATTGCACGTTAACGTTGCCTTACTGCCAGAGGAAAGCACAAACCAGTTTATTTCCAGCACCTTTCAAATACACTGGCAGAGGCGTGTCCTCCTTGGTTTCTGCACCTTCCTGGGTACAGAATGGGCTTCCTTGTCTTGATATTCCGTGAGCAGTCATTCTCACCCATGGTGATTCGAGGAACCCACTGTCTGTAAGACAACACGCCCTCGCTAATGAGCATTTTTCGCAAGTCGGATAGCTTCTTGCCCGCCAAGTTGTTCACACTCCCAAGGGAGACAAACTTCTCCATGGAAGAAGTTCGAGACAAAGGATCATAGTTGTAAATCTGGAAGACAGCTTGAGTCTGGTTCTGGTTGGCTGTGGGCTGTTAGACTCAATAGTAGCCCCAGGATCGAAGGTACATGCCTTGGTCCGCCTCGCTGGCTTTCTGCTTCAAGGCATCTGCCTTGTTCTTCAAATCGGTCGCAGAGGAAGACATCTTGGAACACGGTCGGTGATTGAAACAGTTGTTAGAGACTCGAAGATTTGTTGCGGATGGTATGATCAACTCCAGCAGTCGAGAATCTCCCTCTTTAAGTAGCTCAATTTCTCCCTCGGACCTCAGCACAGACCCGACCTCCCAGGCAAAACAAGTTTTTCTCATTTTCGAGACCCCCGCTTCGTATCCAGCTGAACAATCTCAAACATGTGCTCGCCGGGACTATACTCCGAGTGATTCGAACGATTCCAATGGCCTTCACGATCGGTTACATTGTAGCGGCTGACTGACACCCGCCAGCTATGAACAAGAGTGGAGACCACCTGTGGATCATCCCCACAGATTTAGCGTCGATCTGCAGACTGCAAAACCGAATCAAGCGAGCAATCAATCAATCAGAACTCAATCGAGCCAGAATCTGAGGCTATTGGAGCGCTACTTTTCGATAGACCGGACCGACCCGGTCAGCTGAAGGAATTGTCCGCTCCACAGTCCACCGCTGCTTGTTGAGCTGGATGCCTGTTTCAAGTTTGCCTGGTAAATGTTTGCCTTGCTCTGTGAGCGGAAAATTCGATTGGTGGGTCGAGCACGAATAGGCAAACTTTCTTGACTAGGCACGCTTATCCTGCAGATGCGTACGCAACGTGTTCCAGCCATGAGGTAATGAGATGGGTGATGAGAGAGGTGATGCATTCGTTGTAGACTCTGGGACATCTCGTACTTTTGGGCAATTGAAGATGCTCCACTGCTATTGGGTAGACCGCCTTTATGACGAGGGTGATTGGGAATTGAGAACCTATCTGATTCTTGAGATGACGGTATCGAGTGAGATAGTTGTACGAAGGATGAACTTTTGGCGCGCACCAGATTCAATAAAGTCGGGTGTCACGTGTAGAACCTGCAACTCTGCCAAACTTGTGCAAAAAGTATACAGTTAATCATCATAGTTACATTGCAACTTAAGCGCTGGTTAAACCAACTAACTCGACTTCGTGATCTGGAGGATGATTACACCAGATTTAGACGTCGTGAGGACTGAAATGGCATATTGCAGATACCCACGAATATACACAGCGTCCACATGCAGGATCCAAAGTTGCGTATTTCATCACGTTAGTATAGATATGTCCTAGTAATTCTTCTGTGCATCAAGTAGATAGTATACAAGGTCGCTACGAGAGCTTCTCGCGTCTTATTCGCCCCTAGAATTTCACAAGGTCTGAGTTTCTGTGATAATGACCATGGGCTTCGGAAAGATAGGAATTTCGCCCTGTTACCCTTCTCTGAAAAGGAATGCGCCGGAACCCCAGATATCATGCCAAATTAAATGAACTCGAAGAGTTCCTCGCCGAGCATGTCAGAGTTATATTCCATCATGCGCCTTAGTTTCTTCAGTAGATCATGAACCTTTGAACTGTTTGAAGTGCACTGATAAAGGGTACGTAAAGGGCTCAAGCCACCTGGAGTACACCGGAATCAGCTTCGCAATCAGTCAGATAAGGGCATTTCAACGTACAACTTCGCTAAGGGGCGGATACTCCCCTGGACAGTGACGACGCCCGTCAAAGATGTAGAATCTCCATTCTTCTCCTATGGCGGTCAAGCCAAGCGCTGCCGGATGATGCCCGGATCTAGGGCTCTTGGAGTATGCCCAGGAGGACAGTCCAGCCATCCAATTGGACAGCTGTACCTCGGCATCCAGCAAGCTCTTGTCGGGAGTCAAGACGACCACACCCGTTGTGAAGTATGCGGCGAGTTCACATGACTAAAATCCCAACCACGATCGTTGAGCCCCCTTTGCTGGTACTCTTCTTCCCAGGCGTCAGGGGGCAAGCCAACCACGAGGTCAACCTGGCTGTCAAAGGTTTTTCCATCCCTAAACCGTGGTCGACACTTGGTGCGTACAGACTCTCCTTGTCTAAAGTAAAGCTAAGCGTCAGTATGGCCAAGCTTTATCCCACGGTGGGACAACATACACGCTCCAAACTTCGAGAGGAAGTCCCTTGGTAGATAGCCTCAAGAGAGGAAGAACCACATCTGAGATCCATGAGCCTTGACTTCGTAACTCCTGAATGCAAATAAGCGTCGACAGGGCGACAAGATCCATTGCGCCCTCGTTGATCTCACACGCTCCATACCCCTCATCTTCGCGCAGACCTGAGCTACCCACCATCCAGCTATGAAGATCACCAGCTGCTTGGGTTGGCGCTTCATCACTGCCGCCGCCGTGCACAAATGTGATGCGCGGCTCAGCCATCGAGAGTTTCGACTTTATCCGCGCAGGGCCCAGACGCTGTCTCCTCTATCGAACAATTCTTGACGAAGGGCGTACATCCACAACCGAGCCGGCACTGGAATCATTCCCATCATGGTCTTCTTCCGGGGTCCCATTATGACGTTGCCTCTTCGGGACATGAATCATGGATTCCGTCGAAGATTGCGAATGGCCTCGTTTCACTCGGGGTGCACTGCTGGGCCCGGGAGTCGCGTCTCTGATTTCCTCCTCATCTCCGCGTATTGGTTGTGGCCACTCTGACATCTGTCTATCACCTTTTGTATTCGACGTCATGGTGAGACTTTGGTTTAGATTTATCAACGATTGGATGAGAGGTGATAAGAATGTGGGCAACTGACGGGGGGAAAAGGTGTTGCCGCGGTGACGGTATATCACGTGATAACGACAACAGAGGACTTGTTGCTGCCTGACTGCCTGATATTCTTGCCATGGTGCCTGAGGTTCAGTAACTATGCCAAGACCCTTCCATGTCTTTTTGCACACCATGGAAAGCCCCTTCCTCCACGATTCTCTTCATGGTCATCTCAATCAATCGAATCCATTATCTATTGGGTATCTTCCGGATTTTACTTCAGTACATCCACCTTAGTTACTCAATCTACTCGTTTACAGACCACCCTTTGTATGTAGATATATATCTCGAGCACAGGACAATCAAAATGTCTGTAAATCTGACCGAAACACCACGTTCTGCGCCATATCATTCATCACGGTCTTTCAGAGATGAGAAGACCTTCTCGACAAGTACCAATATCTAACTAAGAGCGGAGAGAAAAATCTGAAAGCTCCCGGACAACACTAGAATCACCTATATCATCGCTGTTATTGCTCTACCGAAGATACCCAGCTACAGAACTCCAATGAAGACCAATGAAGACAACTGATTTACCCCGCCACTCATATCGTCTCGCGGTCGAAAGCTAAAGAACTCAGTGGCGAGTATGCAGCGGGAGAAGTTATCTCTCCGGCTGACATGAGATGTCTTGGTGATGGCATGGCCTGCATACAAGGATAGAGGCTGGACTAATCACCAGGCGAGAAACAATCGATTTTAATCTCGAGGAGACTCCACGAGTTGACTACCACAATGCCTCTCTCCACCTAGGGTCGATACTACCATGGTACCACCAGTCATGTCTAGCAATTCAACTCTATTCAAAAACTAGAGCAATGAAGAATGAGCGCGTGACATGGAGCGGAGTCCTAAGATAGGTATTGTACGGAGTACTATTTCGAGTACTTCATTTTTGAGACTCATGTCTTACTAGAGAAACATCCCACATGTGAATGTGATGGTAGCAGCACTACTACTGTGGTAGGACTATCAGACCATTGAGTGATTGAGTTGAGCGCACACCACCAAGTTCAAGCCATCTCGTGTCTCACAAGGAAAAAAATCCTGCCCATCAAGTCTATGCGTCATACTCCAGAGACACGGAAAACGAGAAACTTTCTCTCAGACTCGGTCCGGCCAAAGGCTCCAATGAAGTGACCGCCGGGGGGTAATATAAGATCATATAAGGAGTTTTTCCGTGCTTCCATGGATGGTCGCCCGCCGGGGAATATTCTGCGAAACATGGCTAATGAAGGGGAGTATCGTGTTCGTAAAAAACACTACCAACAGACATGGATTATGACAGCTTTTTCTCTGTTGTCTCTTTTTGGTAAGTGATAAGTGAGTCCGGCTACGTTATTTTTAGTCGAATTTTCAAGGCCCTTCTAATCATTATTATTTAGTGTCCATTCTGGTGATAGTGGTGACATGCCTGCAGATAAAACCCAGCTGCCAACTCAAACCCGCGCACAATTCGAATTTACTTCGCAGACAAGGTCGCACTGCAGTTCCAGCCGACGCAGGTTCCCTCTTAAAGAAATGTCAAAGAGCGCAACTTGCAGCCGTTATCCCGAGCAAAATTCCTAGCCACCCGGTCGAAGATGGGTTATCGGCTCACTGCGCGTGTGGTCGGTGTCATGGACGTAATCCGACTGTCTCTTAATATCCCGCCTTATCAGCCTCTTTTTCCAGCCCAGCCTCTACCTAACTCCCGAACAGGCGATGCCATGCGATGCACCAAATGCGGGAGGGGCGGCGTTCTTGGTGGTACAAGACGGTGACATCGTGTTGACGGAGGACAATAATAATAACAACATGAGTTGCGGGGGTGAGCAAGAGACAGGCACAGACGCTAAGCAACCGGCGAGGTTTAGCGCATCCCAGCAAGTCCCAACCTCCCGTTTGTTCCTGCCAGCGCTAACGGGGACTTTGCCGTCGTTGCCCGACGCTGATTTGGCGCGGTGGAGTCCTGATAGTTGATAGATGAAAAAAATGTCTCACAACCCCGCTGGACGTGGCTCTTCGATTGTCCAGAATCGTCCCATCGTCATTCTCCGTAGGGCCTTTGGCTTTGGCATGTTGGGCTCCCGCTCGGACCTGCAGACCCTGGCCTTGGAAGATGTGGGTACGGAGTAGGTACGGGTTCGATTTCGCTGGCTATCTGTGTCTTCGATCGGTCCCGAACTCTCGCTTCTTTGTCTGTCTGTCTGCCATGCTTTCCGGTGGAGGAGGAGAAGTGAGACCTTATCCTTCCCCTCTCCATCTCAATCCGGCAGGTGAAATCCAGACCTCGCAGACCAATTGATTATGATCGACCAAGAAACTGGCATTAGGATCGCAACCGATCAGTCAGTCGAGTCACTAACGTGGCCATGCTTGGTTGAGAAAACTCGTCGGACGGGAATCCAATCGCCGATCAGCCCTAGCCAGACCAAGGAATTGATAGGCATACAGGAAGTACAGACCGAGTATTCCGTATCCTGGTGAGCTGTCTCTCCGCCACTTTGGTCAACAAAGCTCTTTCCATCTTCCTGAAGCGTCTTAGCGTGTGGTGGTAGAGCACGCGAGCAGGGGTCTTTTTAGGCTGGTCTTCTAAGACATGGGAAACCCTGATCCCTTCGGTTTTTCCCATCCCAAGAGCAACTAAATTAGTACCTGCTGAATTAGGTCCAAAGAAATCCGGTTCTCGAGTGTGATGGCCTTACCTTAGTTCTGTTTTCTTACCTGCCTGCCAAGGAACGCCTTTCGGTAGGGTCTCCAGATAAGGACGGATATGGATCAGTTCGGGGGATTCCGTGGATGGGAAGAAAGGGAAAAGCATGACGCATGCAGTCCGTCAGAACGGTGTTAAATAGAGACTTCCTGTCCACAGCATCCAACCGGGGGAATTCTCTCTGGGTCCTTTCTGTCCGGACATCCACACTCGTTTTGTGAGATTCGTGATACCATCGTTGTTGTTCTGCCGGGTTAGGGCTGTGTGTCCCCCGATATCTATTATAATCTTAATCCCCACTACTCGTTAATCTTGTCTGTTTGTCCGAGTCGAACCCATCGGTCGTTATGAAGTTCTACGCGGTTTCTGCCCTGGCCACCCTGGGCGCCTTGACCGGCGTGGCTGCTTCGCCAGCCAATGTGGTCTACCGACATCCGTGGATTGTCGAGAGAGGTGACCACGAGCCTCATCCTCCTCATACTCCCCCGGAGCATCATACTCCTACCTGGTGGCGCCCTCCTCCACCTCCCCATACCAAGCCGCCTCACACCAAGCCTCCTCATCCGACTTTGCCCCCGACTCTGCCGCCGGTGACTACCACTCCGTGCGAGACGGACACCGAGACGGAGCCTCCGGTGCCTACCTCTACTACTCCTTGCGAGACGGAGACGGAGACTGAGCCCCCTGTCCCAACTACTACTACTACTCCATGTGAGACCGAGACCGAGACCGAGACCGAGCCACCGGTGCCTACGAGCACGCCGTGTGAGACGGATACTCCCACTGAGCCTCCGGTCCCGACTACCACAACTCCATGCGAGACGGAGACAGAAACGGAGCCTCCTGTGCCAACCACTACTACTCCATGTGAAACTGACACTCCCACCGAGCCGCCTGTTCCTACGACTACAACTCCATGCGAGACGGAGACTGAACCCCCTGTCCCGACCACCACCACGCCCTGTGAGACGGAGACTGAACCGCCTGTTCCTACTACTACTACGCCATGCGAGACTGAAACTCCCACGGAACCCCCGGTGCCAACTACCACCACTCCATGTGAGACTGAGACTCCTACTGAGCCGCCGGTTCCTACCACGACCACCCCGTGCGAGACGGAGACTGAACCCCCTGTCCCCACTACTACCACGCCGTGCGAGACGGAGACACCTACCGAGCCTCCTACTCCCACCACCCCTTGTGAAACTGAGACGGAGACCAAGCCTCCAGTGCCTCCGACTGAGCCTCCTGTCCCAACCACTACGCCCTGCGAGACGGAGACGGAGACTCCCACCGAGCCTCCCAGCCCTACAACTCCATGCGAGACCGAGACTCCTACTGAGCCTCCTACTCCTACCACTCCATGTGAGACTGAGACCGAAACTAAGCCTCCGGTCCCTCCTACCGAGCCCCCAGTGCCCCCAACTACCACTCCCTGCGAGACCGAAACGGAGACTCAGCCTCCGGTCCCTCCCACCAACCCTCCCGTGGAGACCACTACTCCATGCGAGACTGAGACGGTGACTCCTCCCCCGGAGACTCACACGCCTCCTCCTCCTCCCCCTCCCCCGCCTCACACCGAGACCAAGACTCTTCCTCCTCCTCCTCCGGAGACTCACACCCCTCCCCCTCCCCAAACCGAAACCGAGACTCTTCCTCCCCCTCCTCCTCAGACCGAATCTCCTCCTCCCCCTCCTCCGGAAACCGTGACCCAGCCCATCCCCATCACCACCCCTGGATCCACCGTCGTGCCTCCAGTCCCAGGAACCACGCTGTCGACTTCCACCAAGCCGACTGGCGAGTCTCCCCAAGAACCATCCAAGACCCAGCCCGCCCCTCCCCCTCCCGAGGCCACGACCTCGACCTCTACTACCACGGAGCCGACGGCGCCCATCTTCACCGGCGCCGCGGCCCTCAAGAGCGTCGAGTCCACTTTCGCGGGGGTGATGGCTCTGGGTGCCATTATGATTATGATGTAGGATGGGTATCACTTACCTGGAAGTGAAACAAGAAGAGTGAGATGAGGTGAGATGAGATGGCTTAATGAAATGTTAATGTTTGATATTCATAGGTAATGAATGATTTATTGAGTGATGTGATGTGATGTTGATAATGGATCTATCTAGCTAGTCTTAGTTGGTCTTAGTCTGAGTATGTAGTCAATTGAATAAATTGAATGAATTGGATTGGATAACCTCTCGCAGGAATGTCCCAGATACTGGTCAAGATATCTCCGAGCAGCCGTCGACCTATCTGTAAGGGCGGGCTTGAGGAATGGGGAACCAAATGATATCATCGACACAATAACAGCGAGAAGTAGACCTGCAAGGAGTTAGAGATAAGCAAGGGGGCTTGTACAGGTATCTCCGATCGATCGAGAAGCAAGCGGTGTGGCGTTCTTAAATAGGGGATGGGATAGGGATAGGGATAGGGATAGGAGGGAAAACTCCCTTCTTCTCTACACCTCACCTCGCCTCACAACCCTCGATCGTGGACAATATCTCGTCCAACACACCTACCATGCTATTCTCCGCTTTGGAAATCATTCCCGTCCGGGTTGACTTCTCCGGCGTGTTTGTGCTCCTGTTCAGCTCGCTCTTGCTGGCGGTTACTTGCAGGACACGATACGCGTCGAGCATACCTCTAGTGAACGGCAAGAGACGATGGGAGATAACCTCGTTTAAAGCGCGGATGCGATTTGTCGCAGATGCCTCGAATATTATTAAGGCGGGGTTTGCGAAGGTATGTCCTATCTATCTATTTATTTATCCTTTGGGATAGTAGCTATCCATTGTCGGTGTTTCGTTGGAAATGGTCTGGTTGATAGTGTGGACAGTCGCCTAAGGCCTTCTATGCGGTCACAGATATGGGGACAGATCTGGTGCTCTCTCCTGATTATATCGGCGAGGTTCGAAATGACAGGAGGCTAGACGCGCATGAATATTCAGCGGAGGTAGGAGTGTGTCCTCTCGACTTAGTTGGATACTTGCTGGTAACATGACTAACGCGCATCGGGCAGAAATTCCATCGACAAATACCTGGATTCGAAGCCTTTGCTACTGAGTGGCTGCCGCCTAAGAAAAGCTTGGAATCATTCCTGTATGGCAAGCTTACGCCGGCGATTGGTAAGTGTACTCGGTTCTCACGGGTAGGGGAAGGGGGGCGCGATGATATGCCTCTGGGTATGATGTCAGAGCTAATGCAGAAATTGTATGGTGCAGGAAAATGCACAGGAATCCTCTCCTCGCACGCCGACACTCTCCTCCAACGTCTCTGGACCGACAACAAAGGTGAGGTAACGAACCAGCTCCCATCCTCTCACCTGTGTCACACAACCCTGCTAAGCATGACATATAGACTGGCACGAAATCCCACTTAAAGACACCATCCTCGAGCTAAACACCTGCATGGGCAGCCGGATCTTCCTCGGAGAAGACCTCTGCCAGAATCCTGCCTGGACTGAACTCGTCAAACGCAATGCCGTGAACGCATTCATCGCCGCCGATAAGCTCAACAGCTGGCCTAAGGCCCTTCGCCCATTCGTTCACTGGTTCCTGCCCTCCTGTCGCGTCCTGCGCGGCGATGTCCGAGAAGCAAGACAGTTTATCACCCCGGCGGTGCAGCAGCGTCGGGATAAGCAGGCAGCTCGACAGGCGCAAGGGAAGGCGCCGGATGAGTATTTCGACACGATCCAATGGATGGAGGAGGTGGCTGATGGACAGGATTATGATCCGGCGTTAGTTCAGCTGGCGCTTTCGATGGGGTCGACGCATACCATGACGGATCTGATGACGCAGGTGATGTTGAATCTGACGAAATACCCGGATCTTGTTGAACAGCTGAGGAGAGAGATTATCGCCGTGAAGACTGAGGAGGAATGGGGAAGACCCGCGCTTCGCAAGCTCATGCTCATGGATAGCGTGGTCAAGGAAACGCAGCGTCTCAAGCCGATTAGTAGAGGTGAGCTACACACCTACCATCTATCCATATCGCGGAATTGACGAAACTCGCAAAAATAGCGACAATGCGCCGTAAAGCCGGCGCCACCGTCCGTTTATCAGACGGACTCGAGATCCCCAAAAACACTACCTTCATCCTCTCCACCGAACACATGCTTAGCAACGCGGTATACCCACACGCAGACCAATTCGACGGATATCGCTTCTACAAACTCCGACAGGAGCCCAGGCAGGAGAATGCTCACCAACTCGTCGCGACGAGTAACGAGCATGTCGGGTTCGGACATGGATGCTACGCGTGTCCGGGTCGGTTCTTCGCCGACTCGGTCATGAAGGTCATGTTGTGTCATATTCTGCTTAAGTATGATTTCCGTTTGGCTGATGGGTCGAGTGCGGATTCGTTGGACTATGGTACGGCGTTGGTGTCGAATCCGATGGCGAAGTTGGTGATTAGGAGGCGTGAGGAGGAGATAGCATTATGATCGAAGAAAGGGTATAACTTAATGATCTAGATAGATTGCAATCCAACTATAGGAAATTGAGTTTCGACATGACAGGATTATAATCGGTTCTCACGCCGCAGGGGAGGCTATCATATGCTGTGAAATGCTGGGCAGTTTGCACTCCAGGCACCCATTTCACTCACAGTAATCTGTGACAGGCAATCTACATCTTCATCTGGAAAATATTACGAGTCAATTGTCTCTGTAGAGATTGAGGTCTCGTAAAACGATAGAATTTATCTGATAGATGTTAATGCCTGAGGCCGGAACTGCCAAGCCTCCTGGCTCTGGAAGACGGTTTCGTCAGCGACAAGACAATCTCCAGTGATCATCTGGATTATTCACAATCACTCTCCTTAAATCAACCGGCATACAGTATGGTTTGATGAAGTTATTACTATTCTAAGTTGAGCAGAAAAAAGAGTGTGGCCAGACTTTTGACCTATAGGTGTAGTTTTATTCGTTTTCGAATCTCTCATCTCTGTCGGCGCACAAGCAAGCAGAGAGCGAAAAATCCGTATAGATGGCCCCAGAACTTGGATAGTGACCGTGTTGCGGTACCATTCGAGCTTCAGGTTTCCTACATAAAAACCAATTTACCTTACTCTAGACCTCATTTTCTCCATATTAAGAATCAGACACAAACATCTACCAAGCTCTATTCTAGCATACACCCCTAAAAGAGATCCTCTCACTGGACCGGAAACCATTCTTTGGCCCTCAAGCCCATAACTAATCCGAGATAGGAATAGCGCAGTCTATCCCCGGCTTGGGTAATATCAGTTGCCGACATGACTTCTATCAAACAATCCGAACTGGCAATCGTAAGGAATACGAAATAAACTTTGCAACTTCTTGAGGTCGGGTTCCGCCAGTATCTTTACGAAGGAAGCATACATCAAAGCAACATGCTGATGTGGAAATAGTTCACCTGGGAAAATCAAACCGAGTTCAAACCAGCCACATTCAATAGCCGACTATTATCAGGTTAGACCAGACCAAACTAAATCATACCACATGCAATGTAAATCTGCAATACTTGCGAGGATACAGTTCACCTCGAACCCAGAAGAGGTACTTTCTCCGCGCTTCACCCCGGAACAAACGTGCAGATCCTAGACGGCTATTGAGTCTTGACCCACCGCGGCTTTCGAGGAGGTATCGGTTACGGAGATTTAGTCCGTCTGGAGAGGTGATGCTGTGGTTGTCGGGGTTTGAATGGCGGGTATTGATCTCGATGTAGATCTACATCATGGTCCTAGCTAAGTATACAAATAAGACCTGTGTGTTTGAAGGATAAATATACCACTTTTCAACGACCTTTTTCTCTATTCTCGTCCACTTCCCCCCCTCTCTCTTCTCCCCTCTTGCGATAGGTATCCTTGAAAACAACCAAAATGCCCAAACAAAAAGTCCTCCACCTCGGCGCCCCCATCAAATACAACCCAGACGTATACGCCCGTTTCAGCAGCACATTCGAGATCATCCAGCCCTCCGCATCCGAGCTATCTCGAGAGGCATTCAAGCGCGCCTTGCAAGAGCGCCGATGGGGTGACTTCCATGCCGTGTTCCGTCCGTTCTGGAATACCGGCGGCGAGATGGGGAATTGGGATCAGGAGTTGATTGATCTTCTTCCTGGCAGTGTGAAGGTTATGGCGAGTGCGGGGGCTGGGTATGATTGGGTTGATGTGAAGGGGTTGGCGAAAAGGAGTGAGTTTTCCTGGTTTTTCTTTCTTCTTCTTGGTTCTTCGGCTGTGGTAAGGGGAAGGAGGTGAGGAGGGAAGGGTTGGAGAGAAGATCGTTGGGATGAGGGGGAGGGAGAGTTAGGGCTAGACTAGTCATGCTCTTCAACTCTCTCTATACCTCTCCATCTATACCTACTTCTCCCCTCATCTTTCTCCATCCTTACCTTCACTCTACCGCTCCCATAACCATGACCCTTTACCTATTCTCTCCTATCATTCAACTCCCAGCCAGATATACGCTTACACTCAATCCTTCGCTCTATCATTACCGTCACTATACTCCTCTATCGCTTCCCTCCCCACCACATCCCTCAACAACACCACTAACATGAACAACCCCAAAGGAATAACATACTGCAACGGCGCCTCCGCATCCTCCGACTCCGTCTCCGACATGGCCCTAATCCTCATCCTCTCTACATTCCGCAACCTCCGGTGGTCCCATTCCGCCGCACACTCCCTCTCCCCCATCGCCTTCAACGACGCCCACAAAAGCTCTCCCCTGCAATCATTCAACCCACGGTCTCGCTCCCTGGGCATAATCGGCCTCGGCGCGATCGGGTACAGCATCGCCCAAAAAGCCCACGCGGCGTTCGGGATGACCATCCTCTACCACGATATCGTTCGCAAGTCCGCCTCGCTCGAAGAGAGCATCCACGCGCGCTACTTTGACAAGCTAGATGAGATGCTGGGGGTAGCGGATTGCGTGATCGTAGCGACGCCGTTTGCGGGGGAGACGTTGCTCACAGGGGAGCGGTTCTCTGCGTTTAAGCGCGGAGGACGGTTTGTGAATATTGCGCGCGGGTCGTTGGTCGATGAGGATGCTTTAGTGGCCGCGCTGGAGAGTGGACAGCTCAGTGCGGCGGGGTTGGATGTGCATGCGAATGAACCGTATGTGCATCCGAGGTTGGCGGGGAATTCGCGCGTGTTCATGGTCAGTCATAATGCGGGGGGCACGGTGGATACGCATGTGGGCTTTGAGAGGTTGGCGATGGAGAATATTGAGGCGTTTTTTAGGACGGGGAAGGCGTTGACGCCTGTGAATGCGCATTTGGTGGAGGAGCATGCGAGGGGGCAGGTGAGGAGTGTTTTGTAGTGGTATCTGGTTGGAAGAGAGGAAAGTAAAGTAGTAAAAGAAAGTAGGAATTTCATAACTATCATCAGGAATAGAAAGCTAATAAGTATAAGTATAAGTGTAAGTATAAGCAAAATGAACTCTCAGTATCGTTATCAGTGACATCCGCCTGCGACATCTACTGCTCCATACCTCTACTCTACCGTCTACCCTACCAAGAGAAGGTCTCCTCGTAGAGATCCATCGTCTGACTCCCCTGTTTCTCGCGCACTGTCTTCCGTACGTCGTCGCCCATGGCTCCCGGCCCGCAGACACTGACCGCCATGGCACCCACTTGCGTTGCTTTCTCACTCTCCAGGATGTGATCAAAGCACGGCTTGCCGAAGTTCAGGCTGATGGGGACGGTGGGCGGCACCGTATTCGACCAGGGGCTCTCGTCTGTCTTGAAGTCTTCCGTGCTGGTTTCCTTCAGCGTGACGTATATGTGGACCGAGAGGGAAAACTCGGGCATCGGAAAGTAGGAATGTTGTTTCTGCTCGTTGGGGACTTGAATAGCCGGGTGGTTGAGGAGGGTTGTCATCCACGGTTGGATCCATGTTAGATGATCTAAGACTGTCAGTAATCATATCGTGTCGATCATATGTTCAGACATACCTAGACTGCGAACCACCCAGACCAGACTCACTTTCCGAACGGCTGTTGACCGCGCTGCGAATCCGCTGACAAACTCCTGCATGTAACTCATAGGATGTGTGATCCCGATCCCGCCGGCGATCAAGACCACAGTCCCGTACGAGCTGAGCGAGTGCAGCCCACCTACAGAGTCAGTAATGCTTCAGTCTCTTAATTAATGCAAGTAGCATACCGAAAGGCCCCTCGGCAAGCGCTCGTGCCGTGAACTTCTCGTCCGGAGACTTGTTCACCTTCTCGACAAGCTTATGCGTAAACCCATCCCGTCGCTTGATCAAAAACGACATGACAGCCTGCTGAGGCTCTCCCAACAACGCATTCAAGGAATCGCCCGAGCCACGTTTCTGCAACATACCAGGCGGCTGGGACAGTTTCCACGCTACCGAGAAGGGATGCGAGGTCCACAGTCCCAGCGACGGAATGTATAGGTACATGTACTGACCAGCCTTGAATTGCCACGACCGCGCCATCGTCACGTCCACGCGGGCTACGTCTCCAGGAAGCAGCTCCACCGTGGCTCTCGTCATCTTCCGGCCAAAGTTGCGCCAGAGAATCAGGCCCAGTCGTCCGGCCCTCTGCATCCGAGTCAGTGACAATTCGCCTCTCTCGGTTTAAACACTCACATCTAATCCCCATAAGACCAGGGTCGCCAACAAAACCCATTGTTGAGCAAGACCCTGGAGATGGTACCACAGCCCCACGAAAGCCATGATTGCCAGCACAATATGTAGGTGTAAGAAAGCCTCGTAGAAGGCATGTCGGACGGGTGAAGGGGACTGGATGAGGATTGCGACGAATGCGATGAGCGCCTGCAAGTCAGTTAGCGCTGGCACGTGTGCCGACAGCGAAAATACTTACAACCAACCCGGCGACAAAGAATGGAGTGTGCCAGATGATGTAGGTAATTTTGGACATTCCTTCTGCTTCACTTAGTATTGTCCAAGTCTCAGCACTCGAGAACATCTCCCACTCACCCTCTTGCGCCTTGCCGACCACCACACAGATCACATGCAGGATCCCGCCTGCAACCATGAGCCGTCCGATCCACCGATGCATGAGGTTGAACGTGTCGAAAGGAAGTCCCAACAGCCAAATCAACGGGTTGTTTCGCCCGGCCGTCAGAACCAGCGCCGGCGAGTTCATCACGGCCAAGTGGCCGCCCGCGTACTTCAGCTGGTACATCATCTCGTCGTACTTGGCCCACCAGTCAATCAAGGCGAAGAAGAAGATCAGGTTCAGTGCGATATAGCCCAGCAATAGCAATGTCTCCAATCTTAGCGGGACCACGCCCATGTGAAAGGTATCCAGCACGCGAAACTCGCGGCTGTGACGGGTGGTAAATAGTGGCGCATAGAGGATATGTTTCTTGACGAAGGCAGATAATCGAGAGGAACGGACGAATCGTGACTGGTCCTTCTTTTCGAGAGCCTCCTGCCGGCGTCGCCTATGCCGTAGTCGAATGATGGAACGGCCTATGAACAGGGCAAAAAACACGCCGCCCAGCACGTATAACGGTGTCGCCAAAGCCGGGTTCATCGGCGGGTGGTGTTTGGGATTGCGGTGCGCCCCCGGCTTTAGCAGCTCTACGCCCATGATCTCAAGCCTTTGGGACCAGTTTCGGTGGGATCCTCAAGTAAAGGAGAAAAAGGAGACACGTAAAAGGAGCTAGAAGCCACACACATCCGCTTCAACTTGGCGGTGTTGTCCGAGCCACTGGGAAGAGTTCGGAGAGGTTGGCGACACGCATCTAAGAGAAGGAAGAGAATAAGAGGCGCAACCTGTCAAACATTCGAAAATAATATAGGAAATCCCACTTGGTAATGACGTGCCCCATACAGTTTTATTATATATTCTAGGGATGCGTCATCCACTCCCTGACAGTCCCGAGCTTGTGAACAGCTTGCCCCAGGCGAGGACTGGGGCGAACTGCTTGCCAAGTTTTTTTTCTTCTCATGTTTATTCCATACAAGTGGAAGGCCACGGCAACCGGGCGCATGCGATGGAGGAGAATGTGGGGAAATGATGTGTTGGAATGTGAGGGATGCAGTCATGGACTTGTCTCGATCCCGGTGGGTGTTATCTCGACGCGGCTAGGGAAATCAGCAAGATTCGTATACGTTGTGGCAGGGTGCCCGAGTTCTGACGATCCTCTGTGAGCATAGAGCGGTAGACCTGAGTGGATGTGGTTGAAACGTCGCCTAGGACTGAACGCGATGAAACAGCAGCGCCGGAAACGGAAAAAGGGGAGCAAAAAACCATCCGCCAAACCCGAAGCATCCACCGTTGTCGCGTGGGATCTAATGCGTCATTAGAGACATCGAACTAGTTTCTCTCTCTCAGTTGAATTCGAAATGGATCATAACTCTCAAGTCAGACAGTAGCTCGCCATCACAGGGTGTCAATCCTATCCGACCCCGTATACATCCCTTGATTCGGCATTCCTGTGTCCGGCTCGAAGATCGTCCAGGTGAAAGACCACATGAGCCTCTGTCTCGATTGAAAAATCAAGTTAATGGGCTTAGTGTGCACTGGTGACTATGTGAGTCGCTAGATAATTCGTAGGAATTCATCATGGGACGGACGTCATCACCTCGATGAACAATGGATTGCGCAAGTCGCCTTAACACGCCTCTCGTCCATACAACATCGCAAAGACAAAACAAGGTTAAAGATATTGTTGCATCCCAGGGCCAACCGGTGATGCAGGGGCATATCAGACTGCCAAGAGCCCATTGCAACGTTACGGTGTCTGATCGAAGGTCAAGGTTTTCCTCGGGGAGAAGCAGACCGAAGGGCAGTTACTGGCTTCAGCCGGTGGAGAAACGAGAACTGGCCGTTCCGGCCTGATCCTGAGTCGCCCATGGTCGGGGTCAATCTCAATACTACCGTGCCTTTCTATCGATGGGCTGCCGATGGGAAACCCTCTCACTCAAATTTAAGCTTCATTGCGGACAATGGCCATCTCCACCTAGTTCCCTTTTAACTTTTCTTTCTAGATTTGACATATTAGCCACTCCTGATAGCCGACAAACGGGTCAACTCTAATGGCTTACCCTTGCGATGGCGTGTTTAACTTTCACCGATCTAAAAGTCGGTTGCAAACCTTCCACCAAGTCAGCGTAAACGACCGTATCCGGCCAGGCTCATTCTTCTGTAGAAACCGGCAACTCTTCCCTCAAAAAGGGTTAATCTGATCTCTTTCCGTAACCATGGCTCTGAAACTCGCGTGGGAGAAACCGTCTGTTGCGGCTTTGTGTCCACGCCTTTGAGAAAACGAGGGCCAGAACAAGGGCCTAGAACTTGAGGCCTGGCATTTTAACTGCATGCAGCGCTAGGTCGAGATTCGAAGCAGGCCCACTGCGTGGAGCACGATGGAACAAATAAACAGGACAGGCCTTCCGTAAGGGATTCTAGTCAGGGTCAATCAGGAGTCGTGAGGTCAGTAAGGAAAGAAAAAAATCATCAAGTGGAGCAAGTGAACCAGAGACATAGCAAAGTGGCAGTAATTGTCAACTGTGCATCTTGACATCACATTATTAGTCTATAACAGGTAATTCACCAGACAAGAGATGTTGGATCCTGATCCGACTTGATATTGAGACCTGGAGGGAAGATACATAACAGGCCAATAGCATAACCATAACGCCATTCCGAGGAAATAGTCAATCGCCAATCTCATGTTCCATCGTCCACCGAAACCTGGCTTTTCCAAACAAGCACGGTTTATCCCACATGATGTATAGCAGAATGTAGCTAAATAGATACTAATAACAATTCGTAGTAAAACAGGAAAATAAGTACTTGCCCTTTTTCGGGTCTTTTTCGGGTGACTATGTGTCAATCTTGTCAGGTACTGTGGGGCGCGAGTCAAGGCTTTCGTGCGCAATGTCATCATTGCCCAAAGCAGCCTGTAGATTCTTCGTCGGTGGAAGATCTGCCTTGAAATCTCTCGATCGTTTCGACGATCTCTTCTTCTTGGTTTGCTTCCTCGCCTTGCTCCTTTCTTCCTGTATGCAAGAATAATCGGTGACGTCAACGCCTGCACCATGGCACAGAGAAGTGCATTCGGATTCAATGACCTTGACAAGGTTGGCAGTGAAACCGTAGAAGGCGGGGTTGTAGGCATTACGAGCCCAGTACATCAGCTCGGATGCCACACGGCCCAGGTTCGGAATGGATTGCGTTGGGATTTGCTTGACCGGCTCCTCGTCATCCGCCTCATCGGAAGAAGACAGTGCCTTGGAGACGGGGGACGACGGGGAGGATGAGTCCGAGGAAAATAGATAATCGGTATCAGAGGCAAGAACATGGAGTAGATGATAGACCGCCGCGAAGCCCACCAAGGTCAGCTCCACCGGGTCCAGGGGCAATTTGTTGAACCAGCTCGTGGCCTTCTCGACGGTGAACGACGCGGGGAGTGAGGTGTCGCCTGTAGAGCGTGCAGTGAAAACGGCGGCGATCATAGCGCAGCGAACGGCGATCGTGATTTCCTCACGAACAGATACAGGAAGCGAGGAATCGAGAAACTTGAAGGTTTGGTTGGACTTATTCTTGCCCTTCTCTTTCGGTAGAGCGGAAAGGACCGATCCGATGTTAGCCACGCGATCCTGCTCGAAGAACACGGCCTTCATCACGAGAGCACGGGTATGAGCCGCCGACGGCTGAGGGGCCACGTCCAGAGCGAGTTTGATCTTGGCCTTGAAGATAGTGCGACTCTTCTTCGCGTCAGGTCCGCCAGAGCTCGCCTCGAAATAATTGAGCAGCGCACGTTGCAGGAGGTGACTCGACCACCACGCAGCCAGCGCGTCCAAAGAGGACTGAATGGCGGGGTCTTCTTCCACCACGTCCAGAAGGGCCTCGTCGTCGTCGGTTCCTTCCTGTGTGGGGCGGCTCCAGGTGAGATTGGCGGCTCTTTGAACGACGCTGTCGGTCATGACAACCTCGCAATCAAGCTTCAATAAAGCCGCCAGGTGACTAGGAAGAGCATCGGGGTCATCCTTCGGCAAAGAAGCATTCATTTCTCGAGCGAGATCCCACTGATACCGTGCCAGGCTACGAGCGACCTCGTTGGACGTATTGAAAGTCCACGAACCAGGAACTCCAACACGCCACATCAAAATGCGGCAATGCAAGGCCTTCAGCATCATTCTCATTGGGCTTCTAGGCAGGGTGCCTGCGGCAAAGATTGTAAGAACGAGGCGGCTCTTGCTAATTTCGGCATCACCACCAGCAAGTTGAGCGTCAATGGCAATGTCCCAGGTTTTCACTCGGCCTCTCTCATCGTCCTCAGTAACGCCCGTGGCCCAGGAGTACAACTGCCATCCCATAAAACACCGAAGAACATATTCGAAGCACCGCGAAGTGACCACGTACCACTCATGGAAGAACGTGTGGCGCGGCACGCCGACTTGCTGGATGCTCGTGAGCCAGGCTTGGCGTCGGTAGTCGCTCGAGGACATGGTGGCGTCGGACTTGGGAGCCGTCTTCGGCGTGAGATTCTGTCGGCTTTGGCCCGAGTTGAAGAGATAAACGAATACCACAAATGCACTTCCGACGACCAGCGTGGCAAGAACAAGGAAATGAGAGACGGCCCGAGCATGCCAAGAGTACCAAAAGCTCCGAAGAGGGTCTGCCCAGGGGGCATTGGAGGGCAACTGAAGATGTTTGAGCAGATTGATGGGGACGGCCAGAAGGCCTTTGGCGGAAGATTCCGTGTCCTTCTCGCTATTCAGGCCCTCCACAATCATCAGACCGGCAAGAGCTCCGAGCATGTATTTATTAGGATAATGAGACCGTTTACGTCCTCCAACAGACGCCGAATTACCGTTGTTGTTGCTAGGGTACTGGATGTACGACTGCGACCATGCATCGTCTTTTGGCGGCGCGGCACGCATGCGTTTGAAGGCATCGGGAACCTTCATAAGACCTTCGGAAGGATAGCTGGAGCTCGGAGAGTGATCGCTAGGAGAGTCTTCCACATGTGAAAACACGCTGGGAGAAGAACTGGCGCCAGACTCCGTTGATACGGTATAGTTACTCGGCGATGAAACGGATGCTGCCGAAGTCAGGGTCTGATCGACCGCCTTATCAGCCTGGCGCAGGCGGTTCTTCAACGCAGTGTTCTCGTCCTCCAGGCGCTTGTTTCGGATCTCCAGGTGTCGGATATACTCTGTCGCTTTAGACAAGATGGATGCCTTGTTCAGTTTGCTGGCGGGGGTCACGCCCTCAGCATCGTCGTCCTCGACCAGATTACCGTTTGCGTTCTTCGAGCCCCTCAGGCTCGGAACACTGTCTCGGAGTTCAGCGATCTTCTCGTTCAAGTTGGCGCGATACCTCTTCTCGATCACATTGTGTGCTCGTTTCTTAGCCGGCATTTTCTTGCCATTCGGAAGAACAGCGCCGCTAACCGTCGAACCGTCGTCATCGCTACCTGACTTGCGCTTGCGGTTGATGGCGCGTTCAAGCGACATGGGGGAATTGGAAGTCGTCGAGTTTGCAGACAGGAAATCTGCCCCGCCAATCGACGATCGGGCCTGCGGGAGCCCCTCTCCAGAATCCTGGCCCATGAAGGAATCGAAGGGGAAGTTGCCGCAGTCCAGCGACACGTCGGGAGAGAAGTCGCTCTTGGGGAACATGTCGACGCTTTGCTGTCCAACCGATGCATTGGGCGAGGTGAAAGGAAAGTCAAGAGGCGACTGGGATAGCTCCTTGGCAGATTCGGTGAAGGCGTTATCGTCCCATCTCATCCACTGCGTCCAGTCCTGACTCGAGTCGTCCGAGCCGGATTTGGGAAAGGACATGGATTCTGAACGAGACTCACGTCTGTCGGGGGAGAAAAGCTGGAAATCACTACCCATGTTGGGCATAGCCATGGTGTCCAGCGGCCTGGGTATGGACCATCAAGGCACACTGGCCAGGAGAAGGGAAGGCAAGATGATGTCGCAGCGAATTCCCGCACGAGTGTGATGGTTGGCGGGATTTGAGAAATTTTGCCGTTCTAGACAGGACAGAAGGTCAACGATGATAATAACCAAACATACAGGACCACTCTGGATTGATGATGCAGATGAAGTCACGTCTCAGCGTACCTGGCGAGATGAGAAAGGAAGAAAGTCGAAGACCGGGCTAGGTGGGCTTGGTTGTAAGGTGACTGATGATCAACCAGAACCGAGTGCGCTAAGGAGGCTAAAAGTCGAACTGTGGAGTAAGGTTTAGGCGTCTACCCGTCTCCTTAGGAAAGGAAAATGCTGCTCTATTTTTCGCGTGGCAAATTCCAAGATGGCAAAAGAACGAAAAGGAGATGAATGATTGACCGGCGTGGGAGGAGAGCTGAAGGAATTGTCAGGGATAATTCCGGGCATGGTCTTCAAAGGCTGCAAGGGGCAGCAGAGGGGGAAAAGATTACCTGATTGCTAAGATCTTATCAGAACTTGTTGGGCGGTTGGGTCAAACGAGCGCCGTGGTTCAGTCTGTTCACATGGAACGGGAAGAACCCACAGTTAATTCCGCACCTTCCGCCTGGGAATATTTTGGGAATGAAGAGGAATAGTGAGGGTCACAACAGAAAAGACAGCAGAGAGATAACAGGGGCAAGGGACGTGTGCAAATGTGCAAGTGTGGATGAAGGAGGGAGGGGGGTGGGATGATTGGAGTTTGGGGGGGGAAGGAAGATGCATGGCAGGCAGTCGATGGCTGCAACGGACGTCGTTCCAGAGGCAGAATGGAAGGGAGCCTCGGGCATCTCTCGGCGGCAGAACGTCGTATGATCGCGGGTCTCGATTTCCGGCAAGCCGACTGGCCTGGAGCTGCCTGGTATTGTCACGACGGTGACGATGGATGGGGCGGATTTGGGTGGATTTAGGCAGAAGTTGACGCCTGGTATGGTCATTCAGGGTAAGATACACTCCGCCTACAGAAACCAATCAAAGTGGAGACTGCTGCCAGATCCCGTGACATCACGGGGCGACAGACAAACAAGACAAACTTGGCAACTCTCGAGCTGGAGGTCTTCTACTGTGCTTCTACCCTTCACAATCCAGATGGAACGGCATTGCGGAATACGGATATTACTCGGGACTATCATTGATACTCTCAAATACACCCATTTGACTCATTAGTATTCATAAATGCATATATGAATGACTCGCCGGCTGCTCTGGTGCTGCATGCAACTTCAAATATATACAACGTAACCCTGAGTGATGCAAAGGCCATGAATGTGCGTGGCCTTGGACTTCGAACAGTGTCCTTTTCACCACTGCCTTCTTGGTGATGCTTTCATTGAGAGCATTCGCCGACACCACAGACTAACTCCGTACGGTGACATTTAATCTCCTCTCCACGTCATCGACTCCATTTTCCGACGTAACCTGCAGAGGTGGAGTGTGCAATGAACACGCGGATCATTTCTCCCAACCGCTCTTAAGACCCCAGACATCCAGACTAACGCTAGTGTCTTCACCAAGACCCTCCGCAGAAACTGTCAACGTATCCAGAGGGGCGGTAGGGAAGAATGTCATAGTTCCTCCCTGGACCCCCTGCTCGAGAAAGACCTCGAAGACCGACCGATCAATCACCCCACCAAAGCTGAACGATCCGCCATCCAAGGACGAGACGGTGGTGTTGAAAATGGATGTGAAGTCGGCATTGTCCGCGCTGGTGAACCCATGAGTACCCGCTCGATTGATCCAGAAGCGACCGGTGTCGAGAACCACTCCGCCATCGAGATACTCGCCCGACGCGGACGAGGTGAAGTTGAAGTTTACCTTCCCAGCCGGGTCGGTCGCCACGATACCGTCGATAGTCACGTTGAATGAGATCGCGTTGGACGACACGTCGGTGAACTTCACGCTTGCCTCGTCATTCCCGAAACTCTCTTCAGCGAGTCGCCCCCCTCTTACGGGCGAGAGATCTTCGAAAGGAGCCTGAGTGACGGTCCACCTTCCATCGAGATTGATAAGGGTATGCACTCGTGGCAAGCCAGTGGAGCTTCTCCATCCCTCAAGCGGGCCAGTGGGGACCTTGTCGGTGTAGTCCCAATTGCTGGCCCAGATGATCGAGACGGGAGATGTTGCTGAAAGACCAGAGTACCACTGCGCGGCGTAATTGTCTTTGGCGAAATCATACAGAGTTTCGTGCTCATCTTCGGTCGTGAAGTGCGTTCCGTTGAAATCACCGACCAGATAGTAAGTGCCCGATCCGCCAAGCGGGGCTCCGGGATTGACCGAGATAAACAGCACGTGTTTGCTATCTTCGCCCGACGTCTGGTCCACGGAAAATTTGACCAGGTTTGGACATTCAAATTGCGTTCCCGGCAGGCCGGGCTGTGTGAAGTTCGAGGCATGAGCCCAGTCCCGGAGATTGGGCGACGTGTAAAAGCCAATGACCAGGTCCTCGGCGTATGCGATGGCCATGACCCAGTTCTGGGTTTCGGCATGCCAAGTCACCTGAGGGTCGCGGAATTGTTTCGATGTGCTGTTGATAACCGGATTACGCTGATATTTGGTGAACCTGTAGCCGCCATCCGTGGAATACGCAATGTGTTGTGTCTCGGAGTCCTGTGTATCCACGGTGTAGATGGCGACCACGCCATCGGTTTGATTCGGAAAAAACCCGGACGTGTTTTCGCTGTCTACCACTGCTGACCCTGAGAAGATACCCTCGTCGGGGCTGCTAGGAGATATAGCGATGGGTTGGTTTGTCCAGTGGTACAAATCTTGGCTGGTCGCATGGCCCCAGTGCTGATTACCCGCCACCGGCTCGAAAGGGTTGTCTGGTTTTGTCAGATACCGACTTTATTACATGTCGAGGAACAGAACTCACATTGATAGTACAGGTGATATGTCCCCCGTTGACTGTCAAAGAAAAGACCATTTGGATCGTTCATGAAATTGCTAGGAGGAGAGAAATGGACCTGAGGCCGAAGACTTCCAGAGTAATCGGCTGCCCGCGCAATCCCCAGCAGGGAAGACAAAACCAACGACTGGAAGAACATTTTGCAAATCTGTTTTTGGATGCTCAACTCAACTCTGTGCACCCCCTCCGGGGAGGTGCTATTTATGTGCCATCCCTTCACATCCCGGAATGAACCTTGTACCACGGAGGGGCTTGGTCAGACCGAAAGCCTGCTACGTTATTGGCAACAGGACGAATGGAGCAAGCCCAGAATCAAATGTGGATGTCGGTCCGACCTACGATTTAGACGAAAAGACTCTTTTGCTCGTACGTCCTAGTTGTTTGTCCTAGGGCGGGGTTGAAGATACCCACTATCTCACCATGATGCCATTCGCAGAACCATGATCTTGCGAGATGGTCTGTTTTTAATGGCACGACATATCGGAAACCCATACTGCTTCCTCATGATTTGTGCTACCTGAAGCTACCTGAAGCAATCTGAAGCCATGTGAGAGAAATCACCATAGACCTCGAGACATCGCGACTCTGCAACATGATGTGAATCGCGTGGGGGATGTGCTCGCTTGGCACCGAAGTCCGGAGGAGAGCTCGGGGTTTTGTCGGTGTATCCGCAAACCCGGCTACCCCACGACCTCTCATCGGCTACTCCAGAGGGGTTTCGGAGGATTTACTTTCTACAGACCTGCCCAGAGGGGCATAAAGCTCAACTAACATGAGATAGCATGGAATTAGTGCTATGAAGTGTCCAGAAGAACCACACGAGTGACATCATCGGTCCTCCGCCTACTCAGTTCTAGGCTGCTACAGCTAGCACACCGACACAAACATCATGCAATGTATTAAATGCCTCATCGCAGTCCGAGGAATCTCCTGTCGACCGAATGGCCCACTTAAAGATCAATCTGCAAGGAAAGGGTGGACTTCATGACCGAGTTACCGTAGAAGAACTCCGTTCTAAAAAGTCGTTAGCAGCTAGCACAGCCCCATGTGCACAGACGAAAACATACCCGGCATTTCCAACATTGACATAAGTGGAGGTAGTGAATCGGTTCAGCTTCGACAGCGCAAGCAGCCAATCCTTGAGGTCACCCGTGAACTCGCCCTCGAACTGCTTCTCCGGCATCAAAGTGCTAACGGTGATGCCAGTGTCCTCGTTGACATCCTCGTACAGCTTCCAGGAAGTACCGAAAAGGTCGTCGATGGTGGCAACGGCTCCGTTGGCCCAGCCGATGGGGAGCTGGCCGCCCTCGTACTGGAGCCAGAGCATGAGCTCGCGAGAGGAAGAGGAGGTGGAGTCGCCTTTCTTGTCGTTGGTCATGAAGTCGAAGCACACATTTCCTATTCTGGTCAGTTTTCTATCTGTTGATCTGAAAAGTAGGGAACATACCCTTGTACGCAGTAGTGTTGGTCTTCGTCCAGCTGTACGACGCAGGGATCGAGTTGATCGCTGACAGCTTGGTCTCGAGGTTCTGAGTGAGCCCGACAAACGAGTATCCCTTGGGGACATTGTCCCTGCGCGAGTCAACACACTATCGCATTCTTCAATCACAGCACTGTGTCAAACTCACGTGGCCTTCACATAGTCGATATCCGTCTTGCTGTTCCAGTGCACCTGCTGAGTGCCACTGCTCGACGTGCTGGTGCTGTCATACCCGGTGCACTGGGTACCGACCATCTGGTCCTTGTTGTAGAGCATGTTATACACAATCCACGGAGTTCCCATCAGGATCTTATAATCCTGCACACCGCACAGGTTGACCGAGTCCGCCCGAGAAGTCAACTCGGTTGGCAGACCGCAGACCGAAGTCGCGAGAGAAAGCGCCGCCAGGGCAACCGCATCGCGAAGGAAAACCATTTTCACAGAAAGGCAGGGAAAAAAAAAAAAGAATGTACGGTATCAAACCTAAAGATCAAAAATCAAAAGAGTGACTGGATCGACACCAAAAAGAAGGAACGAAAGATTATCGATAAAACAAGCTCAGAAGTTCAGAACTCAACAGCGAACACCCGGTTTCTTAAATTTTAAGACACGGGTTAATCTCGATGCAGCTCCATCTTGCTGAAACGAAGTGAAACGGCGAATAGAAACGCAACTTGGAGTGCAATATGATGGATATTAAGGAGTCGTGGGACTTGCTTGAAACATGCCTTATCGCGCTAATTGGCTTTAATGAGTGGATCGAGATTGGGATTGGATGATCCACTTGAATCCACTGCATTTCCGATGGCGACACCGAAGATCTCCTGATAAGGGGGATTGACATCCTTATATAGACATTGTTTGGATCGGTTGATATTGGTATTGTTTGGATGTTGCTGCTTTGATTGGGGATCTCTGGCTGACCTCCGACAAGATTACACGAGGAACATGAAGCAAAAGAAGAGCCAAGACATAGGAAACTTGGAAGATAGGGGGTCATATTGAATCAGATTGAATTACTCCACTGTTCTTAATATCCTACAACCGATCTCGGACCTGATATTCGGTCCATGCGACTCTGAGATCATCGCTCGCCGACTTCCACAAGAATCCTCTGTATGAGCGGTGCCACGAACGTCATCATAAAAAGCAACAAGAGCACTGCCTCTCGTGTCAGACAGCCACGCCAAGCACACGCTTTACGAAGATGCCAATCAGCATCGCCGTCAAACACAAGCTCAGCCTGAGAGCAAGGCTGCCAACGACTTTAAAAAAAAATCGATTTGCTTCACCTGGAACCAAACCAAAGATGCTGAGATATACTATTAATCCGACGAGAGATGTCTGACTCGAGCGCCACAGACCTCGCAGCCACCATCATCGCAGCGGCCGCTCTTTCCATATCGTCAATCGCCCTATTGATCGCCATCGGTCAAATTACTCAACAGTATATCTCCACAGCAGAAGGCTACCGGCGATGTCAATCCCCCGTAATGGGCGCGTGGGCCCAAGGGACCAGAAAGCGCTTCATCCCGCGAGAAGTGCGATTTCAAACCGTCTACCAGAGTCCGCATCTCTCGTTGGAATCACCGACCGGACTGCCTGAGGGGAAGTATTTCGTCGGTAGCGACAAGCTGCCAAACCAGCAACGATATCTTGAATATCGAAAATCTCATAAATGGCGATTTCTGCTCGATCGGAGACATGACAGCTCTCCTCCTAGCCTAAGGGCGTCGTGGCTGGGGCTTTTGGAACAGTTAAGGGTATACCAAGGTGCTGTTTATGGGAGTCTGGCGTCACAGAAACTCGGGCTAGGAAACGAGAAGAAGGGGACGGCAGATGTTGAGGCGAGGATATGGGACCTGAGTTCCTCCAACCTGAACGCATGGTTCACAGCACTGAAGACTGATTCGCAATCCGAGTGGATGACACTTCCAGCGGTCGAAGTGACCGAGTTCGCATGGGACTTCATGCCGTAAGTCCCCGTCAGCCTCATGTATAATCTCCATTAAACTCAATAGGCCTGAAGCCCTACGCCCCTTCGCCAGCATCTCTCTAGGCGATCTACTCGCTATTGGCCATCGGATCGGCCTAGACTGGACGGCAGTTGACCCTCTACAGGGGATTCTCCAGGCACAGGATGACAACGGCAACATCATCAGCTCCAGTGACATCCGTGGCCTAGGCACTTTGATCACATTCTTCCACGACGAACGGGATCGTGGAAACCAATCTGCCTATACAAACGCATTTATGCCCATTCCCACCACAGCTGCCGACAAACTGGCCTTCGGCATCATCCCCGGCGATCAGCGGCTTGGGTTGAATGACGTCCTGGCTACCACAGACTCAGATTGTCTAGATTACATAGCCTCGCTAGACCCAGAGGCGCGACGAATAATGAACAATAGTTTCAAGACACCCGACCCTCACAAAACCGGCTTCGACCAGCTCATGTCCTTGATCTCGCCGTGTCTTCTCCTGCCTAACTGCCGACTGATCCGCGTGCGACTGCCACATCGCACAGCCGTATATGGCGCCCTCTACGTAATGGAAGCCTATGTAGTATTCCGGGAGCGCGTGAAGGAGATAATAGCCAGCACCAGCATCAGCGCCGCATCCCCAGACCTACAAGACAACGCCAAATGGATCTGGGATCGATGGCAAGAGATCGCCAACGAGATCCACGGCGCCTTCGAGCCAGCCATCATAGTCGAAAAAGCCGATCCCGTCATCCTCGCCGCTACGATGTCTCGAGTCCACAACCAATGTACTGCGCGACTAGAGGTCTGGACCAAGACATTCCTGCAGGATATCGACGACGTCTTGGAACAAGTCGAATCGAACTACCGCCCTTCTCCGGACCGTCAACCAGTCCGGGAACTTGTGCGCGTGCACATGCTCCAAGCCAACAAGATCTGGGGTTCAGCGACCGATCATATCGCCCAGGGAAAGGCGGCGAAAATGTACGGTCTTGAGAAGATGGGCTGGCCGGAGGGGCCGATTTACTGCCAAAGTACCTCACCCATGTCCCATTCACTCAATCTGCCTTCAACACAGACCCCCTTTCACCCAAACCGCCTTTCACCTCGTATGCAAACTGACCCCTTAAAGTGATAAACCATCAACTCGACAACGCTCCCCCCATTGCAAAGGAAGTCGTCCGCCGCGTCATCAGTCCCAGCCGCATTCACCAGATCGAAACCTCCCCTTTGAGACCAAAGATCCAGGACTTTGAAGAGAGCGTGAAAGCAGCCTGGTATATCTTGAACTTTCGTGCGCTTATCTTCAATCGCTCGCATATCTTCCAGAACCCGGCGCGTGCAGGTGGAAGACCGTATAAGTTGATCCCGGCGGAATGGTGTAATAGTAAGATGCCGATTTATATTGGATAGAAAGAAGGTACGACGGAGCTGTGCTGGGGCTCTAGACGGTTCCTAGAAAGAAGGGTATTCACTATGATATATGAATGGTATCTTATTAGAGAATGTCGTGAATCTTTCAGAGAAGAGTCGAATGTGTGACTATAGAAGCCTTTAATTCCTCCTGCCACAGCAAGAAGTCGCTATTCGGCATTATTCTGCGAGCAAAACAGGCTCGAAACACCACTCGAGCAGCACAGGCCATTGATTATGTGGTTACCACGGTGTGATAATAGGCGCCACCGATGCGTGAGGCCTAGGTGTGCATTAACTGCAGAATACTGTAGACATACTCCTCTGACTGTTGTAGGCGGCGGACGAGATGGCGATGTCAACGGGAATGATGTTGACTGTGAGCAATATAGCTAGTTTGAGAGGACATGGATGCATGGTGCGGGTGATCAAAGATGCGAAGAAAGGGAGTGCTGACTAGGATTGTTGCGAGCTAGTATGTTGATAGTTGCCGGATAACTTCAGAAATGTCAAGTCGATCTTCGGGATTGCCAGACGATAACCTTTCGCCAAGGTTCCGGATGATGCGCCCAGCAGGTCCGTTCTCCTCGATAGATGCTAGTTCCACAAGGAGCTTTCCAAATGCCCACCAGTCGTTTTGACATCTCAGTTCAAATGGAAGGTCAAAGGGAGAGGAGTCATTTCGAAACTCGGGTGCCAGGTTTTCGTATGTATAGCCCACTCCAATATCAATAAGAACTGCTTCGGTGGATGCATCGATAACGACATTCCGTGGTGTAATATCCATATGAGCAAGAGATGAATCATATAATCGCAACAATGCGCACGCCAGCTGATGAGGCCAAGCCTTCCAGCTTGTTCCTTTCCCGTCTGTGCGATGAATCGCGTCCTCGAGAGTCCCGGTAGGATGATACTCTAACACCATCCCGTGAATGACGTCGACATTTTCGCTGAAAGACGCAGTTATGAACGGGCTTGGAGATTTCACCACAGCTACTAGCTGAACAACATTCCGATAACCCTGAAGGCGTGTGATATTGCGTAACTCCTGTTGAAAAACTGCCGTATGGCTTGGTTCATAGAAGGGATGTTCCACAGTCTTGTAAATGAACTTTTCATCTCCTCCAGTCCTCGTAATTAGGAAGACATTGCTCGAAATTTGTTCCTTCCAATCAATATCAGAGAGAGACATTGTTGGTAACCCCGAACCGACGTCGTAAACGGGATACCGTACTCGTGAGGCATCCTCTCGGATCGTGTATACCCAACAAGTGTCAATGGGTTCGCTGGACGCAGATTGGTACATTGTCTTCATCGGCAGTCTTGCGGAGCACGACGGATACGACTCCCTCTCGATGACTAGTTCGCTGACCGTATTGGGAAGTAAAGGGAGGGAACGGAAGTCAATAAGGGATACTAGGGCCTCCAGCTTTTTCCTTCACCTAAGGAGACCGCTTCTTTTGGTGATACCCGTCTTCGCTTTGAAAGTCACCTTCACGTGCCATTTCAAACCGTCCGTATGAAAAATATTTCCAGACCGCTCGCATGGCTCGGAATCATCTGTCCGATATCCTTGATCTTCCTTGTAAGTAGTAGGGAGAATCTGGAGCTGCTCAGAGTTAGATGAAACCATGACGGAGGTCTGCCATTGAAATGATGTAGAAAGGAGGGAAGGAATGGTAACATATGGAGTCACTAAGCTTTATCCACGCTAGTCCCAAATCGGCATGAGGCGTCCATTCGGGTCCTCCATCCAACAACATGATAACACCCCTTGCTTTGATAGACACTGAGTGCCTGTTCATAGAGGGGTATTACAGGCAATTTAGTGGATAGACGCCGACAAAACACTGGCGACACCACCTGCTAATTCCAAACCAGATACAGTCACCCCGCCCAGCCTGCTCACCACACTCCGGCTAGTGATATATCCAGTATGATGAGACACTTGCTGATTAGGTAGGGATAGTAGTAGCCTGCTGAATCTGCCTACCGCTAGTGTCATTTCATATCTGTGTTTCCTCTCCTTCCCATCGAACAATATCAGATACCATGGAAATCGATCTATCGACAATAGTGTTTGTCAAGGAGGTCAGGAAATCGGAATTTTCATCTATCTTCCTCACCCGCTGGCGCGGTAAAGAATGCATTATAAAGGTGGTATGTGACTAGAAGGTCCCTCAAAGGTATCATCGTTCACCAGTTTCCCATGCTGACCCAATAGACTGTGAAACCAATATCTCTAAATGCGAGAGCAACACCTACATCCGACTGAAAGCCCACGGTCTGTGTACATATCCCTGATTTCTACGGCTTGATCGAAAACATTACGCCAGAAGTATGGACGCCACATTTGGAGGACTTCATCGCAAACCAACTCCCTCCTAATGCTGTTCTGCTCGAATACATACCAAATTTGCGGGAGATTGGCTTATCAACCTTTACAAAGGTTAGGGTCCACAAGCTTCGCCAGATCCTTGCCGAGATCCATAAGGCTGGAATCTACCATGGGGATCTATTTCCGCGAAATATGATGATCCAACAGGAAACAGAGAGGGATTTCGACCGTGCTCAAACCCTTATATGGGACCAACTTACGCCACGCCAATGCGGATGGATGGAAGAGGAAACTGAAATGATGCACTACGTTGTTGATGGTCTTGTATGAATCACCTCTCTCTATTTGGCTTGATTCTGTGTTAACCTAATAATCACAGACAGCTGATTACGAAGAAGGGGAGATACACTGCACATGGGAGTGGTATTACGAATATGTATAGTCTCTTTAGACCCCTCCTCGTGAGCCTAGATTTAGATGACTGATCGGAGTAGCGGTACTTACCCACACTCTTGAGCATTTAACTGGAGAACCAAGGGGCAACATTCTGACAATCCTGTCAATCTGGAAACATGTGCATATGTAGGGGAACAAAGCCTAATATGAACTCAGTGAGATACCAATGTTAAGCACTGACTTTGAAAACCAAACACTGTCATATATGTATGCATAAACCATGTATTCATATCTATAAATATAATTCCTAAAAGCCACATAGTAGAACTAATCAACAGACTCCCCAAAAAAGAAAACCTACAACCCCTTCTCCAAAACCGCCACACCCCCCATAATCTTCTGCACCCCCTCCTTCGCCGCCCCAGCCGGCTCCTCATACGGCGTCCTCGGCTTCAACTTCTCCTCCGCACCCTCAATCCCGGCCCTCGGCGCCGTAAACACAGCCGTAGCATACTTCGTCGCCGCAATCCCACTCTTACACGGCGATTCCGCCAACGCGGCTTTCCTCTGCAACTCAATCGCCTCATCCTTCTTACCCGCCTCCCACAGCCGGTAAATCTCCGCCGAGACACGAGGGAACACGTTCGCGAACGCAGCAATACAACCCGCCGAGCCGACACTCAACCCAGCGATCAAGAAATCCGACTGCCCACCATAAACGGCGAATTCGTCGCGCGGAAACGTAGCCGCTAACCGGGTGATCTTGCCGACAGACGCACAGGTCAATTTCACGCCGACGACGTTACTCTTCCCATCGGGTCTCTCGGCGGCGCTCTGCCGGACAATATCCGTGATCGTCTCCGAGTCAAGATCCACGCCATTACACACCCCGGGGAAGTTATACACGACGACGGGAAGTGCCGATTTGGCCGCAACGTCTTTAAAGAAGCGTTTGACGACGCCCATCGTCGTCGCTTTGCCGAAGTACGCGGGCGGAAGGACCAATGCGTAATTTGCCCCCGCGGCCGCCGCGTCGTCGATCAGTTCGAGCACTTGCTTGGTGGAGTGCGCGCCCACGCCGGCCATGAGGGGGTAGTTGGGGCCGACGGCCTCGCGGGCGGCGGCGATGCAGGCGCGGCGTTCCTCGCGCGTCAGCAGGAAGGCTTCGGAGTTTGTGCCGAGGATGACGAGGCCGGTGAGGCCGGTCGTGGAGAGGTAGGAGTAGTATTTCTTCTGGGAGGCGAAGTCGATGGTGTCGGTGGAGTGGTCGAAGTAGGTGATTGCGGGGCACCAGACGCCTGGGGCGGGGACGTGGGGGAAGGTGGTTTGGGAGCCCATTTTGAGTGGCTTATTGGGAGGAATGGGAATAGATGGAAGGGCTGCTTGAACAGAGGGAGACTGGGTTGTGTAGGATCGGGAGAAAATGTTGAAAGGAAAGTCGAGGGAGTATACCTCTTATATCTGTCGATGCGGGGGAAGGAAAAGTATCCGCCTCGGGAGGAATTCCCGACACGATCTTATCGATCTCGGCTGCTGTCCCGAGTCTAGTTTATGGGCAGAGAATACAGTTGGAGTCTTGGAGATTTCATGCGTCATTTCTCATTTCTCGTCTGTCTACTCCAGAATAAATGCATAACCCCATCATTGACAATCTGCGCGCCTGGAAGTCTCCCACAATCAATGCTACGACCGACATTAGCATCCACCGGACTGACAACTTCGGAAAACTTACCGTCACGTCCTCCCACTTCTCCCATCCGCGTCCGCGCACTTCGGCCAACTCCTCCATCGTATAGTTCTTGCCCGTGGTGAAATATCCCGCGTTGATCTTCGCGTCGATCTCCACCCGCGAATCGCTGGGGATCATGTCCTCCGGGATGGGGATGCGCTCCTTGATTTCGATTCCAGACTGCACAATGGCGTCGTGCTTCATGTTCGACATGGACAGCATGCGATCGATCTTCTTGATACCCAGCCAGTGCAGGATGTCAGGCATGAGGGCTTGGAAGCGCATCTGCACACATTAGCACCATCCCTTCCGCTAACGGAGACCACTTACATCTCGCACGCCCGCAATGTTCTCCGTCCGAGTGAAATACTTATCAGCCGTGTCGCCCCCGCGCTTGCGAGCATTATACACCAGATACTTGATCACCTCGCCCAGCGCGCGTCCCTCCTTGCGGAAATAAATCACCACGCCGCTGCCGCCGTTCTGAGCCTCGCGGATCGCCTCGCGGATACCAAACGCCAAGTACGGCCGACAGGTGCAGATATCCGATTGGAACACATCGCTACCATTGCACTCGTCGTGGATGCGCAGCGCCAATTTGACCTTCTCGTCGGAGACACGCTCAGGCGGTCCGAAGATGTACACAGTCTGCCCGCCAATCGGCGGCAGGAAGACCTTCAGATCAGGCCTCGTGATCAACTCCGGATAGCTACCACCGGTGTGTTCAAACAGCGTACGACGCAGCGTCGGCTCATCGACGCCAAACCGCTCCGCCACGCCAGGGAGATACCACACGGGCTCAACAGCGACCTTAGTGACGCGGACCTCGCCCGACTTATCGACGACGATCGACCCATCCACATCCAAGAGACCATCCCGCACAGCCTCGCCAATCTCCGCCAGTTTCATATTTGCACGAGTCACGGCCATCGTCGGACGAATATCCCAGCCCTTATCAAGCTCCTCCTTGAACTGGTTCACGATATCATGGCCCCAGGGATCCATAGAGACGATTTTCTTCTTATCGCCCCATGCATCTTGGGGCTTGAAATCGAAAGTGGGCTCGCTGTTGCGGAAGTCCGGACGGAAATCAGGTTCCAGGTCCCCGGCGGCGATGGCCAGCGCGTTGTAGATGCTGTAGCTGCCGCCGTGGGCGCCCATGGCATTACGTCGTTTCAGCAAGGTGCCGCTGCGGGAGACGACAACGGGGCCGCGGCTTTTGGCGTCGGGGGCGCCCCATTCCAGCGGGACGGGATCGATACCGCTTTGGCCGGGATAGGTGGTTAACTGGGGAGGAGTGAGTGGGTGGCTGAGTGGGCTGGTGGGTGCACCGGGGAGAAACTAAAACGTACCACGATGTGGGTGCTATACCGGGAATTGGCCGGGGCAGGAGCTTGAGTCGTTGAGGAGTCCATGGTGATGGTTGATTGAGTCTCTAGTATACTACCTAGAAACTACCGTAGACAACAAGAGAGACAAGGAGGGAGATGAAAGAGAAAGGGAGAGTGGATGGGAAAGAGAGGCAGAAAGAGGAGAAGGAGGGAATGCCTGTTGCTGCATGTGACCTGTAAAGTATGGTCCTTAGGTATCCATTCGTGCCTTCAGGCAGGCAAACTTACGATGATTGCGCCCTTTTATTGGATTGGGAGGACTATATCCCTCATATTAGTACTTTGGTGATTATTCCTACAATTCTTTGACCATGCCCATTTTAAATAAGTCCAGCCCTCAGCTCAATATGCGCAGATGAATAACCTCGACTTATACTCCGTCATGCCAGCGGAGACACTGCAGGAGAGTGAGGAGAGAAGAGGAGAAGACGGCCTGCCTGGGTGCCTGGGGGCCTGAGGAAGGGATAAAGGCGGGGTCCAGTGACGCCTGTTTGTCTGGTTTGCCTGCCTTGACCCGCCTCGGGAATCAGGCCGATGGACGATTCGGATGTTTCCCGCCTGTCGGATGATCTGTTAGATAATAATAATAATCATCAATAATGAATATTCCACTGGACTTGTTTACGTGGAAGCACCGCCGCATTGTTGTCCGTCAGCCACTCCTACATTGTTGTCTCATGTTCCCCGACAATCAAGTAAACACTGGCATCTACCAGGCATTCTCTTTGCAAATCCATCACGCAAGCCAAGTTTAGAATTATCTCTGCCTTGAAAAAGTACGTTGACCGCCGAGTCGGTGAAGCCAACGCATGCAGGCACCTTGTTCCAGCCATGCGCAAGCTGAGTTGGCAGTTAGTGTCACAATTAGACGGGTAGAGAGCATTGGTAGCAATTAAAGATCCACCAGTGTTGTTATCAAGTTTTCTTCGAAGTTATAACTGTCAGATCACCACCGGAGGGGTCAAAGGTGATCATACATCAAATGGGTTAGATGGATGGTTTGATCGTCAGACTGGTTGAGGCAGCCTACAAGAAAGGACCCACGGCTTGGCAGTTGCGCCTCAGGCATCATATTGAAGCAGGTCAACCTAACTATGAAAAGAAGGCAGAACCTCATAAGATGTATATCCCCTTAATATGGGCTGACACAGGTATGGCCCTCAAGACGTAGAGGACCTATTCTCTCGTCTACCGGCGAATGATTGCAAGTGCCATATTAGGATATATATAAACGCATCCATATGTTTACGCAGTACGATTATGGTGAAATATTACCGAGGTTAGAGCTGATTTGTTTTGCTACGAGCTTTGTCCGCTTGCCAGATATAAGTGTCGCTGCTTTATTGGACGGCACGTGGGCATGTTTGCTCCTGGATATTCAAGTAGTACCGATCACTTACTGAGCCCCTCAGCTAGCTCACAGGACAAAATTTAGCCTTCTATCCGCTAGAGCGCTCCTTTCAGACCAAGGCGCCGTTCAAATCCTTCGTTCGTATGCCTAAGACAGTCCAAGACCCCGCAACAACGTGTGCTGAGGCTATAGCTCTCAGCTCTTTCTTTTACGAGGTCCCTGCGTCTCCCAGTCGAAATGCAGCTGACCAGTTCTCAAACATCCAGAAAGATTATGTTCTACCTTTCTCCAAAGAACGGCAGCTAACCGAAGTTCTCGCTTTCCTGGCAAAAACCAAGGATGGCCCGGATCATATACCTGCTGTTTGCGTGGAACAGAATTCGACTGGAACAGTTCTCTATGTGATTCTAGCCATCAATAAAAGCACATGGGCTGATGGAGATGACATCCTGCAAGACCTCAAGAGGAAGTTTGACGGATTGTTTCGCATACTTCAAGCTTCAAATTTTGGTTAGTTATTACTGTTCTACATTGTGATTATCAATTGTATTAAGATCACGAAATCCACCTACAGACAACCCCGAAATCCAAAGCAAGGTTTTCGCGTCAATCATCTCGATATGCTCACGGCGAATACTGCATCGGTTGCGAATCAAGCGGAACGCAAACAAGACATCCATTCAGGATCTACTAAAAGAGGCAAAGTTTAGTATCCCACGAATTGGTCCTGAGAAGCTTCAAAGTAAAGGTCTATCAGCCACATCGTCACTATTCATCTCAGAGGCAGACAAGGTCATACGACTCGTTGATCGATGGTTGAAGCACCAAAATGTCACAGAGCTATGTGATCTCGTCGAAGGCATATACCACTTGCAACAGACAACGCCACGCTTGCCCGAATTGGTAGAATCGATTTCGAACAAGGACATGAATCCATCATCAAGATCAAGTCTTGTGAACATCATCAATAAAATCTCGAGATACTGGGAAGCAGCTAGGACTATCTATCGTTTAGCAAAGAAATTTCCTCTCGTCCGAAACATGCAAATTCAATTCGCAAACCTGCCTCCGAAGGCATTCGAAAGTCAGATAAAACCCACTGAGTTATCTGACCTGAATTCATGTTTCTCGAGGCTTGGGTTCAACAAAGGACATCAAAGTGTATCCCAAGTATGTCATAATTTGAAACTCAACGAAGAAGATGCTCGAGCCAGACACGGAAGGGCTCAAAAGGCTCTACTAGCACCCAAAATCCACGCTGAAATTCAAATCATCGCATTCTGCGAAATGCAGGCACCACGACTGTTTCCACGAGTGGTTAGTTCAAGCAAAGACGCGTGTTTCTTGTGCAACACTTTCATTCAACTCTACCGACGAATACATACCCCCAAAACCCATGGTCGACTTTACCCCGGCTGGAGACTCCCAGTTCTCCCACAGTTCAGAGCTCTCCAGCAAGATCTCAACAAGCGACTCATTGACAACCTTAAACAGGTTGTCTCGCTAGGCTTAGCGCAAGGGAAATTACCTGTCCGTCCGCATCCGAATGAAAGTACTCTTCTTACCTTGTCGGCGTCGGAAACGACTGTGGAGCCTACATTAGAGACCCTAGGGAGTAAGGTCTCTTCGTCGGACTCGCCTACTATCACTCTATCGGAAAATCCACCAGAAGTTAGCCCTTCATTAACACCCAGCCAACACTCAAGTACCAGAGATACTTCAGCAAATTCACTCGCTACCGTATACCCACCTGAGGGGAAACTTGTCAATGGCTATATGAAACACAACAGACCCTTTCGTCTCATTGTCACAGAATCCCTCGAAATACATCTGGGCCTGGAATATGAATCAGACTCTAGAAAACCACCACTAATGTACAACATTGAAAGGCTTACGGCCGATAGTATTGGATACATGAGTGATATATATCCCGTTGTTGATGCGCGGAAGCTCGAGGGAGAGGCTCTATGTCCACTGTCGAAAGATAATACATTTTGTCTTGCCGCTGGGAGAGTAGTATTGAAAATCAGCTTGGTTACTCACGGATGTTCTGAGGATGGGGAAGGAATTGCGGAGCATTAGGTGCTAATAATAATACTTCCACTGCTAACAACTACGGCGTACAGTGGTGGAATGACTCGAACTTTGCTTAGATTTTCATACTCAAGCAAGACCGTTTTCCCTATTAAGTACCTATTTTCTGGCAGTGTTTTTGGGTTGCTAACGACTTCCACTGATCCACTCGATACATTCAAATCACCGCCCAAAACCGGCTTGGGCACGGGTGTTCTTAATGGTCTTCTTGATGATGTCCTCCACCTCGTCCCAGTCGTTGGTGTCGATCCGCTGGATGTCCGTGTTGAAGTATCTCTGGATCTGGTTAAGCATGTTCCACTCGTCGCGGTTCGACACGAACGAAATCGAGACTCCCACACGGCCGAAACGTCCGGTACGACCGATACGGTGCAAGTAGGTCTGGAAGTCGGCCTGGCGCTCGCGTCCGGGCTGGTGCAATTCGGGAATGTCCTATTTCAGTTAGCACGTTTCCATCAACCGTCGACAAACCATCCAAGGGAACTTACGTAGTTGACAACCATCGAAACGGTGGACACGTCGATTCCTCGGGCAAGGACGTTGGTCGTAATCAGCACCTTGGCGTGTCCGGCACGGAACTGATCAATGACGGCGTCACGCTGCGAACCCTCGATACCACCGGTCAACGACGCAACGGTGTGACCTTCGGCGACCATGCGCTTCTCGATCTCCGCAGCAGATTGACGGGTCTATATTGTTAGAGTCATCCAAACAAGCCATCGGAGAGGCACTCACCCTGACGAAGATAATAGAAGATCCCACAGTAAGAAGACCGTAGAGCTTGACCAGATGCGCGTACTTGTCATCATCGTTGGAGCAGTCCAGGTAGAGCTGCTTGATACCCTCCACCGTCAACTCCTCGTGTTGCAGGGTAATTTCGTTGCTGTTCGGACAGAACTTGGAGGCGTAGGCATGAACGTGTTCGGGGAAGGTGGCGGAGAAGAGAACGACCTGGATGTCTTTCGGCAGTAGACTGCGAAGTTTAGCAGAGTTCGTAAGACCCGTGCAAGAAGGAAACTCACGCCTTCACACGAATACACTGGTCACCCAGACCCTGCTGGTCGAGCATGTTATCGGCCTCGTCCAGAACGAGCACCTTCAGCTTGTTGGCCACCATGACGCGCTTCTTGATCATATCCATGACGGTACCCGGAGTGCCGACAACCACGGCGCATTCCATCTTCGCAACGCGACTGTTGGTGTCGGCGGGCACGGCGGTCCCGATACCCAGGCCCTCCATGAACTGACCCATGACCTGCACGACGCCGACGATCTGACGCGCCAGCTCACGAGTCGGAGCCAGAATCAACGCCTGGGGGGTCTTCTTCATTTGTTCCGTCGACAGATCCAGGCGACTGAGGACGTTCAGGACGAAGGCGGCCGTCTTTCCGGTACCGGACTGGGATTGACCGACCAGGTTCTTGGGAGGGTTGCTGAGTAGCAAGGGCAGAGCACGTTCTTGGATCTTCGAGGGTTTACGGAAGTTCATCGCGGAGAGACCTTGTAGGATGCGGGGGTCTCTGTGATGGCGTCAGTCAATGGATCGAAGCAGTATGAGGCCGAGTTGGCACCTACAATCCGAGATCTTCGAAGTTCTTGATCGAGAACAGCGGGTTGTTGGGGTCGGCCTGGAGATCGCTCAGTTTAACCTCAACGGTGTAGTCGGGCTCGTGAAGGTCGGAGCCGCCCAGTTGCGCGGCGGCGCCATCAGTCTGGTCGTTCTGGTCGGCCTCATCGGCCCATTTTGTGGGTTGTTCTGAGATAGTGAGATTATTGACCTCGAGAGACCACCAAGGTTGATGTCAACAAAGACGTACCGGTCTGCGACTCCTCAGGTTTGGAGATGCGATCGGCGAGGGAGCCGCTGGACGGGGCCTCGGTAGGCTGTTCGGAGGACATGATGGATGGAAGGTCTGGAAGTCTAGTAATAGAGATGAAAGAAAGAAAAGGAGAGCCCCTCAGTCGCGCAGGTTGAGGTTGGAGACGGAAGTGAAAGCAAAGAGGGACGGCGGGGTAAGTTGAAAGAGACCAAAGTGGGTAGGTATCCGAGGATCGGCGCAAGGTGCCCAGAGAGAGAGGACAACGCGAAGAGGGAGATTAGGGGAGTAGTGATGTAAATGAAAGCAAAGCGCACTCCAGCGACGTGAGAAGCGGAGCAATTGCTTGACGAGGGAGCGACAGTCACAGCAACGCAGGATGACTCGCGATGACCAAAAAAATCGAGCAACCGCCCGGCAAACGCTAGGCCTGTTTGGGATGAGATGATAGACCTTAAATGGAAGGCGGTGGAGGTATGATACCGTACCGCGGCGCCTGCCCAAAGGAGACTAGCGGATGACGTCGACGCGAATCGGACGGAGTGCCGGGGAAACAAACAGGGCAAACATGGCCCAAACGGGGCAAAACAAGGGGAACGTGGCCTGACAACCGTCTGGTATTGTCACGCCCTCTTCTTCCCCGCTTGTTCTCGCTGCCTGGACTTCTCCAAGTACAAAGTACATCACTATCTCACGAGACTCTATCGGACAAGAGTTGTCTCCCGAGAGGGCTGTCTTGCTGGTGCCGTTCCTCCTGTCCCGCGTGGAGGTAGGTCGACATTGACCCGTTATCCCTGCAGCCTAATCTCCGCCCGTCTCACATCTCAGTCGCATGCGCCGCACTTGAGCACCCGACATGGCGACCCCGGAAGCCGCTCCTCATTTTGGAGCCGAATTGAAGGTGGGTTACTGATCTGAGGGCCTGGAAAAAAGCTAACAAGAGTAGGATGCCTTCAAACCCGTCAACAATTGGGTACGTTACCCGAATCCGTCCGTCGCTGCCGCACAGTCCCGCGAAGACTAATGGAGGATAGGTTTTCAATGGTATATCATGGCTGGACGAGATACAACAGTTCTACCGAGAGCGCAGCGCAATCGAGAAAGAATACGCGGCGAAGCTGTCGGGACTATGCAAGAAGTATTATGACCGGAAAGCAAAGAAGATCAGCACGTTGAGTGTGGGCGACACCCCCAGCATGACGCCGGGGTCGCTGGAAAGTGCCTCCCTCACCACCTGGACCACACAGTTGACCGCCGTCGAGTCGCATGCCTCAGAGCGCGATCAGTTTGCCAACGATCTCGTCGCGCAAGTGGCCGAGCCGCTGAAATTGGCGGCGACGCAGTACGAAGAGCTGCGGAAGTGCCATGTGGACTTCCATGCGAAATTGGAGAAGGAGAGGGACTCGTCGTATAGCGATCTCAAGAAGGCCAAGGGGAAATACGACGGAGTGTGTCAGGAAGTGGAGGCGAAACGGAAGAAGATGGAGAATTCGTTCGACCATGGGAAGCCAAAGGCCCAGGCTGCGTACCAGCAGCAAATCCTCGAAATGAACAACGTCAAGGTGAGTGCATCGGATCTGGGTCTTCGGACGTAGCTAATGGGACAGAACACATACCTGATCAGCATCAACGTGACGAACAAAATGAAGGAGCGATTCTACCATGAATACGTACCCGAACTACTAGACGTGAGTGGCATCCGCCGGGAGTCTTGCGCCGAAATCTGTACTAATTATCCCAGGGCCTACAAGATCTCAACGAAACCCGAGTCGCCAAACTGAACACGCTATGGTCGCACGCGGCCCAGCTAGAGAAGAACTCCCTATCCAACAGTGTCAATCACATGGCCAACCTTATCAACGAAATCCCCCGCAACCAGCCGCATCTCGATTCCCTCATGTTCCTGCGGCACAATGTCACGCAGTCGCAGGAGCCGCCCAACCTCGGCTTCGAACCCAGCCCGATCTGGCACGACGACGAGGCGCTCATCACGGACGATTCCGCCAAGGTGTTCTTGCGCAACGTGCTCAGCAACAGCAAAACACAGGTGCGCGAGCTGCGAGTAGAGTCGGATCAGAAACGTCGAACGGTCCAAGACGCTAAGCGGATACGGGTCAACATCCAGCAAGGCAAGGATAACCGGAACGAGGTGGAAGTGGTCCGGTCCATCTTCTATCTGCAGGAGGGACTCCACGAGGTCGATCGCAAGCGGCTAACCGCCGAGGTCGAGACGTCTACCATCATTGCCGTCGTCGGCGACCTGTCCCTCGGGGCCAAGAACCACAATTTCAAATCGCAAACCTTTAAAATCCCGACGAACTGCGACCTCTGCGGCGAGCGCATTTGGGGGCTGTCGGCGAAGGGATTCGACTGCCGGGACTGCGGATACACCTGCCACAGCAAGTGCCAGATGAAGGTGCCCGCCGAGTGTCCCGGTGAGCAGAGCAAGGAGGAGAAGAAGAAACTGAAGGCTGAGCGGCAAGAACAGGCCGGGTCGACGCCGACGCTGGATCTGGAGCCCTCGTCCAGCCCGTCGGCAGCGCCGTCACTCACGCGCAAGGACACGATGAACTCGTTGAGCTCGGGCTACGCCGTCAGTGCCAATCGATCGCTGTCAAATGCGGCCAGTCTTCCTCCGCCGTCAGAACTGGCGGCGCCCGCGTCTCCAGCGCCGACGGAGCTTCCCTCTCCGGCATCTCCAGCGCCCGCCCCGGTGCAGGATACCAAGCCGCCTGTCAAACGCAATCGAGTACTGGCACCCCCTCCGGCACAGTACGTTACCGCCCCGCCAGTGGAACCAACGCCTAAGGCGGGTGAGCAACGTGGGAAGATGCTATACCCGTACCAAGCAGGAGGGGCCGACGAGGTGACGGTGAATGAGGGTGACGAGGTAGTGATAGTCGAACCAGACGGTAAGTTTCCCCAAAACCATTCTTTACAGCCATGCTAATTGTCGTAGATGGAGGATGGATGCGTGTCCGCGCTGGAGCCTCTGAAGGTCTCGTCCCAACATCCTACGTAGAAGCAGCTCCTGCACCATCGCCCGCCTCCGCCAGCCCCGGCTTCACAGACCGGCCGGGATCCGTATACTCGAACTCGTCAGCATCATTGGCTGGCAGCGCCGGCGCAGCGGGAGGAAAGCGTGTGGGACCGGCGGTGGCGCCTCGACGGGGGGCCAAGAAGGTGCAGTACGTGGAAGCGCTGTACGACTACGAGGCACGCAGCGACATGGAGTGGAACATGGTGGAGGGCGACCGATTCGTGCTGGTCAACCGAGACGGCGGCGACGGATGGGCCGATGTCGAACGAGGCGGCGTGACGAAGAGTGTGCCTGCCAACTACATTCAGGAGGTGTAACCATGGTGCACTGGGGATGCATGTAGATAGGATTGCATGACGGAGCAGGTTTGGGATTAGCGGTACTTTTTGGTTGTTGGATTGGAACTGTGGTATGGAGTATATATAACAAGCATACCATGGCATCCATATGTCGAGTTGGTCTGCTAGAAAGATGATGCAGTCCGTCATTAGTATTAACCATTACCATCCACTATTATTATAGATCATCTTCCAACATATCACGTCCAGTATAGACTCAACCCATGATCAAACCCACCACCATCGCGGTCACCACCATTCCCAAACCTCCAGCCCTAACAACATTCGCCCCCGACGTCCCAACCCACGGGTTAAAATTCCTGTAACCTCCATCATCCTCACAATCCCCTTTGATCTTCTCTCCATCGACCTTCGCCACGATGTCCTCCCCTCGCTGCACCACAATCTTGACATCGCCTTCGCCCTTCACCTCCACACTCCCTGTATACACACCCTTCCCCCCCTTGGGTTCAACCTCCCACTTCGCCGCGATGGCCTCCCCACCAACCTTCACCGACACATTCGCCGGACTGCCCAACAACGCCGAATAAAAGATTCGATCCTCCAGAATCTCCTCCGGCTTATACTCCTTCTGCCCCTGCACCTTCGCATTCCCCGTCGTGCCCCCATCCTTACACCCACTGGCCCCATCACTACTCAACCGATACCAAGTGACCACATTCTCATCCTCCCCTTTCACCTCCACATCCGTCTCATTCCGCTTATACCTATCCACGAGGAACGGCAAAAACGTCCTCCAGCCATCATGTTCGACCCCCTTCGCATAATTAAACGGCGCCTTCCCCCTCCCAAACGCATCCCACACATCAACCCCATCCCCAGCCCCAAGCGGTCCAATATAATGCGACTCGCCATAATCGTTCCAGCTGATGATCTGCACAAACTCCGGACCCAGCCGGATCGCCTGCTCCCACCGCGTAAACCACAGCTCATCGCCCCTCCACACCCAATTCTTATCGAACCCAGGCATGTTGGTATAGAACCACGGCGAGACGGGCATCATATACGGTTTGCCGTCTAGCGCGGACACGAACGCCTCATCCCCCGAGGTATTCATCGCCCTGGGACCTTCGGGCCACGCACCCCAGTTAAACAACCCATCGACGACCGACCGATTCGCCGCCTTCCGGGGATCGACACTCGACCAGTCAGGGACGAAAAACGCATTCGTCTTATCCTTGATCTCGACCCAGTCCTTCCACGCGTCGGGGCCTTCGAACGTCGAGACCAGCGGCTGTTTATTGTGCGTGAAGTAGGCCGGGTGCGTGGAGTACTCGTTCAGGAGGTTCAGGACGTCGGATTTCGGCCAGGAGCCGTTGGCCGCGTAGTCGAATGAGAAGAGGAGTTTGAAGGAGGTGTCGGCGGCGACGGTGAAGGCGTTGTAGATTTGCGTGGGGAGGCGCTCGTTGCGGGCCATGTTTAGGACGAAGGCGTCGATGGAGGAGGCTTTTGCGAGGTTTATGTCGGATTCCCAGTTTTTGGTCGTGTAGTTGGCGGTGTTGCCGAGCTTTTTTGTTTTGTATGCAGTTGTTAGTTTGGTGGAGAGGTTGGGGAGGGAATATAGCATGTCTGTATGGGGGAGTGGATTATAGTGTTGGATGTTTAGTTGTAGACAAGTGGTGATAGTGAGACAGGGACCGGGGACAGTGATACAGGGTATGCAATCCCCTTCGAGCAGAATAGAAAGAACATACCATGAAATGAGCCAACACCGCTTTCCCTTCCACCTGCGCCCCCATGGTAAGCCATGACAGGAACAGCAGCACAAGATGCTTCATGATGGCTGATGACCGATCCAGTCCAGTTCAGTCCAGCCCAGTTAAGTCGAGTCTAGTCACCAAAATACCCGTCTGTCTACCAAAGAACAGAAGCCTAGACACAGTCCTCAACAAGTAACCGTGTCTCGTTACTCTCAGTCTCAGTCTCAGTGATGCTGATACTGATACTCGAACAAGACACACCCACCCACAAACGAACAAGATAAAAAGGGCAAAGAAACAGAACCACAAAACCGACCAGGACGGGGAGAACCCACTCTTTTAAGAACAGGTCCATCTGCCTGCACCCTCCTACCTGGCTGGCTCGCACCGTAGCCAAGTAAAACTAAAACCAAACCTAGAACTCTGGAGCCTGGGGTCGAGAGTGAGACAGTGACAATTAACGAAAGACAGATGCATGCATGCAGGTAGACAGATGCAGGAGACAGATGCAGACAGGAAGGGTCTACCATTCAGGCCTAGCAAGCCCTACTCCATAATGAGGTACTGGACATATAGTATGTACGGAGTACACGGACCCACCAATCCATATGGATACTCCACAAAACAAACCAAGAACAGACAGGCCAACCTGCATCAACTATTCAATAATGACTCTCGGCAAAGACAAATCCGAGTCTATTTCCGTGACTGAGTTCACCCTGTCTTGTGAGAGATCATATATAAGATACCCACTCGAATATCCACTCGGACAAATCCCGTCTACGGAGCTGACACTCCGCAACAAAGCGGACAGCACAGATAGGTAGGTAAGAGACAGATCATCTCGGATGAACACAGATGGTAAGATGGTAGCTGGCGTATGCACTATGCACTAACTAACTCTGCAGTCCGGGCTGCATGCAGATGGATTCAATAGTGCAGCGGTGCGTTCGCCAAGAGGCGTGGGCTTGTGAGGTGTCTGATGGATTCGCAGGTTGGCTTTGAGTGGGTTATTTGTCTGGGTTGATGGGTGGAATTTCGTCGAATGGCTATTAGTTCGTTGAAAGAGCTGCAGGGGTTTGGTGCCTTAATATTTAGGGTTCAGGGTTCTAGACCTTGGATGCTGTAGGATGTGTCAGATTGGGAGGTAGTCAGAGAGAGTTAGTATTAAAGCAACATACAGTTGTATTTTAAGATCTTATTTATTCCTACCACATCAAAGTACGTCCTTTCGAATATATACAACCTAAGCGGCGTACGTACACCCCCATCAACCAAGAACAAACAGCAACAGCCACCGCATATATCATAATTCATCATTCATATAAGAGGCCGATACCTGACACCTCCCCCACAAATGTCATACCGTCTGCGACAACCACGTCCAATCACCTATCACGTCGACATCCATCTCCTCCAACGTGAAAGGGCTGGCATCAGCATACGCCGGAGTAGTATCCGTGGCCCATGCGCCGCTGGCCATCGACATCGGCATGGACATAGCCATCGAGACGGACAGGGGAGTTTCAGCGAGGGAGCCGAGCGGAGAAGAGGCAAGCGATGCGCAGGAGAGAGGGACATAGGGATTCGATGGAGGTAGCGAAGCACCACCCATGGCAGTCGTCACCGGCACACCTCCCAAAGCCGGATCAGCCTGTCTGGAGTACTGTAGATCCTCCAACTTAAGGCCCGAGACAGAACCCGACCTCTGTCCCGAAGCGCCAGACTCCGGCACCAAAGACGAGGACGACGAAGCCGACGAAACCGACGAGGGAGCCGGACGCGGCGCAATAGGAATAAAAGCGGCGGGAGCACGAGTAGAAGAGGGCCGTCTGCCCGGAAGTCTACTGATCTGGGGGTCGGGAAAAACAGACGAAAAGAAAGCCATCATCAGCACAACAATGGTTTTCAAAAGGTGTTTGTGGAGGTTCTTATCGGGCGGGCAAGAGGTGGATGAGGATGCGGTGGTGCACATCTACTTTTGAAGATTTGGCCTCGGACTCGCGACGGAGCTTGGTGTGCTCGTCGGGAGTCGGGCAGGGAGTGTGATGGCAGACAGAGCAGGTCGAGAAGGGACGACCTTTTCTGTTGATGCGGATTAATGATCGATCTGTGTGGAGAGAGTATTAGTGAGGGTGAGGTCAAAGAGAAACAAGGGAGACAAGGGATACCGACCATGATGTTTACACGTTGTCACACGGTGGCCGCGGACACACGCTTCGCAAGCCCACTTTTCGCCGTCGATGAGCATACCTTGTCGCAGCCGATAACGAGGAAGTAGGATGCAGAAACCAAACTGAGGGACAGGAGGATTTATACTTGGGAGGTACGAGGCACCGCCACACTGGGACGAGGTCAGTGGCTGGCTTTTGTTCCATGCGGCATTTTCCCTCGGTTACATTTTTTCTTCAGGTCGGTCTGGGATTAAGCGAGACTAAGAGAGGAGAAGATTGCAAATGCCTCATAGATTGGAGTAAATGGCTGCCTGCTAGTCCGGGGGTGGATCCTCTGGTAGTCCCTGAGTGGGATCGACTGGGAGTAACCCGAGAGAGCAAGAGAAAGGAGAAGGGAAATGAAAGAAGCTCAGGCCAGCATGTGGCTGGGCGGTGAGCTTATCATTTTCCCTCCTTTCTTTTCTTTTCATGGATTTTCGTGTTATTCTCCCTCTTTTCTATCCTCCGAGTGGAGGTTACTTGGACAATCTACCATGTTTGTCCTGCTCATTCCAGATAACTACACACAAACCCCAGACTAACCACCAAACAGGAATTCCCCAAGTGAAAAAGACCAGAAACCCCTCCCAAAAGACACCCTGAAGCTAAGCAATAAGCAGCTCGTGGCTGTGCACCGCCAGATCGCAAAATGCGGGATTTTCAATTTCCAGTCTTTTTCATGTGCTCATGATGTCAAGTCAGACTAGCAGTCGGAGATTTCATTCATCTGAACTTACCATCATCCTCGACCTGATTTGCCCGCAGGATCGTCGCTGTCCATGGCTCTGCGACATCGTTTTTGTGTCGACCTGCTGATCGATGGTTCCGTCGGGCCTTGACCAGTGACGACAGTCAAGATCGACGGACCCACGATGAGTTTATTTTTTCTTAAAAAGTAGGTCGCCGTTTGGGCGGTTTGGTATGCTTGACGCGCAATTCCTTTGCTCCTGGTCGGTTTGATCTGTCTGGTCCTGGTTCCTGTCCTGTGTTACCATGTTGTTTGATCCTAGGTTATGGGAATAGGCAGACACGCGAGATGGAGATGTGGGACTTTTGGAGAGGTATGATTAATTTATTGAATCTTTGTTCCTGCTTCTCTTCATTTGGAGATCAATAGTTGGGAATAATCTGACTGACCGATAGAGCGACCGACACCACTCAGCATCACCAATACATCATCCTCAAGACCATCTACCTACTTACCCACTGATCGGTACCAGCAGCCCTAGGAGGCAAGGATAAAAAATGGCCAACCATCCCGATCTTCCGGTTCGGCCCCTGATCATTACCGAGCATGATTTGCAACTATTCCTACTAGTGTCTACTACCTAGTGCCTGCCATCGATGTCTGGGTAATAGGTACAGTACCAACCCACCCACCCACTCAAGCACGAACCAGAAACAAAATCGAAAAAACACCCTGATCATCCGACCCGTGGTTCCAACCCCTTTCACCCAGCGAACCCCCCAAATCAAGTTAAAATCGGCACATCAACTCGGTACGTCCTTGCATACCGCGCCACACGCCCTGACCGGCGAAGTTTTACCCTAAAAGCCAAGCTCCTCACCAAGAAGCTTAGCTGAGCTTGGTATGGAATGACGTGACGTGTTGGGTCTGGTTTGCCTCCGGACCTGGTTTTTGGGCCTTGTCCCTTGCTCCCGTATCCCTTGGTTCTTTTAGTGGCGTCATGGGTCGTGGTTCATCGGAGTTGCTTGCCCCTGTGCTTGCCATTGTCCCTGTCCCTGTAGGTCCTGAACTGAATAATGTCTGGTCGAATATTTGGTTTAAATCGAGGTACGGATCTACTGTTCCCGTAGGTATGCTGCTGCCTGGATGAGGACAAGATAGATCGGTCTAGTCGATGGATGGCGTAGTTTGAGTATATACATCCATCCAATCTTCTCATTCCATGCAAACAAGGGCGGTGCATTAATATGTAGATATCTTTTGTATAGGAACAACTTCATACCAGTTCCCGAACTAGAGTCAATCCTCCACCACTCATACAGCAAAAAACTTTCTTTGATTTCGGTAAGCTCCTAAACTAAATCCGTACTGTGAATCTATATGAAAAGATACCCGCAACGGAGACCTCGATCGCCACCAGACGCCGTATACACGCAACCCAAACCCTAGCTAGCTAGTCTGACCACTCTCCTCTTGAATCAATTCGGAGACCCGGCTACCACGCATCCAGCTCACGTGGGATAAAACACAAACCCAGGCAAGCCCGTCACCGTACTTGGTCCATTACAAATCCTCAGTATAGTATACCTTTTAAGACTCTCAAGTTCCGCCTCTTAGGATGGCTCATCCGAGGATTCTGGCCCTGAGAATCGCCCCGATCCCTCTGGCTCGACACGGTCAGTGCTGAGAACAGCACGACTTTGTAGTGCAGCGAGGGTCTGTCGCAAGATAGCTTCCACGGTGCGGTCATTAAACCGATTCCTGTATCTGTGCGAGAAAGCTAGTACTTCCACCGCGAAAGCCCAAAAACACAACTCCCCCGATATGACCTCGACTTACCCTCATCTGAAACCCTTTCCAGGCCTCTAGACCTCACCTCCCATCCCTCGACACAGTAACCAGCGGGAGCTCCTGATCCGACTCATTCATTCCTGGGCTCGTCCGGCTCATACTATCACTCTGAAACGTTCGTTTCCGTCTCAAATTCCCAGGCAAAGAAACACCAGAAGGAAAGCGCGGGCGCATATGGAGTCTGAAAACAAAGACACCATGTGGTGCAAGCCTGCGCTTGATTCGCGACAAGCACTGCACTATACCAATTTCCCGAAACAGTCTCGGCATAGACGGCAAACATGCGACGATGATGCCGACGGCCAACTCGCTCATGGAACACAGCCCAGCGATAAACCAATAATAGGAGATGTTATTGCTGTTGGCGTAGTGGATGCCGTAGTGGAGGCGGAGGCTGGATGCGATGCAGGCCCTAGTTATCATCCCGGTCAAAAGAAGGGTTAGTGCTAGATGTTATCTTTTGTTATGGCCAAACGACAGCAACTCGCGTCCCGAAAGCCTAGTTGAAAGGGAAGAGGGAGAGAGAGGGAGAGAGAGGGAGAGGGAGGGAGAGAGAGGGAGAGAGAGGGAGAGGGAGGGAGAGAGAGGGAGAGAGAGGGAGAGAGAGGGAGAGAGAGGGAGAGAGAGGGAGAGAGAGGGAGAGAGAGGGAGAGAGAGGGAGAGGGAGGGAGAGAGAGGGAGAGAGAGGGAGAGAGAGGGAGAGAGAGGGAGAGAGAGGGAGAGAGAGGGAGAGAGAGGGAGAGAGAGGGAGAGAGAGGGAGAGAGAGGGAGAGAGAGGGAGAGAGAGGGAGAGAGAGGGAGAGAGAGGGAGAGAGAGAGAGATAGAGAACATACAAAGCCCCAACCAAAAACACCACAGAAACCCTTCCCCTATCAGACCACGACATATGCAGCCTCCAAATCCGCAACTGTGGCAGTATAAGGATAACAAAATCCGAAGCAGAGTTCACAGACGCCGTGATCAGATCCAGCCGGATCGTATCCAAGCAAGAACCCTCCGTCATCCAGGGCGTCCAGATGCGTTCTCTAGGTTGGCAGGCGTACAGTGACAGGAAGAAGCCGGTGACGTAGAACACCGCATTTGCCACGATCAGAGCTAGACAGATGAGGTAGAACCAGGTGGGTTTGCGGAGCGGGACAAATATTTCCATGATTTGTAGGAGGATGGAGATTTTGAGGAACATCATGCTCCAGCCGTAGATGATTGAGGCGATATGGATATACTAACTATCACGGTCACTTGGACAGTTCGCGAAATTTAACCTAAAAGATAGAGTGGGAAATAGGGTACGTACGTATAGCAATACGGAGAAATCCTTCAAGGTTAGATTCCACTGGTCGATTCCTGGGGCTAAATCGGCAAAAAGCCAGCATAAAGAAAGATATGGCATGAAAGAGGCCTGGGGAGTCAGCGTGAGTAAGATGTAGAGCAGAATCCAGTTCATACCCATGTGAGGATGATCGCATCTATTTAGATGAGTGGCATTCAGAGAGAAAGAGTGAGAGAGAACCTCACGTTTGACTTACAATCTGACAGACTGACCTTCCGGATCAGCATTCTCTTAGTATATACGCGAGCAATAACCAAAGACGAACAGACAATCGATAGTGTAATAATGAGAGCGTGAGCGCCAACCCCTTGGTTCGGCGGATTGTCCAGGTTGGATATTACTCCTAGCGGGGGAGTTGCAGCAGGACTATGCAGGATGCTAACGTTTGTACTTTTGGATGTCATTATGTGGTGGGTAGAGAGTATATCGAGACAAGGTGGCTGTCGCATAGTTGGGTCGGTGGACTGAGTGTCCTGGTGTGGCCCAATTTCTTTCAAAGCAGATGACTGACTCCAGAGGCTTTAGGCTACGAAGCTGACTATAGTTACACATGTCAGAATGAATGAGCTTGTGTGGAAAGGGCCCCTCATGGTCGATTACGAGGTAGAATAGATTTTGTGTAGCTTGTGTGACTTCAGCCAGGAGGCTTAGTAGAAAAGGCTTCCATATGTCGGTCTTTGCACTGCCTGGCATTTTTATCTCGCATTTCTCACGTGGATAGGAAGATATATGACTAGGACAACGTTACATGGTATCCTGTGTGGATCTCCACACCGGCTCGAGCTACCTCGAAGATCCGGTGCGAAGTAGCTGAGGGAATCTTACAATCCTATTCCTGATTAGCCAAAAGTTTACTATACAAGGCAGTATCGACTACATGCGCGAACATATTCACAGGGCTAATTCATGAAAGGATAGGCTTGCTCTTCCTCATATGCCCTAGATGACGAAAGGATCACTAGAAGGGGTAACGCACCAGTCAGTTTTGTGAATGTGAATTGGATAGTCCATCCTAGCTTGCCATAACCAGTCGGAAAACAGATAGTTAGTTAGATCGATAGATAGGTAGGACTGCGTGCTCCGAATAATTTATTACACCATGTAGTTCAGAATGATACATACATTGTTGAGATCCTGCCGATACTGTACCAGCTGATAGCGGATCGCGTCGAGGGGATGGACTCGGACCTGCTGGGTGGTCTGCGATGGCGAAAATAGCAGGGGGATGAAAAGGCGCGGATATAGCTGATGAAGAGGCTCGATAATACGTATGCGTTGCGGAATGTCAAGATGTTGGAAAAGAGAAGTTGGTCGGGGGTATAAAGCCTGTTATCCAATGGCTGTGTACCGGGAATGGCCATTCTCATTCGCATTGGTTGAACAATTTCGATCAGATGCTCCGTGAGTGTACGGTGGTTGTATGGGCGGATTTCCATGTCGATCCGGTTCTGTAAAGGTTATTCAATGGCCAGAGGATCAAGGCTAGACTTAGCTCCTTTGATCAATGACGATCCTATTCGCTAGCCCATACTTCAAGACAAGTGAAAAAAAGATAGGAAAAGATTCAGAAGTAGCAGCCAGTGCTCATATGCAAAAAGATAAAGTAAGCTCTATATCTATGAAAGCGACCAAATAAGATCAAATGCCCAGGTCCATCAACAAATAGGGTCTCCAGGTGAAATAGAAGTCATTAAACCAATCATCAATAACCAGTAAACACAGTCGCCATGCGAAGAGACAAGACAGACAGCGATAGATAGACAGACAAAAAAACCAGATGTGGTGGCGGAGTGGTATCAATCTAAGACTGTACATGAGCGGATGAGACAGGACAAACAAAAAGTATGACAGAGAAAGAAAATTCGTGGAAAGTCGAAATATCAAATTTCAAGATTCAATGGCGAGGAGAAGAATTGAATGGAAGGGAGAAGAATGTGTAAGGAGGGAAAAAAGATCATCATAAGGAGTGGTGAGGATCTCATGTCCAGGTATCATGTAAGGCAGTACCAAGGAGAGTAAAGGTTGCCAAGAGGTGTCAAAGAGTGTCAAGGAAGATGGATAAAAAACATCACATCCCCCTTTATGAGGCTAGATCATCCCCGAAACTTCAACCCTCCGGTTCTGCCACCTCGGTTTATAGTATTCATCTTTGGCCGGTATTTCCGGCCGATCCCATTCGGAATCGCTCTCGTATGGCGACGGACACCCGAACTTGTCCTCCGTGCGAGCCGGCGACGTCGTCGCTGACCGACCAGCCTGTCTCATGCGCAGAAATTCCTGCGAGTCGGCGCTGCGGATGGGATACATCGTTCCGATGCCGACGGACTCCCGAGCCATGCATTGGAGCTGTTTGATGTCGTCGCGAAGACTGGAGACTTCACCCTCGAGGTTCCGTCGGGCGGTCTGTTCGCGACGCAGCAGCGTGACCAGAGCGCTGTATTGCTCGATAGAGATAGAGTTGGTGTCGCTAAGGGAGGTGGAGGATGGGGGCTGCAGTGTTCGCGAGCGGTGCACATTCGCGCTGCTGGCAGTCGTGTTGGTGGTGCCAGGACGGATTGTGCCCGTGCTGACAGGGCGGTCGGATTGGTGATTAGAGTGGGACGTGTCCGGAGGAGAACGCGCTGTGGACTTCTTGCGATTGTGTCGACGGTCGGTCGTCGTCGGTTCGGGTTTCTTCGACGGGACTGGAGTCGCTGCAGGCGAGGATGCGCTACTCTGGTTCGTTTGCATGCGCGCAATGGCAAACTCCAGATCGATCAGTTTGATTTCCAGGGTGGCCAGCCGCTGTTCCATGGACACATTTTCGCTGTCTTGCATGGCGTTGACCAGAGTACCCGCGTTGGGCGCGATACTTTCGGCTTCCGCTTGAACGCTGGTTTCGGTATGGGTCACCTCCTCGTACATGGACGGTTCGGTGCACGGCTTTGGCAGGCTGGTCACTGTGGCCCTCGTCGGGGGCCGGATGGATATCTCGCTGTCCGACACGGCAGTGTACGCCGTCGACCCAACGTACGACTCGATACTCCGCCGTCTCCACTGAATCGGCGACATGCGATGATCCCGGGCCATACTGCGCAGCTGTCCTGCGCTCCTGGACCGGCGTTTTCGTCGCCGATCGTCCAGCGAGTCGGGGTTCGGATGTAAAGAATTCTTACGACTGCGATTGCCCTCCGGTCGACCGGAAACCACGTCCTCCAGCGCATCGCGGGACTCGTCGTCGGAGAAGATCAAACTGGGCAGGGTAGCTCGGCGTTGTCGCGGCGGCCGAATCTCCAGTTTCGCCAGGGCGTCGTTCAGCGTCATGGGACCTCCGTTGCCCACCTCCTTCTGCGCCAATCCGCCGCTGCGTTTGGAATTCAAGGAATTGGGGAGGGAGTAGGACGGGTCGCCTGCCATCCCGTTGACCTGACTCGGATGTGACGAGTTGGCGCTGCTGAAGTTGTAATCGGAATCGAACCCGTCGTGTTGACTGCCCCGCTTGCGAGTGAAGATCTTCTTCATCACCGTCCGTAACGTGCTTCCCGTGCGCCGATGCGAGCCGGGTCCGCCGCGGCCCATCAATCCGGAAAACGAATCCGGGGCGCCGTATCCCAGCGTGGCAGCGGCGCGATTACTTATAACGATAGAGGACTCGGAACCGCGAAGTTGACGACGCGATCTGGCCGTCACCAGCTGCTTGGAGCTCATGGGGGGCAGCGCGGTGTCGTCCATCTCGGCATGGCGGGGAACGGAGCCGGGACTGACGGACATTATGGCGATCGATCAAGAGAGCGGGCACATGCGGTATTAGATCAGATCGTAAATTAAGGGAATAAAGAGCGACTGGAATGAACGACCGAGAGAAAAGAGAGGAAGGAATCGATCGGGAGGGGTGGGTGGGTCGAGATATACGAGGACGACGCAAGTGATGGGTTGTTCGTCGTATAGTAAGGCTGTCCTCTCATCCAATCTAGCTCAATCGAACGATCGGGACAATAGCTTCGACCAGTCAGCGAATTCCTTGTAAAAAGATCCCTGTAAGGAATACAAAGAAAAAAAAAATAAAAATAAGAAATAAAAGTGGCTGACCTTGGCTTAAAGGCTGAAAAGAGCGAGAAAAGAGAGAAAGCTCGCGAGTAAGCGAAAAGAAAGGAAGGCTGCTTAGTAGCCGATGACCAGACCAGAAAGCTCGAGCATGGCATATAATTAAAGAGAGACGAGAGGATCAAACGAGGGACATGGTTTGTCGGTGGACAGACCCAAAAGAATGAACAAAAACAAAGTGAAACCGGAGCCAGACGAGAGATCCAGGGAACGGGCGAGAGACGCAGAGTCTAAGAGAGTGAGGGATTCTCCACCGGGAACAAGCAGCAGGCGATGAGTGGACTTCAAACATGGAGTCGAGACATGGCAACCAACCGTCGGCGGGGATTACTGCAACTAGTGAGCGTCGAGTCAGTAACTAGTTTCCGGTCGGAGAAAGGAAGAGAGGAAGCCAGACAGGGAGAGAGAAGGAAAGAAAGAGAGAGGAAGAAAAGAGGATGAAGTCGGGCGAAGTGGGTCGGACTGGCCGGGAGTCCATGCGGCTTTCGTGTTTCAGGGGGGTTTTTGGCTCTTACTCTGTTGTTGTTTGCTGTCTGTTGTCTGTAGAAGAGAAGACTGTCGGTGTCGCCGTCTGCAGTCACGATCAGAATATTCAATCAATCTTCACAATATCATCCCAGATGCTCCGTTGAATCAATCAGATCATGCACGCATCTGATCTTCTAGAATGTCCCTCTTGGCTCCAATATACGAAATCATGCCGGCTGATGCTCGGCCCCCAAGAATCGCTCGTCCCAACGCTTCCAGAAAGATTCCAAATCTTCCTTCCGATCGACTGACGCAATGAATATCATCTCAATGTCGATTCTGCCTCGTCCCCGACTGGAATCCTCCGTTGGTCGGACACTCTACCAGACACGACGACGACCATAGTTGAGCGACAAGACAAGAAGAACAACTCACTCAGGATGAATATCCCCGTCATACGACTCGCCCAAGCCCTCCAGTCAGATGCGACCGCCTGTCATCGACCGGATGAATTAAAACTGGACATGGTTCTTCCCTGTCCAGGCGTTCCACCCCCAAATCTTGCTTCGGCGACCGCGCAGCTGCCCTCATGATTCGACGAGGCAGAAGCTTGCAGATTCTGAGACGCGCCAAGTGGCCCCCATTTTTTGGCTCCAGCTCCACATGGCAGGTGCATTTTCGGTTTTTAATTTTCATTTGGGTTTTTTTTTGCCTTTTGGGTAGGGATGCGTCGATGCGGCTTCATCTGACGGAATCCTGGAGCGTAGAGTCGGAGTACGGAGTAACTGTTACTGCTTACGCTGTTCTTTGTTTTGCGCCCCGTGCTAAAGAGTTGGTAGTCAATTAGTACGGGGACGAGAGGCTCTGGAGGATGAGGCTGTTCGTATGCACTCACCGCTAGAATAATCCTCTCAGTACTCCGGAGGAATAATAATAATGAAAGTGCCTGCCTTGCATCCAGTCAGCAATTGTGCATTGACATCCTCGCGCGAGCATAAAACATGAGCACATTTTCCTTTTTACTCTAAAACTCCCCTCCGTCCTCGACGTCAGGAGTTGTCTCCGTCTCCACTTACCCTCGCTAGTTGCTGCTGAAACCGCCAATCGTTTTTCTATTAATATTCCCTCCTCCCTCGCCCAGTCTCCCTTCGGAAAAGTACACCGTAGAGTTGGGGAGAAAGCGTCTCGAATGTCGACTCGGTGGAGACCGGCATCACCGTCATCGTCATGACTTGCAGCTTTAAAGGATCGACTATCCTTCTACACAGTCTAGTCTCCTGTCTACACGATGCGCGAGTGAGTTGTTCAAAGTCAATGCGACCATGCATGCTCATGGACCGGTCGATGTCGTTCCATTCCTTCGACCACGTCGACCTCATCAAGTTCCACTAACTATACTGCACGGAGTAGTCTGTAGCATGTCAGAAAACATCCCACGGTGTAAGGTCACAAACGCTCAGACCTACACCGTCGACGCCCTGACGATCGGTATCCTATTTGGACTCTTCACCGAGCAGGTAATCCCATCCCGATAATCAGGCCGTGCGAGGGCGACAAAGTGAATGCTACCTAGACGTACTGGCGTGTATCAGATTTGGATTTCCGAGAGACCTTACTCTCCATGTCCTACCCATGGTTCTCTGCTACTCTGTGTTCTGCAATCGCCGATCTTCCTCGTTTGGGTGATGGAACCACGGCTCTGAACCGTAGTCAATCCAATAGACCCAACTAGTCTCTGTGTCAGGTCGGAGAGAGTTCTATCTTTACCGCGATCGTCTAAAGTCTATGATTGACTTGCCGAGTTGTCTCCTCCTCCTTCGGGAGTGAGAGCGGTATTTCTCAGACCCAAATTTAGGTCTGTCTTAGATCTTTCGTCTGCCCTTGCTCATGGCATGGGTATAGTTACGGAGTTCTGGTTATAGCAATTCGCCGGCGTCCGGGTATCGTAGATCCGCATGTTCCTCCAAGAAACCCATCCAGCGTTTGAGAAAGCCGCTGCCTCTGTGGGGAAGATTATGAGCTCAGCATTCACGTCATCCCACTTCGTATCTCCTTCCGAGGCAGTGGATCCATGCGTAAAGACGCGGGGCGTGCCCCCATGCACCCTCAGCCTGGACTGAAGAGGGGAAGGGAAAAGGAAATGGGTACTCACTTGCTGATGGTCTCTGAATCACCACAGATACAGAGATGCCGTTTCGGGCGTGTCATAGCCACTACACAAATCCAGGTTAGTTTTGAATCAGGTAGGATCAGATCCCTACCGTCCATGCAGGAAGGGCATACCGTTCAGCCGTCGTCGCTCGCCTAAAAATCCGACCTCGTGCTCCTCGTTGCTCCGGACGAGGCTGACCACCACGGCCTCCTTCTCGCGACCTTGGAAGCCGTCTACACTTCCCAGTTCCAAACCAGGGTATTTCTCCCGCAGCATCTGCGACAGAACCGCCAATTGGCCATTGTACGGCGTGATCACTGCGATGTCCTCGGCTTTCACCCCTGATTGCACGAGATTATCCACGTGCTTGGCCACCACCAGGGCCTCCATCTCGTTGCTTTTGCTCTCCCCGAGCAGCGCTTCCTTCTGACCCACCTCCTTGTCTTCTGCCTTCTCAGGAAAGTCCCCGCCCTGCGTGTCCCAGAAGACTACGGGTTCCTTAGTGTCGTCGGTTTCCTGCACCTCGTACGGCAGATCTTTTAATAGTCGCGCTTTCACGGCGTCACCTGCCATCAATTTTGATTCGTAGAGCTCGTCGGACGGGAATCGCATGATCGACTCGTGCATGCGATACTGCGTCGTGAGCATCCGTTTGATGCCGGATCCGTGCATCGACAGCAATCGGTCAAACAGAGTGGTCTCGAGTGAAACTCGGCCAATCCCAGCCTTGTCCTTGTCGGCCGGGTCCTCCCCGGCGGCCCCTTGCGTCTTGCTCTTCTGGGGGGTAGATTTCACCGTAGGGGGCAGCTGCAGATGATCACCGGCGAGAATCACCTTGGACGCGGACAGCAGCGAGATCCAGCATTGCGCTTCCAGCGCCTGACTCGCCTCATCGATGATCACCACGTCGAACTTTTGGTTCTTGAGCTGATGGCCGCCTGCCCCGTGCAGTGTGGCCAGCACCACATTGCTTTCTCGCACGAGGTTGTCCACACACTTTGCCTCCCGGTCGCGAAACTCCCGCCGTAGCTCCTTGAGGTCGCTAAAGATCTGCCGCTTTTCTCGGCCGTACCGCGTCTTCCGGATGCTGGCCACTTTCTGGTCAATTTCCTTGCGGACGTCGCGCACGATGGAGCCTGCGTCCGACGTATGGGTCAGCACCTCCAGCGAGTGATCCAGAACCGACGGTAGCAAACGCGCTGGGTGGCCGATGCGCACCACAGGCACTTTCTTCGGTGCCAGCCGTTCCACAATATTGTCCACCGATATATTAGACGGTCCGCACACCAACACACGGAGCTTCCGCTGGACCATCTGAAGAATCAGCTCAATCAGTGTATGTGTCTTTCCGGTCCCCGGCGGGCCGTGGATTAGCGCGATGTCTCGGGAAGCCAGAGCGAACCGGATGGCTTCTTTTTGGGAATCGTTCAAAGTTGGGTCGAGGAAGTCTACGGGCCCGATGGCTTCGTAATCGGGCGCAAGCGGCGTGGTATGCCCAAAGGCAACTCGCATGAAATGCGTATACTCGAACTCTGCCATTTTGGCCATCTTCTCCATCGTCATCTTCATCCTACACCGAGTTAGCCAATCAAGCATATTTCAGGACAGAGATGGCGACCACTTACCGTCGATGCGTCACATCATTTGCAAGTTTGATGCTGCGACCCGTTAGCCACCTCAGTCCAGCAGGTCCGTACACAGTAGGCATCTATCCGAGACACCCAGCTGAACCATCGACCGAACCAACCAAACCCAGCCAGATCAAACAGCAAACATAGAGCTCAAGAAAGGGGGAGAAAACATACAACCAAAGCTTCTTCCCCCACAACTCCTCAATCGCTTCATCATCCTCCTTCGACCGTCCCCCACCCCCCACCTGCCCAAACGCAACCCAAATACTCCTCTCCCCGACTCTAGTCACCACACCCTCTGGACTTCCTTTCTCCTTACCCGCCGTTTTATCCTTCCCTCCTCCCGCCTTCTTCCCACCTGCAGGGCCTGACCCAATCTCATTGACCCTCACCACATCCCCAACTCGAATCCCATGCGCTCCTAACTTCACCTCTCCATTATCCCGCTTGTCACCATCAGCCGCCTTCTGCGTGATTGCCGCATCAGCGCCAAACTCGCCGACCAACCGCCCACCCGTTCCTGTCCGGCATTGCGAGAGGAGAAGTCCCGTCAGCGCATAGCCGGTAGCTTGTAGAGTTCGGCGCGTAGACGGCGACACGGACGCGGCGGTGGTGGCGAGTGAGGAGGAGGTAATCTCGGCGTTGTGTTCGTCCAGTAGGAGGGATTGTTGGGTAAGGGCGAAAGCGGGGATCGGGATGGGGGTCGGGTTTGGGTTTGGGGGTGGCATTTTCGAGGTCGCTGGGGCTTTGGTATGGATGGGATTCGACGGTTGTAGTTGCAGATTGATAATCTGAGGCGAGGGATAGTCGAGAGGCCGTAAGCTGGGCGGGTTTGTCGACGGTGATTTGTCCGTGTCAGGTGTGTATGTTGGTTGGAGAAGAAAAAAGGCGGGGAGAAAAGACGCAGCGCTAAAGCTTGGTACGGGGCTAAGGAGCTCGTTATCTCCGGCTGGGCTGGTTATGACGTTGTCTTAGTCATCGTCTATACAAACCAAACCGTCTACCTGCTTTCAGTGGTGATTTGGTTTGGATGGCTCTGAGTGAATAATCAGCCTACTTCGTAGGTACTTAGCGCTGTCCTTCGCCCCTACAATTTGAGGGAACTGTCCTTACTGGAGATGTCTTACAGAATTGACATTATCCCCTACTTCTTGGATTATTCAGGTTCACTCTTCTCTAGCAACTACATTGTGCAGTCTGTATCTGAATTTGCAGTCAAATTTCTGGTATCTAAATACTAGCTATCCCTCAATCAAAGCTCACCCACCCCTATGTCAATGAAAAATGGGCAGCACTTAGGTGAATCCCAGACGCTGAATGAGGATCCTTCATTCAAGCAGAGTGAGCCGAACTTCCTTCATCTCAAGGCGAACACCTTAGTCGGTAGATCTGATCCCAAGCGTTCACATCAGAGATTCACCCGAACGTCAAGGCCGCTACCCAGCCAATAGCCCACGCCTGGTCAAATGCCTGGTCCCGATGAATGGTAAGCTGCTTGCCCTCTCTCGAGCCGAAGTCCCCAGAACAGCGCTCTCAGCTTGCACCTCGAAGATGCTGTCATCGGCCAGGAAAACGCGAAAATCGCGAAGCGTGCGCAGGTCCTCGAAGGATTTGAGCAATTTCCGCAGATATCTGTTCCGGCTCTGGATAATGCTTACGTCATGAGTCTTGGTGCCGAGATCAATGACCGTGATCGAAAGGAGGGGAATTGCGAAATGCTCGCGAATAAACCGACGAAGGACGCTCCAGGAGGCTAGAATGGCATCTTCGGGTCGATGTCCGCCTTTGCTGCTCCGGCCGCGATGCAGCGCCGGGAATTTGAATGTCAGATGGCGGAACAGCTTTAAGGTTGAGTCCGATATGGAGTTGAAGAACGCCATCATAAATACCGGGTCTTCCTCCACGAAAGCGAAGATATTTTTCGAGTAAAAGATGCGACTTGCATCGTCGTAAAAGCCCCTGCTGACGAGAAAGTAGGGTAACGGAGAGGTGTAGCAGCTACAGGTCGAAGAATAAGAGGTTTGGCGGGCGTGGCAGAAACACATGGTTCGCAGAGGCGAGCAGGTGCCGCAGCATGTGAGGGGATACACGGGGATCCGTGGGCGCCTACGCTCTTGAAGCGTGACAACTCCGCGCGACCACTCAGCTGCCGGGATATATGGATCGGAGCGATCAATCAGTACATATTCTAGGATCATGTACTGCACCTCTTTAGGGAGACGGTGGAATGAAAATGCAGGCCTTTCTTCCAAACTGCCGGTCAATCTCCACACAGCCCTCTTCAGTATAGGCCTGATCTCTTCGTCCGGGGCAGTGCTGAAATGGATGGCACAGCGAGATAGCTTGGGGAATGATTTTGCCTCGCGTATGAGTCGCCATGCCACATCAACCTCCTTGACTCGGCATCTGAGACTGAAATTTCGGAGCCCGGTCATTCTTTCTGTGGCGAGCTTGCAGAACTCCACCCAGACCCAAAATGCAGTGCGATGTGCCCCGTCCCCGTCAAGCTTCAAATTCCGGTTCTCTCTAGGGCCCAGATCCAGATGCAGAGACGCCAGATTATCTAAACCCCATGTGGTAGCCGCGCGAAAGGTCTTGAAATCCGCTTTCGTAGGGAGAAAGGCAGTGAACCTATTGTGTTTGAAGAAAAAGGGGCCTAATGCGTTGCGCATGCTGCGAGAGGTCCCGAGCAATGCCAAAGGCAAGCCTGGGTGGCTGCAGAGACCATCAACAGTAGTGGTCCATAGACCACGAGTTTGACGTATGAGGCTGCAGGCTTGTGTGGTTGTGGTGGGTCGTTTTGTGCGGTACTTTTCGAAACTTATGTTGACCACACAATGCCGCAGCAGTCCAGCGTACTGAAGGATCTTGATTAGGATATGTTCGGGGAGGTCCAGGAATGTAACGCATGGTCCGGGAGGGGAGGATTTCATGACTCCAGTATCGTCCGGCTCATCGGCAGGAGGCTCCCACTCGACGTAGTCCTGGAGCAGCTCTTCCAATTCTCGGAAGAATGGAGAAAAGGCCACTTCGTCATCAAAATAATCCATCGACGGTCTGTTGTTGATCATATTGAGACCACATCACGTCAGTCTGAGATAGCGAAGACTTCAAGTGAGAGTCTGGGGTATAGGGGAAGGTGAATAACCCTGGTGAACTTACGTAAGTTGAAAGATTGATCAAGATGAGATAGTGGTTTGATCCGTGGAGATTAGGAAAGGGACTGGTATTGACATTGACAGGCAGGGGCAGCAGGAAGTGTAGTGTTTAGGGGGCTAGAGACAAGAAACAAAGGACCTGCGTTTGCGTATGGATCTTGTCCGTCACAGCATGTCTGTGACGCTCAACTGTTTGAATATCCATCACCGTCAGCCTCACCGAGCAGAACAAGAGAGGATCGCAAAGCGCAATCAACAGAGCGATCGATGCACAAGTCCTTGAAGACTTACCAGGACAGACAGGCTACCTTGACGGGCGGTTTGGCGTACTTCGGCAGGAGGGGGGGGGGGGGGGGGGGGGGGGGAGGTTGAGTGGAGGAAGATACAAAACACCAGGGACAACAAGAAAGTGAACGCGGAGCGAATTCACAGAGGTCGAAAGGCATTAAAGTGGGCAGAAGATGCAAGTTCCGCTAACGGTAAGATTCGAATCGAAAGTTTCCTTGTATCTTGTGAAGACCATGTGCCTGGGGCATTCAACCACTAGCCTACTCCTCCTCTCCTTCGATCTTAATCTTTTCTTCACCATCTTCCACCTTGGAAACACCGATTGTGCCATCCTGCTTCTTCCTTTTGGATGCTAACCCCTTGATCTCACTCTTGCATAGCTTCATCCCCGCGAGGTCGCAGTCACCACATTTACGCCCTATTGGTAAGCAGACCGTCTGGCCCAGTCCGACTAGCAGTTTGTTGATCTCATGCCATTTGTCCTTTGGTAGCCAGGACTCCAACGCCATTCGCGTCTCCTCCGGATTCTTTGTCTTGTGCCAGCCCCAGAGATTGGTGATTCGATGGACGTGAACGTCCACGCCGATGCCTTCATGCTTGCCCCACGCAGCGCTCATGCAAAGGAACGCCATTTTGGGACCAACTCCCGGGAGCTTCATGAGTTCTGGTGCTGTTGAGGGAATATCCGAATCATACTGATCCCGGAGGATGAGCGCTGCCGATTTGATATACTTGGTTTTGTTGTTGTGGAAACCCACGGTGCCGATGAGTTGGTTCAGACGTTCAGGGGGCACAGCCAGGATATTCTCTAGATTTAGGGTACTGTCTTTGGTGGGCTTTTCGACGTCCTCCTCCTGCTTGATGACGGGCTCTTGCTTGGCTACATCCGGTGCCTCTCCAAGCTCCGTATGCAACCGCTGCATCGCTACCGCCGTAACGGTGTCCTTGGTCTGCGACGACAGCATCAGCGCGATCAGAGTCTGAAAGCGCTTGTCTCTTGGTGAAGAAGCGCGCCAGTATAGCTCTGCGCAGCCCATCGTGTCGACAGGGGCGGTCGGATTCTCCTCCCGCATCTTCTTGACAGTGTCATAGATGGTTTCCCAGTTCGACGGCGGCTCGACTGTATGCGAACCGTCCTCCTTTTTGATCTTTCGGGCTGGAACCTTCCGAGGGGCCTTTGCAGCTTTAGCTTTGGGAGATATCGACTCGTTCTTCACCGGCTTCTCGATCATCCTTTCAGGCACTCGTCTCGTGGACCGGGAGCCGCTTGTCGCCACACTGGCGAGCTTGCTTTTCCGTCGTTTCGCAGGGGGCTCTAGAAGATCCTCCATATCAACGGTGGCCACCGACGACAGGGACGAGAGATCATCGTCGCTACTGGCTGCAGGTTCGGCACCAGTGCCCCCGTTATACGCAAATTCGCGCAAAATATTTGCCCCAGAGGCACTGCGCGTTTGACGCCGTCCAGGGGGCGACAGGGCCTGCAGGACTTTAGCCGTATCTTTTGAAGCTCGCGACGTGCGCATGGCAGCGGTTTATATCTGGGAGTATTTGGATATATCAGAAGTATTCACCAATAGGCCATTAAAGCACAATTTAGTGGCAACGGATGATTGGTAATGCGAACATCTTTCACATGAATGGCAGATCGTCCACATGCGAAGTTGCGCTAACCGGTCACGCCAAGCCTGAGACTCCCCGACTGGAGCGCCGCACGGCCCGATCGTTAAGCCTCGGCGCAGACCGACTCTCTCTCCTTCTCCTCTCTCCTCTCTGTCATCCATTCGTCGTTGCTTGCTTTCTTTCTCCCTGCATATATACCCCAGCCTGATTGATTGATAACGCCTTTCCTATCACATTATATCTTTTCACATTATAATCCGAGTGTATACTCCGCCTGTCTGCGCATGATTACTGCATCTGCATACCATCTTACATTCCGACCGCATCACGTACCCGACGACAATGCCCCCCTCATCAACGACGCAACGACTCCTCCGCGAACTGAAGGATTACACGAACTCGCCGAACGAAGCGCTCTTGCATCTCGGCCCGGTAGATGAAGATGATTTACTTCATTGGGAGGCAGTCTTGAAGGGCGTCAATGGGACGCCATACGAAGGTACGCCACCCCTACTTTGTCAACATAACCCAACCCCCACCACCTCACTCTTCTAACAACCGCTAACAAATCCCAGGAGGCCTCTGGTCCCTCTCAATCCACCTCCCCCCGAACTACCCCCTCTCGCCGCCCAAAATCACATTCACGACGCGCATCTCCCACCCGAACATCTCCTTCACGACCGGCGAGATCTGCCTGACCCTGTTAACAACCGAACACTGGAGTCCCGTCTACACGCTCTCCACCACCCTCACGGCCATCCACCAGCTGCTGACGGACCCGCGCCCGGACTCGCCGCTGAACGTGGACGTCGCGGCGCTGCTGCGGGACGGGGATATCCCGGCGTGGGAGAGCGTGGTGCGGTACTGGACGGAGGAGGAGCGGTGGACGGATACGAAGGGGAGTGGGAGTTTTGGGGTGGGAGTACGGTGAGGGGATGTGATATCTAGGGGTTTATCATAATATGCTATCTTGTTATAAATATGCTTGATCTGACTACTCCACAAGAGATGAGTACTGTATATGTTTTACACTCGCGTTATCCTCCTATTTCATATCCTTCAACAAGAGGCGAGAAGACAAGATAAGTTCCAGAAGACAAGCTACGCCCACCTATATTCTACACCACGTATGGCTTCTCCTTGTTATGTTCGGCAATGGCCCGTATACCATATATCAAACCACGACTGCGTCATAACACACGCTTTGGACGACCCCTTAGAAAAGCAGTATCTACTTACCTGGCTTGAAGCTCCACCAGAAATATCCCTCGCAGATGTCCCAAATAACTGATATACCTAGTTATGGTGATAATTAATAGCTGATATAACCAAGCAAAGCAGACGGGCAAGCATTCTCATCAAGATTTCTTGGGCTATTTTAGTAGAGGTGGTATAGTCCATCTTTACCAGTAGGTAGATAGGTAGGTAGGTAGTAAGTAACACTATCTACTACAATCATTAGACATTAGAACTATGTAAAATAAATTCAAGATACAATTCTTTAAAAAAAAGACCCAGCCACCAATATCTAAACACAGAGCCCAAGAATAATAAATACATCCCTGCTCAAAAAAATCTGGCTCATGCATATCCAAAAACACAATATATAAATAAATACCACCAAAGTCTCCCTTGCAACCCCCTCCTCTAGAACAAAAATAAAGTCCCTACTTTGAACTTTGACACATCCCGACAACACACTCTACATACTCATACTCCTGATCGAGAACCCATCATACAACGTCATCCACGAAACGAATCAACCCCTGAAAGTCCCGCATTATCCTCACTCACCTAGTCCATAAACCCGCGACACCCAGACTTTCCAAGTCATGCGTATAAACCGATGATTCCCACTCCTCAGACGGCTCTTCGGTGGAACGGTCACAGGGGGGGGAGGTGCGGAATAGGGCAGCCTGCGATACTCACTACCTTACCTACCTACGGTAGTGACGACGCAGGCCCAGTACGGTGCAGATACCCCGAAGCAGATTATGTGCAAAGATAACTACGTATTCAAGTAGTACATCGATGCAAAGCGTTTGATTCAGACCCGTTCTATCAACGCATCTACAAAAAAATATAAACCAAACCAATATCCAACCAACGGACAGAGTAATTGCAATCGAGACCCGAGGGCTATAAAGCAGATAGATATGGATAAGGAGAATGGGATCGGCAACGGCAACGGCAACACTAAGATAAGGCATAATGTGACAAGACACAACTTCGAACCTTTTGAGGAAAGCAAAGAAAGACAACTACATGTGATAGGGACTATCTACTCAAGAAAGACAAGTCAGGTCGAGACTGCAATATGCATCAATTGATTTACTTTAGGGTCTGAACCCCAAACTCTAGGTATGGACTTGATGAAACCAGATAGTCAGGCTAGACAATACTGACTAAACAGTAAGGGCCAAATAATGTAACATATAACGAACTGCATAACAGCAGCATGAGAAAAATGAATTCAAATTCAAATCAACCAACTCCGAACGTTCAGCTAGAACATCAACCAGGTCATACCGGACCAGTAGTGCGTGAAAAGGAGAGACAGAGACATGATCGTCGGACGCCGCGGAGAATGCATAAGGATCGTAAGGGTGTATAATAGGATACATGAAGTCGTTTGAAAGGAAGGACATGGTGGTAAAAGAAGATGAACGCCGTATGCATGCTAGAAAGAAGTCAAGAAAGCGCAATTTTGAAACCGAGGATTCTGTTCAAGGTTGTCGGTGTCGAGATGATGGGAGAAAGAGTAAGTCTATAGAGCCATCGCGACCATGGCGGCACCACCAACCATGACGAACAGTTCGCGTCCCAGACCGTTGGTGGAAGCGGCGTTGTCGGTTTGAAGACCAGGAGCCGGTCCAGTCCCGCTGCCCGTCGCGGCGGCGTGGTTGGTGCGAGTGGGATGCACGACGGTCACGGCAGTGACGGTGCTTTGCTCGCCGTTGGACAGAGTGGTGGTGCGCTTGTAAGTCGAGGTGTAGGGAGTGGTGTGCGTCTCCGGCGCCGAAGTAGTGTTCTCGTCTTCCTTGGAGGAGGATGAGGTGGTGGTGTGGATGGTAGTGGGAGCTTGCGAGGTCGTCTTCTCCGTGGTCTTCTCCGAGGTCTTCTCGACCGAAGTCGCGGTGGGCTCGGTGTGGGTGGACGGAGCGGCGGTAGTATGGGTGGTATGTGCCTCAGTGGTGTGGGTAGTCGGATCGGCCTTGGTAGAGGTGGGTTCGGCGTGAGTCTCGGTGGTGGAGGGGGCTTTCTCGGTGGTAGAAGGCGCTTCAGCCGTGGTGGTCGGAACGCTGGCCTCGGTAGAGGGCGGTGCCTCCGAATGCGAGCTGGTAGTCTCCGGGGCAGCCTGAGTAGTCTTGGGAGCTTCAGTCGTCGCTTGAGTGGCAGGAGCTTCGGTGGTGGTGTCAGCAGCCGGAGCGGTGGTTTTGGGTTGAGGCGCCGCTTCGGTGGTGGGCTTGGGCTGTTCGACGGCCGAGGATCCGCCGTCCCGCTTGCCCATCTTCACGATGGGAGAGATGCTGTGGGCGGCGTGTTCGCTGCGGTACTGATCAAGCAGCTCCATGAACTTGTGGACGGAATTCTCATCGACGTTGGTGAGATACTCGTGGAAAGCGGAGTTGCTGGCGATCACATCCACATGAGGCTGCTGTTCAGCCGTGGGGATAGCGATAGCAGATGACGCGATTGCCGAAGCGACGAGAAGTTGAATGAGGCGATTCTTGACAGCCATTGCGTATGTTGGGTTGTGTGATGTACAGAGATGAAAAAGACGAGTGGCTGCCTAACTCAGATACGAGTGGTACTTTCGGATGGAAGAAATTGAAGAGGGTGGAGTGATTTAGTAGCCTCCGAGGATAAAGAGTCAGAGAGAAGGATGATACAGGATAGAGACGAAGAACTCCGACGAGGGGAGGAAGGAATAAATACAACGGAGGAAAGAAAGAGGAGGCAAGGACGAGTCCCGAGAGGAAAAGCAAGCGATAGGGAAATCGTGCCTTTTTGTTAGCCAGAGATGGACCGGTCGCAAATCAAGGCTGGATCTTTGCCTAAAGACTAAAGACTAAAAAGCACGAATGGGCGTGGACCAACTTGGCAGCGGAGTGGAGCCCCGATGGAAATCCGCTAGAAGGATGGAGGAGAAATTTCGACTAGCAGCCACTATAGATAGACTACCGTGGTTGCCGGAGCACTGCCTGTTCCACTGAACAGTACACAGTAAGTTGTGTAGACGAGAAAAGGTCCGTAGTTCTATTTCTGACAGAATACGGCGAAGGCAAATGCGCCGGAGAGAAAGAAGAAAAAGTCTAAAATGAACAATCGACCGGTGTAAATGTGAAGATTGAAAAAACAAAAAACCAAAAGGACCGGGATGAAGCCGAGGGAGCCGATAATCGATACGAAAACAAACCCGTATTCCGAAGCCAATCAAGGCGGCGTAGACGGATGACACCACCCTGACCTCAGACAGTCTCACTTCCCCACTCCTCCTACAGTCTGATCTGTCGTATCGACAGCACAGATATTTCCAGGTCAAGCAAAACAATATTCCGTATGCGCAGGAACATCGGCAGGATTGCCATCCAGGGATCCAGGCCCCTGGTTCCTAGCCAACATCCCTGGGCCAGACAGAGCGCTGCCATGGCACCGTCCATGTGAACAAAAACTTTGCAAACGGTCAGAGGCAAAAGGAAGATTTCCGCAGTCCGCATTCGGACGATACCGACCGTCTAGGTTCTGACTCAGCCAGCCAGGTCACGGGACCAGGCTATTCTTGGGCGAGGATGTGGCCGGCCTCGTCCCGGATTGGCCAGGATTCAGCCAAAGGGTGCGGTGCTAGCCGTATGCGGACTAGCTCAGCGAGGCTTGGCACTAGCGTCCTCGGAAATAGAAATCTTGTCTCGCCCAACTGCAATAAATAGAACTGAAAAAGTAAACGGATTGTTCGTCGTTTGTCGGGTCGCACAATGTCCATGACGACATGGATCTCGCTAGGAGACCAGGGTCTCTATCCATTATTCATATTCCGATCTGATTGAAGGGTTTCCTGGGCTAGGAGCTAGGAGCTAGGAGCTAGGAGCTCTCCACCCGATTGTTTTGGTTGTTGGTTGTTATTATTTCGTATGTTGGATTTGGAAAAGGGACAGGGATAAAGGGACAAGGGACAAGGCCCGTCCTCTATTGACTATGCCCCAGTCTCTATCGCTTCTGATCCATTCCTAGGGCAGAGAGATTTTGCGCCCCGTTCTAATTCATCTTAACAGTCAACTCTGGGTCGAAAGTTGCTAGCTCCAATGGTTTGTCCAAGACAAACTCAATTGTTGTCCCTTGCAAATACCTCCGTCATCTCCTTCGAAGCAAGCATTGCCGAGAGATCCGGGGCTTTAGCTGTTGAACCTTGGTGTTCTGGTATCGAGCGGGGTTTGCACAACTAAGTCGAAAAACCTACACAGTACGGAGTACAAAGTACGGAGCATTGTAGACTTAATTATGCACGACATCCTGCGCGGTAAAGATCAACAACTCTCTCGGCGAACAAAACTATCTCCCCGGCAGGTGGCTGCGGGCTACCGGTTTACGGGCCGCACAATGTCGATCTATCCTGTCGTGTAGCTCGTTACTCGTACGAGGGATTTGGATGTGGTGTCAAAGATGACAACATTCGAGGAACATACTCGAACGAAAAGACAGTTAGCCGAAAGTCTGACCACCATTATCAGCAGATTGATGCCACGGAAACACGCCCCCAGAAGGTGTAACACATGCTGTAAACTCTCTCCCTCGGAAGGGGAACGCACCGACGAAGATCAATCACCGTTGAGGCAAATATTCCGTGATGATAACATGAGCCAAAGCATGATACCATGAGTATCACAGTTAAGTCGTTAAATTGACATATCACCATTGCTCCATCCTCGGGTCCCTGTCGCGATCAGTACCCAAGTCCGAGCTCCACATATCGGTTGCACCAAACCTCGGTCTTGGTTGCCTTGGTCTAGTAGGTATGAGATCATACTCACCTTAACTACCAAAATCAATTGGCCAATCTCGTCCCATCAATTGATGGCCGATCGTTCCTCCATCAAGCCGATATCATACCTACAGAGTAGTTAGGTAGGCTACCGCACAAGAAGATAAAACCTTCACGCTGAATAAAGAATTAACTCGTTTCCCTCTTCTTGACTAATTGTTTGTCCCATCTCCCACTATTGTGCTACCTACGCATACGTTACCCCCAACTATGCCCCAACTCAACAAACTGAACCAGGATCCCCTCCCTCCAAGAACAAGGATATCCCAACCATTTCACAGACCTTCTAGATAAAACTAGATACGCCAAGCCTCAGGAATCATATTCTTCGATATCCAAGCGCATCTGGCGCCCGTGTCACGGTTTTCGTAAGAATGTCTCTGTTCCTGGATTTCGTGCCACGGAAGAGGTGCGTCAGGGGCGGTTAGCTTTAATGATTTCCTGAGTAAAGAGAGGGTTAGTTGTAGGTAGGTAGGTGTTGGTGTTGTGACGGGTATACGTAGAATTTGTAAGTTGGGTGGGATTGGGGATGTTGATGGAAAAGGCAGGAATTCATTCTGTATCGTTGAGTCGTTGGATAGGTTGATATTGATATATTTAGTAAGAATAGAATGTGGAAGTAGACAGGAGATGAAATGGGATTCTTTCACCGAAGGCGAGAAATCTGTAGAACAAGCCTTGACTGGCGCACTACCTCATCAATTAAACACAGTTTTACAAGCTACTCTCGGCCCAGCACCCTCCAAACACAAGAACCCATTTGTTCACTCACAACATAATTAAAATTAGCAATATAACAGGAGGTACACATAACCTTTTCCACCATCCTTCATATTCCCCCGCGCTTTTTCTTGCTTTTGTTTATTTCTGCACTCGAACTCGAAACCATAAAAAGCAAACTGAAAGATCAATAAAAACAAATCAACCAGAATTAAGTACCTCCATTGTTCCGGACCATTGCCATGCTGGACTGATAGGTCCGATGGTGCTTCCAGAAAATCAAGTTGTCCATTCCTGTCAAGCATGTAAGTATCAGCAATCTGTATGCTCCAAATGACAATGAAAGTTTACGGAACGTACAGCCCAGCAGCTATGCGGGTGATTAGCCTGTCCGCAGTGGATGTTGGAAATGATCTGTGATACAGTCAGTTATTCATTGGTCTTTAGTTATTCATAGGAATGTCTGGGGGTAGGAAGACAGGGTAAAAACATACATTGCCAGATGTGGACAGACAGCCGTCGTCTGACTGGCAGTCGTTATCTGAAGTGCACTGTTGAAGTTAGTATCTCTAGTTGACTCTGTTGGATTTAGGTATGTTGGAGAAGGAGAGCATACGTAAACGCCCGCGGCACAGCCATGCCAGCGGTATTCGGACACCGAGTGCTCGGTGTCGGGGATGGCTGCGGCGAGAGCTGCGGTGCTCAGACCGAGGGCTGCGATGAGGAGAGGAGCGGTAAAGAACTGCATGATGGTAGGTAACGAGAGAGTAGAATTGAAGAAAGAGAGAGTATATATGTTTATGTGTAAGAAACGAGCGGTAGTTCAGTTTGATGATCAGATCAGAATCCACATCTGAAGGAGATCAAGACGAGATATTTATACACGCCTTGGTTTCACCATCCATATCAAATCCGTAGCCGTCACGGTGAGATCAACTGTGGCGATATCATGGATATGGATCTACCATCTCATTTCTTCTCTTGTGTTGTCTGATTATCTGGGCCCAGACGCGATGCAATGCAATGCAAGGAACTGGGGGTCGAGCCGGAATTTCATCGCGGCCTGGGACTTGCGTCCGACATGCAACGGTGATATCTCAACTTCTCCACGATTTCCTCTTGCATGCTCAATATTCTGGTCTAGACAGATGCCGTGGAACTGTCGAGATAGTCCATCGCACTGCTGGTCTGATTCTCAACGACGCTGCCTTGTTTACGATGAATCCGACAAGCCCGGACGAGCGAACACAAGTACATGCATCCATAGTTACCCAGAGCTGTAGGTAAGCTTACCTTAGATCAGTCTCATATTTTCGAGCCTTCTCCCGTCCATTTTGAGTCCTTAATTATCCAGGATCAACCCTCCCTGGAACAACCATTGGCTGGATGAGAATCTCACCTTTTCGTCGCCACACACACTCACACACCCCATAGTTACCTATGTATGTAGGTATCCACGACCTCTATCGCGAGGATTATCCAGATCAACCCACCTCCCGGAAACATACCTCTCTATGTCGCACCCGTGCAGCTCGAACCTGAGACAGCTAGAACCTGAGGTAGGTAAGTCCACCCATCTCTCAAACGCCACTACGACATACAAACGACACAACGTGCCCCTTCCCTTAATCCAGACCAATAATCCCACAACCTCTTATCACCCACCGCCCACCACCCGACTCTGTCCTACAAAACCAACCCAACGAACCTATCATACCTCCATCCCCCCCTCGTACCGTGACACCGTACCTATGTCTTCCAGAATAGAACGTCGCGTCGCGCCACCCACGTCCCCGGAGCGGAGCTGAGCTGACCTGAACGCTGAAAATAACTACAAGTACGTATGTGCATCGCTCCACCCCCCTTCTTCTTTGCACCGCTCCTCTCCTGATGTATGTCTTGCCAGACAAAGACGATACGATACACAGATGGTTGGATACTACATCCCTGCTCCGCTGTTACACATGGCCCGTCCAATTGTAGACTCGTGTTCGGAAGCAGGTACAACAGCGGCGTTGGGGGCGGGAGTATCGTAATCTCCTGCTTTCTGCATGTATCCTGCGGATGTGAGTATCCGGTGGATTCTTACATGACCGATGTCAGATGGAAAGCGTTGCGTGGGGAGATGGCGATGGGACGAGAACATGCGAGAGGGGAGAGAAGGAAGGGGAAGGGGAAATGCAAAGGATGCAGGGTGTCGTTGAACGGGCAAAATTTTAATTGCAGCGCTGTTGTGGTCTCGAAAAACCTGAATGCATGGATATATGTATGTCCTGTTGAGGGGCGTTGAGGTAGATAATCATAGAGATGCCAAGATACTAGGGAGGGGTGTGAATTAATGCTTTTGAATGGGTTGAGAGCAATAATTATGTTTGTTTGAATTCAGCTCCCTGTGCGTTATGAACATATCCGGAATTTCATCTGAGACAATGACATACCTAAAGGTGCATAGCTATGTCCTTCTACGTAGTTCTGGTCGAGGAATCGATGCACGACATATGCCAAGGAGCGGAGGCGACCGTCTTAGCTTTAATCCAGGCTCTATAGGTCGAAGGAAATGCCTCAATACTGAATCTAGACGCAGTCAGAGGACGTCGATGTGGCTTCTACATACGTCAACCTGTCAAGAGATATGAGCAAACGCCTCCTTCAGGACGTTAAGGTGAGTTTGTAATGAAGGAGCGATCGGCACGCTGCGAAGGAAAAGGGGCCATCGCATTTATGCACTAGTTATTCACTATGTAAAGCTCGGTTTTAATTAATAATGCTTGTTTTAAGGTACGGTGTGGGAGGTTGCCCCAGACATGGAGATGGACAAGCCATATGTTAGGCTAAGGCAGACCAACAAACAATCTGCTGTACGATAGGCTGTTGCATCAAAGGCCATCCCTGCTCAAAGACCAACACCGTACATCCTTCTGGAGGGATCTACCCCGCTCGCAGGAAAGACACCCAGAGGTTCCATGCAAGGGTTGGTTGGTTTGACAAGCCGATCCCATTGGGTACGATGGGTCACCGGTTAGGAAGGTCGTGGATGACTCGGTCTTGAGACCTGCTTCTATGACTGCCAGACCGACTCCGCGTGACGTGCGATAGGCACCAACAGACAACCTGAATACCCACTGCCCGGATCCCGTTTGTGGTAAGAGTTGGTTGTTGGTGGCATATTCCTTTTACTCCTGGCTAGTGCTCGATTGAGATTAAGATTATAGACTGAAAGCTGGTATAAGAGATCTTTTGACCGCCCCATGGTCAAACTCCTTTGATGCCTCTTCTCAAGAAACTTCCGCGCGCAGACCTCCCATCTATCCGCAATCGTTGTCAACATGGGGCAGCTTCTCGAGAAAAAGCTCATCTATCTAGTGAATTTGTTCACGATTGTTGCTTCCGCAATCATTCCATCTAGCGGACAGCCTTTTGAGGATGCCGTGTCTCTGATGGATTCACCGGTGCTGGAACTCCGCTCGGAGACCTCGTCCTTTGAATGGGAAAGCGTACGGATCATTGTCTAAACATTCCTAATATGCCTACTAAGATGCTCAACAGATTACACCAACTCCGCACTTAGTGTATCACCCATGTTTCGAAAACTATCAATGTGCTCGTCTGGAGCTTCCAATGGATTGGAACAGGGCCGACCAAAACGGATCGAAGATCGCCTTGGCGGTAATCCGACTCCCTGCAAAAGTGCCGGTGACCGATGCGCGATATGGCGGTCCGGTGATATTGAACCCAGGTATGGCCTTGTGATCCTCCCCTTCTGAGCATCTGTATGTATATCCTGGCTGATGGCTATCAGGTGGACCGGGTAATTCGGGAGTACAGCAAGTCCTTACGGAAGGAAAGCTTATGCAAGGAATCGTCGATCCCGAGTCGACAGATCTCAGTTCAGTATACCATACGGCAGCCGGCAAATATTTCGACATCATCAGCTTCGATCCAAGAGGGATTAACAATACGACACCTCCATTCACCTGCTTTCAAAACTCGGCATCACGAAAAAAGTGGCAAGATCAGGCAACTGCGGAAGGTATGCTCGGGAGCTCGGAGATCGCTTTCGATTTGTCTTGGAGTCGAAATGCAGCGTTGAGCATGATCTGCTCTCAGGCTTATGAAGATGTTGTCTCAAAGGGCGAAGAGTGGCTCGGTCTCCATATGAACACGCCCACCGTGGTGGCTGACATGGTGGGACTGATCGAGCGCCATGGAGAGTGGCGGGAGAGAGAAACCGAGACCCTTTTACAGTCCGCTCAGAAAACACCGGAGAACGAAGCAATCCGACGGCAGAATCGCTGGAAGCAAGGCGAAGAGAAACTGCTTTACTGGGGTTTATCCTACGGTACCGTTCTCGGCATGACGTTCGCAGCAATGCACCCAGATCGGATCCAGCGCGCCGTCATAGACGGTGTGTGCGATGGCCAAGACTATTATTCCGGAAACTGGCTCAAAAATATCCAGGATGCGGATGAGGTGTATAAGAGTTTCTTTGAATACTGCCACGAAGCGGGGCCGACGAAATGTGCCCTCGCAGGCGATAGCGCGGAGGAGATCAAAGCCCGCATAGACGAGCTCATTGAGAGATTGAAAACCAACCCTGTCCCTGCCCTTGCGTCTGCGAATCGCCCCCCGGATATGATCACCTATACCGATGTCAAGAACATGATCACGAACGCGCTCTATGAGCCCATGGACGAGTTCGAAACTATGGCGCAGTTGCTTGCTGATCTCTTGCGCAACAATGGTTCGTCGTTTGCGGATTTCAAGTACCAAGGCGCCGAGGAGACATGCCCAGGAACGGTGGTACCAGGAGATAATAAATACGAGGCGCAGGCGAGCATCGTTTGTACTGACGGAGAGAATATCGATGGGATTACGAAAGACAAGTACCGGCGATACTGGCAGACTCTTCAAAGACAAAGCAAAACCATTGGCGACACATGGGCTATGGTGCGTCTACCGTGTATTAAGTGGAAGACGCAACCAGCGTGGCGGTTTGATGGTGAGTTGATTCTTCATGTGTGTTTCGTGTCTCATCAATGATATCCAGGGCCCATCGCCGGCAACACGTCGCATCCACTTCTATTCGTCGGGAACACATATGACCCAGTCACTCCTCTTCGAAAGTAAGACTCCTTTCACATTTCTATTTTGAGTGTTGTTTCAAGTTAACGCGTTGCCAGTGCCGTTAGAATGTCGCGTCAATTCCCTAGGTCTGTCGTGTTGCAGCAGGATTCCTTAGGAGTAAGTGTTTTGTTCCCACGTCAATGGATCAACAGGCCTAACATCTAGATATTGCAGCATTGTTCCACCAGTGCTCCTTCATCGTGCTCGTATGAGATGATTCGCCGATACTTCCAGACTGGCGATCTTCCTGAGCCCGGCACCATTTGTGAGGTGGACCAGCGGCCGTTCGGTCTTCCTCCGGTATAGATAACAAGGAAGGTCGGCAGCGCCTATCTGGGCTCGGCATGGTTAGCTGTTGTCATGGAGAAGTGTCCTCAGGTATCTCCACACAGAAGGTAGAACTTGGACCGAATCACATATTAGACTGGATACGAATGTCCGATGCTGGCCGACGTTTTGCGGGGTGCATTCCATTATCCAACAGCATCGTGTTTGCCGAGGTAGCCGTACCTTGTCCCATATGACAAGCGGAGTTCATTGTTATATAATAGTCCATACCGATTTGTAACGTTTTCAACAAGCGAGCCGCGCCTACAAGCGAGCCGCGCCCTTTCCACCAAAACTCCTACTTCCTAAGGCTTTTCAACCACCAACGCCATTAAATTTGACTGATTAAATACATGAAATAATAGCTATTTTCTAGGGCAATTTCGAATTGTATGTCCGACTGTTCCACACCCACTACAGCGTTGCGGAGCTCGTCGACGAGGCGCTGGAGTAGATTCCGCAGGCTGCTCATTAAGCTGCGTATCAAGCTGCTGAACGCGATTTTCACCTTCCTGTACATTAAGAAGGCGGTCATTACTTATCTCAGCACGTTTTCTTGTCTTTCTCTGACGTTGCCGTTCATTTTCAGCTCGTATAGCCTTAATTTCTTGTTCTAAAAGCAGCTGGGTTTGCATCGCTAATTGTGCCGCTTTCTCAAGATGTCGAATATGAGCAATAGGACTGCTAGAAAGCTGCCGTTTTTTGTTAAGGCTATTTTGTAGGCTTTGGACCTTTCGATTTAATTGACGAGTATTCTGCGGAGTTTGAAAAGCAGAGGAAATTGAGTCTTCAATTAGTGGTGGCGTAGGTGTACGTAGTTGAAAGGTAAGCTTAGAAAGAATATACTCTGGATCAAGCGGCTTAAGTCCTGCTTCTCTAAAATCGTTGCAGATATTAGCTGAAGTAAAGACTTTCTTATGCGCATCTGGATATAGTGATAGAAAGTCTTTTTTATCAATGTGGTTGTTACCAACAGCCATACGGTCTTCAAGAAGCTTTCCGTACACCCTTTTAAGCGGGCCAAAAACGCTCACATCAAGCGGTTGAAGAAGATGCGAAGTATGGGCAGGCATGCAGAGACAAATTATTGCATTCTGCTTGCAGAAATTATCGAATTCAGCAGTTAAATGACTGCTATGACCGTTAAGAATAAACAACCGCTTTGCATCAGTCATATAGCGCTTAGAAAGCGGTTCAAAGACATTTTTTAGCCAGAGAAGATCTATTTTATCAGTCGTCCAGCCATTCTGACTAGTAGAAATCCACCAGTCGCGAGGGAGCTTAGGTTCTTGGAACCAGACAGCTTGTTGATAGCTCGCTTTTAATATAATAATTGGCGATAGATATACGCTTTTTGATCCGATTGTTTCGATGATTGTAACTCATTCACGATTGCCCTAAATGACTCTGCGCGGTCGCTCGCTTCGCTCAACTGCAATAATCACTTTTGAAGTAGAGCAAAGTCCCATTGCAAAGCCAGTTTCGTCGAAATTCCAGATGTCATCTTCATGTATGCTGTGCTCTTGAATAGTCGCTCGTACAGCTTCAAACCACGGGATTATAACTTTCGGATTCTCCTGCTTTGCGCGCTGATAAGTAATACGTCTTGTATATCGCGTACGTAGCTGAGGATGGCATTTAACGAAATTATAAGGCCAGTTAGTTCTGATAACTGCGGTAGAGTCGTGTACACGATTGCGAAGCAAAATCTGGACCATTCCACGTAGAAATTCGGGTCGAATTGGAAATCCTCGCGTATCTGCATCTAGTAATCGCCTTAAAAGCAATTCCTCTTCAAATTCGGTCAGTTTATGACCATTAGCGCGTGTTTCTGATCGTGATTTGGCGCCATAAAGCCTGTCGCGTACAGTACTTTCAGGAACTGTAAAAAGAGCCACAGCGCGTTTAATTGATTTAACTTGGCCTTTTTGATAGGCTGAAATAGCCATCTGAATACGCGATTCTTTAGAAAGAGGCATATTGAATTGTGGTGACGAGAAAAGACGCGTTGAATTAAGAAAGCAGATATTTTGGTGGAAAGGGCGCGGCTCGCTTGTAGGCGCGGCTCGCTTGTTGAAAACGTTACTCTTCACAAGATATGTACCTATAGCATATACCATATTACACCCCTTAAGCCAGTCAGATACGATGGACCAACTCTGGTCCAACATCGTGGAATCCTACTCTCCACAATCCATCGAATTCATAGGCACCCTCGCCATCCAAATCCTCACCTTCTGGATCCCCTCCCTCTGCTACCTCCTCCTCGACATCCTCTTCCCAACCTTCTCCCACCGCCACAAGATCCAACCCGCCGCCAAACAACCCACCCGCCAAACAATCCTCCACTGCTTCTACATCGTCGCCCGCAACCAACTCCTCACCTCCCTCCTCCACCTCTTCCAAATCCACCTCCTCCACCACCAACCCTACCGCATCACCTCGTCCCTCCCTTCCCTCCCCTCCCTAGTCTACGACTTCATCCTCAGTCTCCTCCTCCGCGAAATCCTCTTCTACTACACCCACCGCCTCCTCCACCACCCGTCCCTATACAGCCAGATCCACAAAGTCCACCACAAATTCACAGCCCCGATCGCGCTGTCCGCTCAATACGCGCATCCCATCGAACAGGTGCTCGCTAATGTGTTGCCCATCGCCCTCCCGCCGCAGATCCTGCGTAGCCATGTCGTGACCTTCTGGGTGTTTCTGGGGTACGAGTTGCTGGAGACGGGGATGGTGCATAGCGGGTTTGATTTCTGGGGCGTGGCTAGGATGCATGATTTGCATCATGAGCGGTTTCGGGTTAATTTTGGGGGGTTGGGGGTGTTGGATTGGGTTCATGGCACTCTTGGTGTAGGGGGGTTGGAGGGGGTGATGGAGAGGAAGGGGGATTAGCTGGGTTGTTGGTCGAGATTCTCTTGTGGAGGATAGTTGGGTATGAAATAATGTAAAAGGTGTTTTTTGAAGGGTTCAGCGAGTGTAGCTATACTTCTTCCTGGACGTATATGTACCTACGTCTGGACAGTCGCCAGGGGTTATGTATAGATGTGTGGAGCCTTGGATGCCTGAGGATGTATGTAATATGCCAAGCAATTTGCAGTTTGCTTATGACCATTTCTTGTCGCAACAACAATAACATAACCATCTCCATGATGATCTAAATTATTTGGATAATTTCTTCGAGTGACAAGATTAATCTGCGCTGTATCTAGAGTGCCTACAATAATTTGTACTAAGCGATTGACCCATTGATTAGGGGAAACTCTATATCGTGTGTACGTCTCTTGCCGGGAGTATATATTTGCTCAATGGGGCCAGACAAGGTTGCAGAATGACTGTGAGGGGATAGCTTAAAGATTTTTATATATATACCCCGTTGATGAGTGTTCTCCAATGCGTAAAAAATAAAATAAAATAAAATAAAAAAGTGAGTCGTTCAAGTGACTTGGCATACTGTAGAAAACATTAACCATCATGCTATTCCGTATGTAAACCTAGAAGGGTAACTAAAATGGAAGCATGATGGCTACTACCTGCCTGTTTAGGAAAGGTGCTTGCGACCGGCGAGCGCCATCTCACATCTCTCCTCTCTCATCCTTCTTGTGCCTGTTCATCCTGACATCACTTATCATCAATGGATGCATCCTAGAACAATCTCTCTCTCTCTCTCTCACACAGTAACTTTGACTACGACAGACAAGAAACTACCCTACCGCTTGAAGACGCCTAACTCGTGAATGTGCAGTTTCTGAGATCCCAGATCGTCAAGCGATGTACAGTACATAGATTAGATTGCATGAATCGAAACTCCTTACTCGAATCACAACTGCAGACTTAACACCTTACTGCCATGGCAAGATTTTCTCTCGCCTTTCTAAATATATCCCGCTGCCAGCGAATGAATCTAGACTGAGACAATCGGGTTCTAGAACCGCGTTACCATCAAGCCACACGGTCGCTCCTCCAATTAGTCCCAGCCGCGAGAAATTGCTCGTCTCTAGTCCGGATACAGCAGAATGACCGACTGACTGACTCCCTGTCGGATGGCGTACTCCGTGGGATGACATCAAAAGCAAAATACTCTACATAGCAGACGGGATCCAATTCTGACTGGGGCCATTTTATTGCGATACTCTCTGCAACGGGTCCCGGTGGTGGCCTGTCCCCTACTAAAAGGCTTATTTCGTCGCTTCACGCTTATGCCACCTGCTAAGACGAGGCCTTTGTTTCACTCGCGAAATAAGCATGGACTCAGGGGCGAAAAGCCGCACGGATCCCGTCTTGTATCTTACGGACTGGGGTCTTGCTGACGGCTTGGCCTGGCAGACTTTTTCGTTTTCTTTATCTTCAAGATGAGAGTTGTCGAAAACCACATTTCCGGCCGTTTCTTTGTGGAATTACCCGCGAGATGAAATAGATCAGGTCGACCTTCGGATACGTTGTGCGTTTGACAGTGCGCGCTGCACCTTGGTTGTCGGTTGGGGGAAGTGGAGAGCGCTCTGGACGATTGAATCGTGATTTGCCACCCCGGGGGGCGAAGGAGTCCCGCGGGTCGCTGACAGTAGCCGATCCTATTTTAGGAGAAACATCGGCTTCGGTTTCACGCGCTGGAAGGACGAGGAAAAGGTAGATCTTTGTGGCTGTGAGAGCGGTACACTACGAAGTACTGCGTCTGGAGGTTTACTCTCTATCGTGAAGTTGTTTACAGGGAAATAGGGGAGAAGCTGGCATCTAGCATGATTCTGCACGGTGAGTGGGTTGCATTGAGGGAGATGGCGAGGTCTATTATTATTATTGACTGCTGCCTTGGTCATACCCAAGTTCAGGATGTCTGGGATGTGACGCGGGGTGATGCGCCCAGATAACTCGACGAGATACCAAGGAGTCTCGACTTCTGATTGGAATGTCCACTAGGTTGTGTTCCCATTCACGGCCAGTCAGGACGAGGCGATGGTATGACCACGGGAATTTGTGTCAGGTCTCTTTGTGCTCCGGAAATAAAGAGTCGAGCTGAGCCGTTGTCTTTCTTAGTGTCTGCTTGTTTATTTGTTTTCTCGAATCTCAAAAAAGGTGGGAATTCTGAAAGATGGGCGCACCTATCCATGGACCCTCGCCCTGGCTGGCCAGAGGGTCTCAGGGAATCCCCTGGTCTCGACCCACCGACCCCTGGAAGTCCTGAACAAAAGCTCCACCGCGGCATCAGAAATGGGAATCATCTTCATTCCGACTCCCTGTGACCCGCTTCTGCACAGCTGGACGGTTGGTGATTGATTGAGAGCGACCGAGAATCCAGCCAGTTATGGCGGGCGCACGGAGGGAGACCCTTGAGCCGGAGCCGATCTGGTCGCTTGTCAAGCAGTCAAGGTTCCTTAGTGAATTTCTGGCCAGGGTGGATGACGACGCTCTTTGCGGCCCCAGTTAGTCCTTGATACTTGGTACACAGTAAACACCACACGCACAATAATATGCGCACTGCAGGTGCTGTCCATGTATTCCATCGTAAATTACAGTCCCTGCAGACCCCCCCGAAGTCACTCCGGGCGATCTTTGTATGGCGGAGTGACCCGCCTCGTCCCTTCTGGCGATGAAATCCAAGTAATGACCCGGTATCCATACCTGCATTTTAAGGCACTTCCCCCCCATTCTTTCCTGCCCTTCCCTTTCTTCCCTTTCTTCTTGTTCCTTCTTTCCTTCATCCCTTTCGCTCGCTGAGATCCAATTCTCTTTCCTCTCGTTCTTCTTATTTCAACCCATCTTCTTGTCATTCGTTCCCACTCTATCTTCGGTTGCTTTCACTTCACTGGAATCTTCCGTTGCATTTTCACTTCTGCGCCTGTCTAGTGTAACTAAATTGACGTGTCTCGCCATTCTTTTCGGACCGTCTGATCATTCCTCTTATCACTTCGCATCTTCCACATCTCCATAATGAAGGGCTCCTCTGTTGCGACGGCCCTCGCGCTCGGTGCTTCCACCGCGCTGGCTGCTCCCTCTCTCGAAGCCCGTGACGACGTCACCGCCATTACCGTGAAGGGCAATGCCTTCTTCAAGGGTAACGACCGTTTCTACATGCGCGGTGTCGACTACCAGCCCGGTGGTTCCTCCGACCTGGCCGACCCCATCGCCGATGCCGACGGCTGCAAGCGCGACATCAAGTACTTCAAGGAGCTCGGCTTGAACACCATCCGTGTCTACTCGGTCGACAACTCCAAAGACCACGACGAGTGTATGAACGCCCTGGCGGATGCTGGCATCTACCTGGTGCTCGACGTCAACACTCCCAAGTACTCCCTGAACCGTGCCCAGCCCAAGGAGTCCTACAACGACGTCTATCTGCAGTACATCTTCGCTACCGTCGACAAGTTCGCCAAGTACAAGAACACCTTGGCTTTCTTCTCCGGTAACGAGGTCATCAACGACGGTCCTTCGTCCAAGGCCGCTCCCTACATCAAGGCCGTTACTCGTGATCTGCGCCAATACATCCGTAAGCGCAACTACCGTGAGATCCCCGTCGGATACTCTGCTGTAAGCTTCCCTGCAATGTCGATTGAAAGGTGATTAGTACTAATGGTGGTCCAGGCCGACATCGATACCAACCGTCTGCAGATGGCTCAGTACATGAACTGCGGTACCGACGACGAGCGCAGTGACTTCTTCGCCTTCAACGACTACTCCTGGTGTGACCCCTCCTCGTTCACCACCTCGGGCTGGGACCAGAAGGTCAAGAACTTCACCGGATACGGCCTTCCCCTCTTCCTTTCCGAATACGGCTGCAACACCAACAAGCGCAAGTTCGAGGAGGTCGCCGCCCTCTACGACGAGAAGATGACCGGCGTCTACTCCGGTGGTCTGGTCTACGAGTACTCCCAGGAATCTAGCAACTACGGTCTGGTCAAGGTCAGCAGCGACAGCGTCAAGACTCTTGACGACTTCGACGCCCTGAAGTCCGCCTTCGACAAGACCGAGAACCCCTCCGGCAGCGGCGGCTACAACAAGACCGGTGGTGCCAATCCCTGCCCTGCCAAGGACTCCCCCAACTGGGACGTTGATGACGATGACCTTCCCGCCATCCCCGAGCCCGCCAAGAAGTACATGACCGAGGGTGCTGGCAAGGGTGACGGCTTCAAGGGCAAGGGTAGCCAGAACGCCGGCACTACCTCCACCGGCACCGCTAAGCCTGGCTCCGGCTCCGCTTCTTCCTCGTACGACTCCAGCTCCGACTCCAGCAGCACCTCTTCTTCCTCCGCCGGTGCCGCCGCCGGTCTGCAGATCCCCAGCCTGACCCTGGCTCCCGTCGTCGTTGGCCTGGTCACCGTCGCCTCGACGCTGTTCGGCGCTGGCATGGTTCTTGTCTAAATCTTTTTCCCTTCCAGGAATAGGATATATGAATGCTACATCCTCGTTTTTTTTCTTGTTTGGTTCGTCAGTTCATCGCTGGCGAATTTATCAATTCAGTTTGTGTTGACGAAATGTCCGCGGCGTTTTTTCGGCATAAGACATTTATCTTCAAGTTGTACAGTTGGTCGGCTGATTAGTAGCCAATTAAGCTTTGCCCTCGTATAGAGCCATAACCATAATTATGATTCCATTCTATTTCCATCACATCCCAGATTCTCAGGTGCCATGACATCCAAGCGCCCCCCCCCCCCCCCCCCCATTCCACCCCACTAGCAATGCTTAGCCTGGTCGGTCCAATAAAGACCCAGGTAATATCCGGCTTAATATGAATTAATATAATCACCAGGCATCAGCCAAAAGGACTTGGCCAGCAGATGTAATCTCACGGCACGATCGGCCCTGAGCCCTAATTGCCTCTTCCAGCACTCAGGTGACCCACTCGGTGCGGGCCGATTTTCTCCTGGTTGAGCATCTCGCGACGCTTCCAGTGTCAACCACAGACAGGAGTCTTGCATCACTTCACACTTGCACGACTCACGCCTGACGAGTCACGACTAACGTCAAGGTTGTGGGTAAGGCTCTAACTCTGCTCTGACAGACGTCGGGTTTTCCGGGGATGTCGGTGAGTTCAAGCCAAGCATTCATCCGATGAATCCGATCCCTTTAATTAATTCATTCCTTAGGATAAATAATAGTATGGATGGTTCGGACATCAAATGATCGCAGAGGAGATTACTCCTCCCTGCAGAACTAGCCAACAACATTACTCGGGTTGAATCCGAAGTTTCCCCTCGCGCCTGCTCGACCAACGCTACGGGCAAAATTAATTCGAGTGAAACCAGCGTCTGCCCCGGTCCTGACACATTGTTCGCGATGTCTGCTGGCAAGCCCAATCAGACGCACCGGTTTAGTGATCAATCCACTCGAATATGAACTATTTGAGGGGGCCCTGTTTCGTCTATATGATCGCGGCGACAATGGCCTTGCACGCCGCGCCGTTCAAAACCGCCAACGCCTTCGGATGAAACCTTTAATTGATTAAGTCCGCTTGGCATGTCCCACACCGTTGTGCCTCGGAGATAAACTCGACCCGCTTAAATTTGCTTATCTTGGTTCGAGCCAACGGCAGGGCTGCTCTTCGGGGCAACGTCAAGCACTGGCCTGCGACGGTCTTTGGGAGAGAATTCCCACGTGTGGGTAATCGCCGTACGGTTCGAGGGCTATTCCCACTTAATCAATATGCCCAGTGCATTAGTTTCCCCTTTCTCATCACCCTTCAATATCACTCCGTCTTGTCTACTGTGTACGGGTTCTCCATGACATGGTTGCAGGTTTGTTTTCCGGTCCCCACAAGGGGGACTTGTCCCCTGCCGTTCAGATGGATATATGAATCCCAGAAGACCTCGAGGGAAGCCTGGTCTTTTTTTTCTTTCTTCTTTCCTTTCTTCACACATTCCCTACCTTCTTTTCTTTCTTTTGAAGTTTTCGTTTCTTTCGGCTTCTCTAAGCCGTTCGTTCTTTCTTGGACTTGCTGCTGGGTCGGCTTTTTGTCCACAGTCTCTCTTTTGAACCACCTTCTGTCAGTCTTTACTACTCTTTTTCTTCTATTTCTCATCAGTTCTTCCGATTTTTTGATATTTTCGGAGAACCCCTTTTCATAACACACCATGCGTTCCTTCCTCGGAGGAGTCGTCGCTCTGAGCTCCGTGCTCGGGGCTGCGGCCAGAAACTACAACTCGTCCGCCTACAGTGACTCCGCTAGCGGAATCGACTTCCAACAATGGTGCGACTCGTCCAGCGGATTCTGTTTCGGTATGGCCCTGCCTGAGGATGCCGACACCGACTTCATTGGTCAGCTCGTCGTCCCTCTCAGCGATGGCAAGGGATGGGGTGGAGTCAGTCTTTCCAGCTCCATGACCCACGCCCTCCTGGTCGGTGCCTGGCCCAACGGCGACGGTGCTGTCGCAACCCTCCGTGAGACGACCTCCTACACCAACCCCGACGAGTACGACGGCGATGCCAGCATCGCGGAGATCCCCAGCGGAACCTCCACTAACAGCACCCACTTCACCTACACCTTCCTCTGCAAGGGTTGCATCGTTGGCGACCCCACCACCTTCAGCGCCGATGACGAGAGCTACTTCCTGGGATGGGCTCTCAGCAAGACCAGCCCTTCCACCCCGGCCTCCGCTTCCTCCGTCCTGAACTACCACGCCGCTGGTTTCGGTAGCTTCCGTATGCTCCTGAACGACGCCAAGTCCTCCAAGTACTCCACCTGGGCCAGCAAGGCCAAGGCCAGCACCTCGACTGCTTCGCCCTCGGCCTCCGTCTCGAGCGCCGCTGTCAGCGGTACTCCTACCCCCAGCGTGGCCCCTACCGTGTCCAACACCACCTACGACTACATCGTTGTCGGTGGTGGTGCCGCCGGTATCATCGCCGCCGAGCGTCTGGCCGAGACCAAGAAGAGCGTCCTGCTCATTGAGCGTGGTGGCGCCCACACCGTCCAGCTCGGCAACACCGAGGGTGCCCTCTCGTGGAACAAGAGTCTGACTGCCTACGATGTCCCCGCCCTGGGCAGCTCCCTGTCCTCGCTTGGTCTGCTCGACGACTACCTCTGCCCCGACACCGCTGGTATGGCTGGTTGCGTTCTCGGCGGTGGTACCATCGTCAACGCCCTTGCCTTCATTCACCCCCAGGAGGCCGATTTCGACGACAAGTGGCCCTCCGGCTGGAAGTGGGAGGATGTCAAGGAGGCCTCCGAGCGTCTGTACGAGCGCAACCCCGGTAGCTTGCTGCCCTCCGCCGACGGCAAGCGTTACGACCAGGGCATGTTCGCCACGCTCTCCTCTTTCCTGAAGGGAATCGGCTACTCGCAGGTTAACCAGCATGAGCAGCCCAACGAGAAGCACAACAAGTTCAGTTACCCCTCGTGGTCCGTTGCCAACGGTATCCGCGCCGGTCCCGTCCGCTCTTACCTCCCTCTCGCCCAGGACCTCGACAACTTCTCGCTGAGCCTGCACACCAAGGTTAACCGCCTGATCCGCCGCGGTGGCCGTGTCACTGGTGTTGAGGTCGAGACCGCCTCCGGCGGCGCCGAGATCATCAACGTCCGCGCTGGCGGTAAGGTTGTTCTCGCTGCCGGTGCCCTGTCCACCCCCCGCATCCTGTTCAACTCCGGCATCGGTCCCGCCGAGCAGATCCAGAACGTCAAGAAGGGCTCTACCGGTGTCACCGTTCCCCCCCAGGCCGACTGGATCAACCTGCCCGTCGGTGAGAACCTGAAGGATCACCCCATGTTCACGGTCACCGTCAACACCAACAGCAACTTCACCGCCTTCAACACCTCCAGCGTCATCCCCGGCCCTGCTACCTTCGTCGAGAACCTGTACAAGCATGCCTCTGGTGTTTTGTCGCAGGGTGGCCACCGTCTCCAGTTCTGGACCTCCAACAAGGGCTCCGATGGCGTGACCCGTTTCTACCAGGCCTCCTGCAGCACCAGCGCTGACGGCACCATCACCATGAAGCTGTACCTCACCCACGGTGCCACCTCTTCCGGTGTCCTGGGTATCAGCTCCTCCGGTTCCACCGTCATCGAGACCGACCCCTGGTTGCAGACCGATGCCGACAAGAAGGCCGTCACCGAGTTCCTCCAGGGCCTGATCGACGACATGAAGTCCGCCGGCAAGGGCTTCAGCATCTCGGGCGTCAGCTCCGCCAGCGACATCATCTCCAAGAAGACCTCGGGTGACCACTTCGTCGGTACCGCCAAGATGGGCACCGACGACGGCCGCCGCGACAACGGTACCTCGGTCGTCGACCTTGACACCAAGGTCTACGGTACCGAGAACCTGTTCGTCGTCGACGCCAGTATCCACCCCGACCTGCCCACCGGTAACACCCAGGCCATCGTCATGATCGCCGCCGAGGCCGCCGTTCCAAAGATCGTCGCCGCCAAGGGCCTGACTGGCTCCGCTGCTTCCTCCAGCGTTGTTGTCTCCGCCCCCGCCGAGCAGACCGCTGTCGCCAGCGTCTCCAAGGCCACCACCGACGCTACCGTTGAGGCCACTACCACCGAGGCTGGCTCCGCCGCCGCCACCGGCTCTGGCTCCAACTCCGGCTCCAACAACAACGGCAGCGGCAACCAGCAGGCCGGCTCTGCCACCGCTCCCGCCGTCACCCAGGCTGCCACCACCGCCGCCGCGGGTAACGGTAACGGCCAGGCCGCCGTCCCTCACACTACCACCACCACCAACGAGGCTGGTGAGCTGGTCGTCGTGACCACTACCAAGTTGGTCGTTGTTACCAGCACCACTACCATCACCGTCATGCCCACTTTTGCGTAGATGATGACATCTACATGAATGTGTTTTGCATGCATACGTGTGAGCGTGTGCTAGCGACGCGATGTGTTGATTCTAATACACAATCTTACCTACTTTACATTTTGTTTATAAAAAGAACCTTATTTTTAGTTAGCATTTAGGGAATCGTGTACAATGCAAGTATACTGCTGTAATATTCATCTTAACCTGCTTACCTACCTAGTTGGGTCTTTCTGCCTTGGATTGTGAGTAATGCAGTGTATATTCTGGAAGTTTGTATTTTACCTCCCTTTCCCCTTGGAATATACGTAGGTTGATTGGTTCTTTAAACTTTCTAGGTTAGTTCGTTACCCAGAAACTCAAGGTGCAAGTCCTACCCATTTTTAACCATACGACGTAGGTCTGTTGGGGTTAGTCATAGGAAAGCCAGATGATTTAGACTTTAGGATATATATATATTGACTGGGAATGAAGCGTCTACGTGTCCAATAATTATGTTTGAAGTCTTAATTGGCCGTTAGCCAGATGAGGTTTTTACACAGGCGTTGACTATGTACATACCTAGCTATGACCTGAAACAAGAAACGAAGCACGGATTCCTTCTTAGCTGGTCACGACCAGGTTTCTCTGATGGTGGAGATGGAAGTTAGTATACTTTAACCTCGTTTAGGTACGTCCTTTTTTCGGAATGAGAAACGCTGCATGGATATCTCTGTTATTGTCAATTTTTAAGCGGTCTTCACCTGGTCGGACCGGATACGAGGCGTCTTCTCGGTGTGGGGCGGAGTATCCAGGATAAAACAGCCATTGTTTCTCTAACAACTGTTGAGTCGTTAGTTAATACAAAGATACTTCCCAGATAGCAATATAGGCATCGAATTCAAACCAAAATACAGCGCACCGTCCAAAGACAGATGGACAGCCAGTAACAATGGCCAGCTACCTAAATACCTGCCTATTTCCCTGTCGTGAGCAGCACATATGAATCGTTGACGATGCTGGAACACATAGCCGGCGCTTTGCCTCCATTAAACATCAACTTCACGCATCCTCCTCGTGGTCATCGAAAGGAAAATGATCCTGCAAAGCGAATCTTTCCGCCTCTGTGCTGGACTGTTCCATCAAGCCTGCTTTGATTGCATTAACGATTTCCTGGGACTTCTTGAACTGCTCATGCGGGACCCATCCAAGAGAGTTAGATCCTATCAAGCCCCTCATCTCAGAGAGCTCCTGGATCTTCTCCTCTTCTTGGTCATGGTCATTTTCACATTTCCGTATCTCTCCCTCCGTGAACTTAATTGGGCAACCCGTCGGTTCGAAAGACGAAGCATCATTATCATCCAAAGACATAGGCCAATGCTTACATACTTGCAGGGTAGTGTACTTCAAAGACAAGCTATCTCCTTCCCAAGGTGCCCCGGCACGATTGAAGATTTTCGCCCGGAGCATTGCATTCTCATTTCTCAAAGCGTCAAAATGGTCCGGTATTTGTCTTAGCGTCAATGCAGCATAGTAAAAATGGACGATACGCCTTCGCATCGTCACCTGAAACGATTCTTGATCACTCGGATCAAGACGGTCGAAATTTTCCGGTAACTTAACGTCAGGCTTGGCCAGAGTCTCTGATAATGGATCGCCCCAATTTTGAAAATAAAAGGGTATACCAGCACATAAGCAGAGTGGCAAAGCCGCTGCATGCTGCCAATCAATTATCCCAATGATTTCGTTCGAAGAGTCAAGTAAAATATTGTTTGGCGAGAGATCGGGATGGCGAGGGGTAGGACGAGAGAAGCAATGGCTGGACGGTAAATCTAAGTAGGGCGCGAGCTCTAGATACTGCGAAAGGAGGCGAACGTGATCACTCGGTTGTAGTAGTTGAAATTGATGTAACTCTCCTAAATATCTCTCAACGTGAAGACGAGGGTTGCCAAAATGTCTACAAAACTCTATTTCACGTTTTGCAGGGGTTTCCAAACAGGCAGAAAAGCTATCCCCTATGGATCTAAGTTAGTAACATTTCCTGCATAACAGATAGAAACAATGTAGGTAACAGTAAAAAGGAGCATACATGGACCTCTGTCGATGGTTAATAATGCCCTCTCCTTGTACCACCATGCATGCTGTGCAGTGGGACCGACTACAAGTTGCTCTGATGAAGGCACTTCAAATTGTCCTGGGAGGGGAATAGCGAATTGTGATGAGTCTAGGTCCTTTCGGTAATAAATGCTCCCACTTGCTGGAAGGACTATTGTCATAAATCGTTTTTCGATGTCAACAATCTGCTTCATGATTTCCACCCGATTCTTGTTGTCCATACTAAACCATTGGTCACTCAGGGGTACCCCATCAAGCTTTTCTAGCAACAAGTATGCTGCTCCAACAGGGTTCTTGTGGTTCTGTGAATACCCGAGCACTCTTGGAACTGGGACATTATAGGACCGCAGAAGGCCAAGAGTAGCAGCTTCGCTGGCGACCGTGAGGCCTTTTGGCACCGTTATGTTATAAGGGATCCTGGCGATAACAGAGTATCCATCGCTGAAGGTAGCTTGGAGGACGCGATTGAAGCCCCCTTCCGCGAACTTGGTGATTGAAGGAAGATCGGATACCGGTCGTCTAACGGAATGGCATACAGCTCGTGCGAGGGCTTCGACATTGAATTCAACACGACGCTCTGCTCGACGAATGTTTTCATTATACCTAGAAAGTGAAGCTGGTCAGCAGCAATTCCATGAAGAGGGTTCAGAGCAAGACAGACAAAAAGCGTCCTGAAGTGTACTCGAACAAGTGATTGTCACGGCTTTGTGAACTCATCTTTCTCGCAGTTAACCGACATTTCAGTAAGAATGATTTCGTCGTGGACAGCATATCTTGAGGAACTAAGATAGTGACACAGGTATTCAGAAGTGAAGCCCTGCCATGCACCGAAATGCGTGGCTTCGCTGCTCGAGGGCGTCCATGAGCCGTCGTGCCAAGGAGCGGCTAGGGGGCGCTTATGATATATAGGCTTATCACCCCGAGAATGATAGTGTCCACTTGGAGCGGAGATCGCAGTTATGTGATCAGTAACAGCATTCGGTAGCATGCATTGACACTGTCATTTTGACACTAGTAAATGTGGGGTTGGAAACGGTTCGCACGCCAAAGGTCATGGTTCATTCGATGTAGAAATAGTTAGTCTACTACCTCATAGAGATTACTCAAATGCCATCATCGTTGATTATATCGAAATATTATCCTCCAGCTAGACTACATCAATCAAGCTTGTTCCCAGATACCAACATCAAACGGCACTATGCATTTCCAAACAGCCGCTCCCACCGTATAGCGTAAGCAACTAGACCGGTATGAGAAACTAGCTAGTCCGCGCGTGAGCAGAAGAACGCCTAGCGTGTCGGACTACCTAACAGGGTCTCGATCCTATCTTCTCAAAACACCCAACTCGGCAAGAACCGACGGAACCTAGCGAAAGCCCCAGGACCCGGGTCCAAAGCCGGGGACGCCCCGGGGCCGAGGGGATGGTCAGCGCACATGCGGACGTCGGCCATCGTAACACCCTCGGGTAGCTCTGCTGGGTCGATCCTCATCACGCCCAGGGACCCGCACTGGGCTTCTGCCGCGGCGATCTCTTCGGGAGTTGCGTCTGGGCCAAGGGCGGCGAGGGCAGTGGTAGCGGAGATGCCTAGGAGGAGGGCGAAGTAGGTGAGGGGTTTCATGTTGGATTCTGATTAGACGGTGATCTTCTGGGGTGGTCTAGTTAGCCTTGGAGAAAGACAAAAAGGAGATGAAGAGCAAGGAGGGGTGATCAAGAAAGAAAGGTGGGAGAAAGGGGGATTTCGTACCTTTGAAACTCAGGCAGGAATACTGGAGGGGTATAAGATATGGCAATGTTGGGAAGTAGCAGTTAGCCTGGTGAGAAGCCTGCTTCTTTATACAGCAAAGACCGCCGGCGTCGAGCCAACAGGCGACGTGGCCCTGGACAGCCTGATTGGTTGATACCTTAGTTTGCTGCCTGGCGACAGTGCAACCTTGATAGACAAAGAACACGCTCTCTAGCTGGCCCTTCGAGTAAATCATTGTAGAAGAATCAGGTGCTTCGAGCAATCCGCCAAACCTCTGCTAAAGGCAAGTTCCGAGAAGCTCTATATGAAGCGGAAGGTTCCATAAAATCGGCCACGAAGACCACGTGATATTGAAGCGGGCATTCCTTGACCTCCTAGTTAGCATTCAAGCTAGTTGAAGTAGTCAGGATTCCTACAATCATGAATGCTGTTGGAAAAGAAAGGAGGATGGAGAGATCTTCATGTACAAGCGAGGAACGTCGGTTTATATATCTGGGGATATATACCCGTCTGGGCGCCTGAGGCATCCTGACTGCAGGGATGCGTCAGCTTAGTGGTTGCATACGTTTGCTAATACCTCTAGTTCAGGCACCAGAGGTTATCTGTTTTTGCTTTCCTTTTGTAGATTCACATTGTAGACAGCCAGGCCAACCCATGGCTTTAACAATCATTAAAAAGGGGATACATCTATGAAAGGAATATACTGTCGTGGACATGTAGTGTTGGGCGATGGAACCGTGCCCTGAAGGTATGCCTGGATATATCCAAAGTAACAGTCCGACGCCCCCTGATCGATGACCGTGTGCTGGATTCAAAGGAAACATCGCGCGAGTAAGCCTAGACTCTTGGTCGAGATAGCAGTATGAGTGAAACAACTTACACCAACAGCTTCTTGCATTAAAAGTACCGATCCGGCAAACCGAGAAGACATCTTGCTCGCCCTATGATGAGATAACGTCAGCTAGACACATGCCTAATGGAGATGCGATCGGTCCAAACGTACGATATCAACGGCGTGATAGGGTCGATGGTATTACTCGCAAAGAGGATCGGGAAGGATGTAGGCCTCTCAAGTGCGCTTATTTCGTCTGCTTCACATGGTTAGACTTTATTTCCAATGCAGATGGTCAAGAGACAAAAGGAGAGTTGACTACCTTGAACTATCATGCTATCGGGCAACTGCGGTCTAAATGATCGGCACAAGATACCTTCCAGGAGGCTGGGGTAGATATCACCGATATACTTGCTCTTGGAAATCGTGTACTCCGTCCACATCTTGAACTCTTCTATGGTAGTAAGCCTGTTCCTCCGATACGAATCGGCGCATGTAATGGCGAGACGGGCATCGGTTATAGAGTTCGACCGGTCATACAAGCCCGCAAGCGCAGACACATTCCCACTCTCGGCCTGGTGTAGGATGTCAGCCATGCTCGGAAACCTAGCCAGTGGGTTATAGAGTGCGTTGAGAAAAAGAGTCTTCAGGTCTGAATAAGTGACCATTGTCGGCAGATCTGCATCCTCGACGCCGCTTAGAGGGACTGGATGATTGTGAAGCTGACGGGTGATGGCATCCATTCTTGCCGTGATATTAGCCAGCGTGGGGCCCCAAAATGAACACTTTTCAGGCCCTGCGGAGTGGCAGAAGGTCAAGAATGTTTCCATAGCTTCGTCCATTTGATCAACATTGTCCGTCCAATAGTTGTTGTAATATTGCTCTGCGTTGAGAACACCATCGAGTATCATTCTCCCAACGCGGTCAGGAAACAGGGAAGCGAAAGTGCTGCCGATCACTGTGCCGTAACTGATGCTATAGCACCACAGTTTGGCATTTGATGGTGACTGGCCGGCCGATACAGCTTCGGCTTCGGTAAACCTGAGCAAATCATGGGCAACTGCTGGCGTAGTCACATAGTATGAATGAGGTGACTTGCTCTCGACAGCATTATTGCACCACTCGCCGTAGATAGAGCTTGAGTAGTACTGTTCCTCAAGCGATGTTGATGAGAGATTGGTGACGCCCGTTCTGTGCAGGCGATAGAAAGCCGATCTTGCTTTTGCATCACCCGAGAAGCAGTCGAGATGCAAGCCACTATTGTTCACACCGCGAGGGTCAAAGGAGACAAAGTTGTACTGCTCTCCAAACATCTGCCCGATGAGATGCTCGTATGTGAGGAGTAGGTCGACACCAGAGCCACCCGGACCGCCTAAAAAAGCGTCAGTCCTGTCAAAGGAAGTTCAGACAACTTTGCATATTTGATAGAATCGAGAATTTACCGGGGATGAGTACTATACTTGGAGACTCGACGGTGGCATCTTTGCCAGCCAGCTTGATGAAAGCAATCGACGTCGTGCCAAGACTTTTGTTTGAATAATCCAAAGGAACTTCCAGTCTAGAGCAATTAAAGGCGTCGAAACATGGTGTCCATGCGAGGTTGGCTGATGATTCAATCTAGATAGCTCGTCAGAGCCTTAAAACCCTTGGGCATCCCGAACTCACATTGTCAAATTCATAGACCATGCCCCGATCATGCAGACTGTGAGCCTTCAAGCCCAAGCTCATGATAAGTGTGAGCACATTCACGAGTCTATGCATTGTAATGCTTGGGGTCATCTCGTTGATCCTTCCGTTCAGTTGCTTGCAAGAGCGGACTCAACTGCGATATCTGGGAACTATTTATACCAGTAGTATCAAGTCTGACGCATCAATAGGCAGCGGCATTCTTCCCATCAACTCGCAATACCTCTTCCTATGTATAACCTCATTCCGTTCTGCTATACGAACCAGCCAATAATCATTTTTGGTCACCACAATTATATCCAAGTACTTGGTCTATAGTTGAAGAGGACGAGGCTCGCCTTCCTTGGCGCCCCAGTTGTACGAACCAACCAATCAGTACTTAGTACAATAAGCACTAGTATCTAGCAAGCAAGATATATCTAGTAAGAATAATTCCAAATTGGCCTAGCTTTAGGCTACTTATGCAACCCTTCCCCATCACCTTGGACTCCCCTTCTAGACCTAAAGTCCCTCGCTTTACGAACCGGCCCATCAAGCCTAAGTTTTCCACAAGCTCCGTTTCTTGCACTCCGATGGATGGAAAGAAGACCAAAAACTCCAAGGCAGATAATCAAGCCTGGAGAAAAAAGCCTCGCAAGTTCGCTCCAAAGTCAAGACTGGGCTGTAAGACTTGCAAGTATGTCTTGAATTTACCGATTGCTATAGAGCGATCAGTGTGTTCAAAGTCTTCGAAACTGACATCCCCCAGGATAAGACGCATTAAATGCGATCTATCCCGGCCTTCCTGCTTGAAATGCATCTCTACCGGTCGCATCTGTGATGGCTATAGTGAAACTCCCTTCGCATTCAAAACAGGGAAGACCGAGATCGAGTCAACTCGGTATCACAAGGAGATCGCCAACAGAGCAGATCGCTGCGACAGTTACCAGACTACGTATGAGCCAAATGACCCCATTTTGCAGAATCTCGGATCCTTTATGATCTTACCCATAACGGGGTCAACCCAAGTCGAGGCAATGCGCTTTTTCCAGGATATTTCAATCAAACATCTAAATGAATACCGCCCTTGCGAACCATGGCGAAACACTCTCATGTTCTTCTCCCAAACCGTGCCATCCGTGCGGCATGCCGCCATTGCATTGGCTTTGATGCATCGAAACTACCTCGATCGTCATTCTAACGGTCAGGTGTATCAACCGCCGTCCTTGAAAGACCAGCTACCTGACAAAGCTCCTTTGCTTCATTATAACCGCGCCATTCAGCTTCTGCTGAACCTGGAAAGTGGTGACAGCGCCGAAATAACAGCCGTCACGCTGTTGGTCTGTTATCTCTTTACCTGCTTTGATCATCTGGTGGGCGATGATGTACAAGCAGTGAAACATCTGCGTGGAGGCGTAGCGCTCTCACGTACATTGAACAATTCTGCCTACGACGATGGCCAATCCTCAGGGATTCACACGGTTATCTGCCAGGTCACAGAACAGATTCGTCGTCTTGACATGCAGGCCGCCATGTTTCTGGTCGACTGGACTCCAGCTAACATCCACGAGACATTCATGTCTCAACTTGCACTCTCCCATAGCAGCTTTTGGTCCCTCGACCAAGCTGCCGACTACCTCCAGGTTCTGGTTTCTCAGGTAATGAGGCTGCACTACGCAGAGCAAAAAAGATCCCCGACTGTTACAATGCGTTCATTCCCTTCTTCTTCACTCAAGAACAAGGACATCGTTCTCGGCCAGTTAGAAACATGGTCTCGCCTCTTCGAAAGCCTCCTACAACAAGGTAACAGCCCCTCTGACCCAGACCTCGAAACCGACCCTCTCCTACCCCTCCTTCGCCTACAACATACTATCGCTAGGATCCTCCTCCTCAGTACCTACAGCCCCAGTCGCGAAACATCCTACGACAACTTCCTCCCCCAATTCCTGCACTGCATCTCCTTAGCACACAGAGTCGCAACAACCCATGAACGGTACTCAGGCCCATCAAAGCCAACATTCACGCCTGAGATCGGATTCCTCCCCGTCCTGTACATAATCGGAGTCAAGTGCCGACATCCTCGTCTCCGTCGCGAAGTCGTGAGTATCTTGCGACGACAGGTGATCCGAGAGGCGTCTTGGGATAGCATCTCTACTGCTAGGGTGGTTGAACGGGTTATTGAGATTGAAGAGGGTGAGGATGGGGTATGTTGTATGGAGCAGATTCCGGTATGGAGGAGGATTGAGACGTTGTCGTTTATACATGTAGGGTCTGCTCCGGCTAGGTTGGATGTTGAGTATACGTTTTGCGGGAGGGAGGGAGTGCATGTTGAGTCGATTATAATGGAACGGACAGAGTCAGATGGTCTTATCATGTCAAGTAGTCGATAATAGATATCAGACTAAACAATGAGGAAGTGATTCCGGTCCGTGTGTGAACGTACCTGATTTTATATAGTTAAATGGAATGGGTGACTAGGTTATAGATACCTTCTAAGCCATTCTTCCCTAGAGGTAAGGGACGGCGGTGACTTGGATGATTAATTACTCTCTATGTATGATACAATTCTTCAAACACTACCTACCCATGATAGTTATACTCAGCAAAGACGGGGAAAAACTCGGATCTACATCTACGAATCCCCACTCCAGATGTCTTAACAGTTCTCCGCCGGACCGGTAAATACTGGAATACCTCCCGTGAGCACGACGGGGAATATTCGGGATTTATACGGACAGAGTGGTTACTCACTTCATTCACTATTGAGAGCAAGGATGTGGATGTGGATGTGGATTTACTCTACGGTTTTGAAGTATAAAAGACAGTATATGTTTGTTTCTTCAGAGTGTATTTACATATAAGTTATATGCTCCGTATGTGCTTAGGTTTCTAGCCGGGTCAACAGTCCCCCCTTTCTATTTTTGTGCTTACTTGAATACTTCTCGCCGCTTTTTACTTATTGAACTTATGAAGTAGTCTAAAACTACTCCACCCTGTCCTTTCATCCCGTTGCAAGAAGGAACATGCCATGCTCCAAGCCCATACTACATAAACATGTAGTTCCCACAAAAGACATACTTTTGGCCTAACCGTATGATGAGAACGAATAGACGACCATATAGATGATCGAAACTGAATGAATTCTTGGAGGTCATCAACTATCGGAGCAAGATCCCGAGGCACACTTCTGTAACAGCGCTTCGAACCATTGACGAAATGCAACATAAAATTGGGATACGCCGATAGCGAGAATTTCCAACATGACCTGATCAACGTTCACACCCATGTTGAATGGGAGTGATAACTACCGAACGAGAAGCGAAACCTGATACCTACACCCCCCTCCCCCCCCCCTCCTCCTCAAATATCACCGATGCTGCGCTTTCGGACAAAGCCTAAAGTTAATAGTGTCTCTAGAAGACCGTAATGTTAACGATATCGGCAACACCAGCATGAATGGATATGTTCGGTTTATCTTACCGCCCAGCAGCTGTGGGGCCATAACGGCGGATCGCCGCAGTGGATGTTTTCCGTATGAGCCTAATGTGCAGTACTGTCAGTCGCTTTGTCGATGGGCAAACTTGGATATGATGGGTAGTGGCTTACGCCGGCTAGCTCGTAGCAATTGCCCTGGTTCACGCAGTCGCTGGATTGGTTGCACTGCAATTTGTCGAATCAGATCGAATTCGGAAGTAGAAGTCTAGTAGTTCACTCACGGTAACCTCCTGGGAGCACCAGTCCCATGTAAGCTGTCCGGCTACACTGGTAGCCAAAGTCACAGCCAAGGCTAGCGAGGTAGTAACGCGAAACTTCATAGCGCTTGTTGAAAGATATCCGTAATTGGTTAATGAGAGGTTTATGTGTGTCGGGAATTGAAGATACTTAAAGAACCGTGATGTAAATCGAGAAAGGGCGACAGAACAATGCCTTTTATAGCTTTTCGATGTTCTAAGTCATAATGTAGTTGATTGAAAAAGATTGACTCTCTTCAATCAGTCTCACTTTACAACCCCGCCCGGAATGCAAGCTGGAAAGCAAGGGTATGAGACCTTAGACCAACATTACCTGCAGCCGGTAAGTCCGATATTGTCCTATCTATACCTAGAAAAGCATCCCCTGCAAGGACCAATGAATGCTCCATTCGATCCCTTACACATTTGATCTATTGGGACTGAGTTATTCTATCAGTCCCATGAAGGAGAAGGACTAAACTGGACTGCTCATATTCTAACGTGACTCAAGCTGCCAGCAGTCATACTCATTATGGCGTATAGAACGGGCATTCTGGAGCCGCTTTTCCACGCAGAAACACCGAGCCCTATGCGAGAGGTGGGTTTGTCCAGGTGCTAGGGGCCAGGAACCCCGCATGGCCCACGGGACACATTCTTTCAGACGTGAGGGTTTGATTATACCGTCAGGCCCGCATGCCCAATTCTGTATCCCAACCCCCTTTGGCAAGCCCATTTCTTAAGTTCTAGCCAGTGCTTGCGAGGAGCAGGGCAATGGTTTTCTTCTTTGGACTTTATCTCCCGCTACCACGCCGGACGCTATAAGCCACAGTAATCTGCCCCTGTGAGGAATCAAATGGAACATCTAGTGATTGATCCGTGCAAGAGAAATCTTTTAGGCGGCAGATGGGGCAATATAAGACAGAACTCCAGTGCTGCGTACCAGTTCGCAGGTAATATTGGCCCAATGGTGTTGTATCCCGTAGGTCTCACTCATATCTCTTGCTTTACAGCTACATTGTGTGTGTGTATGTATGTGTGATGTTTGTGTTGACATGGCCTTTGCCCCTGTTCTTGCAGCCCTTGCTCCTGTCGATGCCCCGGATTCCCCTTACAGTGTACATGAACGCCCAAGAAATATGTGTGAGTCATTAACTCAACCAGGTGCATCGCAGATGACCTGCAGATGACCGGGGTCCGCGCCGAACCCTCTCGGTTGCGGATGCTGCACGATACCGAAACTGCGGCCCCTTGACTCTAGGAGCAAGGGAGATGACGAGAATATATTAGTACAGCTGCAGGTAAAATCTACCTAGTGCTCGAAATTTCAACAGCTAGTTTTCATCCCATCATCCTAAAAGACATGTCCATAGTTGAGTAGTTGGATTATAAAGTAGAAAGGTTCAATGCTACATCAGCATAAATCCGCGACCTAGGATCCAACATTCAACCCTCGCCGGGCGCGTGGCTGCAAAGCCTACCTACCTGACTTTGTTGCAAAGTCTTATTAGGTCTAGGAAGTCGACCCTGTCCTGGTACATACATGTCTTTGTGTATTTATTGTTCGCATGTCTGGGCGCCTGGGTATTATTGTGTAAGTTGGGGAATCGATGTCTTGGTGTGAGGTGCTTACTACCTTTGAGTATTATTGGGTTTTAGGGACTCTAGCTAGCTTTCCAGGGGACACCCCAGGATACGTGTATGTAGGTCACGTTGACCCTTCTACCCCGCCTGGAGAGGACCTTGAAGACGCCTGTTCTGTCCTGGGACAGGGTATATATACCGGTCTAATCTTCCATTCCATCTAATCTAGGTTTCTCTTCTGGAAGACATTCTGAACATGTACACTTTCATTCACGTCATTCACGTCAAAGTAAACTAGCTACTAGCTAGCTAGATAAGGTATGGTGGATTGGTTATTAAACACTTTTTTTCCTTTTTCCCTTTCCTTCTACAGGTCAATCTCGATAAGATCATTGAACTGTCACCTTACGACATATCAACAACGCAGCGGACGCAGTCGCCCTGCTTCATCTGCTCAAAGGCAGTGTTGATCTGGGCCAGAGGCTCGCGGTGCGTGATGAACTCGTCCACCTTCAGCTGGCCGTTGAGGTAGTCGTCGACCAGGCCGGGGAGCTGAGTGCGACCCTTGATACCACCGAAGGCGCAACCCTTCCATACACGGCCGGTGACAAGTTGGAATGCTATTTCATCATATTAGTGGTCTGGTTTGGATTGGATATGACAGGAATGAACTCACGTCGGGTCGAAATCTCCTGTCCAGCAGCAGCAACACCGATGATGATACTCTCACCCCAACCCTTGTGGCAAGCCTCCAAAGCAGCACGCATAACGCCAACGTTACCCGTGCAGTCGAAGGTGTAGTCGCAGCCGCCGTCGGTCATCTCGATCAGTTCCTCCTGGATCGTCTTGCCCTGGAGCTTGGTGGGGTTGACGAAGTGGGTGGCACCGAACTTGCGGCCCCAGGCCTCCTTGCCGTCGTTGACGTCGACCACGATGATCTTGCCGGCCTTGTTCTTGACGGCACCCTGGATGACGGACAGACCGACACAGCCGGCTCCGAAGACCGCGATGTTGGAGCCCTCCTCGACGCCAGCGGTGACGACGGCGGCGCCGTATCCGGTGGTGATACCGCAGCCCAGCAGGCAGGATCGGTCGGTGGGGATCTTGGGCGTCACAGCCACAACCGAGATGTCGGCCACGACGGTGTACTGGGAGAAGGTCGAGGTACCCATGAAGTGGAGCAGGTCCTTGCCGCGGGCCTTGAAGCGGGAGGTGCCGTCGGGCATGACACCCTTACCCTGGGTGGCACGGATCTTACCGCAGAGGTTGGTCTTGCCGGACTTGCAGAACTTGCACTCGCGGCACTCGGGGGTGCTTGTGTCGGTCAGTAGGAGGGCGGGGAATATGGTGATCAAGGAGACATACTAAAGAGCAATGACAAAGTCGCCGGGCTTCACGGAGGTAACGCCCTCACCGATCGACTCGACGATACCGGCACCCTCGTGACCCAGGACGATGGGGAAAGCACCCTCGGGATCCTTTCCGGAGAGCGTGTAGGCATCTGTCGAGGTCAACTTGACGTCGGAAGACAAGCCGGAGAGGGAAAAACCGACCTGTGTGACAAACACCGGTGTGGTGGACCTGGATACGGACCTCGTTGGCCTTGGGAGGCGCAACCTCGATATCCTCAATGGAGAGGGGCTCTCCGGCGGCCCAGGCAACGGCGGCCTTGACAAGAAAACTCAGTTATAAATTCTGAAGTGGAGAGGAAAGCTCGAATAGCTTTCTCTGACAATCCGAGGAGCTCCTTACCTTGCAAGTGATGGTCTAGAAAAGTCAATGTTAGTCGCAATACGGCGAGAAGAGAGACAGAAAAAGAAGGAAAAATTAGAAACAATGGAGCTCTTACCTGTCCGACAGTGCTGGCCATGATGAAGAATCACAGAAAGAAGCTTCCGACAGCAGCGATGGGAAGACAAAAACAAAGAAGAATGGAAGAGGAGGGAAAGAGAGGAAAGAAGATGAAGAAATCGCGAGGAACGCGCAGGGAATAAATTGCTTAAAGCGGGCTCGACCGGCTGGTGGGGGTTTGCAGGTGAGGGGGAGGGGAGTGGGGGGTAAACGCTGTGAAGGTTATGGCCGATGGGTGAGGGGCCGATGCCAGATGCCATCCTCACGGTCCGGTCAACACGGTCCGGCCAAGATATCACCTCTTGGGAGGCAGAATTATCTCCAATTTCCTGTACGGGTCCCCTCATCTCTCCGCATGGCGCAGGATGTGGATGTTTCAAAGGTCGGAGAGTCTCCCGACAGTCGGGAAGGATGGAGGAAGTGAGTCATGAACTAGCCGATGGGCTGCATGGTAGATAAACAAGCATGCGGAGCGATCGTACGGAGCAGCTACGGGAAAGAGTAGAGCAGTCCAGAAACTACGACAGTACTGCTAGTAGTCTACATACTAATTTCTGCTGCTCAGCAAAATGGCAGGAAAAGGAAACTGCCGCGGCGACCCGAAAAGGCAACGTTTTCCGGGTTGGTCCGTGCTCGATGACGCAGTTTGCTCTGTTGGATGCCTCAGGCTGTCGACCACCAGCCAGGAGGTTTTGCCCTTTCCGAGATACAATCCCCGTGTATGGACGTGATTACGGATGATTTCGACTCGAATGTCAGGTCTGTTGGGGAAAGACGCATAACCGAAAGCCCGACTCCAAATGGAGTGCACACCTGTCCTGTCAGGATGTCAACAATCCTCCCTACCTCAATTTCAGGAACATACAGTCCAGCGACAGAGACAAGCCTACAACCATCAATTGACTACCCGCAAATCGTCACTCCATCAAAGTTCACACCCACACCATAGCAATAAACCAAAAGGAGTATATAAAGTGGAGTTGTCATCATTCGCAAAATTTCAATGTTTTATACACGAACCGCCGAAACCCATCGAGTCAAATTACAAGATTAGAAAGGAAAGATTTGGTCACGTCTCATCGCTGATTTACTGCCCCGGCATCTGGCCGCTCTGCATCATCGCCGCGTTCTGCTCCTGGAAACGCTCGTTCAATCGGGCCGACGACTTGAGGTACTTGTCAACGCAGCGCATCACGCAGCCCTCCTCGCGGTTGACCAGGGACTTGGTGGTGAAGTCGTTGACGCAGTCGTCGAAGCAGCGCTGGACGAGCTTGGAGTACATCTGGAGAGGAGTGTGTGAGTGAGGTTCCGGTTTTGGATTGGATTTTGGACTTGAATTTAGATTATGGGTATTGGGGTGTGGAAAGTTGAAGACAGGGGTGAGGCTGAGGTATCTGTCGTCGGAGGGCCGAAGAGGATCTGCATTTGTGAAGGACGGATGGCATCAAAGAGAAACGTACGGTCATAAACTCCTTCATCTGCTTTCTCTCCATGCGAGAAGCGAACTCGCGCTGTTCCGAGGCAGAGAGTCTAAAGGGAGTTAGCTCATTCTAGATTGTCCCCGAAGTGGGTGTGCAACGGGAGTCAAGATAATCAGGAGTACTCACCCTTCCATTGTGATTGTAGAGGAGTATTGAGGAGGGAGAGGGTCGCTGGTTGAGGGTATAATTGACAAGAGTCCTGAGGTTGTCCGGGACAGCTCCGGAGCTCTCGACGGGCCGCAGGCTCTTTCCGGGTCACATGAGGTCAGGTGAGCACACCTGATTTAATCACGTGCGTGTCACGTGCCTTTAGGCAGGCTGACTCATGCCATCCGGGCGGCGAAGAACGATGGAGAAAAGGACAACGTACGCCGTCCCGATCAGGCAATGACACGGTCAATCGCCCACCGTGCTATGACGCTGGCCACGGGACCGCAGGTGGCCCCGGACCCTGTGGCGAGAACCAACCGTGGTTGTGGTGTGTGATAATTTGGCAAATTGCATACGAGCCGAGGGATCTGCGCACCAGCCAATCTCCACGTCCCGGTGCTGATTTGGCGAGCGTACGAATTGCGAGGTCAAAAAGGTTCCATATATACGAGCCTTGATTTGGGGTGTTGCCTGTTGGCATCGCGGATGACCGAGATCCATCGCCTCAAGCTGGACATATTCCCTGATTGAGGCGCATGACTGGGTGGCGGTCGACCAACAAGACCTTTGTCAATTGTTCAGTCCGCAGGATGCTGGATTACTTGCATTGCAAATCAACAGATGATGACCTATGGGAATGGGCAGTGGCACGGATTGTCTATGCTTACGGTGTAGTGATCTGCACATATAGGTTGGTCTTCAGTTCCACCTGATTTTCTGTATGCGAGGACTCCGCAATTGCCTTGAAAATCGGCAGGTGGCTTGTATCCGGACGCCAGGTTGGATGGCCGGTCGGATGTAGAGACCTGTGCATTGAAAGAACCTTAAATCAACCTTGAGGGGATGTGTAGTCAGATTTTGAGAATTGACTCTTTTATTCGTTCGGGGCAGCAACAATCTGACCGTGCTGCGTAGTAGCCACAAATGCCTGGGTTTGAAATATATACCGAGTACTCTCGCCGTGCTCCCAAGGACTCAACATTCGATATACGGTGTAACGACTATGCCCAAGCCCTAAAGGCTGTTTGACCCATAGTGTCCAAGTTCCAGAGCGTTACAGACCGGATTCGCCATGCCCTACGTCCTATCCCGTAAGGTACCCGACGACGCTTCCACTATGATGACCTACACCGACGTTATAAACAATACTAACAGGCACTAAGCTCCATCATTGGCCTGTTGGCCATTGCTAGCTGCAACAGAAATTCCGGCACCAAAGCCGTGAGAACCAACAACGGAAGGATATCTGGCCTCCCAGCGTGGGGTACCTGAACGAAGTGGATACGGCCCCGTGAATTGCGCAAAGTTTAAAGCTCGAGGATTGACTCCGTATATCTTCAGGCAAGCAGGGCGTCAGCGTCATACACCAGGAAAACTCGGTTTAGTGCGGGTGCTAAGAACTTAGTGAAGTTCTAGGTTCCCGGTTCTAGACTTTTTGCTTTTGTCCTGCGATCCCCGATCCACGGGGCTGGACCACTCCGTGAAGGACTCTCAAACGCGAAAGAACGTGGTGTCGGGGGTCAAGAGTCAAGACTTGAGAGGAGGGGGTGTTTGTTTCAGATGGACTGGATGACACGAAAGACTATTTGGTTAGCGTTGGGGTGAAGCGGACCGAGGGAGGAACGCTCGGTCATGGCGGTTGGATTGATTTTAATTTGATTTCTATTTATTTTTACATTTGAGGTTGCATTGTGCTAACGGAGAGTGGAGATGATACGGATTGAAGGATTTGAGGGCAAAGGGGGAATGTCTTGCGAGGACGGTAGACAGTAGGGTCTAACATATAGTTCATAGTAACAATAATAAAGATCTGTCCTACATGGCGTACAGGAGTGTTGACTCTTACCGTTCTCACCTCCAGGGACAGCGAGTTCTAGAATGCCGGTCGAAGCAGAAGAGCGCAAGACTAAGCCCGACACGGCGGAATTTCCGGGCTCGACCGCAAGCAACCGGGCCATACCAACGTTACGGTTCGGCGGCGGTACCAGGTACCAGATTGTGTGTGTCCAACGTACTCCGGACAGCGTACCTAGTACCTACGGAAAAGAGTATCCTTGGGACTGCGTTCATTAATATTAATTTCATATTAAGTCTTGCTAAAGAGCCTATTATTAGCCCCCCCGTCCCAGGACGGCACGAGCGACGTCTTTCTTCTCTCTTCTTTCTTTTCCGTCTGTCTTTTCTCTCTTTCTCCCCTTCGGTTGAATATTCAAAGAGAATGAAAAAATCACCGACAATCCCACCACCTGAATTTTGGGCCAACGATCTGCAGTGACCGAACTGAGCGCCCCCCCTTCGTTAGTCCCTCAAGGCGACCCAGTCCAGCCCAGTCGCTCTCCATCCTGTCAGCCCTCCGCCCACTCGTGTGCCTCCCTCCGATCATCGTCAATCAACCCCATCCATCAATCATTTCAATCATAATCTATCGCTTCGCTCCCTTTCGTTCCCTGACCCCCCTCCCCTCCGTCCATCCCATCCCATCCACCTTCATCTTTTCTTTTTTTCCCTTTCCCTTTCCCATTCCTTTCCCATTCCTTTCCCTTTCTTTCATCCTTCTCATTCTCCCCTCTTTCTCGTCTCCTTTCCCCCCCCTCCCTTTTGGCTGCTCTCGTTCTCGTCTACCCTTTATCCCTGTCTCGCCTTGTCCCTTTAATTTTACTCTATTTTTCCCTTTTTTATTTCTATTCCATTCCTTCCCTTCGCTTCCTCCGCATCTGACTCTTACGTGGACCCCTAATTCTTTCGCTCCTCCCCCGTATCTATTTCTCGCCTCCCCGCGTTCCCCGTTCCTCGCTCCCTGTCGCGATAGTTTCTCGTCTAACACCCTCCGTCATTGTTCGGCCACGGGGTTTCCTGCCTTGACCACTTAACGGACGGCGCGGCGTTGTCATCCGCTGCCAGGCTGACTACTAGTCCCTCGTGCTATTTTGGGATTTCGTCGGTTCCCCCAGCCCCGGAATTTCTCGCGAACACGAGGGCGGTGACGGAGGACTCGGTTCGCCTGCGTTTCATCATTCTACAGCTGCACTTACGCTTTCTATACCGTTGACGTCCGTTTTGCGCGATTCTCCATCATGGTCACCGGCAAGGGCGCGGAGCCGTTCCATCACCTACCTCCGACAACCTCGCAGCACGGGTTCGCCGCAACCTCCCCGCCTTCCAAGCGTGACCTGGCATCCTGGTGGAGGCAGTTCAAGAGAAACACTCGCAAGGAGGAACCGAAGGGTACGTATGCGCAGTGACCTCTTTTGGTGTGTAGCGGATTCGGGGTTTTCGATCTAGGTCGTCGCTTTATGCGGAATACACCGAGATCGTCTAGCCACTGTCATCCGCGACTTGCATCAACCCTTACTCCGTTCCTTTCGCTCGGAACCCTTGTCTATGCATACTGACACCCAAGGCAGAACCTCAAGGTATCTTCGGGATCCCTCTCAACGTCAGCATCAAGTACGCAAACGTCGCCATCTCCCTTACCAACGATAACGGCGAGAGTTTCATCTACGGATATGTTCCCATCGTGGTGGCGAAATGTGGGGTTTTCTTGAAGGAAAAAGGTACGCATAATCAGCTGGTCGCGAGGAGGCGTTTTCCCAAGGTGTGCTAACGCCTCAAAGCTACGGATGTGGAAGGGATCTTTCGCCTCAGCGGATCGGCCAAGCGCATCAAGGATTTGCAGGAAATATTCGACTCCCCCGAGCGATACGGGAAGGGCCTGGACTGGACCGGGTATACGGTTCACGATGCTGCCAACGTCCTTCGTCGCTACCTGAATCAACTCCCCGAGCCGATCGTCCCGCTAGACTTCTACGAGCGCTTTCGCGAACCCTTGCGAGTTTACCAGAACCATGTTCAGAATAGCAACGGCGCTACGACGGAGTCAGATCCCTTTGACCACGCGAAAGCCGTCACTTCCTACCAGCAGCTGATCCGAGAGCTACCGCCGCTGAACAAGCAGCTGCTTTTGTATATCCTCGACCTCCTGGCAGTCTTCGCATCCAAGTCGGACCAGAACCGGATGACGTCGGCCAACCTTTCCGCCATTTTCCAACCGGGCCTATTGTCTCACCCCCAACACGACATGGCGCCCGACGAATACAAGCTGAGCCAGGATGTATTAATCTTTCTGATCGAAAACCAAGATCACTTCCTGTTCGGCATGAACGGCACCGCCGCGGATGAGCAGACGGTGAAGGAAGTAGAGGGCGGAATGGCGCATCGCACGGCGACTACCACTTCCAACATCCGCCGTTCGGTCTCCAGCGCAAGTGGCGGGGGTGAAAGCTTCCGCAAATACGGCAGTCTTCGTCGCAACGTGTCGGTGTCGTCGAAAAATTCCCGACAATCTAATCACGCACAGGGTCCTACAACCCCAACTTCTTTGGGCGCCGTCGGGGTCCACCGCAGTAACACGCTACCGTCTAAAATGTCGCCGGCTATGAGGTATGGCCGGGTGACGGAAGCGACCGGACTGAATTCGTCGGAGCGTACATCTGCACAACACTCGCGGTCCTCGAGCGTCACACCGTCCGCACGGGAGGACCATCCGCAAGCGTCTGTGCCACCGCAGCCTACACCACCGCAGCAACCCCCCGTCACAACCACGCCTACGCCAGGGGTTGGGTCGCCGACCGGGCTCGTTTATGTCCATACGTCCACCCACGGTCCAATTCCCAAGGTGATTCCCGTGCAACCGTCTGTGCCAGAAGCGTCCGCGGTTCAGACTGAACAACCAGCCCAACCTGTTGCTCAGACGGAGAGGCTGGTTGGACCTGCTGCTCCTCCTGCTCCTGTTGCTGCTCCTCCCGCTCCCTCTCCCGCTCGCGCTCGCGCTCCCCTCCCCGCTTCTTTGATTGCTGGCCCCGCCCCCCCTGTCGCAGCTGCTCCGGCTCCGGCTCCAGCTCCAGCACCTGCACCAGTCACTTCTGCTCTGCACGAGTCCTTATCTCCCCCGTCTTCCCCTCCCCAGACCGCTGTCACGCCCACCCGAGAACGCAAAATATCTAACATCTTCTCCAAATCGCCGCCTTCGAGTAGTGATTTGAAGGAGCCACCGCGGCAGCCCAACCGCCTAAAGAAGAAGCGAATTCCCGGAAGTGCCAGCGAAAGCGCCCAAAGCTCGTCTCAATCTCTACAGGCAGCCACCTCGGACCCGACGACCGTCAATTCTCCCCCTCAAGCCGGTCGGCCGGTAGATGCCAGCCCCGACGCCGGGGGTGCCACGCCAAGACCTCCCAACGCCGCGAGCTTTGACGACCTGGCCTTGAGGCAGGAGAAAACGGCTGTGCAGCATGAGAACGGACAACAACAGGTCCCAGCCGCCAGTAGTGGCGATACGACGCTGCGACCGTACGGGTCGCGGACCCCGTCGATGAACTCGCGCTCGTCATTCACGGACGTGTCCGATATCGATCAAATCGACGAGGCGTCCAAGGCGGAGCGGAAAGAGCATCGTCGGAGCTGGCGATTCCCCCGCTCGTCCAAGCGTAGCAACGAGCAGATGGGACTGGGTCTTGGCTCGCCGCCCCTGATGGCCTCAACTCCCGGGGCGGATCGCAGTACCAGCTCGATCGGGAGCTGGCACCATTCCAGCCGCAGTTCTCCGTCGGATCTCCAGCACTTCGCCAACGACCCCTCTTACCAACCCTTGAGTTTGGACGCCGAAGTCAGCAACAGTGGCAAGGATTCAGGGAATTCGGAGCCAGAGAGGCGCAGTCTCTTTGGCAAGTTTAAAGCCAAGGTCGCACAGGTCCGGGATGAAGTAAAGCACTCCTCGGAGCGTGAACGCACACGAAGTCCCCCGGTTCAGTCCGACCCTGAAAAGTCTGCATCTAGTCAGACGCTGTCGCCCGCTGGCAAAGACAGTCTACCCAACCGCCCCGCTCCGATCGAGGTTGTGAAAGAACCCATCCCGCAACCCTACACCAGTACTCCCACTTCACCGATGCCTCCAGGACTTCCCCCGGCGATTCCTGAGGAGCCCCGCACCCCTGAAAGCCCCGTGGCGACCTTGGCATCCCCGGAGCCCAAACAAGAGAATGGGACGACCGAGAAAACGCAGACTGCGGGGCCGGACACTCTGCCAACCTTTGAGTCTCACAAGGGCGATGACAGCGAGACGTCCCATTTTCTGGGAAATTAGTCTAGGCATTTTGCCTAGTGAAACTAGCACGTTTGGTTGAGCGATACTGAGCGATATTTGAGTTTTTTCTTTGTTTTTTTCCCTTTGTCTTTGTAGGTATCATCTTCTTGGATATTGGCGGATAGAGTATATTGCAGGGTTGGTATGGTATGGTTTGAAGAGTTGGTTCTTTTTCGTATAGCGGGTAGCCGTGAAGATTTTCCTTTGATTCTATTTTGTACGCTGCTGGCTAGGATGGTCCTAGCGATTCTGATTTATGACTCGAGGGTGTTCGTTGCTAGCTTCCTGTCTACCCCGTTGTCACTTGCTGATGCTTTATGGGTTACGAATCATGGAAGATTGGCTCTGATGGCTGAACGGTCAGTCGAATGGAGTGGATGCTATATTGATTTATAATGTTCGTGTATCAATAGATTTGATTGTGATGCAGACGAATCCCTTATGACTTGTAGCGATCCCGACGGATACGGACGGAGTTCGTGGAGTACGGAGTAGACACCTTCAAATCTAGGCAGTCAGGCACCAACCTGTCAAACCCGTCAAACATTCTCCGAATCTCCGACGCCTCCATCCCCGAACGAATTATCCTAATCGATTTCTCCTCCTCACATCCAACCAACAAGTGCATCCTGAACCGGGCGCAAGGCCCAACCCATACACAATGACTTCAAGCCCAACGTCGCCATCCACCTATGTCCCTCCCGCCTCGCCCGCCATCCCCGTCCTGCCAACCCCTCTGGCCCAATCTTACGTCTTCATCCATCCATGTCTTCTCCTCGGCATCCTGGCGCTGCGGTTCCAGTCCTTGACGACGGACCCGGTCGCCGAGCTGCTGAATGACCTCCCGCTGCTGGCCCTGCTACAGGTGATCTTCGTCATGGTCTGTCTCCCTCCCGCGGGGTCCGTTCTGTCGTATAAGTCGGAGAGCGCGGAAGACGACAAGAAGGATAAAGTCCCGGCTTCTCCGTCCGGGGGAGCTGCTGGTAGCGTGGTCTTGAAGCCGGGGAAGGTGGGATATCGGAGACGAGGCCCGAAGAATGATTCTTCGTCTGGGAGCTTTGTTGCGAAGTTGATTGTATGCCCCTCCTTTTATCATACTTCTCCGGGAACATCCTGCACGGAACCATGAAATCCAGTACCCAATCGCTAATATTAGTGTGAAAATTGAACAGCCTGCCCTCCTCTCCCTCACCCTCACCTTCCTACTCGCAACGCCCGTCTTCGCCGCCCTGCTCGTCCTCTTCGGCGCTCCGATCACAACCCACCATTGGCAGACCCTGCTCTGCGCCGCGCACATGGCCCTTTTGACCTCCACCGGCCTGATCTACGTCCATGGCGTCGACGGCGCCGTGTGGAAGGAGGTCTGGGGCGCCGCGAGACCCCTGGATGCTGTGTGGGGTGGTGCTTTGGGAACGGGCCTGGGAGCTTGGTTGGGTGCTGTGCCGATTCCGTTGGATTGGTTTGTCTCCCTTCTCTATCCCCGGTCTTTTTTAGTGGTGCTGTTCTATGTTATATACCTTGGACACGGTGTATGAGTATAAGTGATTGATTGGCTAACGTGATCTATCTGTGGTTATAGGGACCGCCCGTGGCAGGCATATCCGATTACGATCCTGGTGGGTGCGTATATCGGGTATGCTCTTGGCGTGGGACTCGGACGGACGGTGCTGTTCGGGAAGAGAATTGATTTCGAAGAGGAGGGGGATGCGAAGAAGGTCGATTGATTTATCGCCGTGGTGGTTGGTTGTTTGGTTCAATTGGTATGGGGTGGGTGAGTTAGGGGTCTAACTATCTATTCCAGACTCCGTACCCTGGCTGGACTTCCGGAGGTGGGTAGCTTGATGGATCTCCATCTTGGCTGGATTGTTCTGTTCTTTTTCTTTCTATCACGGTATTAGTATTAGTATAGGATTGTTTATTGCATGTATGTATCTACGTATGGATTTGGGTTGGTAGGTAATGTGTATAGATATACCTGGGGAAATAAAAATATGTTAACTAAGATTTCGGTTCGCGAGTACATAAAGGAATATAGTTGTTTCAAGGGAAAATAAGCCCTAATAGTCAGCTAAAAAATTAGGTAGACATCATAAAAAGAAAGCATATCTGGGCTCGGGGAATTTATATCTAACCGCCTGTCCGTTTCATGCAATTGATTCATGGCGCATACTATCTGTTTTATATGACATCTCTTAGCTACTTCTACCTCTCCGCTGTGGGAATTTGGAGGGCGTACGGAGTAGTAATTGGAATGAAATCTAGATAGATGTACAAGATTCTCATTGATCCAGTTACTTAGAAACCTATCGCTTCTCCTCAACCATCCACCTCTCCACATATCTAACCATCTCGGGGGAAAAGAGAAATCAGTACACAGGTAGGTAGTCACCAATTCTAATCACCAAAATCCCATTCACCCCCTTCTACAAGACCAAGTCAAGTCAAGAGGTGAAGACAGGGACATCCATTCACCTTTGCCAAGATAAAACAAGTTAATGTAAGTAAGTGATTCGTAGAGGGAATGAAGCACGTGAGACGAGATTCATCTAGTAGATCATCTCGCCCTCTCGATTCCTTCCTCCGGTTTTTCTTCTTACAACTCAACTCCTCTTTGCATAGAGCCAGGTTCTTGATGTGGGCGTCTAGCTATATACATTACAGAATGCGAATCTAACTCGTAATACTCTGTATGTATACGGCAATGGAAATGGTGAAATTATATGGTTGCAGATAAACACTCTATCTACATCATATCAAGGCATAACGGACTGGAAATCAATCTTCTGCAGTGTTTCGACTGGGCTACTCTTTGCAGTCTCACCGCTGACACTTGCATTATATGTCAACGGAAGAGGAGCCGAAATTGTTCGGAAGAATATGTTCCACCTAACTGGTTTCCACGAATATATCTTTCGCATACCCTCTACTGTCAAGGTTCGGTCCCCAAGCACAAGACTCGATCAGATATACTAACGCTCGAACAAAAGCAGGTCCCATGGTGGCTGCACCACATACTTTGGACGGGTATATAAGCCGAAACAAATATACAAGCTTTGACTTCGTGGCAAACGAGCCGAACATACCAGATATCCTGGTGGTGTAGGAGCCCACACCATCGCAACGATGGCTCATCGGGGGCCCGGTTCACAGTGCAGATTTAACCTGTAGAACTTTACGGGGCGATTGCGATTGGAACCAAAGTCAAATTTTACAATTACAATGGGAGAAAAAGCATCAAGGAAATGCGGTCACACCGTCGAGCCTTGAATGGGCGCTATATCGTGCCACAAAGGTGGCTATGCCGCTCTGAATCTGTCTAGGTTGTATAGACTGCGGTATTCGATGGGCAAGATATATCGACATATCGAGCGCACGGTACCAAAAGTCGCAGACCAACGCAGTGGCTGGCCGTTGGTAAGTTAGCCGTTCGATCTCGAAGTACGAATTCAGGATAGGATATAAGGAACTAACGATGTGGATTGCAGGTGCGGACGCCAGAACCACGAATGTCTACTGTGTCTGCCTGATGGGACTTCTGTCGCAAGAATGTTCGATCTGCTTGATCAGAATATCGAGGAGAGAACATGCCCGGAAGATGAGGCATAGGCGTCGGGCACCAGCCTCTGGTCGGTGATAAAACATCGATTCAGATCAGCGAATGCTGACTGTAAGTTATTCGACCTCGAAGTACAAATTCAGGATAGGATACGAGAGACTAACGATGTTGATTGCAGGTTCTGTGGCAAAGACAAGCACACGTGTTTCATGCTTCTACGTGATGGAAATCTGATTATAGAAAAGTCAAACGAAGTGCAACAGACAAGATTGGTCTCGAAACGTCAGGTGCCGGCTATGAGCCAATTGCCATACATGAAAACCTCTCACAAGAGACAAAAGATCGTGATTTCAGCATGCTGGAGAACTGTTCGCAAACCACTAATTGGTAGCTCCCTGCCGCCACTGCCGTCGCCCATGCTGCTGCTATTGTCTGGGAGTCCCTTACCGGACTTGAATTGGTCGATAGCTGGTTCTCCAGCCAAGTGCCCAAACCAGGCCTGCGACGGTTTGGTTCATCAAGGGACACCTCGACCCTGCGCAGTCTGAGCAGTCTATTGGCTTTCCTGTTGTCTCGGTATTTTTCCAAGTCGAGGTTGACGAGAGATGTGCGTCTTTGGCTTGATTGCACGCACCTATAACTTCTAATACATATGCGTTTGGCGACTCTGGCGACTCTGGGATCAGGTTTAGGCAAGATGTGAACACCACGGATCTATCATAAGTCGGTATAACCAGGAATCCTCGATGTCGGGCTGTCATGTCCCTTTCAACTGCAGGACAAACAAACAATGACCCACAAGAGAAAGGCAAGGGGGTGGTTCCATATACAGCAGCCATGGGACAACCTACCAGCGAATGCGAAAGTATCCAAAGGACAGTGCAAGTAACTCAACGAAGAGTCTGTCCTGGTGCAATCCCTAGTTGAAAGAGCCTTTTGAAGTCGCACACATATATCCATTTTTGCTTGGCTAAACGAAACCCCTAAAACCGCTTGAACGAACAGACGGTCTGTTGACTGCGAACTGCCTGCCCATTGTGGTGACCCCTGCCACACTGTCTGCTCTCTGTTGACTGCCTGTCTATCGATTGAGTCCCAATAGAGCTGATTAGCTATGGTGTTGATTCAGAACATGGAGACAGGCCGGTGGTACGTTTGCGACTAATTCGACCAAGATACGATCATGGTCCTGCGTTCCGCTCCATCTTTATCGATGCCACTAAACAGTGGGCAAGGGAGCCCTACGTGGCATTCAACATACGCTCGTTATGCTACCTCTATCAGGGCGTAAACGGCAAAAATACAGAAACCTTTGCACCACATGATAGATGGAAAAATGTTCTGGAGGAATTTCTCGCCCCGCCAAATGCTCGACACGAAATTCCGGACTCTTTATTAGGGGTTTGAGAAGCCCTTTCCGGAAGAGAAGTAACCCTCAATTTGCTTGTCATATGCCACAGAAGAGAAGCAGGGCATATCACTTCAACCGCAGGTGGTGCATGGTTCGGTTCATGGACATTTGAAAAGCTTCGAAGCAACACCACCTGTCTTTACAAAAGGAAGGCCTATTGCAACCTAAACAAGCAGGATTAATTAAACAAACCCCCAGCGCCAACACAATGGCGCAACCTGCCTGCCTCCTCTGAATGCAAGGATATCACTTTATGTATGTTTGAAATAGAGCACCTTTCAGGTTCGACACGAGATTTTGACTTTGGGGAGTTTCAGAATCTCGGAGCGATGATTCTATTGAAAGGACTTTAGTATTCCGATGTCAAAAAAATACCTTACAACAGCATCAATGGCTCCTAAGGGAGCAGATACTCTGAGCGAAGGAAGAGACAGGAAAATGACAGCAATCCAAAAATTCAAGGACATCACACCGAAACTGTCGAAAGCACCGGAAAAGTGTCAGCAGATATCCCTGACTCTTCGCTGGTCCGGGGTAACTAACGAACAGACCTGGAACTACCGGGCACTTGCAGCCACTACGGTAAGTCAGGTCCGGTCGGACTTGATGAACGCTTGGTATAGAAGAAAGAGGTCGCTATCCTGTTCGTCAAAACCCAGTTCAGTGAGGAACCCTAAACAACAAAGTTGAGACTCCCTTTGCTCTGGGCTATTTCATCTTTCTGCGGCAACCTACCCCCATCCTTGGCTTGCCTCTGTGGACAGACGCGAAACCCCTGTCGGCCCACAAAAGAAGATGGGAGATGCAGCTTCTTAGATAACCGAAGCAGAAGCTTTCGCGCGTATCGGCATGCAGAACGATGCTTCAGGGGTTGGATATAATGTTCGAGGTCTATATTGCTCTTCTTGACCAACATTAGGTCTGGCAGAAGTAGTCTTGGGGGCGAAAGAAACAGACCCCTCTATGTTCTGGGATTACAGATTTCACAGACGCTCAAGACAGCGTGGACACGGCAGTGACGCCAGGGGATAGCTGAATCCTCTAGAAGGTGGGCATGAATGCTAGAAAGACGCCCGGGGGCTTTACGAGGGCATTCGGCACAACTGAGAACTCATCTAATGCATGCTCATGCGAATCGTTTGATGAAACAATCTGAGGAAGAAAAATATGTCCTAGAATCAGACTGAAACTCCATGATCAATCTGGCGATATTTGTGCAGGGTCTGCTCAACTTCGTTTGCCCCAAGCACAGAGGAAAGCAGAGAAAAGGACCCATCGTTCGACAGTCAATTAACTGTGCACTGCCCATACAGCACCTTCTATCACTTCCTTTTCACCATAAATGAAAGCGTATATTGATATTCTTGTTGTTTCCACCACATGGGTGATCCCAACCCTCCATGACGGGCAATAAAGTGCCTGTGTCAGATCGGAAGATAGTCATCGAAGTCACTATCCCTACGCTCAACAACACACTGCGCGTGTCGAATATATCAGAGTGTACCTCCTTTTCGAACATCTCTATGCTAATTGATAGATACAAATACTATACAGCGATCCTTGCGAACGGAGCGCCGACCCGCACAGCCCAAATCCCCCGAGCTACTACGGAAGTCAGGGAGTTAGGCCCCCCCTAGTCTCGCTGAACGGTAATCGTCAAGCCAACGAAGAAGCTAACGAAGGACATTGGAAACCAAACGAAATAGGATGTTTCAGAAATTACAACCCAGCCCAGCCCAGCCAAACCATCGGGGCAGGAACAGCCGATCAAGTAAAGGAGATCGGGCACAGGATCAGCTATGCAAAAGCCTCGAGGAGATCCACAGAGATCAGGTAGTTTCAATGTCCGCAGATGGCATTGTTTCTTGCGCGAGGAGAGCTTTACTTGCAAACAATCCCACGCCATTTCTATTGACATGAAGGTTCTGTAATGAGGAGTACAAGTCAAACGGAACTTGAACCGTTTGCTCCAAGGATGGGATCTCAAAGATCTCGGAGGTCCTCTACTGGAAGCCAATGAATACGGACAACGAACCGAGAGAAATCATGACCCACACAAGAGCAGAGCGATCGTTGAGGGTAGCGGTCCGTCCACTGCCTAGCTCGTGCTGAGTTTAAACCCGTTGAACAATATCCAACATGGCTCACTTGAAAAGTTACGAGGGACACTTGCAGAAAAGGTTATCAGCCCCGGGCTGCGGAACATACTGAAGCCCGTCTTGAAAACCAACCTCTGCAGTTTTAGTGGGCTACGGAACGTGCCAGGCGATGCCCGGATGATTTTACAACGCGCAGCCATGTGCGGGCCAAGTACTACTAATGGGTGTTCGATTACACAGTTCGCCGCTTGCAGAATGGGATCTTCCAGGACCACGTTATCCAGGGGTAAGCATCAAAGCTCAATTTTGAACAACCGCGACGGTGCAACCGACAGGGACAACATCAGAGGAGGTACCAGCGTTTTTACAATCAGCACGTGCAAGAAGAGGATATGCAGCTTACTGAACATTCGACCGACCTCGCATTCCCTCGGGCCTTCTCGCCGAAACTCAAGGGGTACGTCAGAAGTGTTGGAAGACGCTACGCGAAAGTGACCAATCTGCCTGAAGCTACTGCTAGACCAGATATCAGACTTGCTTACTGGTGGACGCACACCACCTGTGGACTCTGTGGATGAGGCGTTGAAGATCAGAGCCCAGGAAAAGGTCGTGCACTCGAGGCAGCATGCAGCATAATAGGCCATGAAGAGCAAAGCTTCAACGTCTGGGCCACCCCTGATGAACCCCTAGGAGCCGAGGACGTTCCGCAAAAACAGTGGATGGAGATTCCTATATGAAACCGATCTCGGCTCCGGCGAAACAGAAAAGGGAATTGTGGCCCTCCAAGGATTCTACGATTCGTGTGGAAGACAATTGGGAACGACTTATGGCTTGACAAATAAACCGGACGCCTACGACACATGTAGACATGGTACCAACTTGTGACGCGCCTTCAGCGGTCGATGTAATGGCGTGGAAACACGATCATGAAAGAGTTCTGCGCCCACCGTAGCCGGTGGCGTTGGTCGTTGCCAACATAAATGCATCGATACAAAACCCTGCACGGCCGAGAATTGGAACAGCATGTATATTTAGTATCGTCTGTGTTTCTCACAAGGGGCTAACTGCACACGATTTCAAAGGCTCCAAAAATAAAGCGTCAGCTCGTAGACGTCAATGATCCTCATCTCATACTAATGGCACAATTTGGCGACACAATGCCCAAGGCGTGAAAGAACAAGTCTCGCGTTCTAAGGAATACTCTCACAAAACCGCTCGGTAACGTTATCTTCGATTCGGCCGATGTACAAACCAATAACACACAAATATGTTCAATAGCCTGCTCCTGTGGCTTTGTGAGAGCCAGCACCTGTCCGTCATGACTCCCTTCTTGAATCGTTTCGGGCCTTTTAGATGACGTGAAACGCCTTTTGGAAGAAAGGGGGAGGGACGTGGTCATATTGAGAAGACATGACTTCCGTATAAACCGTCATAGGACTCGGAAAAACGTCGCAGACTGTGCGCATTTGAAGCCCGAGAAAAATTGCTGAGCGCAATATTCAACATCTATCAAGGCCCTTCTATCCGATAGCGACAAAATCTGTCGCCTGAAGCTTACAAAGAGATCTGGTCGACGCAGACACAATGCCAAATAAAAAGGACGATAGCTTTTGTACCGGACCCTCACAGATATTTGACTGTTTCATTAAGCTGGAGCGTGATCCATGCAGGATATGTGGAGATAAACCGAGTATGAAGGTGATATATCCCCACAACAAGGCCAAAGCAATTTGTGATCATAAACTCCCGACAGGAATTTTGCAACGCGTCCTCTGAGAGTATGCTATCCTTTAATATCTTACCTGGAAGAAATGTGCAATTAAGAAAGGGACAGATAGCCGAAGACGTCGGAGGCAATGATTATCCTTCTGATAATTACAATGGCCGTGCGATGGCAGCGCGCCCTACAAGCATGTTATAAATTACCATCAAATTACGCGTACCTAAGCAATGAACTAGTGACTCATGTACTGGCTCACCCGGATGTGCTAACCATCACGCTGCAGGCGTATGGTGGGCTCATGAATTTACTACTAAGGGAAAGACAGCGTGGGGTATCTCGGCCTTAGAGCCTCTGTACAACAAGATATACACGCTGACGCTCCTTGAGATCCCATTCCAGTCCCACACGATCATCTACCAGCCAACCTCAGTGGCCTACTACGAGGACAAGGTTAAGTCATTCCATGACAAGCCCCCCTAAAATGGCCGAAATCAACCAGTCCAACCCCCTCGTGGTCCGACTTGGGAACACGACCTGGACCATTACGGGGGTTTCGCACTTCCTCCACCTTAAGCACACCCGAGGCGACACGAAAAAGGATCCCTCAGGATCTTTGTACCACCCCCGGGAGGCTGAGCTTGGGATTATTACACTGTGCTGCAGAACCGAACCGTCTCCTGACATCTTTTACTGTGAAGTCCGCTCGTCGTTGTACATGCTGTTCGATATTCAAGCGGAGGATAGAAGTGGACCATAGTTACTGGAATTGCAGGCGGTCATATTTACTGCGCATTTGATGCTGTTCTCGGAGATTGCCTCATAACGTGATAGATGATGCCTCCGGTCTCTAAACCCAAGAGGAAGAAGGGCTCTGCCTCGCGCAAAAGGGAGACAGCAGATGCTGATCCCACTGAGGCCCTATTCAATTTGGCAATGTGGAAACTAGTATCTGTTCCAAGAGATAGAACGGGCAGTTGGAGTCTGATGCAAAAAGGCAATCAACCAAGACATATTAAGGTGGTAGTCAAGACGAATAAGTTAATGGGAGCTGTTCTACCCCATAAAGAACTATGGTGCCCTAAAGGGACATGAGATAAGCGCTATCTAATCTATCTGTGTTACCCCAACTTCGGACCCAAAAGTAATCCCGAGAGTATCACCCACTATCAGTATCTCTTCTCTTCAATCAACTCCACCTACAGATAAAACAAATCTCAACACATATCAACAAAGAAAATCAGAAGAAGAATCAATCAATACGTAACACAATCTAGCCCTACCTTAAATTCTAACAAAATACCCCTCTTATCATCATCCCCGCCAAGGAAAAATCTCCGGACAAGATCCGGTTCACGCCATCGGACGATCAAATCCTTTGAATGCCGAGATCAAGCGTCGTGTTTCGGAGAGGGGGTCTTTCTCCGGCGGGGAAGTCCCTTCTCTTCTGGTCCATGGTCTCCTCATCTGATGTATCTGCTGCTTTACTGCGTCTGACGGACAGAGTAAGTAGTGCCGAGTTGTGGGAAGGTGGGAGGAGTATATAAACACGCCCGACCCCTCTTCTATACACCCCCTCACTTAGACATCCACTTCGTTCTACTTCCTTCCTCTTTCCATCTACTCTGAACTTGAAGCAACTATAACACCAGAATCAAAATGCCATCAACCATCCCCCTCCCACCTCCCTTCTCCTCAATCCCCCGCCATCCCTTAACCCTCTACCCCTCCCCAATCCACCCCCTCCCCCGAATCTCCACCGACCTATCCCCCTCCGGCACCACAACCATCTACGCCAAACGGGAAGACCTAACCTCAACCCTCGCCTTCGGGGGCAACAAAACCCGCAAACTCGAATACCTGGTCGCCGACGCCCTCGCCCAGCACACCTCGACCCTGATCTCGATTGGCGGCGTGCAAAGCAACCACACGCGGCAGGTCGCCGCGGTAGCCGCACACCTAGGTCTCAAGGCGCGGCTGGTGCAGGAGAAATGGGTGGACTGGGAGGATAAAGGATATAGCGACGTGGGCAATATCCAGCTCTCCCGGGTGATGGGGGCAGATGTGAATCTGAACACGGAGGGGTTTGGGATCGGACATAAAGAGTCCCTAGCGAGGGTGCAGCGCGAGTGTGAAGAGCGCGGGGAGAAGACGTACTACATCCCTGCTGGGGCGTCGGATCATCCGCTGGGCGGAATGGGGTTCGCGCGGTGGGCGTTTGAGGTGCGGGAGCAGGAGCGCGAGATGGGGGTGGAGTTTGGGACGGTGATTGTGTGTGCGGTGACGGGGTCGACGATGGCGGGGATGGTGGCGGGGTTTAAGTTGATTGAGAAGTTGTATCCAGGGGAGGCGAAGAAGAAGGTGATTGGGATTGATGCGTCGGCGAAACCGAAGGAGACGAAGGCGCAGGTGTTGCGCATTGCGAGGAACACGGCGGGGCAGATTGGACTGTCCGAGAACGATATCACGGAGGAGGATATCATCTTGAATGAGGATTATCATGCCGGGACGTATGGGATCCCGGATAAGCAGACCTGGGAGGCGATTGAGTATGCGGCGCGCATGGAGGCGTTCATCACGGATCCGGTGTACGAGGGCAAAAGCTTTGCGGGGATGGTGGATTTGATCAAGAAGGGGGAGATCAAAGGGAATGTGCTGTACGCGCATCTTGGAGGGCAGTTGGCCTTGAACGCGTACTCGGACTTGGGCAAGACTAAGTAAGAGTTTACATCTACGTATTATTCTACATAGAGGAGAGTCGAATTGAGTCATTCAGGATACCTCATGCCTCACGGCGAAGGTAACAATAGATTAAAGAGTGGCTATAGTTGGCTTGATTCTGAATAGGTAAGGCAGACCGTTCAAGGAGACCGGTCAAATAAGACGGCCAGTCTAGAACAGCTTGTGCTCCAGAGTCATCTCCGATTCGGGCTGCAACCCGACACAGGCACGGAAGATGTTGGTCAAGGCGCTACGCTGCTTGTTCAGAGAGTTGACAACAGGCGTGCCAGGGGGCGTCAGAGGCGCCTTGAGCATGTAGCTCAGCACGCTGAGCACGCTGTGGAAGCCCTTGTACTCCTCGGCGCCGTCCGCCTTCCAGCTGATGCGGGTCATCATCTCAGCGATCAGCACCAGATCGATGATCAGGGGCGACGCCAGCAGCGAGTCCTCGCAGATGTTGAACAAGCTGATAGTCTGGTGTCCGCCCATGAAGATCTCGGCGTAGTACTCGTCCAGGGCCCGCTTGTTGTCGCCCACCGCCGGCATGTACTTGATCACCACCGTGTGGTCGGGGTGCTCGTCTTTCTCGTAGAGGATCTGGTTGGCCGCCACCATGTCGTCGACCACGTTGGACTTGGAGATCTCCTTTGAGCGGAACTGCTTCTGCGAGCTCAGGTTCTTGCCGTCGTTGTTACCCAGGTGGTTGTAGCTCGCAATGGAGGTGAGCTTGATACCCGCGTTGATCAGGAAGTCCACCAGGGCCGACTTCATCTTGGTCTGGCCGGACTTGAAGTCGTCGCCACCGATGAACGCGTTGCGCTGCTCAGCCAGCTGGAGCGCTCCGGGAACGAAAGTGTTCTGGGGCGATCCGTTGATGAACGGGGTGTTCTCCAGGATGGAGGCCACGGCAAAGACGGTGGACGGGGCAACTTCCTCGTGTCCGGTCTTGATCGAGTTGAGGAGGTTGTCGGCCGTGTCGTTGACACCGGGCAGGATGTCCGCGTAACGCTCGGTGTTGGCAGTCCACATGACAATGACCTTGTCCAAGCCGTTGTTCGCCTTGAAGTCGCTAAATAAAGATTAGATCTGATGGACAATCATCGGTTAAGACAACATACCGAATATCCTGCTGAATCTTCTCAACGTGAGCCCAGCTTGCCTTGGAACCCTCGAGGACGTTGTCGGCACGATCCTCCTGGTTGGCAGCGATAAAGTCGGGGTAGTAGATACTGGGCAAGGGCTTCATCTCAGCCATCTCCTTGCGAACGAGCTGCTTGAGGGTAGGCTCGAGGACCTGAGCCCGATCCATGGCATCGGCGAGGTTCATGCTGCTGATGTCCCAGCCACCAATGGCGAGGTCGTTGGGATGGACCATCGGCAGCATGTCATGGAAGGGAATGTTGATCTCTTCGCCGGTCTTGGCATCGGTTCCCAGCTTGATGGTCGAACCCATAACCACCGATCCGTAGTAGTTGGACGCACGCTGGCCCTCGCGAGTTTCCCAAACGAGGTTGCGGCGGTTGCCAAGTAGACCTGCGGTGACGGTGGAACCGTTGTTTCCACCCCATCCGACCATCATCACACCGACCTTGCCCACCTTGCGGTCGACCTTGAAGTCGTAGTTGGTGGCCTTGGGGGTAGCAACCAACTTGTTGTCGGCGGTGCGGGTGATGTCAGTGGTATGGTAGGCATACTTGCTCTTGATTTCGGAGTCGGTGTAGACGACGTTGGGAGAGTTGACGGTAAAAAGGGGAGCGGCCTGCGTACGAGCCGACCCGTTCACGGTGCCATTGGCAGCAACATCCGAGCTTGCGTGGGGGGCCATTTTCAAATTTCACGAGTTATGTAGGTTTTTATTGAGGTTTGATCGGGCGTGAAAAAGAAAATGTACTTGTCGATGACGGAAAGAGGATGCTTGTGAACAGTAAATATTTTACTGTATGTAGAGACAATTATCCGGTGCTCCCCCACGGGAAGATGAGCGCCGGCCGTTGAACGGGTGGTGACGCCTGAGAATGAAGTTAGCAAAGGCACGAGCAATACGGGGAATATGGTAGGTAGAATGCGGGGATAACGCACGAGTTAAGCTGTGTGCCGAAAATTTTGCCGGTTTCTAGTGATCACACCTCGGGGAGAAGTGATCTGAACAGATTAAGCAAAATTGAAAGCGTAGACGAGCGATGGAGATGAGTCAATTGATGGTGGAAGGAAAGAAGGAGGGAGGAAAAGAGGGAAGGCGAGGGGGATATTTAAAGTGCTGGATACGGCTAGCCCGCAGTCACGGGGAAGCCCCATCATTTGGCATCCGCACCCGTGCTGCTCCGCAAGTCGCTGGCTAATTTCTCGTCTATCGAAGTTGCAATGAACTAGTTGCCAGCTTACCAATAAGAGTCCGTTCCAGCGTGAGATTTCAACCAGCGGTCAAGAACAACACAGTGGCATGTTCACGACTCGGAGTAGTTGAGTCCGGGCCTGCCCCTCGTTGAGTGCTAGCGATATCCATGCAGGAATAGATGATCAATTCTTGTTAGTATCTTTTGGTCATCTGCTCCATTTTGATTCAATTATTCTATCTAACATGCGCACTACAAATTGAGTCAATTGACTGCCTCTAGGGAGTACTCTGTAAAGAATTGACACCGCTGTGGATACGACCGGACTGTTGCCTGGACCCTCACGAGCTACGATACCCCTCGGGTCCTCAGGCTAAAAGTACACCGTATTGCCCCGGCTAACACTGCGTGCAAGTTCAACGTTGTGTCTCTTGAGTCGTGATATTCCTTGAGAACCTTCCAAGACAGAAAATTTTTCTAGTCTTCCCTTAGCAATTGTACAGCGCAGCTGCCAAGCTATGAGTTGGCGGTCCAGACAAAAACGAAGAACAAAGACTTTCCCACCAACCACCAGTTCAATTGACCGATTGTCCCTCAGGCACCAGAATCAAGACAGCGTGTGGTCTGCGCGTTATCGGCCTGCGAGAGTGGGCCTAGGCCAGGTGTCCCACGGGGTCCGCCAGACCAGGATTTCGGTCGAGACTCGGTTAGAGACTGCACATCTGTACTCAGTACGGTCGACAGAACACATGGAGTGCTGCGTAAATCGTAACCGGCTACGATAATGCTGAAATTGAGATCCATTCAAGCGGTATGCAAAGAATGCAGAAAAGCGACCGTGGATAGGAGTGCCGTCTTATTATTCGGACGCCTTTTAACCGCGGCCCCTGGCGAGTGTTGCGGTGTGCGGAAAGCTCGGCAGAACGTTCCATGGTTGCGGTCGCCTTCTCTACCCCTGAATTCGCCCTATTGGTGTGGCTGTTTGCGGAGGGATGCATTATGCATGCTGCATTACCCCTTGGCCACCGCATAGGGTCTTTGCTGGGGTTTGACTTTGCATTTTGACTTACTCTGAAGGTCTATTGAAGTCTGCTGGTCTTGTGCCACTCACCTTTGCTGAACATTGGGTTTTATTTTGCCATTCATGATTGACCCGGTGGAATGGTTCAGAGTTTGCATTCCTACGGATGGCAGTGGGCAACTGTCGTCCATTTTAAATCCGACTGTTCCTGTCGGGCGGCTGGCTTGTGATCATGCCTGACGGCTGCGAGATTTTTGTGCGTCAACATGGCTCCTCCAGATGGACAATGACCAGACACTGGTGAAACGGGCTGAGGCTCCCCAAGGCTTTTGCAAGGCCTTCTGAGGGTCTGTTACGAGAGCATTCTGTCAGATGAAGCCACGAAGGATTACCGGGAGCCCGGTACCGATAAAGTGATGTAGTCAGCTAGGCTAGAAACCACACGATCGCGATGACGTTGGAGAATCAACATGGGACAGATTAGACGAGCGATCCGTGGAAATTTCGCCAACGGTCTCACTCTCAAGCAGGACCCGAACCATTCAAGAGCGAACCATGGGACCGCTCACCGTTCCTGACCTAAGATTCGGGCCAGCATTGGGAACGTACGAAGCTGGAAGCATACAGTCAGTAGACTATTGGATTCCCATGTCACGCACAAACATGGCAGCAGCCAACCTTGGACAGCCAACTCCATAAGTCGGAGGTTTTCTAAAAATTGAGCATCCTGTGGGCTCCCACAGGTGACAGCCAGGACTTCTCCGGGCGGTGATCGACATACCCCAAGCCCCGTCGGGATATCTACAAATTGTGAAACTCAGCCCTTGCTTTGGAACATCATCGAAGTTTCAGTCAGTGGATATGTTGGGGTGGGATTGGTGTATTCATCATGAGGACGATTCCGCCAAATGGGGTCCAAAGGGCCAAAAAAACTCTTCGTTGTAGGAAGCCACAAGGCGCAGGCAATCCAACAGCAAGAGGGTCGTGCTCAGCCGGGACGGGCTGAAGCTCATACAGATTACAGAACCGGTCAGGATCAGAAGACAATCACGGCTGATCGATGACAGAAGAGACGGGATGTGCAAGATGGAGGGATAGGCGATGTTCGCTGCGTTTCCCCCCTGAGGACGATCTACAGTCGATGGTAACCCGGTTTGGTTCAGGGGTCATTCCAGACTCCAGAGTCTGGAGGCAAAGCAAGAATATTCCGAATAGTGGATATGGTTGTCATAGTGGTGACTATTGTTGCGCAGTGCCGTGGCTTGAGAGTTTTGGGGATCTGACATGTGTCGAAGTGGGAGACGCAAAAAGGGGGCGATAAAAATACATCAACCGTACAGAGTAAGCGGGGATGACTGGAGTGGACAGAAGACAGGGGAGGATCTGGGAGAGAAGTGACCTGAGCATAGGTTTAGGGAGTACCCTGTTCCCTCGTACTATGACAAGGTACTACCTACCTACTCTGTAGAGACTAGAGTGCTACTGCACAGAACTGCGAGCGTGTATAGGGTACTTCCGCCAGTATGTCCTCCAGGTAGAACCAGGTGGTACAGGGTACTTGCAGTCTCGCGCAGTTCGGCGGGAACGCGTGTTGCCTTAGGCTGACGGGGGCCAAACCAATCGCGTCCTGTGACCAGCACGCTAAACCCGAACTAAACCAGACTAAACCGCGATCGGCGCACGAGGGTCCCTTTCTCGCACTCCACTTTCTGCGCTACTCTTCTTGCGCAGGCTCCGTTTCGTAGTAACACAACTGTTATTCTTTCATTATTCTTATTATTCTTGCGTCGGCGTCGCTCTTTCTTATCATTGTTCTTATTAGCTTCCCCTCTTTCTCTCTTCCCTTCTCGATGCTTTCTAGCCTCTGCGACGAACCACCCGGTCTCTGACTATTCTCACCTTTCCTCCTCTTCCCCTCTCGACTCCGGACTATTGACCGCCCAGACCGTGGCACCGTTAGCTCCATACTGTGTGCGTCTGTTGATATTTGGGGCTGTCTGCCGGCGAGCAGGCTGAGGAGGGCCCTGCCTAGCTTCTGGCTACTATACACATCACGCCTCCGTATGATACTACCGACTGTGCTGCCCTTCGATGAACCGATCCTTTGTCCCTAGCATTGGTCGAAATGGCAGCTACGATGGGACTGGGCTTATTGCCCATGATCAAATGCTCCAATTGTGGCATTGACGTTGAGATCTCGGCCATGGGAGATCATGTCTGTGCGAAAACAGAGCCAGGTGAGATCGATCCCGGAAATAGTATTGAGTATGAAGTCACTGACTGGATATGTGAATTGTCATAGCTGCCCCCCCGCCGCCCTCAAACTCCGACTATGATACCCTGCCGAGAAACACAGGGCGAACGGGTCCTCCTGCTCCCATCAACCCTTCGGTTGCCAGTATGTTGCCTGGGAACCTGCTTGACCGCAATTGATATGCCTAACACGTTCAGACCGACCCTTTCTGCGGCCGGACAATGCCATCGGTGTCAACGAACCGGCCGGCCTCTCCTCGCAACCCTCCCCGCTGCGACTGGTTCAGCAGAGCCAAACAGCCGTTCCAATTCAACCACACACCTCAGAGATTGTTACCGTCGGCTCGGATGACCTGCCTCGCTTTCCGCTACCGCGTTCCATGTCGGACAAAGAGTCCGGTGCCATGACCCCCCTGCCCGATGCGACCTCGTTCCCTCCGATTCCCTCCCATCCACATACCAACGGCAACAACAGGCCTCCGGCGACGGCTCCCCTTTCGATAGACCCGAATGATGATGCTCCGCCGCCGCCGTTGCCCAAGGATGAGCCGACGTCTCTGCCGAGAATTGCGCACAAGTATGGGAGCTCGATCGATAGCAAGAGTAGCTACCGGACTTCATTCGCAAGCTCTCGATATGGCGACGGCAGCTCGAAGCGATCGACCGCAATGTCGGGTCGACGGCCGTCTTTCGGGAGTGTTAACCAGCCATACAAGTACCTGGACGACGACGCGCCCCCCGTCCCTTCTCTGCACCACACGTCATATTCCGTGTCGGACTACAACATGTCGCGTGAGTCCAGGAATGATCGACAGGAGGATGGTGGGAGCTTCACATTGGGAGGCTGGCATCAGACGAATTTGCAAACCGACAACCAGCAGTCAAACTCAGGTACCCTGCGGGTATCATCGCACACCGATTCGGACCGTCTCAGCAGCAACCGAGGATCTGCCGAGCTGTTCTTCCGGAGCCCGTCACAAACGTCGTTTGAACGCTTACCTGACCCTCCTGAGTACCCTGAGCGTTCTACCTCCATCAACCCCCCGACTAAGGTCGAGTACAAGCCGTTCAAATCCCCTACCACTGGCACCTACTTGCATCCCTCGACCCCGGACGTCGATAGTCAGGGCTATGACGACGTGCAGAGGAAACCGTCTGACGCTACCAGCGAAGGAGCCCTCTCTGTATCCAACTTTGCTCGTTCCTTGGGGTTGGATATGCCCGAACAGGCACCAGAGCACTCGACGGTATCTTCGGAATCGTCGCCGTCGGATCTGCGGAGCGGAACCTCCTTTTCCAGCGTCGCGTCGGAAGCCAGCACGCGACGAAAGCCTTCGGAACAAGCTCGACTGGGACCCGTCATTGAGGAGCGACGAATTGACACGCGCCAGCAGTACGGTCTGCATACCGGTGATCAGACCGAAAGTCCGATTGACCTCGAGCCGCCTCAACTTCGGGACCCTCTTTTCAGTCCTGACTCCCCTACCGACCCTGCTATTCTCTACGGCAGCGTGTCTCTGCTCCCGGATAAAACCCACAAGGCTCTTCCGGAACTCCCAAGCAAGTTGCGGTCCGCCACAGGGCCCATGTCTCACACTCAGAACAAGCAGTCACAGGACAAGAACCTCCCGGACTTGCCACGGTCCGCAACGGCACCGCTATCGCATACCGCCAACAAATCCTCGCAGGACAAGAACCTTCCGTCCGTGCCGGCTCTGGCACCACCGATTCCAGCCTTGGAGGACGAGCCGTCTCGGGGAACGAGGTTCTTCCCCGACCTAGATGCACCCATCCCTTCGCCCTCTCACATTCCCAAGAAGCCGTCATGGACCGAACGTCTTTCTCCGGAGCGGCTAAGATCGAAGCCATCGATCTCGCACATCTCCAAAAAGCAGTCGCGCGAAGAGAACATTGTGCCGGACTTCCGCCGGCCATCTCCTGAACCGCACCACGTGCCTCAGAGACCGTCGCGGGAGAACGTTCCTGACTTGCGCCAGCCTTCGCCGGAGCCCTCGTACGCCAAGGAGTTGGCACAGGAGAGACCCTATCCAAACATCCCCGGATTCTCGGTCGAGCAGCCATTCCACATTTCCAGTAAACCATCGAAAAATGAGACGTCCACGCCACCACCAGCGTTCCATTTTCCACAAAAGCCGTCACAGGACGAAAAACTGCCAGAAATGCCGAGGCCATCGCCCGAACCAGCTCACGTTCAGAATAAGCCGTCCGGGGACAACAAGCTCACTCCAGCAGTGCCGGGATTCCTGCCGGAAGCGCCTTTCCATATCGCCAAGAAGCCTTCCTGGATTGACAGATTTACGCCGGAGGTGACGAGATCGCCAACGCCGCCCTTTTCTCACTCGGCCAAGTCATCTCAGGACGACCATTCACCACCGCAACGATCCAAGTCACCGGCTCCTCCTGTCCATATGCAGAACAAGCCATCTCAGGACGACAAGTACTTGCCACAGCTTCCGAAACTCCCGACTGAACCTTCTCACGCTCCCAATAAGCTGTCTCAGGACGACAAATATCTCCCAGAGCTGCCGCAGCCTCCGTCGGAGCCTCCTCATGTCTCCAACAAGCCCTCTCAGAGCGATCGCCTCTCGCCAGAGCTGGCTAAGTCTCCGCCTCCGGCTTCTCACATACCCGGCAAACCATCTCAGGATAACAAATATCTGCCGGAATTGCCTCAGCCAACCCCGGACCCTTCTCCTTCTCACATTCCCAACAAGCCATCCCAGAGCGATCGCCTCTCCCCGGAACTGGCCAGATCACCGCCACCCTCTCATTCCAACAAGTTGTCCCAGGATGACAAGTCTCTTCCTAAGTTGCCAGAGCCGTCCCCCTTGTATAAGTCATCCTGGGATGGCAGACGCTCTCCTGAACCTCCTAAATCGAAGACTCCGGAACCGGCCCTCATCCCTCAGAAGCCCATTCGGGACCCTAGACTCTCTCCAGAACCTCCGCGATCCGCTCCGCCACCATCTCACATCCATCAGCCATCACGAAACGAGAGGCCATTCCCCGAACCGAGATCAGCAGAGCCACGATTCGCGCGGGAAGGTTCTAACCTTCACGACCAGCCCTCGCATGACGAGAAGACCTCGCCCGAGCTTCTGAGCGCTTCCATCGACCCGGCCGCGCGGTTATCCCCGCGTCCCAAGGGGCCATGCCGAGGCTGCGGCGAGGTCATCCTGGGCAAGTCTGTATCTTCTGCAGACGGGCGTCTTACGGGCCGTTATCATAAAGAATGTTTCGTTTGCTACCAATGCCGCATTCCCTTCCGGACGGCTGATTTCTATGTCCTGCGCGACCTGCCATTCTGCGCTCAGCACTATCACGAACGCAACGGCTCTCTCTGTCAGGGTTGTCTCACTGGCATTGAAGGACAATTTCTGGAGACAAATGAACGACAAGGCCGTGGACCAGGTGACAAACGGAGATATCATCCCCAGTGTCTGACCTGCCGCACTTGCAATGTTCTCCTGAACGGAGAATACTTCGAATGGAACGGACAGGTGTACTGCGAACGTGACGCTCGCAGGGCTGCTGCGTCGACTCCCCCTCCACGCATGCGTCGTCCAACCATGAACTCCTCGCCATTGGCTGCACACTCTCGAGGACCTTCCCGAGGATATCCTCCTCCACCGGGCTATCCTGGGAGAGGCCGAGGTGGACCTCGTCCACCAATGCCGAGGATGCCAGATATGCCCGACATGCCGGATGTACAGGGGATGCCAGGACCTGCATATCTTGACGGACGTTATGGGCCACCCCCAACCGCCCGACGTTTCCCAGAACGAAGAACCACCAAATTAATGATGCTATGATAAACTAATCACCGCCTGTAGGGGAGCATATGGATACCCGCATCCAATGTCTTCATTCTGCAGACACATTCTGATATATACATTGATACATATATATACCCTTCTCTTCGTGTTGATAGACTTTCCACACATGGCTCGGTGCTTTTTAGCAGGACCTGATTGATGTACATTGTTCGTTGATTTGATGTTTGTTTTTGTGCATAATGTGGGTGTTTTTTATGACGGTGTTCCGGCTGGTTTGGGATATAGATTTTGTCATTTGCGCGCGGGTGGCATTATGTATGGATATTTCACATGAATACAATACTTGGTTATTATCTTGGATCTGTTCTTGAACCATCGGCGTCAATTCGCGTGAAATAATGCATCAACCAACAACCACGTCTTTGCATTTCTCGAAGGCCGCAATACGGCCGTGTTGTGGTACAGCGAACAGTAACTTTCTACTCATCCCACAAGAGGGGTGTTACTTACAGAGCTCCCAAAAAGCTAGTGGTCATGGAAGCCTTTTAGTTGGAGGGATGTGCCGTAGTAACTCAATCGCTCATGGCTTTTGCATGTGCATGGAATCCCCATCAAACTGGCGTATGCTTCTGTCTACGCATAGATAATGAAGGGGACATTATTGTCATGGTGTTTCTCATTATGTTCCGCTTGTAGTTGCCGAAGCTTCTGTACAAATGGGCTCTTTCGCTGCAAGACGTTGCTGTGTTGCGGAAGTGAAGAATCCGATATGTCTATCCGGTGACAATTATTGTGCTGCACTTCGACAGCCATATAGTCAAAATACACTTTGGAATCCTGGGGTGAATTCGGTCGTTACTTGCCACAACTTACCACAAAAGCACTCCAGGATTTCCGGTACTCAGGGACTATCTTAAGAAGGGGTAGGGGGGCCACAGCATGTCTAAGTAAATCCAATCTGGATGTGATAACTTATCCAAAGGATCTTTACCTGCACTCTATTTCCAAAGGCTAGGTTTACGTAGCGATATCACAGATAGAGATATTTCTCGCTTCTACACCACCAACTGCCCTGTTGTATCAATCTTCCTCGTCACCCATACCAATTTCGGGACCATGATTGAAGCACCATTCAAAGTCTCCATCATCGCGTTGTGCTCCAACTTCCTGGACGCCTCCGGTGTTTTGAGTGCGGTTTCTGCAAACTCTTTCCACGTGCTCATATACCTAAATGCGAGTTAGGTACTCCCATAGCTAGCTAGTGTTGGTCTCTATCATAACTCAGAAATCACTCCAAAACCGGGCCATTCCGAGCCCGTACTCGAAGGTATATAACGTTGAACCAGTATATCCGTTTTCATCTATGATTCGCGTGAGCTCATATTTCCAGCTGTGAACGAGATTAGCTCGCACCGTATTTTCTAACAACATTATTCCAATGCGCTTACGTGTCATGACCTTTAAGCTGAGAGAAGAGTGCGTCAAGGTTACACGCCGAATTACCAGGTACGGTCTTGATCGAACATCCGATGGTGTCAACCTCGTCCCACTGAAGGTAGCCGCCGGGTCCTTGATACAATGAACTCTCAGTCTAGCCATATAACTGGACTACATAGGGCATACTCAGTAGCTTGTGCAGGTTTGCTAGAATAGGCCTGGGGTCGTTATTCTTGACAACGACAGTGATCAGACGAACGTGCACAACGTCGAAGTAGCCCACGAACTCATCCGGCACCTCTTCAAAGATATTCCATATATGCATGTGTATGTTGGCGGGTAGCCATGGTTTAGGGCCAACTTGGTCCAGGCTGATATCGAAGCCGTGAAGGTCAACGGAGGGCGGTTTTCCACGAGCAAAATCCTGAAGCCAGATACTAAAAAAGAGTCAGATACGAATAGTTCCAGAGTAGGTGATTCACTGTACCCGTTGCCAGTCGCAACATCAGCGACTTTCAAGTCAGCGGCCCGAGTATCAATCTCGGGATGAACTAAGAATCCGAGGAGCTCTTTCCAGAGATAATGCTGCGCTGTAAGTCTAGGCATGATATTGGTGAAATAGCCATGAACGATATTTCAAGTGAACTAACCGAGAGTTTGCATTGCAATCGGCATGAGTGCATAAGGATTCTTGGCTTCTATCGTTGTCCCATTCCAGCCGTTCGGTGTTGATAGCTGTGATACACTGTTGTCTTTTGGAATCTTGTCACCCACTGGGTGTCCATGATCGCTGTTTGAAGGGGTGCTGATACTATCAGATTCAATCATTATGCCAAAGTCCTCTGTGTATATTAAACAATTCAGGTCACCTGGCTTTATCATTGGTGTGGTAGCTTTGAAGGGACTCGGTTGGACCAGAAGTAAGTTTTTATAAGAAAGCTGGAATGTTATGGACCCTCACCATTGAACCCTGATATGTAGGATAACATGCGCGGTTGACCGGGGTAATATTGGTGTATTTCCCCGTGTCAGGTCCACTATTGGTAAACTTGAGCACATACAAGCCTGTGAACGGTCCAGCGCTTCAGACTGGCTGTGACCGTTTGTGGAACCTTTCTATCAGGAGGGTGGAGCACTTACGCGTCTTAAGCAAAAGGCACGAGATATCTGGCCATCCTCTCTTTATTATATAACCGTTGGAACGTTATATAGGTCACCCTCTGTTGGCTATCTGGCTCCCGAATCGATATTTGGCAGCCCCTTAAAAACAGCCTAGCGCCTCTGAGATTCCGACATATTTATCCTGTATAACAACTAGCAAGGGAGGGAGGAACAAAAAGAACAGATCCATCACTAGTTCCATTTTTCAATAGAGTCACTTCTTTGTTGTGTGCGAAAAGAGCTGCCAGCGCTAAGAGCAGTGGTAATCATGGTGCATGGATTGACTAGGTAATGCTCTACTAATGATGACCGGCTCTTCTGAAATTTCAGTCTCAGGACTCAGTGTAGCGGTGTTAGGATTGATTTCTGATCCTCATAAACCTAAGAATCTATCAAGGACCTTACCTTAGGGGTATAAAGCTAGTTACCCATGTCTCGGAGAACCTTAGTCAATATGAGAGAAGGTCCTATCACGGTATAATGCTAAAAAAGGGATTATCTCTAGACATCTTGATATTGTCCGATCTTATCAACTAATGCCGCACTAATTCCTGACACCGCGCCAACTGCGATCCTTGCTGGTGGGTCTAGTGAACAAACTTTCACTAGGGTGTACACAGCCAATGCATCTCTTCCACTCCCACCCCCGGCATGCACACGGTGACACCCGTGCCAGAGACTCTGAAGCTCGAGCTATTGAGCAAAATCGGCCTTATATCAGACGGAGAGTGGACCACTGAAAGGAATTTAATAGAGGGGAGAGAAGCATGGAGCGAGGGAAAGAGACGCTCTTTGGTTCAACTCGGAGAATTCGAGAGTCGAACGAGACATCGATGCGCACGCCAAACGCAAGTGTCTTCAAGAAACCGAGGTTCGTCCTATGGACTATCCTATTGAGAAGATGAACGTTGAATAGTGTGGGCCACTAAGATCTGCTGTCTCAGTCCGTGGGTGATCTTATGCTGATAGAGAAAAGCTGAAACCTGACAAAGTAAAGTTTTACTGTACTATAGGCCGCTAATACCAAGTAGATCTGTCTCACCGGGAGACCGACGATCATTTAAACCATGGTACTTTGAAAAGATACCGACGCCTTCAACAATGGCACTGCCCCGTTCAGTGGCTACTTAGTTGCAGGTGGGTTCAGACTCCAGATCTCCTGTCCGGGGTAACTCATCGGGAATATGTCGGAGAATCCTGCCAACGCAGTAAAAACTAAACTGATGGAATCTCATAGTTTCCAATGGTACTCACAACCATGAGCCGCTTGAGGTAATCACTATTGAAAGGGTTTTCAAGTTGGCCAGTTAGACTTATATTAAAAAGGTGCCACATGGAATGATTTCATAGAGCAAGACAACTTGGCTGGTATGTATTTCGAGTTCTGCACCATGCTCTGACACTGGATACGTCACTATTTACTTTGCAATAAAGCCATCAATGAACTTGGTAATCTGCTCCGCCAATGCCTGAGGCTGGCTCACAAATGGCATGTGCCCGGTCTTAAAGTCCACAACTTCCCATTCCACCTTGGACTTGTCCAGCCACATATCCTGCAATGATGAAGGGTTGCAACTGTCGTCCAATGTACGCACATACGCTCTCCTACCATCAAACGCACCCTCCGCCCAGGCAGGAGCAGTGGGGGGTGTTTCAAAAGCGCGGAGTGCGTGTGGCTGCATTAGCTTCTCCAATTCCGGCTCGAGGGCACGGTCGCAGTCATTGTACAAGACATCCATCGCCGGTTCGATGACAGCAAGCCCTTGCGATGGCTGGGAACAAATTTATTAATGCGCCTCATTATAATCGCGTGTGTTCTGGGTTGATCGTACCTTGTCGACTTTGATAAAAGGAGGGTAAGCGCCGCCTACAGCAGTGAGGAGAGGTTCTCCTTCAAGGGTGATATTGCCCGCCACGTAAATCAGGCCGATGACGCCGGTAGATTGACCTTGGACTTTTCTGGTCCCCTTCGCAAGTCCTTTTGCTGCGCCACCTGCAACAACACCCCCGTATGAGTGTGCGATGATGACGACATCTTTACCCTGTTCGTTCAAAAGAGGGAGCAATACGTTGTCGCGCAAGGAAGCGATATCCTGTGTAGAGGACACGTTGGCTGGATCAGTGGGATTGCAACTAGGGTATGACCCTGGGTGTGTTGCGTATCCGGCTTTGGTCAGGTACGGGAAGGTTTTCTCAAAGCCTTGAGGTGTGCCGAAGGCACCTGGAACGATAACGATCACCGGGAGGTTTGCTGAAGACATGGTGGAGGGGAGTGTGACTTGAAAACAGGTTGTGACTTTGTTAAGTTGAGTATTACTGCTGAAAGGGAAAAAAAAGCTGAGATGTCTGGATTGCTACCAGGGGTCAGCTAAAAAAGGCGGAGTGGTGGATTTAGTGGTTCACCTCGCACTTCAGTTGTGGAGGATTCAAAAAAAAAAAAAAAAAAAAAAAAAAAAAAGTGACAACCGGCTTATTCTGATTTGATGAAAGAGCGTGGGGGCGAAAATATTTAGTCTACAAATCGACGGTGGGCATTCGATTGAAGGGAAGATAAGATAGAGATTAAGTCGTTCTGTAACTTATGGGATAAACTGGTGGGAAAGGAGTCAAAGAGCCTTGGTGAACTGCAAACTTGGAATTACCCCCAGGGTGTTGCTCCTCGAAATAGCAGCCTCTGACTACAGGAGAAAACAGTGGGGCTTCACTTTGCCGTGCACCGAGTACGCTGGCGATAGATGTTTCTTTGTTTTCTTTTTTTTTTTTTCTTTTTTTTTTTTTTTGAGGCTGAGATAAAACAACCCGCAATGCTGATCAACAAGTATCGACAAGGAATTCGCTGTACACACTGTACTGAATTCGGGTCTGACAGAAGGGATCTTCGTCGTTGATGCGGGCCGAAACCTTGGAAAGAAACTTTTGGCCCCGGAGTCTTCGCTAAACGCATGCACCGCCATGTCTCTCTTTGTGACGTGTTTATCATAAGGCTGTCAAGGTTGAGGGGATATTTATAGGACCGTACGGTGCAGATCCACAGCAGGCCATTATTGTGTAGGTATGCATGCCTCCATCTACAACGAGCAATCAGCCTTGTTCATGTACACTAAGTATAAGTTATCGATGAGGATTTGTACTTCCCACTCCGAGTTCAAGGTACATAATAGGACTTTCCCTATACTGCATAGTTGCTGCTGGCTGTTCCACAAAGCCCCCACCGAACCACACGCTCACGAATAAGAAGTAGGATTTTGATCAGAGGGAATGTACTTCAATAAGATCCTTTCAATGATAACTACAGACGGATGGTATGAATGTGCTCTTAAATGTGCGAAGGAATGGGGATCTTAATCCTTCATGGACCACGATTTCCCCGAAAAGACCATAATTCAGGTCTCACCAATACTATAAGCAAGCATTGGGAGAATAAGCGCTTGCAATCGGACGCCGCATTCTTTCAGAGGCAAATGTTGAGTCGGAGAGACTACGCACGGTTTGCATAGCACTGCGCACTGCCTGTTCCATCTTGTCAATTTTCGCAGCCATTTCAAGGCGAAGTTCAGCAATATTTGCTCGGGTTTCTGGGTAAGGTTCAAATGAGAGATCACACCCAAGCATATTTATGGTGCCTTCAACGTGCGATTGTAGGCACTGCCGGAGACTGGTAACCTCTAACGCATTCTTGGCGAGATCGTCAAAGAGACCATGATCTCTCCCACATTTCTCTGATTTCTCACGTTCCTAGAAAGCTTTAATCGAATGTGAGCTTGGTAACTTTCACGGTCCGATTTCGATGACAAGTCAAAAAGCTTACCAATTCTTCGGTCTTTGCATTAATATAAACACACTTCTTCCGTCATTCTTCTTGCAAAGTCTCTAGGAATGAATGAACGAGGTCCAAGAAATTGCTAGGCACCCGCGCACTAGGCAGCTTGCTAATGAACCCCTTGGCACATCCGTTTGCCATTTCCTTCTGAGTCCAAGCAATTCCCCACGAGGAAGTTCCCATCGCGTGCTCACCAGGAAAAGCTACCAAGATGGAATTAATGAGTTCATGACCCTGATCTTTTCGAGCAAAGTTCCAGTAGCACGGTTTCTTGCAGTCGGTGTCAGAAATGCCAGGCATATGCGGTAATGACGACCACGTGAATAATTTCTCACAAATGTTAAATATGTTATTGTTAATTCCAATTTGGAAGAAGAATTTTCAGGAGACCTGAGTCTTGCCTCCTTTCCTTTCTTCATCCAAACGCATCCAAAAGTATTGACTGATTGCATAATATAGCCAGTACCTTCGGACCTCCTAGTCAATTGAACCCAGGAAGGCGAATTAAGTCCTTCAAACCACTCAATAGATTGCACGGGTTGAATGTCCTTAGTAGCACCGAGGTGGAGGTTGATTATTGCTTGGCTTTGCGTGTTCAACGCGTATTGCAAAGGGGTCTTGCCAATATTATCCTCCAAGCTTGTGTGAGCGCTATGCTCAATAAATGCTGAAACAAGCCTTAAATCTCTCCTCAGACACGCGATGTACAGTGGGTTTCTGTTGTTTTTATCAGTTTGGTTGGGGTTATAATTGGCCTGAAGAAGGGTCATCACTAGACCTAACGTGTGCTCTTAATTCAACTGATCCCATGGAGTAGAAATTGCAAAGAAACCAGATCATGGCTCTTGAGCAGATCAATCACACTCGTGCTTTTCCGCTCCAATGCCCATATCAATGGGGTTCGAGATGCAACTTTGTTTCCGTCACAGACATGGAAGTCCACTGGGCTTCCACGTTGGATGAACTGCTCGTCGCCATATTCAGCAGCCAACTGCGGCTACTTTGGTCTTTTCGATCTGGAGATGGCAGGGTCCAGATCAAAAGCGTGAGAAGAGAGTGATTCACAGTTCCGCCATGTCGAGGCCGAATTGAAGTATTCGAAGATCTGATACACAGATCGTGTCTGGCTTTGAGAAACCCCCCAAGGCCCGTGTGGCCTTCATCGTCTGGAATAAGAGGATCACCGCCATGGTCAAGTAGCAAATTCATAGTTTTGATGAAGCTATGCTCTGCAGCTAAAGAAAAGGGAGTTCGACCATATCTATCTTGGTGGTCCACGCCGGTTTTCGATTCCTTGAAAAGCTCCACTGCCTGCTCACGACCATTTGAAACGGCCCAGAAAAGCGGTGTCCACTTTTCGTAGTCCTCCGAATTGACATTGGCGCCAAATTTGAGTAAAAGTTCGAGAATTCTAGTTCGTCCAAGCCTTGCAGCTATCATCAATGGCGTGTGACTTGTTGGAATTCGAGGATCGACATGGACTCCTAAAGTATCAAGCAAGGCCACGACTGCCATCTTATGTCCCTTTTTTACTGCCCATGCTAGCGCTGTCTATTGGTCCGCGTCAGCAGAGTTCACGTCTGCATTTGCATTCAGAAATTCCCGTAAAATCATGACATGCCCACGTCTCGCAGCAAGTAGCAAAAGAGGCCGATTTGTTGGGCTGTGGGTCTTCAACAATCTCTCAATCTGCAGCAGAAGGTCATGGGGTGGAAGAAATGTCTTGAGTAGCTCGTCTTTCAATAAAAGCTGGCTAACTTCGTCAACTGCATGTACGTCGGCCCCTGCACGGATGAGAAGTCTAGTTATATCGGTATCACCGATCTCCCCTGCCATGGAAAGTGGGGCACGACCTTCAAACGAATAATCTACCAATCTCTCATCATGCTTGAGCAACATAACAGGACATTATAAACATCGCAATCGTGGCCGACAAGTACAATATTATTGACGCTTTGGAAATCGTGAACCGATCCTGGCTTCGCGTTTCTGGGAAGGGTGAAGCAAGAAATATGGCTCTAAATCGAACGTAGCCTCGAATCAACTGCTCTAAATCATGGGGCCTGGATCCAAAGGGCCCCCACTACAGCCTTCAGACTCTGGGCCTCATCTATAGGTCTAAAGCCCCTTGTGGCTATTTCCAGGATATGGCCGACCTATGTTCGGGCTATATACTGAGTCCCTGACACGACCTTGTAGGTGTTCAGACCACAAGCCTAGGCCTCCTAGGGACCTACACACTCAGATAAGTGCATTGCCCCCGCATCTATCCTCTTTTCTCGGGCGTAGATTATTACACTCACTAGTAGCAGATGAAAAACTGCTTCTGCCTAAGATGTGTTAACTCGTACAGTTTCCTATCCCCGTTGAAGACGTGAGCCTCAAGAATCGGTAAGCCATGGTAGTTGAAAAATGACATATCATTGCGACCTTGAATCCCTCAGGGCATCTTTCACGTCTTTCACTCCTAACCCAACGGCGAACCCTTTAGCTCAGACTGCTGCTCCAAAATATATAGAAATTCAGCCTCGCGGAAGAACTCAATTCCATTGATCGATACATGTTCAACCTCGAAACCTAATTTGTAGACAACGGCCCCAGGCCCAAACCGGGACACATAATTTTTGTACTGCTTTCGGTTCTTCGAAGTGACGAACGGATTTGCCTTGAAACCGAAGTAGTTTTTGTATTCGATCCAGTGACATAAGTTCCCGTTGACAGAAATTGGCTCAAGGAATCGAATATCAGGTGTTGAGCTTTGTCCTGCTTCTTTTTGCTCCTTCTCTGTTTGAAACCGATAGCCAAAATCTCTAATTTGGTTTATAAAAGATCTTTCTTCCAGTAAGGCCTGTTTTTGCTTTTGGTGCATTTTTTCTTTCGCCTCGGCTCTGCCCTTGGGGGAGTTATCAGGTGGAAGCAATCGAAGAGCAGCTTCAATGAGCGCCGAGATAACCGAGGCTTCTAGCTGCGTATAGACACGTCGTAATAACATGTTGACGTCGGGACTTTTGAAACGGAGGTGGCATGCCATTTTGAAAACCGGCGTAACCATATCACGGGGTACTCCAGTATAAGGGACAATCGGATTATCCCCAGACGGTCCGTTCCTTAAAACGGGCGTTACATAACTTCCTTCCGTGTGTCTCTGTAGTGAGATCTGTGGAAGCGCAGTGTTGGATACATGGTGACTGGTCTGTTTCGAATGATTCTTTGCGTTTTGTGTGTGCTGACGCTTTGAACGGACGGATTTGAAAAATCTATTGCAAAGGTCACAACGATGCTTAGACGACTGAAGGTGCTGGTCTAAAGCATGCCGAGTGGGAAATGATCGATCGCATGGAACGCAAAGCACCATCATGGACCTTGAAAGTCTAGTATGAGAGTCAAAGAAGGCTCTGAATAAACCCTATTATGCAGAAGGTCGAAGGTGAGGGTCATGCTTGGCTACTAGAAAATTTAAATATTCCAAGGACACGGGACGTTCCATGTTATTTAACGCATTGAATGCCTTGACACGTCATACGTGCGTCTCAGCGGAGATAAGAATCTTTAACCGGTATGAGGGTAGTTAGTTCCACAAAAAGACTACACCTCTCTACGGACGTCCTCAGCTTCGTGCACAGAAGACCGCAAACTGCTTAGAGTGCGGGGTAGATTATGTTTCGATCCCAGTCGATGCGAGTTGGAGATGCTCTGCCAGTCCCAGATTAGTAAATGCTTTTGTCGATGTTGATGAATGGAACGTCTGCTGCATTCAACGCTGTAGCTCAAATTTACAGATCTTGCAAATACGGGATATTAGAGATGCGGCATTGACGAGAGAGTGCTAGGAGGGATAAATGGGAATTATTCTGTTAATGCATGCAATACAAAGTAACCTTGAGATGTGTCCTTGAGTATATGGATTAGGGCCATAGCATGCGGATATCAGATGGTCGGGCGAACACGTGTCGTTCAGGCCATGGTCGGATCACTTAGACCTCTTTAGGTTAGAGTCTATACTATGAGGCAAACTGTACAGTGCTGAAAAGGGAACAGCTGCTGAGGGTTACTTCTGAGGGTCGCAAGGGCGCCCGCAAATAAGGTCGCTGCCGGCAGCTGATAAGCCAATGATCCCGGCCCCCACTGGGACAAACGTGGATGTCTTGCCGCCGTGTGCCCTAGTTACCCCCAGGCCATCTCATGACCGATCTGGGCCGAGAATGACTGGGCTAGGAGGTGGCTCATTTGAAAAAATAGCTCATATGACATATACCCTCCTGTGCCACCTGTGTTCTTCGGTAGATTGTACCGTGATTATTTTCCTCTCAAGAGGATGAACATAAGATTAAACCCCTCTCAAAAGAAGTCTTTTGTTGTTTGCATTACGTGGCTATCTTGCTACTGAAACGTTCCAAATGGTACGGGTGTTTTGTTCCCGTCTCCTCAATCTACGCTCTACAGAATACTCTACGTAGCGTTATGATGGATATAAGATCACTCTTCCATTCAACTATCGCATCTATTAGCTTTTTCACAGGGCATCATGCGTCTTGTCTGTTGTCTGCCCTTGACACAAGCTGCATAGCTCTATGCATGTTCTGAATCTGGTATCTCATGAGCGCCTTGGTGCTCTTCCATCTTACTCTCGGTGCAAGGCTCGAGATGTTATCGGTAGAAGGTTCTTCTCCTTTACAGGTGGACCTTCGGCGGCAAGCTTCTCTTCCTCTTAGACGTGCCACACCCCCTCGTTTACTACGAGTGTTGCTTTACGCGATAGACTAGGCTCTATATGCTTCCTGTGATAGGGTTTTGTTTATATTAGCGTAAGGCAGTTAAGCGTCAAGTTTACAATGCAGTTTCTGTGGTAGGAGAGTCAGCGGACTGAGAAGGAGCAAAGCCAGTAAATAGCTGTGCCTGAATGGTTGCTTGCTGCACTCTAAGCAAGAGACAAGTGGGCTGCAGTCTACTCATATTAATACAGCAGCCATTTGGTTTATAATCGTATTCGATATACAAGCCAATCGGGAGGGATAGAGGGCTAATGTGATTAGAGGCTCGCTATGGATTGATATTGGATAACGTGGGATAAAGGTCGGTTGTGATTTCGTTCTCCCTTGAACCTTCCCAGCTCAAAAGCGGCATCTCTGAAGATAGTCAAGGAGTCCACAAGCAACTTTCACGATCATAGGTCCTATATAAGGATCATTACAGAAAAACAATTTCTCTGCATCCTTGGACCAGCTTGCGCGTTTGAGAAAAGACGAGAGGGAGTCCATTTGGATTTTCGTCTCTACCTGACCAAACAAATTCCCAAGATAGGCAACTCCAGTTTCGTTTGAGATGTAGAAGAGATTGTAGAGCATCAATCGGTTGAATCGCGTATTCATGCTTGTGTCGGATCCCTCAACATCAGGCAGATGTAGAGCGCAAGCATTTTACTTGCACCAGTGAGAACAGACATGATAACTACCCAAACGAAGAGTTCCAATGGGGTGATTGCCATGATCGAAGTGAACACCAACGTCCCGATGATGTAATAGATTGCCCAAGCGAATTGTACAGGCCACGCCTCATCTGCCCCTTGCACTGCGGAGGCTCTGCTCGTCCCGTCTTTAACTCCCCTCCGCCAGTAGGTCTTGAAGAGTACATGAACAGCAGCAGGGACAACCCCAATCACGCACCAGGTCAACGTAATAACAGGATACACACACCCCAAAGCGGACCGCTTCGAATAGATCTCCACAAGTGCCAGAGCCGCATACGATACCATCAGCACAAAGAGACCCACAACGACCAACACCTTCATTTTGAGTCTCGACTGTAGGCCTGCTCCGGCAACTGGGCTTGTCCGTACCCAGTTCACCCAGCGCTGGGTATCTTCTTCTGTCAGCCCGGATAAATTTCCCATTATCATCGGTTCTAGCCCTAGCGCTCGAACAAAGACCTCTGCTAACACCGGGAGGGGTGCTGAAATCAAGACAACTCTTCTCTCGGGCCATGCTATGTCGCGGAGGACCAGCGGTAACAAGCCCATGACCAATGCTGTGGCTGCAAATTGCTGATTACGCGCCGCGTCAGCCTGGCCAAGGGTGCAGATAGCACCTGTCCAGCAGTCGCCCCCATCAGGCCCATAGTCAAAGCGGAACCAGGGCCTAAATGGAGAGTAGACGATGTCTTCGGGCTCGGGGCAGGTTTGTTGGGCGTTGACGACAGTGGCCAGGAACGGAATGAAGAGTTGGGAGAGACGAGGCATTGCTGGTTGGAGGTATCACAAGATGGTACCCCCGCCAGTAAGTGGATTTCAATATTCATTGATATGGCCTCACGAGCGGGAAGTGCGATTTATATTTTGTGCGGGTTGCGCCTTTCCATATTTGGTTGCGCATCGACATCCCTCTGTATTTCACGCTAAACCTCTTGGCGTAGCAGCTGAAAAGGCTGAACTCGTATTTCCTTCTCTCCAATTGGTCTCTCCTGATGACTTTATATAGCCATGGTGAGATACATAAGACTAGCTGCCCATTTGTCATCCTTACTGCATCTGACTCGACTTTCTCAGCCACCACATCATTAGGAGGTGGTTTGGAAGATGTCGGACTGACAACATAGGAGTCTACATCGTTTCGTCCAGGACTGGTCCGGTCCTCTGAGTTGGAAACGACTAAGGTTAGCAATCACGACTATCAGGCCGTGGAATCAGTCGACAAATCAATCACTGTCCCGAATCCTTCTGACATGCCGTATCTGAGTAGCAGTCTTGGCCGTTAGCGAATTGACTATCGTTAACGTGATGCAGGGGGTCTCGTATCAGATATAGTCACTACCTTGCCACGTTCGAAACTTAAGATAGCCCCAGTTGAATGAGCTACAAATGAACTACATGGTGATTCGATTAACAGGTTGATCATCTAGACCTTTAGCCTCCAACTGCGTACCTGACCTGCTGGCAGACCAGTTCATGACCTTACAGGTAGTCCGTGGGGATTGATTTTAGAAATGAATGGCCGAACCTCAGGAATCATGTGCTAGGTGAAATTATTTGGTCATCACAAAAGTCTGCCTACCTCATCATAGATCAACCGTATTACTTAGTATCCTGCCCCAGCGGCTCTAAATAATTATAAATAGAGCCATAGATCTTTTACTGACTGAGTTTATAATCAGTCTACAGGCGGAGTTATAGGTAGCGGGTAACGGTTTATAATAGGCGCTAACATCTTTCTCCTAGTAAAACGCGACGGGTCTTCGGCTCTCAAAGGTCACAAAAACAGGTTATTATAATATTTAATGATTTTTTGACAAGTCGTTTGTTACGTTTATTCTCAATCCTAGTCTCCTCTTTTTTTCTACTTGTCTGTTCATGACAGATATTCAAATCTGTCCCACCAACAATTCGCACAAATGATTGCCCGCCTCAGCTATCGAGCCCTAAATGTAGATAACCTTTTTCTTAAAACAATTTTAATGAATTTGACAGTAAGAAAAAGGGGGGGAGGGGGGGAGGGGGGAGGTCTAATAACCAGCAAATATCGAACCAATCTAAGGATACGAAAGTTAGTGGTAAACTCATGAAGCAGTGCGATACATTTTTCCCGAGCGCTAAGAGTAAATGCTTGATAAATCTAAATGTTAATAGGCGTTAGATTGTCACACGTCCTCAAAGCTATTTCAGACCTGCATTACAATATGTTATCGCAGATTGGTAAGAGGGTGGGGATTGGTACGTCGGCGTTGATTGCGAGACAGATTACGGCAAAGACGGGGAAGGTAGATACCATGGAGGGATTGTTGTTGGGGTACAAAGCGGGTTGGTGGTATAATTGTGGGTTGAGGTCTTTGGCGGTGGTGGTTAGTTTTTGGGGGTTGGGGAGCGTGCAAAGGGTGGAGGTTAAGAGGGATTAGTTTGGTTGGGTATATTGAGGACGGCTTGGAAAGAAAGGAAATCTCTCTCTTCGGCTTTGCCCATGCCTAGTGAACAAGGAAAGATTGTGGCCAGGGGCATAAAGGATCTTGGAAGGTAGAAGGAAACCATTGTATTTGTCTAAACCTTTGTTTAGCCCCAGGCTTTCTATTCTAGGTCCATTGTCTGCGCAGCGTGAAGTGGATATTGACACTTCAACACTATCTTTGTGTGGAATATGCGTGCAGTTTTTACTGGACACATTTCTGATTCTACCCATGAGGCCTTTATCTACTGGACAGCGGCTGACTGTGCTTCTTTACTCCATTATACCAACAAAGCAAGTGCTACTAAAACAAACATGATGGCTGAACCATGCCAACTGGGGAATATCCAATTTTCAAAAGTATTCCCCTCAATGCCATCCAAACAGTGTTAAAACAATCAGCATCCTATCCGGTCCTTTAACATACCTTTCAGCCCACTAGCCTCTCAATAAGGAATAGATAGATGGCACTATAAAAGGAGTAATATCCCACAGCAACATAAACTCGCAAAATCACCAACCTAACCCCCTCTCGAACCAAAACCCAAAGGAAACACCCCAGAACTCCCTACCAACGCAAAATGTGCTGGAATATGCGAGCTAATTTTGGCCTCTGCGAGCACTACGCAGTCACGCACGTCGAGATGTGTGCAGACGCAGTCCAGAGTGGGGATATGTGCCCTGAGAGCCAGCGAACAGATTACTGGAACCCGGCGCATGATCAACCGGATATGTGCTGTCAGGTTTGTGCTGGTTTGACGCCTCCTGAGACGCCTTGACCTTTGGTTAGTGGTTGGGTTTCTTTGAATATTCATCCGAGTGGATTTAAATGGTTGTTGACTTCTATTTTAGCTTCCCCATATACCTCGTAGCTCTGCCCTCTAGACAAGTAAAGCTTGAATAAGTGTCCAGTGGTAAGTTGGCTTACGATAGCAGCTTTCCCTAGCTTCTAAGTACGCTGTAGCCAAAGCCAAGTCCATGTTTGGTTCCTCGTCTATGGAATAGCGTGGTGAGTAATAGAGTGCATATAATCCGCCCTGTCCTCGACTTGAACTTCGCCCAAATAAGACAGCAAGATACAATCAGAGTATATAATCTTCTAGTCTATCCGTTCCACCCAACAGAACACCTCCGATCCAGCAAGCCCTTCTCGACAGGTCCCTCAAACCCACTTAAATCCAAATAATCCCCAGCCTCTCTTCCCCGTTCCACCACCTCCTTGCCCAAAGACATTAAACTCATGCGGTCCCTCCGCCCACGTATGATACCCCAAGTTACATTCTGAGAATGCCACTTTCGGCTGATTCTCATAGAACCTATCAAACCCCTCATCTAGTGCATCCGCCAGACTATTGACCTTCCCGGCCGGGTGCAGATGACGCCAGGGGTAGCGACAAGAGTCCTCAGAGCAGGACTTCAAGACGAGCATGAGGGCATCTAGACGGGAGAGGATTTGAGGGAGCGGACGAGAGGCGATGATAGTTGAGTTTGAGTTTGTATTTTCGGAGGCGAGGTTGGTAGTTTGGTGAGGGTCGTTCTTTAGAAACATAGTTGTGTTAGGGTTGGAGTTGATCATGTGCTAAGCCGGGGGGAGATGGGGAACAGGGCATGACGGACCTTCAGATCGTAGAATTCCTGCTCGTTCGTGCACCACACGGCATAGTAAACGCTGTATTCATCAGATACAAGGCGCACGGCTTTGTATGTGTTGTTGCGGTAGCCGTTGCCTGGCTGTTCGCCTCTGTCGCTGTAGTGGCCGTAGATTCCTTCGGGGATAGCCTGTTGATTTATTAGTAGATTAGTAGGAGGGAATTTGAACTGAAGGATTGATGGTATGATCCTTTTAAGGATAAACTCACACGTCCCCAGTATTCAATGGCAACATGTTCCGTCCTATTGTCTGCTTTGCCTGCATCGATCGTGGTGGGGATGCGTTTTCCATCCAGACCAGGTCTGGAGGAACCTGCAAGAGATAGGAATGTAGGCGCCAGGTCAGTGTGACTAGTCACTGCATCTAGGGTGGCATTTTCGGGGATGCCAGGGCCTCGGACAATTAACGGGACGTTGATATTAGTTTCTGTCCGCGGTAAGTTATTCGTAGCATAGCTAGGAGGGCTAGAGGGCAAGGCCATACCATATCCACAATTCTTCCCAGGCTGCATAGCATGCTGTCCAATATGATACCCATTGTCCGTCGAAAAGAAGATATAGGTATTATCCAACTCCCCAGCCTTATCCAGCTTCTCGACCAACTCCGCAATGAGTTCATCGACAGCCTGTAGGGCCCGCAACCGACAGCGCTGGAACTCATCGATGTAATCAACCTCTTTCTGACTCAACTCGGAGAGCTCAGCTGTCCACCCAACCGCCCCCTCAATCACCTTATTGAAACTATCATCTCTCGGGATCTTGTAATTCTTAAACATCCCCGCATGCCGCGGCGCATACTCTGGCTCGCCGAACCACGTCGTCCCTCTCCCAGGATCATGACTCCCATTCGAATGCGGCGCGTTCGGCGCAACAGTCAACATAAACGGTCTCGTCTTGTCGTCTCTCAACGCATCATCCAAGAACCCCAACGATTTCTCCTTAATCACGTCCGTCGAGTACTCCCCATCATACTTCACCGGCTTCTCCCCGTTCCGTGTCATCCGCGCATGATAGTATCGGTATGTCCACGGGTCCAGCAAGAACTCGGAACCGTTGAACCCGCGCGCATATGGCGCATTGTAGTTCTGTTCCGTGTGTGAGTTCCACAGTTTGCCGACGTAGTAGGTGTCGTAGCCTGCATCTTGCATCCACAGGGGTAGATAGTTGTCGTTCCAGCCGGCCGATACGATCTTGGGATATCCGCCGTAGGGGAGCCCGACGTCGGTGATGTTTGTGTTGTGGGGCATGCGGCCTGTCCAGAGGTTTGCTCGTGAGGGGCAGCAGAGGGCGATGGAGCAGTAGTGCTTCGTGTAGGTGGTGCCTTTTTGGACTAGGGTTTGCTGGCGGATGGACGTATTTGTTAGTGTTTGAGTAGGTTTAGAGTAGTTATCTTGGGGTATGTTGGACGGCGGTAAAGAAGCCTGTAGCCTCTTACCTGGAGTTTAGGCATATGCTCTAGTCCTCCGATATACTTCCCCTGATCGTCCGTGAGAATGAAGAGAATATTGGGCTTTTTGGCTGCCTCGGCCGCGACCGCGAAGCAGCTGAGGATCCCTCCCAGCAGAGTTGCTATTTTCATAATATTGAGAGAGGGACACTGGTGCGTTTGTAAAAGTTATGATTCTGGTATGCCTCTCCTGGTCCCAAAGCCTACCGGTAGGTATATATACGCTATCCTCTCTTAACCACACCAAACAACGGCATCGTGAAGATCAAGAACCAAGATAAGATCATCAATAACACCATCCCCCCACACAATCACAACTCGAAAGCCGTCTACCGCGAAGAAGACCACATCCCCTATTTCAAGCAGCGGGGGATCGACATTTAAACGGCACGATACGAAGATTTCCCGTTGTAAGCTCTATCCTTACAGTTGATCTACGCTCGAAATTGACAGATGCGGTATATACTACTAAGTTGGGAGGACAGTATGACGCGTGCGGGTGCCAGTGACGAGTGCTAGGGACGGATGTACCTGATTGCGAGCTTTTGATGCCGATGATGCTATTCCTATTCTTTAGCGAGTCTGGAAGTCTATGGTAGCTATGGTGTAACTGTGGGTCGGGAGCACGTCTTCTGTGGTGGGGGTGAGGTAGGAAGATCAGTGGGGAGGGAGTACTAGATTGATTGCTGAGGGGGATAGAGAAGAAGATTGCCCGAAGTCAGCGTGATCAGGCTAAAAAACGAATTAGTATTTGTTCCTTAATTGAACCAGAATATTTGGTTATTGCATTGAACAGATGTTGACTTCGTACGGATGCAGTAGCGAGGAGTGCTCTAATCACCATAAGCTCCACCCTAAATCGTCGATCATCTTATACTCGGAATACCCAGAACATTAACATTTGTACGGATACTATACCGTGATAGCTCTATAGATTCTAATAATTCCAAGCCACGTAGATAATAACTATCCTCGTTATCTTTCGTAAGCATTTATTCAATTTGCGCTTGATGTCTGTGTAGATACAATACAATTGCATCGACCGGTTCAGAGCAGATATTCCAGAGATGATTTTTGAAGGCTGCGTGGGTTGCCATATTGGCTATTCTCGTCGTAATAGTTGTCAAACAAAGGTAGAGGATCCTGACCATGGCCATTATGCATGATCCTGAGGGTCTCGGCGATTGGTCCATCTAGCTCTCGTTTTCTGAAAATCGTCGGTTGTCTCTTCGAAAGGCGAAGAACATAAACAGGTATCAACGTTTTGCATTCATGAGCCGTGTGATAGTTATAATCAGTATTATTAAGATCGACCACGACATAAGAGTGCTTTCCACGGTAAATATTCACAGCGACGAAACAGGTCTTGTTGTTGGTATAATATTCATGAAGGCATTCCTGGACCGTTGAGGCAAATGGACGTATGGATCCTAAGTAATCTTCAGGATCAAGAATGCTATTCGGAGTATCACCAAGTATTCGCATCGTGCCTGAACCGACATCTCGCAGGAACTCAAAAAGGATTACTCGAATCTGGCGAATAATATGGTCGCGAATCTGTTGGGTTGAGTCAGTCATAGTGAGCTTGACAGTGGGTGCGTTAGAAGGTGCGATCATAAGACATAGTGGATGTTGCTGGCCTTCCAGGTGCTTGTATGAAGGGATATGAAGTTTGGACTTTGAGTTCAATCAAGGGATGCCCTTGTTACCCTTCAGCAGGCGGATTAATAGTCTTCCGTGACTCTCGGGGTAAACCAAAACCAGCCAAGAAAACTAAATAAACGTAATATATACACAGATTACACCGCTAGATATGTTCATACCCCCTGTGTCGTACGTAATACTGTTCTAGATTATTTAGTGGTACATACGGTGTAGTTAAAAGATCTAGGGTCTCCAGTTTTAAGCAAGGTCAATAAAAACAACAGAGATCTTCGGAAAAATTAGATTACGATTATGCTCCAGCTTGTGATGAAGAGCGTAAGCTAATATATTGAATCAGAAGAACTTGTCCCTTCGCGCCAAGAAAGTTCCAATTACTGTGCGGAAACCATAAATCCTGACTGATACTTGATACCATATTCGTTAGAGTACGGGGGCCCTTTATGACATTTAGCATTATACTTTCCATTCAATTTATGTGGTTTGATAGTTTAAGCTCCCCAGAGAATCGGCAAGTTCAGATAAGTATGAGCCGTTTCGAATCGTTGGTAGAGGTATAAACTTTTGGAGATTACGCTTCTCATCTACGCGCCAATGATACTGATTTACGCATCAAGTCAATCAGACCTGATTTGGTATACCTATTCAAATCGATACCTCAATGCAACAATCAAAACAAGCTTTCTAATCCAAAGACGACGCACAACAATGATGGTCTTTCCGCTGTCACTCCCAGCTGCTCCGTACGATGTCATTGACTAAAAAATGGTACGCACTAAATTGTTGATCATCTTATGATTTCTCCCGAGGGTTGCAACCGCTATGCTATTCACAGTATTACAGCTACTAATGGATTCTTAAAGGCACGTGAATATCGATATCCATGTCACGCTCCCCTTAGCCCTAACGTCTGCAGCTGGGTTGTCCCAGGGTTTAGACTCACACCGACAATAAGTTCGGTCTAGGCCTAGAATATGATTAGAATTAGGGTTCGACTACTGCATAACAAGTCATGAATGATGACTAATCATCAAAGGAAACCCCTCTCTCTATGCCAACTCACCCCGCATGTGACGTGGGAGACAAACAAAAAAGACCTTTGTCCAACTTCGCCTCTACAACATCAATTCCATCCCTCAAAGCACGCCTCCGTCTCTATCGCTCCCTCGACCATAACCTCCAACAAAATGGCTGAAAACAAAACCAAATACCCCATAGAACCCGGTCAACCCTCCCCCCTCCCCAACTTCACCCGCTACATCACAACCCACAACCCCTCCGGCGAAGCAACCATCCACTCCGAATCTCCTGCCTCATGGGTCTCCCTCCGTGAAAAGACCATCGGATTCAGCGTCGCATACACGACCTCCGAGTTCCCTGCGAACCTAAACAGCGATGCCGATCTCGTCAAAAACCAACAGGTCATGGACTCGGGGTCTCTAGGACTTGTCAGCCCGGGCGGAACAGTCTGTCGCGTGGTGGACTTTGCGCCTGCAAGTCCCGGCGTGATGCATCGGACACAGAGTCTTGATTATGGAATTGTACTGGAGGGTGAGATCGAGATGTTCTTGGATTCTGGGGATAGGAGGTTGTTGAAGAAAGGGGATATTGCGGTGCAGAGGGCCACGATGCATGAGTGGCGGAATCCGAGCAAGACGGAGTGGACAAGGATGGTGTTTTTCTTGCAGGAGTGCCAGCCTGTGGTGGTTGGGGATAAGCAGTTGAAGGAGGATTTGAATGGGAATGATGATTTGAACGCGAAGTAGCTGGGTATGGGTAGCTCGGGTGACTGTGTCTGAAAACGCCTTTAGAACTTCTAGTCGGTAATGCTTTAATCGGTGTCTTTTTTCTCTTTCTAGTTATACTTTCTTGTCATTCTCTACTATTTACACTGGAATCGCATGAGCTATCGTTCCCACAGCGAGGAAACAAGTTTATTCCGTTGCTAGACAGAGGCAAATGGCAGTGGTGTCATACTCTGATTGAATAAATCTAGTCAAGATGCAGTAAGCGACTATGGACCCGACTCTAGCATGGACCGAAAGAACTCAGCAACTCTGTGGAACGATTCCTTCGGCGCCCAGGGAGGCATATCCTTCGACCTCGGATCCTGAGCAGGGAAATGCTTGACCAGCGAAAAAGACATCATATCCAGATCCCGACACCCTTCCCCAGTTGGCATACACGGAAACGCAAAGACAAAGACGAAAACCGCGTGAACATCCGCCGCGGCGAGAAGACCGAGCTGTGTGCCTAGATAATCGGCCTGCTCATGCTCGCTCCGGGTTGGGACAACACCGTCCTCAAACACGCCGCTACCATCTGCATTCGTACTTTTCAAAAGAATGAAGCCGGCATCTCCGCGCTTCGCGGCTCCCTCATAGGCACAGCATCCAACCTCCATAACAGCAAGGGGCTTGTCGCACCTATATCGCTCGAGGCCTGAGACGTACTTCTCCTCGGCCTCGCCTCGGCGATAGTAGTCGATACCCACGATGTCGAAGATATCCCAGTCTACCAGCTCCCATGTACCAGATGAATATGTCAGTAATCCACTGAACTCGGCGCGGATAACCTCCACAAAAGAGCGCAGGACTTTATTCAGCTCGATGGACTTCTCTCGCAAGGAAGAAGGAACATCATGCGAGATATCACCACTCGTCAACTGAGCACCAAGCCACATTGCTCGCTCATGAAACGAGTCACCCGGAAAGACTCCTTTGCTAAAGATCGTATACTCGCAGCCTGCCACGAAGACCAAATCGAGCCCTTCAAGACGCAATCGCTCGGCCGTCTGTGCGGCCTGTTGAAAATAGGCGCACGTCCCGTCAACGCCCTCGTTCATCTTCCACGGGTTGAAGAACACAGTCAAGCCCACTGAGTGAGCAGCTCGTGCAGCGGTTTCCAGTCGGCTGATCTCCTCGCCCTCGATTCGCACTGCATTCGCGTGCAGCTGTTCGGCGATTATTCGCATGTCGTATTCTACCTGAGCAGGATCGAACGGTTCGACCGAGAATCTGCTCTCCTCGAACTTCAGTCCGACATCGTAGACGACGCCACGGTATTTCATGGTTGGTTTGTTTAGGTCAATTATGGATGGGATTGATACCTATGGTAAGTGTCAAAGTCAAAGCAAACTGGGGAGTAGGGAGTTGTGCTCACGGAATGAGGGAAGTGTTCAGGATTAGAGGGACGGTGGAGTTTGTCTAACTCCCTGGGCATGGGGGTATACTGGAGATTTAAATACTAACAAATCAGAACTATTAGCCACTATCAGGAGAAATAGAATGCGGAATGCGGGTTTTAGAGCTCCGCCGTCCGCTTAGAGACCATGTTGCGGGCGGCGGACGGCGGAGTCTTGGCGCTCCGTCAAGCCGCCAGAGCTGAGTTCTTGCTTTTCACACTTCAAGATTTTGGAGCAAATGATACTGTAGTGTGTTTCGCATTACACATTGAGGTATAATTGGTGTAATTTAGCAACAAGTCTCGTTTCCTTTGAGATGGCCAACAGGCTCAACCCCGCTGGACTCATATATCTTTCTGAGCCCTAGAGTTGTGATCGGTGCGGTTGCGGGCGGTCCCTGAATCGCTGAAAGGTTCAACCCGCACCGCAGAGGTTTGGTGCGGGTTTACCCCTAGTTAGTTATATTGATCTTCCAATTGTTCAATCAAATCAAATGTTCGAAGATAAATACAATACATATATGTATATAATTTCTAACCATTTTTATTCAATTATTTTACACGATTATTTCAAGAGTCCACTTATTTTTCATTCAATCCGGTCGAAATATAAAATTGGCTGTGTGCCAGTCTCCCTTCCTAACCGCGATTGAATTCATAACATGAATACATTAGTAAGAAAGAAGTAGAATTAAAACAAAGATAAATAAATGTGCGAATTATACTTTTTGAAAACTTTTCTCGTTTAGACGGATTTACCGTAAGAGAATCGAGTAAAACTTTGCTGATACAGTTCTTGGCAGATTTTTGCGGCCAACAAGAATAGGGATGAGTCTTCCTCCCAGAGGTTTAGTCGAGGCTAGATTGCGGTTTTGCGGTCCTTATGGAAGTCTATTTCCAACACGCAGATGATGAAGCGCTAGCTCGAAGTGGTAAATCTCGATAGCGTTTGAGGACATGCTAACTATTCAAATCATTATTGTCGAAGATAGCTATCATCCAACAATCTAAGCATTTCATGGTTCCCCTGGAACCAATTCCCAAGTTCCAAGCTCATTTCATCAAGGCCCGTGGTAGATGTGCCAGTATCTGAGGTGCCATACTCAAAAGCCAAAGCCATATCGTGTGACGCAGTGTCAGGACCAGGATCTCTGTCATCAGGTTGTGTATGGTCTGAATACGGAAGCAATGCCGAAGACTGAGGTAGAATCGGGACACCAATTGTAGTCAGCATTTGATTGAGACCACTGTTAGCAATCTGTTGCTCTGACTCGCTGGTTTTCAGCTCAATATAATTCTCTGCAACATTGTATAAAGCCCGAAAAAGGCGGATTTGCTTGCTACAGGTCTCGTAGAATGCTGACTCGGATATCGATTCAAGGGTTTCGACGACACTTTTGAGTAAATAGAGGTCGCTTTGTTGGCATGTTTGAATGGCATGGCAGTAATGAACTATGAATGGAAAGAATGGGAACAAAAGAAAGGACCTGTTTGGTAGAATTAATAAGTGGGTAGTTTGAAGGCAAACCCAGACCGGATTCATGAGGGACAGGCTCTAGACAGGACGCACGTACCAATTTATATAGAACTCTAGAGGATGTTCTTTCACACGAGAGCTAGTGATGATGGACACGCTTCCTTGATGTTCCTCAAGCGCGGCTCTGGCAGCAGCGAAACACTCGTCGCAGAAAGCTGCATTGGATGGCTTCTCTGGTGGTATGCCACGATATAGCAGCGTCAGAAGTGACAGTTCATTGATCCTTGCAGCCCGAAGGAAAAGCTCATGTAGTGCGGGTCCTAATGCGCGTCGCCTAGCCTCATTGTATCTTGTCTATAAATATGTCAATTCAGAGAGTTTGAAAGCCTGGAAACATCAAGATAATAGGTCCTAGTGGATTCGGATAACCCGCTTACCTCAAACTCGTCCTCATGCTCCAAGATACTCCCTAGTTCACAGGCAAGATTCCTTGCGTGGGAGGCTCTGATTTCCATTGGTTGGGAGAGAGCCTTGAGACTGTAGATATCATTGTATACTCTCCCCTGTATGGCTGCTATGTGAATGTATTTGGTAAGTGCAACATTGAAAGGAAATTCCACCGTGGTCTCGCCTGGAGAGACACCCAACCGAGGTAAGGCGATATCATTGTCGTTGAAACTAGACGGCCTGCCAAAATGGAGTGAAAGAGTTCGCTCTAGAGTATAGACACTCCACAATAGTTTGGATTTGCGCTGTTTGAGATCTCGACAATCACCGTGCAGGACCTGCGGATTATGAAGACCTAGAGTTCGGCAGAGATGCGTTGCGTTGGTAATAAAACTCCAAGCTGCCGATAGCTTTCCGGATCGAAAACAATATGATGCCTGGGATAAAGTCAGATCGTACCCTAATTTGCAGGTATAATGGTTTGGGGCTATACCGCGACACTCATGGCAAGGGCAGAGTCGAAACAAACTGGGGAGTGAAATGGTAGATTACGTAGAACGGTCTCCAACGTTTCTCGGCAAATTGCGGCCTGCTGCCAGTACCTTTCCCGTGTTTGTTTAGTGGTGGCCTCCAGAGCGCACTCACAAAATAGCCAAAATATGCCACCAAGCACAATAATCAGGTGAGTGTCAGATGTAGGTCCGGGTGAGTAAACATTAACCAGATATTCAGTGAACTGAGATAGGGAAACAAATTCGCTCAGCCAAAAGAACCGTACATGTTGGCTTTCTGGGAGGGTTTGGCTTGTTAGTCACCATCACTTATTGATTATCACCGATAACACTACCTTTGGCTCTTTGCAAGCACTCTAGACTGATTTCAACTGGTGGGACTGGAAGATCATCCAAGCTACTCCCATGTGGAATGTGTCCAGCATGCGGATAAAGGGTTTTCAACGTGGCTTTCTGTCGTTTCTGAGAATCGATCACTTCGCGCAAGTTATCTAATGCCGACGCCATCTTCCGGAGCAGGCCATTCGAACCATTGGAGTCGCAGATATGACCGTTCAGAATCTGACTTGCAAATAGAGCTTGGTTTAGAAAAGAAGGTTCCTCTTCAAGTTGGCCAGTGAAGGAAGTTGTCTCATCACGATCACCACTTAAATTCAGATTGGCTTCTGCGCTCGATCCCTGTGTGCTTCGTGTCGACGTGGTTGATTCGTGGGCCAGATTGTCAACCTTTGAGTTGAGCTCATTGAGCATCTTGAAGATTTGATTGATTTTATGTTCGCTGTTGACTCGTCAATTTCGTTCAAGCAGGCGATGTGCAATTCTTCAAACAAAAATAAACACGGGGTTAAGAAGCTCACTATTGTTCTGACACATTGATGCGCTGTCGCTTTTCCCTATGATGCGCTATGCTCGGATAAGTACATTCTGATTTGTATCGAACACAGTTTGAGCACGGTTTCGCGCGATTGCACCGTATCTGGTCAATTGTGAGCACTGTTTGTCTAGGAACATTTGCGTCGTACCTTGCGCCGCCGACAGCGGTTGCACTTGGTTTATTAGCCTGGAGTATCCACGGGGCTGGGATCAAAATCTTGGCTCACGGCTTGTTTTGGGGCCAATATCTCGTCACAAACAGCCTGGTGCTCAGAGTCCATGGCCGGCTCCTCATCCAGGTCTGAATCTTCAGGCCCCACCGAAGCCGGTGCTGAATCGGCAGCCCGAAGATCCGGGCGATCCGGGGTCCCCATGATGCCCAGCTCCAGTGAGACGTGTTAGCGGTTCCTGTTAATGGAACCAATTAATGATGGCTTGATGCGAAGCGGCCGTGAGGAAGGACAACTCAGGCTGTGCGGAAGGCGCGGAGCATACCGTGGAGTCCGCGCGGGAGCGGGCTCTTGGCACTCCGTCTCCGTTACTCAACTACTACGGTTATCTCGCAACAACAAACGTTACTGAGGCTTAGGTCTTGATACGAAATATGAAACTTAACCACTATCAAATGAGTCGGAGCGTTCCCTGTTCTGGTTGGATCTGCACGTGGAGGTAATTAATAATGAGTATTGAAACGAAGGTCATGCCTTGGGTTTTCGTCTACAATTGCACGGATACATTAAAACTGCATACAAAAATGGTTCCGAGACCATCCTAACTGGTGAAGAATTTGAGGAAATGCTTGATCTGCTTGTGTAATGCCATGTCATAATTCGTTACCACTCGCCCTTGGAGGCCTAGCCTCCATTGATATCAATGCTCAACATTCTGTAGAGGTTCCAGAACCTCATCACGTAGCCAGGGCCAATACCTATTTTCGGCATAATCACAAACCTTGCTAACCAAGTCTATGATTTTGAAGATCCCGTAGTAGGTTCTTGTACTAGCCGTGACCCCTTCAAGAGGACCCTCGATATACTAAACAAGTTAGCTCAGGACTAGGATAGGGCAGTATAGCTTCTCACAATTCTATCTTGCCCCTCAAACGTTCCCCTAAATGCTATGTATAAGTGCCAGTCATGCCCAATAATTGTCCACCCTATAGAAGGTAGCAGCTGATCACCATTAAGTGGGCTAGTCCCGAGACTGCTCAACTGCAACAGCTTCTCCAATCCTGCGACAAGCCAGATAGTGAGTTGCACAAGTGCCTCTGCATTGCCTCCGTTTGACTGTTTCACTTCGATTCCAGAGAATAGGGCCGTTCGTTTAGTAAAGGGATCTGTAGTGTGGCTGATTGTTTGTAGTGGTTGTGAAGTTGTGATTCTATCGTAAGTGGCCCTAATTTGCGGATTGCGGATTGGGAAAGTGAAGGCATAGTCAACTTTCTTGCTAATCCTACTCTTGCGGAGCATCTGTGGAAGCACGCTAGAGTCAATTCCCTGGCTTTGCCTATATCAACCGTATATTAATTAAGATGATAACTTGGAGGACCGTAAACCGTAATACAGGCACTCACACGTTCTTCACTTGCAAATTTGAACAAAGCCTTGCACCCCTCCTCAAGATCAGTTGTACCACTTCAGAGCACCATGCATTCTCATCTTGACTATGTTCATCGCACTCTGCGGCAGCCTGGAAGACGTCGTCTACGTCCGCCCACAGTGCATCCAGTTGGCTTGGTTGTAGGTTCCTTGAATTGTCATATGCAAAGTCTGGAATCTCCGTAGCCGCCTCGGGATCAACTTCCTCGATACGTTCCTGGGCAATCGTGAGTAAGAAGTTGTCTGTATGAATACTCGTCACAACTTACTTTCAGCTCGATCGGTATCACCTTAGAACCAAAACCTTGGCACAGGGCTTTTCGCAAGAATATAACATCCTCGGGAAGAGGAACGTTCTTTGGACGAGTGCAGTGAATCGAGGGCGTTGAGTGGGGCAGTTCATTAAGAAGTTCCCTTACCGGACTTCTTTGGCGTGACTGTGCAGACGAGGACTGCGCGGAAGGATCAAACCGTGTACGGTCAGTAAGTCCACTGAACAAACTGGAAGCCTCCACGTCGTCGACGGGCCTCGATCGCTTTCGAGGAGTGGACGCTCCACTAGCTGACATTTTCACGCGTTTCGTATCTTGAGCGAATTCATCAACAATACCCTCTCGTAGAGTTGATGAAGGTGGCGTCGGGTTTTGTTGGAACGCAGCTTCTTCGAGCCAGCGATTGATGTCCTTCCTCTTCATCAGCAACGGATTGTACGTCAGGGTGCCTCTTTTCTCCGTTCTGCGCAGTTGGCTGTAGGAAGCCGAAGACACTTTCTGAATGCTCGTGCTATCATTGAAATGCGTTAATCACTCCGATTCTTGCCAGGGGGGGGGGGGGGGGCATCAGATTAAATCATGTCCAATTTTGTTCTGTACCCCATAAACTATCTCGCAGGTGGGGCAGGAGGGTGTCCTAAAGATGGCCGGTATGAGAGAGGCGTTAGAATCCTTCTGCCCCGCAAATTTCGGGAAGCCTTCTGTGCGTTGCCAGGGAAACGTGTCAATGTTGGTCACGTGGCTCAATGGTAAACACATGCGTGGCTGCTTGTCTGCAAATGGGAGATACCAAGAATAGCCAGCTGATATCTATCAGTCAAAGATTGAATCAAGTTAATCCTTTGAAGACTTCGAAATTTCATGCAGTTCATGGTATCCATTTGCCGCGGCAAGATATCTAGTATCTTTTGATCGCTTCTCATTTATACGTTGTCCTATACCTAACCAAGAGACATTCAAGACCGAATTTCACCTAGTTGAGCCAGAAAGATGAGAATGAGCGCCAGGCTATACGTTTTGTCAAACATCAGATTGATTGTTTTAATATCTCTCCACCCGTGCTCTACATTAATAGACGGCATGATGTTGACCAGGCGGTGATACTTGGCACGATGATTAAGATCACAGCTAATTGATGCTTAACTACAAGTGAACTTCTACAGCGGCTTTTTGAACTTCTCACTAGAGGAATGACCCTACCACAGCCACTTATAACATTCTATCAGAATGTATTTGCATATCTAAGCAACTTTGATAACCACCTTTCCAAAGTGCGACCCACTAGCCAAAAACTTGAAAGCCTGATCCGCCTCCTTGAACCCGAACACCCGGTTGACAACAGGCTTGATCTGATGTTTCTCATAGAAGGTCACCATCTCCTCGAATCGGTCCTTGGGGCCATTGATGATACCCTTGATCGTCACATTGCGTCGTAGAGCCAACAAGTTCACGTTCGTGCGGTCCTCCGGCGCATCAACCTTTCCGGACACGTATCCAATGCAGTCAATCAGCCCACCGAAGGCGATGGAGTCGAAGCTCTTCTTAAGGGTTTGAGCACCACCAGTCTCGAGGATGATATCGGCACCGTGGTTGTTCGTCACGCGCATCACTTCCTCTTCCCAGTTGGGCTGCGTGCGGTAGTTGATCACGTAGTCGGCACCGAGGGCCTTAGCCTGCTCGAGCTTGGCATCCGAGGACGAGGTGATGATAACTGTCATTTATATTAGCGTTAGCAAGGAACTTCTCTCCATAAAACGAACAGAGAGACTTCGAAAGACGAACCCTTCGCTCCGGAAGCCTTTCCGATCTGCAACCCAGCAATCGCAACACCTCCAGTACCCTGAAGAACGATGAATTCGCCTTCTCCACCGTTCTGTCCCATCGGCCTCATGCCATTGATAGACATCCATGCAGTGACACTAGCAATGGGCAGAGTGCTAGCCTCCTCGTCGCTCATGTAGCTCGGAGCGCGGACAATTCCGTAGGCGGGAAAAACGCGATGCGTGGTCAAAACACCGGGTAGAGGCAGGCCCATACCCCGGGAGAGTTCCTTCTCTGTGACCTGGCCGGTCTGGTGCTCGGGGAGGAAAGTAGAGAGGACGCGGTCACCGACCTTCCACTCGCTAACACCTTCGCCGAGCTGCGTGATCACACCACACATGTCGGAGCAGGGGACGGTTTCCTGCTGGCCGACGGCCTTGTGGTGGGTATATTCGCCATTACAGACTGCGATGGTTAGTATTATGCGCTTCTAGTTATGTGGCCATAGCGGAGGTGTGTGGTTCAAGATAAGGATAAGGCATTGTACCTTCAACATCGCGGTAGTTCAAGGATACGGCGCGAATTTCGACAAGCACTTCACCCTTTCCAGGGGTGGGTGCCGGGGCCTCCGAAAGCTTCAATGAATCCAAACCCTTCAGAGGGGAGCTCCACTGCGGAATCGTGGTCATTGTGTGATGTGTATAGCTGTGCTAGCCTTTATGATCTGTAGGTGGTGCAGGGAAGAAGGGCGGATGAAATGTCCGGGGGGTCAACTCAGATTGAAACGCCAAAAGTCTGTTTGGAGATCCCGAAGTTAAATATATGAAATCATTGGGGATTTTCCATGGGGAGTTGGAGATTGGAGAAAAGACACAAAAGATTATTAATGCTTCGGCGAAAATTCTACGTCACCGATGGAGATGACCCACTTCGCCTTTCTTCATTGACACCGGCTAACGATCTGGAACTGAGAGGTTATGGTCGGGATTTTGCCTCGCTACGAAAGATTCGTGGTAGCTTGATCGTTGAGCACTGGTGGTTCAGTGTGATGTTCACCCTTAGGGATCATATGGCTATTATGCTCGCCTCATGGCGACAACAAGTATTCTGCTACTAATAGCATCCCTCAACTTGAAAATGTGGCAGAAGTTCAAAGAGCTAATTCATGAACGAAACCATGGAACAGAAATGAGAACTCTAAATCCTTTGGGGCCAAGTCAATCAGCTAATGCCTGCGCCTGACAGTTGAAGATATCTACCATCCTCGATGTTTAACACCTTGTTTTATTAGAAGCCTCGGAGAAGTCAAAGCAACGGAATTTGGATGCTCAGAACTCCCTTTTACAAGCCGGTGTGCTGATATTTCATGTTGATGTATGGATTTTTCTCGGGATTTGACGATTAAATATGTTGATAGAAGCTGCCATAGAACCCAAAGCTCATTCTCGAATATACCTTATTTTGACCTTTTCCTAGCTAAAGATTGACCTTAATTATCTTCAAGCCGGCCAGGGAAAAGGGGGAAACTGGCTTCTTTCAGGAGCCACGTTCAAACTTCGTGGCTATAACGTTGAGATGCTGTTGTATTTTTAAAAGAGCAACGTTGCGGCAATGTTCACCACCAAATCGCTCTAAATCAGTGTAAAGAGGCCAAATTGTGGGTCTGCCTAGCCCCAGTGACTGTAGATATGCGAATGGAGAACCGCTTTAATTATCCACGTTCAACTCACTTCTATCAACTGAGATCCAGCTTGGACGAGTAGGTTAGGCAAAACAGTTATTTTTGAGGATCGTTGTATTTGCGTGCACGTGAGAATGACCCCAATTCTACATGTCTACAAGAGAACCTTTTCTCCTTGTACCAGTATCAATCTCGGGGCTTGCATGTGAGCTGATTTTCTGATTGTGAAATTCAGTTTTCTCATCGTTTTGCTTGACGAGGCTGCGGGCAGCAAGTGCTTCATGTCATTTGGCGCTGGCCGGCAAGGCTACGCTGTGTCTATCCCTGTCTCGGGTGGAGTTTAGGTAACATGTACCAAGGCCCCTGGCTCGTGCAATTTCCATTTCTGGTTAAATGCATTGGCAAAACGCAGGAATCAGCTTCTCGGGCGGCTGAAATGAGGGGAACGCAAACTAGGTCGTCGAGCACTAGTATTATTTCTATACTATCAGACTCAACTACAAAACATCTGACTTCCTTTTAAGGTCAAATCTTTAATTATGGTATGTCATAGTGAACGTGATGTCCACGGATGTATTTTTCCGTGTCTTTGACAGCAAAAGCCAAACTGTCCCGTACGAAAGGTGGTCAGGAGATGACGAAATTTCCGGCACTCCCAAGCCCCCGTGCTAGCCTTGCGCGGGTTGTACCGAAGCCCTTGCTTTGATTTGAGGGCATTTTTCGCCGGGGCGGTTAGCCCACTTTGAAAATGCAGTTGCTAGGCAGGTAGCACGGACTTGCAAGGTCAAAGAACAACACCCAAATCACAAACCTCGTGAGTGGGAACTGCCAACAGAAGAATGATCATCAGGTTCCCGGATGGACCAGGAAATCCAAATTGCTTGCTAGAAAATCAGGTCACTTCTCCATGTCCCGGTTAAACATAGATAGGTCAGTGTAGGGAGATTTTCCTGCTAAGAGGAAGTGGCACGCATACAATGCAATTTCCTCGATTTCGATTGGACCTCAGTCACTTATGTTACATCCCATGGAGCCTCCAGGTTTGGGGGCTATCTTGAGTATGCAAGCTTCCCTGCAAGGAGTGTCACACAGCCTGCAAGTGAGCCTAAAGCGCTGGCTTAAATGAAATCCACAACCCCCTGTACATGATGTGAATACCCTTTCATAGAAATTTCTCCTGGGGAAAAGCCCGCTTTCCAAAATGAAGACTACAGAAGCTGCCACAGGACAAGCTCCTCTTGCGTTGACCACGACTTTTACACCCCCATCAAGTTGTCTTCAGACGGAAAGCGTTTTGTTAGGGTCGTCTTTAGGAACAACCTCATATCAATTCGGTCTTAGAAATGTTCACAACACATCAGCCTGCCTACCATACGGATGGAGTCCAACCTCCTACTTCTCACCAGGGAAATGCCCCAGTGGCTATTCCATTGCGACCCACTCGATAGGAATCATGAATCAAACTACTCAAACTCGGGGTTACTGCTGTCCAACGTATGCACCGTTCTATCTCTTATTGTTTTGTTGCAATGCGATGTAACTGACACGTGACCCCGCTATAGCGGATATACATACAACGACGTTCCAGGAAGCTATTCCACACACCCCTGCTCATCCTGGGTTCCGCAGAGTGAGCTTAACGAAGTGCCCCTTACCGCGCCACCAACTCCAGGACCAACGAAGACAACCATGGGCCTAATCACTGCATTTGCCATTTCAATCAGGTGGGACTCAGAAGACTTTTCTACCGCTGTACCTCATTCAGAAGGGGGAAATGCGCCGTTATCCACCGGTGCAAAGGCAGGAATCGGCGTAGGTGTAACGACTGGGGTTCTCATCATGATAATAATTGCCTTGGCAATTTTTCACTCACGGAGAAAGAAGGCTGGGTGGTCTGCAGCGGGGTACAAATCCGTTCGGCTCTCCAGCAACGAAGAGAAAGGCGAGAAAGGCGAGAAAGACAAGAAATCGTCTGCTAAAAAAAGTCTCTTTGCTAGTTGGTCTCTGTGGGGCACCATGGGACTCGATTCATGGTTATATGAGTCAATTGCTGTTTGCTTCAGCATCGCGTGCCTTGTTGCAATACTTTGCATCCTACAGGTAAGGGGGATCAATAGCCAACGCCAGACGTTACAAGAAGCTTACCACGTAAATGGGCAGACTTATGACGGAAAGCTATCTCCACAGTTACCCCATGGTGTCCGCCTCAACACTATAGTCTCTGTGCTCGCAACAGCATCGAAATCCTCATTGCTATTCGCAGTCGGTGAATGCATTAACCAACTGAGATGGGTATCATTCAGAAAGTCCCGCAAGCCATTGTCTCTCGCTCAGACCTACGATAGTGCAAGTCGTGGACCTTGGGGCTCTTTTCTAATGTTGTTCAAGGACCAAGGCCGTTCATTTGTGACTATTGGAGCTGTTATAATGCTTTTAGCTTTGGCGTTTGATCCCTTCGTTCAGCAGATCATAAGCTACCCCCTGCAAGAAACGCCACGCCACTCAAGCGCTGCGATGGTGTCTCAGTCGCGCTACCTTCTACCACACCACTCTAACAGCACACTTCTTGAAAATGCTATGAATGCCGGAATATGGACAGACAACTTTCCAATCGATATTAGCTGCCCGACCGGTAACTGCACATGGCCCCATCACCGATCCATAGAAATGTGCAGTATATGCGCAGATGCCACCTCAGATGCTGTTCTTTCCGGTTGGAATGTATCTAGGTTTGACTATGATCTCAAACGTGATCAAACTATAGAAGGCAAAATATCCCTGTCTCATGGTAGGCAGCTGGATATTCCGATTCAGATCCGTTGGGGCGAGTTCGTTCCGCTATTTTATACCATGCGTGTCCCCAAGAACGTGGTTTGGGTTGTCAATCATCAAAGTATTCCAGTCGACGAAGAACCGAACTATGAGGGTTTAAATTCAACTCTTGGAGTCAAAGACCCCTTGCTTGTGGTTGCATATGCCGAGCTGGATCTTCCTGGAGTATGGCCTACCAGTCTGTCTGATTCGTTGAGCGGAATTGGGATACAGAAGGTGACCAAGTGCGCTTTATCATTTTGTGCAAGAAAATACAATATTTCCGTCAGCCGGGGAACACCATCGGCCAAGGTCCTGGACGAGGATTTTGGCTCCTTCTATACCGACCCTTTTCTACCCGTGTTTGATCATGTGTGCTGGAAGCCTAGTGCAAGCCCCATATCCGACTGGCCCAAAAAGGATGGACAGATGCCGGATATTCATAGCCTTCAGAACAGAATTACCGACCAACCCAACTTTGAGTTCTGTGGGGTGAGTCCTATCCAATACGCCAACACATTTGCAATTTTAGGCTCTTTCAGCTGGATTTTCAAACCTGAGATCGTGTCCAAGGATGGATCTCGGTCGTGGATGCATGATACATCGAAAGACTGGTATAAGTCTACGTTCGAGATCAAGAGAGTGAATGATCTGGGGCTCGAAAGGGTCATGCGCAGTATCGCTTCATCAATTTCGCAGATGGCTCGTCAAACCAGCGATAGTCCAGTTTATGGCGTTGCGACCACCATGGAAGCTTATGTAAAGGTGCAATGGCCATGGCTGACCCTACCGGCCGTGTTGCTCGTATTGGCGACTGTTCTACTCATTTCAACGGCTGTCACGACTACCCGCCGAAGAATTAATTTATGGAAGTCCTCAATCTTTCCATTCCTATTTCATGGGCTTGACAAAAGTTTGTTCGCCAGTTCCACAATGTATAGGCATGAACAGTGCGAGAGTGTCAGCGAGATGGACCGGGTGGCTAATAAAATGACTGTGGATCTGGGCTTGTCGAACAACACGGGAAGGACAATGTTGCGAGGAGCTCCGCAGAGGGCAAGTACACTTATATATCGAGAATCTCGTCGTCGATCCTTCTAGTTAGAGGCTTTGAGTACGACGGACAATGAATCGTGACTTACTGTGCCTAATCATTCGGCAATAATTTAATGCCTAATGTCAAGATGCTATCTACCAGAGTTGCCGAAACTAAGTTTAGACACCAAGGGATAGATGTATAAATATTATAAACCACGTAAATCTGACTTGTGATCTACTGAGTCTTGATTATGCTGTTGGGAGGCCTATACCTAAGAGATATGCTATTGAGAATGGGCATGGATCTTCACTCCAGCAGACAACTGGCCTCATAGAGCTGTCTAACCAAATGTTTCTAGTACCTAAGCGGAAAGTTCCGACATTGAACTACCTGGCAAGCAACCAACTGTGTAACCTTCACCGACCTAGAATTACACGTCACTCTCGCTTACGCCCCAAGCTCACACTATTTTGTACGACGGTACCATCATCCCACAGACAAACCGGGAAAGTCAATCCGTCAGAAATCCCAAATCCGGGGTCAGCCCCCACGTTCGGTGCGGAGAAGCGGGGAACATGGCAATTAAGCTGCAAGAGTGGGCGGGGGATTTATCAAGATCATCATCGCAATCTCGATCATAATCATAGTGATCATCATCAGGAATTGTCTGCACTATCTAGTGGTCATAATGAAAACAGATCGTATGTATGTAATGAATAAATGCAATCAATTCCTCCGCCCAATTTCCCCGCCAAAGCAAAGAAACAAGCTCACAAAAACCACCTAAACTCCTCACAAGCCGGTCCATCCCGCAGCCTCTCCGTCGGTACATCCTGCGCCCGAACAGACCGTCCAGTTCTGCGATCCCGTCGCTTATTATCGAACCACATGAACAGGCCCAACGAGGCGGCCAACGCGGCGCCCGTCGCGCCAAACGCAGCCACCGTGATCAACGCAGGCATGTATTTCGGCTTGTCTTCGGTGCGGAATACGTTGCTGCTTACGAGACCCATTAGGTTTGCAAGCGGGACACCGATACTAGTCAGTAGCACACGACGACCTTCGTGCGCGATGTTATTGTTGTACCAGGTTGATAGCAGGACGGAGGGTGCAGACGTGCCCCATGTCATCATGAATGTTGCGAAGTAGGCGACTCGGATTCTGCCCTCGACGTCATCAATCGACGCGTAGATCATGAAGCCGGTGAAGGTGAAAAGAAAGCCTAGCACGATGAAGGGGGATCGCAGACGGGCGGCGTCTGACGCAAAGGCGAGTACCAGGAGCATGACAGCTCCCGTGACGTTCGGGGCGACAGTGTAGAGGTTTGTCTTGACGGTGGAGAAACCGAGACGTTCGATGATCTGGGGCATGAAGAGCGCGACGCCTTGTAGCGGCACGCCGAGACAGATCTCAATTCCCAGGAAAATATATGTGGACGGGTGTTTGAAGATAGCGATGGCTTCGCGGAACCGGAATTGTTCGTTGACGACCGCGCTGGAATCTACTTGGATTCGGTGGAAGGCGAGCGCTTTCTCCTCGGCAGATAGGAACTTGGCTTCGCTAGCGCTGCGGGGGAGGTACCAGAAAGCAAAAATGGCGAAGAGGACGGTCACGGCACCTTCGATGATGAAGAGGTACCGCCAGTTTGGGATAGAAGAGTTCTTGATCTGGAAGACACCGAATGCGATGAGGCCGGAGAAGGCGTTTGCGATGTTCGATGCGGCGTAGAAAATGGCAAGACGGCGGGCAAGTTCACCACGACGGTAAAATGTGGTGAGATAGTAGATAACGAGAGGGAAGAAGGCGGCTTCTGACATGCCGAGGAACCATCGTAGAGCAAAGATGCCACCAAAGTTCTTAGTTGCCGACGACAAGAGCGTGAAGGAGCCGAAGCTGAACATGAGGATGGGAAGGACGCGGGCTGGGCTGAAGCGTTTGCCCAGCATCGCAAACGGAGGAGCGAAGATGACATACGGAACGAAGAAAATGGATAGGAGAAGATTGTACTCGTTGGATTTGAAGTTCAGATCTGCTTCTCATTAGTGTTGAATCTGTACACAGACGGTTACCACCATACCATCGCTCAGTCCGTCTGTTTGTGCGTTTCCAAGATTGCCCTTATCGAGCGCATTGAAGAGATCTACACCATTAGCTTTTTATTTTTGGCGGATGGAGGCAAAAGACTTACACATTACCGCTAGCACTGGAAGCAACCTGAGGTCGAATCGAAGGCATAAAGCCCGTTCCGCCTTGTGGTCCACAACCTCGACAACATCTTCCACAACACCAGGGGCCGAGGGCTTTCCGATGTCATCGTGAACCGAATCCCGTGCAGCCAACTTCGACGTGTCTTGGCGATCTAAATCTGACGGGGGGAGATTGCTCGACGACATTATTGATATCCTCTCGGAGAATTGAGAACGAGGCGGAGAGAGAAGAGGAGAGGAGGGACAACGATAAGGGGAAAAGGAATGTGCCGGATGCAAGGGGGGAGGGGAAGGAGAAAACTTCGGTGAGACGACCTAGCTGGATTTAAAACCCAACCCATCCTTCTCACCTTATCATGGAAGCCACAGTATCATCGTTCGATAAGAAAGCGTCGCATTCTGGCTCTGCGGGAGCCCCCACACTAACCTCCGCATTGCGACTGAATCCGGCGATCGTCGATGTTACATTGGCTGACAGCCCGTCTTATCTGGTTTCATCATGACTTATCGCTATCATCTGCTGACTTGATCTGACCATCTTTATTCAGGTCGATGTAGCATCGCGGCTCATTTATTTCATCGCGGGTGGTGCCATGCGATGCTCTCTTAGGGCTGGTTCCCAAAGCGGGTATACAACGTCACTGCACATTGCCATCTACCCCAGATCCTAAGCGGCTGAAAGAGGCGGCATGGCATCCTTGTTGCTTGGTGTATGACCTGTCAGTCAGGTGATTGGACAAATGCATATGGCTGTGACGAAGGATTCATAAACGAATACTCAAAGCCTTGTTTAATTCCTGGATCTCACCAGCTTAGTAATATCTGGTGGTATTGTTGTGTCAACGCTTCTTCTATAGCCATTTGCGTCGCTGTGGAGCAGTCTCAAGGTCTATTCCAGAAGATCGCGATCGCTTAGGATAAATGTTGTACGAGTCAATCATTCACGCAACCAGGGATCGTCAAGAAGTTGCCTAGAAGTCTTGCGCTCTTCAGGTAGCCATTTAAGCATTGACCTTATAAATTGAAGAAATCTTTCCTTTTCATATCCGTTCAACTGATTCTCTCTAGTCCACAGGGAAATTGGAGGGATCTCCGCCTCACCATGAGCAATCCAGGCACCTGAGAATGCACATTCGACACTCGCTAATCAGTCACGCCGTCCTCTGTACTTATCCTAAATGATCAGAGATATAGGACACTTACCGCTCGATTCAAAGCACTGTTCGGTGGTCTCACTGCGTTGAACAAATTCACCCGGTGGCTGTCCAATCAAGGCCACCATGAGCGCCAAGTGCTTGAACGGATCATGGTCGCCTTTGGTATCAAAGATATCGGCGAACAAATGTTCGCCTTCAAAGAGGTCCCAGATCTACTACTCTTTAGGCAATGTGACAACAGAACGGCGGGGTAGGGATGCTGTCCTTACCAAACATGCTACGTTCCAAATATCAATAGCACTTCCCCACGGCATCTCGAAAATCACCTCCGGCGCTCGGTAAATATGAGGTTGAACAAAGGGGCCAGATTCATGGACTTTCCCGATTCGTGCCTCGCCAAAATCACACAATGTCGGGAGGCCGTAGCCCTTCTCTTTCGCGGGTGGGCGGAGTCGACGGGTCTTGTAAACAGTACGAGACGAATCGATCTTTTTGCGAGGGCTGGGGTCATTTAGTTCGGCGCTCGCGAAGTCATCTAACATGGTGCTATCCTCTATCTTAAGCATCAGGTTGTCGGTTTTGATATCTAGCTACGGTCAGATTGTGTCACGTATGAGGGCGGGGGGAGTGCTTGAAAGCGCACCACCATGCGTTACATTGCCATCAGTGTGCAAGAAGTCGAGTGTTACTAGGAGCCTTCTAATCGTCATCTTGAGGAGAGGTAGATTGAACGACCTCGGATTGAGATGCATCATCTCGAAAAGGGTCATATGCATCGGTTGCAGGATGAGACAGCGATGTTTACCAAGTTCTCCTTGAACCTCGAAGGAGTCGTAAAGATTGCGAATAAGCGATTGTCCTGGATGATGGGAATGAACTTTCGAGAGATGCTCATAGATTTTCAATTCCCGATCGGCTGCCGTGGGATGATTGGGTAGCGACGTAGACATTTTCAAAACTTGATATTTGTTGTTCCTAGCAGTTGATGATGTTAAATGACAAGGGGCTTATCCCTATGTTCGGTCGCAATGCAAACGTACCGAAGGTCCCGGCATAGCCAGCTCGTGGAATACGCTCCATAGCCCAGCTTGCCCGTTATCTGATACCTGTCTTTATATAGATCGCCGATATTCACTGGGTAGTATTCCTCAGGCCTGTAATGCGGTAGAGTCTCTTCCTCGACCGCAGTCTCGAGGGGTATGGTTTTATTATATGATTTGCTTGGGAGTTTTCTCACCATACATGGTGGTCTTTGCCGCAGGGCGGTTCTCAAGGCCCTTGGTTTAAACCCCACCATTGCTTTCAAAGAAAGTCATGTATGTGTATGTCGGGTGAAGGAGGTGAGAGAGACGCGCCGGTACAAACACGAAAGCCAATCACATGACATCTTCTTGGCCTTGCTCGTAACAAGACTATACATCCCAATTTTATACCTTCTTGTGTGAATTCATACTAAATAACAAATCATCCTCTTCTCCTTGCCGCGTCAGCCTTGATCTCCTCGTCTGCTTTGCTCTTCCAACTCTCCTCCCACCGCGACAACGCCGGTCGGCCCTCAATAACATCCTGACTAGCCCAGTGCATGCGAGCATTGTCCAACGCGACATCCACATCATCATCGGGACAAATGATATAAAATGCCTCTTTCTTCAAGCCCTTGAATAGCTCCTCCGCCACCTGGCTAGGGAACCATGCCCCGTCCATTTTCTTCACCTCACTCTCCGCCGTGGTTCCGGCGTTACCCATGAACCCGGTCCATGTCCATCCAGGCACCAACAAATGGACCGAGATGTGCGAACTGGCGGGTTCCGATCGTAGATCATGCGCCAGGTGCTCTGCAAGGTTCTTGACGGCCGCTTTGGAGGCGTTGTAGGCGGGATTGTTTCCGCCAGGGGGGTTGGTGATTCCCTGCTTGGAGCCCGTCAGGACGATTGACTTGGGGGTCGTGGTCGAATGGAGAAGAGGAAGTGTGGCTGCAATGCCGTTTAGGAGACCAATGGTGTTGGTGTCGAAGGTCTGATCGCCCGTTAGAAGTGCATTGTGAGAGTCGACTCAGGGTTCTTACTCTCTTCCAGTAGTCCACGTCAGACCACGGCTTGAGTCGTCCCTCCTGTTGGCTCTGCGGTTTATAAGACGCGCCCGCATTCAACATGACCAAATCCACTCCGCCAAAGACAGAAGACACTTGCTCGACGATCTCGTCCCATTTCGCCCGATCCGCGACGTCGAGCACATACGCCTCGGTCTTGAGACCAGGATCCAACTCCGCCAGCTCAGCCTTCGCCTTTTGGAGATTCTCGGCGTTGATATCTAGCAGGGCCAGGTGCATTCCCTGCTTGCGACAGAGCTTAGCGGTCGCGAAGCCCACGCCGGACGCGGCGCCTGTGATCAGGGCGGTATTCTGGGACTTGATGGCGGCCATTTTATCTGTGTAAAGCTCGAGATACTGGATAGGAGAATTGGATGAAACCTGAACGATATTTATGGTCTCGAATGCATTGCCCCACCCTGTCATCAACATGGCGGGGGGCGGAGTTAGTGGAGTTAGGGATTTAGCTACGGAGTTTTATGACGTGCATAAATATTCTTCACACACCTACACTATCTACAATAGTGATGGACTATTTTTGCTTCTGAGAGATCAGCTAGAAGTTTCATCTCCCACTTCTAGACTTCACTAGGCCACTGTATCAAATATTGCATACATCTCACCCACATAATTTCCACCTATCACTCTCATTGCTCGGGACTCTAACAACTCCCTCCTACAAGCATGGCTCTAAAACATACTATCTTGTTACTAATCACTTATATTCCTATCAAAGCTTGTGCGTACAAATAAGATGGTTCACGGAATTATATCGAAGAATCGAACAAATTCAGAGGATTCGCCGTCGACACAGTCCGCCCGGTCCGGCCTCCTCTTTCGATAGAACAAATAGTTTATACAAGAGTCCTCGAGCAGTGTTACGCATATTGTAATATACTCTGTAGTATAGTATTGCCCGCCAAATTGCACCTTGTCTTTCCACTTACTTCCTCTTTCTATTATTGCGACACCCAAATCCGCCCCCTGCATTCAAATAGGCCTACAATAACATCAAGCACATCCCTTCCTACTCGCATACAACTCGGGTAAAATCCATCACTATCTGACAACCCCTAGTGCGGAGGAAAAGACTAGACAGGAAACTTAAGAGCAGGAATGCTAGCAGTTGGTGCAGAAGACGGGAAGTATTTAAGATCAACATTGCGCCTGTGTCCATTTACCCGGTTTAGCCGTCCGGCTAGAAGAACCAAGCATCAATCATGCACACTCACTAGCTCTATCCGGGGGATATTGTGTCCGTTTTTCCAGTGGAGTAATAAATGCGGGGTGATGTTTGAAATAGAGCAGGGACAAACTGTATATTTAAACAGGGTCGAAGTCTGTGGAGTTTCATCCGAATGCACATGCTCTACCAATCCACTATGGCGAGCTCTATCTATCTTTTCTGTTTGTTAGCGCTCTTATTCCAAACAGTCAGTCCACGTCCAGTGAATGTTTTATCTCGGCGAGATGGTCTCCACAAAGACTCCCACTGGGTCGGAATTTGGACTACCATGCCCCAATTGACGGAGCCGAATAACCTCCCTCCTGAGCCATTCGTACGCACATCCATGTTGCCTTAACACCTATCTGGACACTTGGACATGGATACTAATTGATTCCCAGAACGCCACATACAAATTCCAAAATACCACTCTTCGCCAAACGATCCGTATCAACTACCCAGCTACCCAGATCCGTCTCCGAATATCCAACGCCTTTGGTACTGAAGATCTGCCAATCTCAAAAGTCTCTATTAGTCGGACAAAGAACAATACATTGGGGAGCCACGAGATTCTGACCGATACAACAGAAGAGCTCTTATTCAGTGGAAATCCGGACATTATCATTCCCAACGGTGCATTGGCGGTGTCTGACCCGATTAACTTTCCGTTAAAAAGAGCACAGGAGACAGTTACCGTGGATATTTATCTCGAGAATGGGCAGAGTGGCGGCATCACGGCCCACCCGTCAAGTCGGACGACATCTTGGTTGGCGCTAGGCGATAGGGTCGGAGAACCAGATCTGAAGGACGCGGATGCGACGAGCGTGGACCATTGGTATATCACCCTACTCCTTTCTGTTTCAGCAGGGACCTAGCTCATATGGTTACTGCAGGTATCTAATAAGTGCCGTAGAGGCCCTTCTACCTAACGAAGTGCACAGCTGCGTCATCATTGGTGACAGCATCACAGACGGACGAGGAAGCGAGACGAACAAGAACAATCGGTGCGATATAGCCCACCTTCCCCCCCAACTTCTGCCGCCCTCAAACAACCACCAAGCTAATCCAAATGTCCAGATGGCCCGACCTTCTAATCCCTCGCCTACAAAAGAGCCCATCAACATCCTCCCTCGCCATCCTCAACCAAGCAGTCGGCGGCAACAAGCTCCTATCCGACAACGTAGGCCCAAATGTCCTTAGCCGGATAGACCGAGACATACTCGCCCAGACGAACGTGAAATACGTGATCATATTCTCCGGTGTCAACGACATCGGCAGCGCAGCTACAGACGACGCTTCGCAAACGGACATCGAGAAGCGATTGATTGTTGCATACGAACAGTTCGTGACGCGTGTGCATGCGGCGGGAATCCCAGTGTTCGGAGCAACGATTACGCCGTTTGTTGCCCCAGAGGGAGTTGATTCTTTGTATTCGGATCCGAGGAGGGAGGAGACGAGGGGACACGTGAATGAGTGGATTCGGACGAGTGGCGTGTTTGATGAGGTGTTGGACTTTGATGCGGTTTTGAGAGACCCGAAGAATAAGAAGCAGTTGAAGGAGGAATACAATTCCGGGGATTATTTACATCCCAATGTTGCTGGGTATCAGAGGTTGGCAGATGCCTTTCCGTTGGATGTGTTTGGTCGGGCTTATTGAGGAGAGCAGTGTATTGGGACTGTGGGACTTTTCTCGAAATTCTGGGTTTATCTTAGGCATTTTATAAAGTACGGATGAGGCTATAGGTAGGTATCTTACAAGCGGAAGGCTATGTATTAGCAGAACTAAGTCTACACAACGCAAGAAACAGTCAATAAATGTTATTTTAACCCAGAATTTGGCCTGATTATATGTTTGTCATTTGGTCCATTTATTACCCGTCTCTGACTACGTGTCATTCTTCCAAAGCCTATGCCTGTTTTTATGGCAGCTCATTTACTTCTCATCTTGAGTGGGCTCAGGGTGGTTCTCGGAGTCAATAGAAGCCCGTGCTTATCATTTGACAAGAGAGGTCAACCGCGACTTTCTGAAAACCCATGATCTGGACGGTTCGTTGTTGAAACCCGGCCGGTGCGAGATACCAAATGATCAATTGTTCATTTAGTCGGCGGTGGAGGGTATTGTGCTGCAGGTCAGTCCCATTTGAGTGCGACTCCATTCCGGTCATGAGAGGTGCAGTGGTGCCATTTTGACTTGCATGTGTTACTTTGGGATTGCATACTTCGGAGCAAACTGGTACGGTCCGGGAGGTATCATTGCACTAGTATCTCACCAGTGTAATAATAATAGTAGACAGAATCGAGTCACCGGCTAGGCATACTATGCATTATCATACTCTCGGGATCCCTTTTCCGTGACAGGACCAGATTGATTAGTAGTCATCATTAAATTTCTTTTTGGACATGTTCGCATGTTGAATGATGGTTAATACACATGGATTCAAATATCAAATGATATGTTTGCCCATAGATAATGTGTACAGTGTACGCGCGTCAATCCCATCGATCCGGTCACATTTCGAATAGTTGGCTTAATGCCTCCAGAATCAGGCATCAATATGTGCCGGGTAAATTAACCCAGCCAATCACAAGACGTATCACAAGCACCTTTCCCAAACGAGAACCGCATACACATTCAAGGATGTCCAGGAAGTATACCGTACAGTCTCAAGATAGGCGTGACTGCACATCTGCCGTATCACTTGAAAAGTCAAAACAGAAGACACGGCCGAAAGCTCATCCCTACCAACCACAACCCAGCAGGTCCCACTCCACCAAGCCGGCCTCAGATGATAATCATCTAAATTAATCTCGATCCAGCCCAGCACACGTCATGCACGTGTGCAACCTGCCATGACGTCAGTGCGCCTGTCAGATGCCCCTCCCCCATCGACTCTTATACCGTGGATCGTTCCAGGTTCTGATTGTCATTGTTGTCGTTTATCTTGTTCCTGAAATCCAGCCCTCTCTGTCGTTTCGAGTTGTCAATAATCCCACTCTACTCCTCCTTCAAGGTATGCTGTCCCGGTACCAAACATCCATCCAACCCTAACACCAACCAGCCAGCAAAATGCCTTCCATCCACGAACGCATCCGCGACGACCTCTTGATCAAAGAGCGCTCTCTCTGGACGGCCCTCACGTCCGCCGACCCCGGTCCTGAAATCGAGAAACTCTCCAACGAAGAAGCGAATCTTCTCTTTCCCAAGACGCCTATTCTCACGCTGGACGGCGAGCCCTCGATCCAAGAGGCTCTGAAGCCGCCCTTCCACCACTTCGACTCCTATGAGCTGCAGGAAGTTCGCGTCATCATTATCGACCTAATGGCTGGTACCGTCACGTATAAGATCAACGCGTCACAGAACGGTAAACCGTACGTTGCGACGGGGTCGACAACATGGAGTCAGGCGTCGGATGGGGAGTGGAGAATTGTCACTCATACTGAGACGTTGCTTTGAGCTACTCTTTCTTGCTTTCTTTACCTTTCTGAGACTTGCACACTTTGTCGGGGGGCTCTTTTGTGAATGACAGGGGTGGTGTTTCATTTCTCCTATTCATCTTTCTTGAATCTTATATCCTTGGTTTTTCAGTATATACCTTACGGCGAGAGACGCGGTAGAGTGAACATTCTTCATGATGAATTATGAGTTTAACTTCATTTCCAACGAGTTTCCAAGTCCAACAATTACTGTTGAGGGGTAGTGTTGATCTTAATCTGTTGCGATGATGTCATCGATACATTCGCCAAGGACGGAATCTGCGCCGCTGATGTCGCCCGCGACCAATTATAGAATTTTCTACTGTACGGCTGGCTGGATGGCATCATGTTTCCCTGATTGAGTAATGCGTAGTATTAATGTTAACTTTTGGTGAAAATAAGTAACTTATGTCGTTTGTTTGTCCTGGAATACAACGGTTAATGCTTGAAATGTTTTTTTTTTCTTTTTGCCTCCCAGATGACCATAGCCGGATGCTGAGGAAGAGAGAACGATCAGGTTAATTTCTAACTCTCAAAAATTCTTGAAAGACCATCCCTTCATGGCCAAGCTCTCTCCATGTATGTATCTTTTTAGATATGCGAAGGATAAACGAACACGTATAGGTAATATTCGAAAATTGTTGTTGAATGCTACTCCCGGGTTTGGGTCAATCTAAAAATCATCTTCTCTACCGAGTTCCAAGACGTTCTTTCTTGAATGTCTTGTGATGAATAGATTCAACCTATGTTTCATGGACAGCAAGTTGTGAACAATACCCAGTCTCCTTTCACAAATTCCGAGGTCTCTCGAAATAACAACAAAGGGGCGGAAGATATTGTTCTGCGCCAGACTCGGTCTTACAGGGATGCACTATGTAGGATATTTGGGGGTTAAGCCGTGCTTTCAACTCTTCAATTCCGAGTTTGACTGACAGGTTCTTGAACCCAGATCCCGTCCCATATCTGGAACGCACGATAAGATAGAAGCCGTACTCCACCTAACGCAGGTACAAACATGAGCTGACAGACATGGAATCAATGACCCGAGAACTCCGGACATGGAAAGATACATGATAAGACCATAATATCTCTAGCTCTAGCGTCCCCACCTTTGAATTCCCATGACTAACGAACCGACAAGCGATACTGTACAGGCGTTGATATCCAATAATCTAAATCCAATATCAACGGATAACACCCGAATTAGCGAGCCATGGGACCTACGATAAGCCTTTATTGGCCGATTAGCGCCAACCACCCGAGCTTGATATCCGCTATCTGTGCCGATCATCTCCCCTTGCGTGACATTCGTCAAGATCCGCCTTTTTTGTCTGCTTTTTTTCTCGTTTGTTTTGGCTCCGATCGCCGGATGCCGAAGAAGCTGCGAAGAATTTGATGGAACGGAAACGGGCGTTATGGGGCTATATAATGAGCTTTTCCCCGTTCTGTGGGATTTTTCTTTTTCTTTCTCTCCCCAGTCAATTGGTGATAGATAGGCTTTGACCAGATACCTGCAACCATGCAGCTTCTCCAGTCCCTCTCGGGCTTGCTCTTCGCCAGCAGCTGCTTGCTTCCCGCCGTTGCAGCCAACCCAGCTGCCCGCCGTTATGAGTCGGAGGTGAAGCATGCGCCGCGCATTGCGCCCAAGGTCTTCATCATCTCGATGGTATGTCCACTCTCTACCATCTGCAGTATGTACTCCCACATCTAACCATCACAGTTCGAACCCGAAGCCGCCGCCTGGTGGGGAATCCCCGACTTCGACCTCCTCGCTCACAACATCACCATCCCCGGCGCGTCGCCCATCTTCCCTGACGTGCACTGCACCACCGACCATAGCGTCTGCCAGCTCGTGACCGGCGAAGGCGAAATCAACGCCGCCATCACGGTCTCGTCGATCGCTTTCTCGCCCCTCTTCGACCTCACCCACACCTACTTCCTCGTCGCCGGCATCGCCGGCATCAACCCCGAGGTCGGCACCATCTGCGGCGCCTCCTTCGCCCGCTTCGCCATCCAAGTCGCCCTGCAGTACGAGATCGACCTGCGCGAACTCCCCGACAACTACTCCACCAGCTACATCCCGCAAGGCGCGCAATACCCCAACCAATACCCGACCAGCATCTACGGCACCGAGGTCTTCGAAGTCAACGCCGAACTGCGCTCCCTGGCCGCTTCGTTCGCCCGCAAGGCTAACCTCTCCGACTCGGCCACGGCCCAGGCCTACCGCGCCAACTACGCCTCCGCTGAAGGCGACATCTACGCGGCTGCCACACGCGCGCCCTCCGTCATCGAATGCGACGTCGCTACCACAGACGTCTACTACAGCGGCGAGCTCCTCAGCTCCGCCTTCGCGAACACCACACGCGTCTGGACAAACGGAACCGGCACGTACTGCTCCACCGCGCAGGAGGACAACGCCACGCTCGAAGCCCTCCTGCGAACGTCGTACCACAACCGCACCGATTTCTCGCGGATTATCATCATGCGCACCGCGTCGGACTTTGAACGCCCGTATCCCGGCCAGTCGGCGCTCGATAATCTCATGTTTGCGGAGCAGGGTGCGTTCGAGCCCGCGGTTGCGAATCTGTATCTTGCGGGCATTGAGGTCGTGAAGGGGATCATTGGGGGGTGGAATGCGACGTTCGAGAAGGGGGTGAAGCCGAGTAATTATGTCGGGGATATTTTTGGGACGTTGGGTGGGAAGCCGAATTTTGGGCCTGGGAGGAAGCAGGCGTTGAATGATGCTGGGGCGATTACGAAGAGGGGGTTGAGGGGTGGAGGTGTGAAGGTTAGAGGGTAGGTTGGTTGTAGTATAAGATTCGGGTAAAATGGTGCGGATGATAGACGGATGTTATGATTAGCGAGTTGATATGTATAGTTGATCGAATTGACTGATTTAATTTGTGCAACTTTTACAATCAGTCTGACCAGCTTGATAATCAATTTGCGGTCCGGTCGTTCCTGGTCGATTTTGATAGCGTGCAAACCGCATCGGGGGTTCTGCAGGAGGATCTCTGCGCCGGAAGACAGGGCCAGTTTGGCCGAAAAGATCACTGCTGCTGTCCAGACGGCGAATATGAGGGTGGCATTGATTATGAGAGCCATGGAGCGACTTTTTAAGCGTCTGGCACGACGGCGCCAACTGAACAAGACCATGAGGAGATCTCAAATTGCAGAAATGGGGAGACCGGCATTGCGCAAGATAACCTGCTGTTGAATGTATACGCCGTCGTGAGGACCTGGGTTAGATCGGATTTGATGGATGAAAAAGCAGAGGATTCTCCGAAAGGCTTGACCGGTTGCGTTGACGAACAATGCGAGAAAGGCCACCAGGAAGCCGCGTTTCAATGATGATAATGTGAGGACAGAGCCGGTGATTGCGGGCTGATCCCGGTTGATCCAAAAACCGTCGTATGCTGACATAGCGTGCACTTATTAGTTTATTGGCCGTAGAGGTACCTTGTTGGTAGGAATGGGATGCTCTGGGTTCATCACGGGCGGCTTTCCCAGACTGTGTTTGTTCAGGTAGACGACCATTGTCTACTCTATATGATAGGTGTTTAAGCAAGCTGGAAAACCGCTGCTGCTCGAAAACGATCTTTATCTGCGACCTATCCAGGCGCATCCCGCCGGTTGAATCATCCATGCTGTTGTATCAGCTGAAAGAACACCGAAGACGCGGCCGTGGAGGCTGAAGGCATCATGAAGAACTCCGTCGGACTTTCATCCACATAGCGGTGTGTTAACAACCAAGGAATTCCAGCAAATCAGTCCCGTCCATCGATGGAACAGTCATATGCACAAAACAGTCACGAAACTATAACCAGGCATCCTCAGATAGGACCGCTCCAGAGCTGACAATCCCGAGTTGACACGAGCCTTGAGATTCTTGTGTTGAGACTTTCTTCAAAACCAACGCGCATGCCAGGCGAGGCAGTACGTAGGCAGACAGGCGCCACTGTCATCCGCGTCAAGTCCCGGGATCATGGCTGGCTAAATAATGGCCAGGAGCATGAGACTTGGATATCCTGAGGCGGTGGCTTAACGACATTTAAGCAAGGGCTAGCATTCTTGACATGCTATCGTGCGATCGGATGCATAATTAGGGCAGAAAGCCCTACGGAGGCTCAAAGGCTGCGCGGTAAGATAGGGTGACCGAAGTGTTTGTGTAGATCTCACTCAACTGGTTGTCTAGTTGCATGATTGGAGTCCCAAAGTTCAGGATCTGAATAGGAAAATCAGTTTCAGACCTATACCACCATGGTTAAGTGCTAGGACACTTCGGCAAACAAAACCCCTTGCGAGCATCCCTTACTTTAATCGCGTCTAATTGTCCGGATCAACATGACTGGTGGCCCGACTGGTCTATTTAGCCGTCTCCACCACATCCCCGCATCCATTCCTTGTTGGCAACTTGAGGCGCTGGTGAGAATTGTCCCGGCGGAAAGACGGAAGAAATTGCCGACAGCTTCCAAAGTTATATAACCCTTTGATCTACCCTCGATATGCCTCTCGACAAAGTCAATTCTCGTTATGCGTCAAACCTACCTCCTCGCGGGCATTGTAGCCCTAACGTTCGACCTGGCACTCGCTCAACCGTCTCAGAATTGGGGACCGCGGAAGTTCAAAAGCCTGGTGACCTTCGGGGACAGCTACACTGATGATTCTCGACTGGGCTACTTTGCCAGTCACAATGGATCAGCACCCCCGGTAGGATGGGTGCAGCCGGAGGTTCGTTTTTCGTCCTTTTTCCAATGCGAGCATGTGTTAATTCAGGTAGAGCAACGCCTCCGCATCAGGCGGGTACAATTGGGGCCATTTCGTGGCGCAAACCGCGCACGTCAATCGGTATAATTACGCCGTCAGCGGCGCCGTGTGCTCGAATGAGATCACGCCCCGGGAATTCGCCGCTATCAACGCGCCATTCCCGTCTGTGCTGGAGTATGAAATCCCGGCATTCCTAGCAGACAGCAAATACAGCCGCGCCGGAAAGAAGTTCCTCGACATCCCGCCCAAGGAGACTGTGTATGCGATCTGGATCGGGACCAACGATATCGGCAACGATGCCTTCATCACTGACTCGCAGGTGAAAGGCAAGACGATCCCCGATTACATCGAGTGTATCTATGCCTCGCTGGACCAGGTGTATGATAATGGGGGGAGGTACTTTGTCCTCATGAACCTTGCCCCGTTGCAGTTGGCGCCGCAGTACGCGACGCCTGAGAATGGGGGCGTGCGCAGGAGTGGGTTCTGGAAGGATAAGCCGGAGAATACCACGCAGGTCAGCTATCGGATGTGGGAGCAGGTGAGTACGGCGAACGACGTGTTTCAGTATAAAACGCCCTTTGAGGTGCGTATCGCGCGACGGTATCCCGGGGCCAAGTTTGCTGTGATGGATACGTTTGGATTGGTGAGTGTTCTGTTGCAGACTCTGCAGACCGGGAAGTAGATTGCAGGCTAACCTAGGCAGTTATCTCACGTGTATGAGAACCCAACGGACTACTTCCACGGTAGTGCCCCGGCCAATGTCACCGGGTTCACGAAACAATGTGACGAGACCGGCGGGAACTGCAAGTTGGCTCCTAGCCCCGAGTCGTATATGTGGTATGACGAGCTGCATCCGTCCGAGCGCACGAGCGAAATCCTCGCGCAAGAGTTTGTGCAGGTGGTTCAGGGGGAGAGCAAGTGGGCGGCGTATTGGTAATTCGCCATGCATCTAGATCGAAGGGGATCCATGGCATTGTATCCATTGCTCTGCATTTACCCTATATAGTTGATTGCTTTCAGCCTCGCGAGAGAGCCCACTCAGTCCGTTTCACATGTCTCTAAGCCTGCGGGCAATCTCGCTAGATAGCAAATACCAGGTAGGGTTGCATTCCTGGCCCTGACAGTCGGAACCAGGTTAATTTAACCTCCCCTCTTGTCACGTCGCCAGCACATGCATGACTGCCTCCCAGTCCTCCAATCCGCTTCTCCTGACAGTCCGAAATCTTTCCCATTCTGGCGAGGCCGAGGCGCTGGAAGAAAAATCAGGTGCTAACTTTCCCCAGGTCCACCGGTGTAGCCACCAATCATGAGGCTGTCAGCAACCAACATTTCCCCCAACGGTCCCGGCGGGAGGATGCAAGGCCTTTAGGGCAAGGCGGACCCCATATCAGCCTTATCAGGGACACCGAGCAGCCCTACTCCATACTGCACGACACGACACGACACGACACACATCCCTTCTGCACTTCACAATATCACGCTCGTCAGTCATTCGATAACACGAGTATATATCCACAACCACGAACCTCTTTCCCCTTGACGCCCTGAACCCGCCAGAATGCCACGATTTCCAGCACCTCCACGCATCCAAACTCATCAAGATGTCGAAAACTTCACCCCTCACGTTCCCCTCGCATCTCATCGCCATCCGACCCGAGAACATCGCCGCTGAAGAACTGACCCTCTCCATCCATAACCGCCCCGAGCCATGGCATCCACTGGACTACACAGTCTCCTACAACGGATCCACCATCTTCACCGTCTTCGGTCACCCCTTCACCATCGGCCAACGCCGTACCTTCTACGACCGCTCGGGTCTCCCCCTCTTCGACCTCCGCTGTCGCTGGTATACCTCGTCGATCTTGGATCTGAAACTCCCCGGTGGCGAAAATAGCCTCTTAACGGCGAAATTGCGCGTCGCGGTCCGGGAACCCAAGGCTACGATTACATTTCAGAATGCAGTTGCCGGAGACCGGTCCCGAGGAAGCACCGATCTGCCGATGACCCAGCAGGTCACAATGGAAGTTCATGCCCAGGATCTGGATAATATGGTGCAGGTCGTCGTGGTTGAGAACCGCAACGTCGCTTCCATTCATCGCATCACGGACCCTGAGCAGTTGACGGAGGGACAGATGCCGCCGTTTCGGCTAAGGCCTAAATGGGAGGTTAGGGTTGCGCAGGGGGTGGATATTTCCTTGGTTAGTGAATTCAATACTTTTCCTTATACTCCTCCTCTTTACTCAGAGACAATGGAGGGAGCAAGACTGTTTCTAGAGGGTTACTAATGATCAAGTGATTAGATTGCCGTCGTGGTGGTGATTCTGGGTCAGAATGCTGGAGATATTGCATACAATAGTCCGGGAATGGTTAGTTGAAGATAAATAAGTAGCGGTTCTACCATTGTTGAGCCAAGTCATTCAGAATTGAGATAAGGTCTTGCTGGGGTTTTCATCGCTGGACGATGCATGTTGGCCTCAGGCAATTTGGTGCCTGAGGTGTAACCTATCCATCCCTTCAAAAAAGTTTCATATAGTTATGCAACATCTGGGAAGACATCTTGATGTCCTACGTCAACCAATAAACCCGATACTAATTGATTTAATTAGAAGAGCCTTTCGAACATTCGTATAATTGTTCATTAATATTATTCTGGGTCGTGCAGTCACCTAACACATAGAACTTCTACGGTTTTGCATAACACATCATAGACGATTTGATCAACTTTGTCGGTAGTATTTACCTGGACGTGGGTTCGAGGTCCTATGAGAGCATTGGTTACGAACTCTGTTATAATGAGATGAAATGAAATAAAATGTCGGGAGCCTTGAATTGTCTCAAAAAGTATCTTATGTGGGATGTGCATTATGGAAAACATTCTGAGGGTTAATGTTTACCAGTATATACTTCCGGCTAGTATTCGCGTTTTTATAACCACGTAAGAACCCACGAACAGGTACTACCATTTAAACAGCCCAAAACAATAAATTCCTCTCAGTTCCTTCAATCAAGTCTTAAATATAATCTGGTAATCCAGACAGTCCTTCCGACTTGAGCGAATGTGAGGTGATGCCACTCGGCAGCCACGCTAGACCCTTTGCAGCCAGCCAGCGTCATGTGCACGCGGAAGTCCCACGAGGATCCCTGCCTTTCTGCTGTACTTCTGTCTTTGCTTTCTAATATCCTCGAGTCTCGATGTTCATTTCTAATGCTTTCTTGTTGTGGTGCAACCATCCACCCAATGAAACCACGCCTTACCTCCGAACGGTGGGGTCCTAGTCAAATCCCTATCGGCAACCCCAGCCGACCGGTCGCCTATCGACGCCCGCAACGATGAAACTGGCTCTTTGGACCCTGCGTGTTCTTTGGCCTTCGACCATGCTCTTGGTGACACCGCGTTCCCGTTGACCATCTCACAACATGACGACCGACCATGAGGTTGTATGGGGCCAGCGATGGCGTTCCTCGCCGGGTTTCATCGTCGCTACCATGTCAATGGCCTTGTTCACTGGCAAGTTGCAGCTCTGTCCCACCATCACCTGCAACAACTAACACTAACACCTACTTTGAATAGACGTCTTCCTGTACACCTTCCTCGTCCCTATCCTACCATACGTCCTCGAGAACCGCCTTGGAATCGATCCCTCTTTGACCCAGCGTCTCAGCTTCGCCTTGCTGGCCGAAAGTTCCGTCATCGCCCTGGTCTGTAGCCCTTTCATCGGGAACTACGCGGATACCCTTCCTTCGAAGAAAGCCGTCCTTCTAGCTTCCCTTGGAGTTGTGCTACTCGGATCAATCGTTCTGGCGGCCGCAACTTCGGGTATGTACTTTGCGACCGTGGCATTGGATGCCAACTCATAAGACATGGAAACGGGAGCTGACGGGCGCAAAGCGGCGGTGCTGTTCATAGGTCGTCTGATCCAGGCTATTGCCAGTTCTTTCATCTGGGTCGTCGGATATGCGACCATCGCCGATAATGTTCAGCCGGAGAACCTGGGGAAGACGTATGGGTTTGTCTCGGTGGTTGTGGGAGCCGGGACTTCGGGCGGCCCGATTATCGCGGGCATGTTGTTCGAATTGGGTGGATATTGGTTAGCCTGGTCGAGTGCCTTTGTCATTATATTCTTTGATATCGTCTTCCGGTCGTTGATGCTTGAGAGACCGAGATCACACACAGGTGAGCACGTGGAGCGGTGGTGGGTGCAGATCTATGATGGGCGAGCTAATGGTCGGACAATAGACCACGAGGACTCCGAAAATGACCCCCTACTGTCAGACACGCGCGGTGACAGCGCCGTGGAGGAAAGGGCAGGCCTCCAGTTCTACCTGTACATGTTCCGACATCGCAAATTTGTCTGTGGAGCACTGAGCTATCTGACCTTTGCGATTTTGACTACGAGCTTTGACACGACGCTGCCTCTACACGTCCGTGATGTTTTCGGCTGGAAAAGCATGCTCGCTGGATTAATGTTCTTCGCGTTTCAGGGGCCCAGCATTGTGCTCAGTCCTCTCTGTGGCTGGCTGAAGGATCGCGTCGGGACTCGCTGGCCAACCACTGCCGGTTTCATTGGCGTGGCTCCTGTGATATGGCTTTTGGGGACGCCTGGCGACGATCGGTTCCCTTGGCTAAACGGGGGCAATCGAGGTCAAGTAATCTACACCATTGCAATGACCGGAGCTGGCATTCTAACATGTTTGCTGAATGGCGCGGGGACTATCGAAGCCACAGGTACGTTTGATTGTGTTTGTGCTCTGGAACTTGTCCTTCTGACATATCCTCTGCTCTAGTGACGGTCGATGAGATCGAGGCCAAACATCCGGGAATCTTTGGTCCCCATGGAGGGTATTCCCGGGCCCTGTCGATTGCCAGTATGAGCTGGACCCTGGGCTCCTTTGTCGGACCAATCCTCTCCGGCTGGCTTGCAGAGCGATTCGGCTATTATGAGATGAATTGCGCGCTCGGTAGGGTCTTGTCTATCTTACTTGTTTGCTCTCTGTAACATTTTGAGTTCGAACGCTAACAAATTTCCCAATCTTTAGCTGTTTTATGTTTGCTCTCCGGCATCAACACTTTCATTAATCTAGATTCTACAGTACAAAAGGACCGCGAGAATAGGATTGGTCAACAAGATCCCTGACACTGGACGATCCATTCCCGACTCTCCGGTCCCGCGGTCTAAGCGCAGTTTTAGAATTATTTTCACCTTGTTAGAGTGCAGTACGGATATACAGAGATCAGAATATAGATTACCTAGAGGGGAGTAAACCTATTGCGGGGTTTAGGCCGTGACACCTTCAGTAGACATATGATCTGACATATCGAATGTCATGTCGGCCAAGAATGTGGAACGATGAGGGGTTGGACGGGAAGGGAGATGCCATTCCCCGGTCTTATCCGCCTAGAACTGGGTCAGCAGATTCGCTAGACGCAGGAATGACTTTAGCAGCCAGCAAACGGCGGCGCTAAGAATAGTTAACGGCTGGATCGCGATAGCGGCGCGCGTTATGACCCGAATAGGAGTGGAGTTGAACACTTGACATTCACGCTCTGCTAGCTGTCTCTCCTGCAGTCTGTACCGAGTACGGAGTACGCATATCTGGCATTTGATCAATCTCGGGGCTGCAAACTTATGGATCTATAGAACGGATACGTCCACCAGGATCCCTGGACTTGTTCAACCTCAAACTCCTGTCGGTAAATCGCTAATGGGTATTTGCCAATGCGGTCCAGTGTCTTGTTACAGGACGCCGAGATTATGGCTTGCTAGGTCCGACAATCAGCAACCCCTGCTTAGCTCGACTCAGGGCTCAAGGGAGTGCGAGAGGGGATGCGACTAGTGTGAAAACTTGGCATGGTCATCTATCGCGCTGTCGAGTATCGAACGTACGGACTGCATATCGCAATTGCATACTCCGTACTGCCAAATTCGATCAAACGATACCCTGTCTTCTTTGGTCTTTGCCTGTTTGGTCTGCGGAGTGGAGGGAATGGACCTCTCATAGAACTCCGTTCGTATTCGGCTGTTTCCAATCTACACGATACTGCAGGTCTTCATCTGGGCAAATTTATCCCAGATCCCGAGTCACCGAGCAGTGGTACCCGTACGGAACGGAAAGCGGACTTTATACATCAAAACTTTATCTCAGTCCGGCGCAAAGACGAGGCACAAAGTCTCAAACAACCTCGATTTGGAGGGCTTGATCGTTATGTCTCTTGGATCTTCCAAGTCCGAGCGCTTGATTTCTTAAAACCGAGAAATTGAACACAGCTAGGCAGCCGGGACCGCTCCCGACCCGGGGATAATCTCATAAAGGTACTATCATAATTCAATATCGAAAATAGAGGTTAAGGGGGGAACTTAATTCTCCCATGTGGACGATGCATCGACACCCGCCAATCGGAAGGCTCTTCCAGCGCGTGCTAACTCCTCTACCGACCGTTGCTCGACCAATCTATTGCTTGGTGTGCGATCGACGAAAGCAACGACTCCTCCGGCTATCAATAGTCTGGTTTCGGACGGAAAACGGTGGATTCGAGCGGATCTCGGAGAACGAAGAGAGGAATCTATAACGGAGCATAGATTGCTTTACTGGGTACTCCGTACGCGAAGCAAATCCTTCCGAGGCAGTGGACTCTTGTCCTTGTTTTCCATTTCGCTTTTGATTGATGCTGCTGGCAAATTTTCACACCGAGGCAATATCACAAGGGAGAAGGATTCTTTTACCCGAAAACCTAAAATCCCGGTCGTGGAGTTTGGTTTCTTGGTTTTTTCCCATGGAAACAAAGTGGCTGATGGGGCCTGGAATCGACCGTCGAGCAAACGTTAGATCATTTCGGCCTGGACACAGTGGCACATGACGTATACCCTTTCCGCAGACTCCTGGATCATCTCCAAGGTCTATTTGATCCAGCCATCTATTGTTAGGCGTTACGGAGTCCTGCCTGTGCCAACGGGCAGGGTCAGTACGGGGTAAGTTGTCCGTTCGAACAGTGGAGAGCATTACGTTGATGAATCGCCATAGCTCCAGCAATTAATATCTGTGCTTTCCAGAATCAGCAGCAGCTGAACGATAGTGATACCTAGTACGAGGACTAAAATAATCTCGCTTGAAAGTCGATTCCGGAGGATCTTCCAGAAGAGGTAAGATTAGAAATAAGGAGACTAAAAAACAGGGAAATCACATATTGCTTTTCCCGTTGATTTCCCCTTTTTTATTTGGTTTCCGTGATTGCTGCTCCGTAGTCTCTATGCTAACTTGCTGTTCTACCGAGCGCACAAACTAACCTCCCTATCCAGCCTCGAGGGGGAAGAGACTTAAGCAAGCTAACAGGTCTAACAACGTACCTAGCAGCACCAAGACCCCTTAGCGTAGGGTTTCGACCAGTCACCCACCCCTGCTGGCAATAACCCTAGTCGACTGATGAAGAATTTGCCTGCAGTCTTCTGATGTCTGCAGCGCCACTTGAGGGTTCGATCATTCTGTCTAGAATCTCTTTTTTCTCCGGTCTTCCGGATCGCCGGGAAGCAACAACCAAAAAAAAAAGGCAAAATGACATGTAACCGACGAACTCTGTCCAAAACCTAGAACACCGGGGCCTGCGCTCGATCTATCTCCCCTTAGTCTCCTGAATGCCGAGCCGGCGCGCCAACGGCTTTCGTTTTCTTTTCTTTTCTTTTCTTTTCTTTTTTTTTTTTTTCTTTTAGTGTGGAAGAAGGCTTCAGAGTTCGGACTGACAGCTTTAGTTCCCCGTCCCGCCTATGACAGGTCGAGTCGGAAGGCTCGGTGGAGTTCCGGCACCGCGTTGTGACGGCATATTCTGGACATTATCGAATGGCCCAGGAGTAATAAAGTGGGTGCCTGCAGAGGAAAAAACGGAAATCGATGAATTGCTGTCCAACGATCGTGCTTCGACTCCTCCGAACACTCCCCATTCCGGCCGAATATGCTGATTTGACGAGAAGGATGAATGGGCAAGACATTTTGTTCCTTCATTGGGGAAAATGGATCTTGGTTCTTTTTTTGTTTTTCTTTCTTTGCAAAATTTGTTAATTAGTTTTTTCTTCTTGCGTTTTTTCTTTTCCCCTCCTATCTTTTTTTTTTTTTTTTTTTTTCCCGCCCTCTCCAATATATCATATTAAGAATGGCCTGTGCCGGCTTGGTGCCGCGAAGGATTTATGCTCACGAACCCTTTCGACTTTTACCCCCCTCGTCTGGCCCCAAGTCGATTATATCACCGCTCTGTTTTCTCCATTGATGGCCCGGTTTGAGCCTTCAGTACGATTTTAACGAGATCGAATCATGTCAGCCGTTGAGATGAACGCCGCCGAGGTCCCCGCCCAACCGGGCAAAGACTGGTACGACTTTCCTACCGAATGCGAGCGATCCCTCACCTCGATCATGGCCCCTCGCAACATCGTCATCGTCGGGGCCGGCATTGCCGGCATTGCATGTGCCCTGTCCCTGGCTAAAGAATTGACCCCCTTTGTTCCCGACCTCGAGATCACCATCTTCGAACGTCACGACATCCTCTCCACCTCCGGCGGCGCCATTAACCTTACGCCGGTAGCACAGCGGCATCTTGACCAACTCGGGGTGCTTGCCGAGCTCGACCGGCTCGGTGCGGAGGGCGGCTCGGATGTTGACGCCATTGAGATCTTCTCCAGCCGGTCTGGACGGCAACTGGGGTCCATCGATTTCACAGACCATGGCGGGAATGGGTTCGGCGGATATAAAGGACGACGAGTGATGCGTATCATCCTGTCGGTTGCCATGCTGGCCATGGTGGAGCGGACAAAGAATGTGAACGTCGTCTTCGGCAAGAAGCTTGTACGTGGCGAGGAATCCGAAGACAAAGCCACCCTGCACTTCTCCGACGGCACCTCCACCACGGCCGATCTCGTGCTCGGCTGCGACGGCGTGCACTCGGCCACCCGCCAGCAATGGATTGACCCGACCTCGCCATCCGAGTACACAGGCATCTCATTCGTGCAGAGTGTTATCGACACCGAGAGCCTCAAGGCCCCTATTCACTTCCGCTCCACCGCGATGAACATCTCCCGCCATGGCTCGTTGATCACAAGCTACTGTGACCGCGAGCACGAACAGATCTTCCTGGCCGCCATCGTCCAGGTCAGCGAGGACCTGCTGTCCCACTATCGTCTCGAACCCGGCCAGGACTTCCGCAAGCAAGCCGCCATCAAGCGAGCTCTGCGCGACGAGATGAGATCCCGCTTCGGCAAATCCGCTATCCCTTGTATCCGCGAAATGGCCAGCAAACCCGCCGACTGGATGCTGTACCCCGTCTACCAAGTCAAGCCCGGTTCAAAGTGGCACACGGACCGAGTCATGCTTCTAGGCGATGCTGCTCACGCTGTAAGCTCTCTCCTTCCATTTCTCTTTCCCCTCCCAAGAACAAACCAGACTAACTGCAATCAAGATGCCCCCTCGTGACGAATCCGCTGCCTATGCTCTCGACGACGCCATCCTCTTCTCTCGAATCCTCGCCAAACACCGACACGAGCCTCTCACGGCCGCATTCAGAGCCTACGAGGACCTACGCCGAGACACCGTCAACTCAGCTTTCAAGTCCTCACGACGCATGTGGGAAAAGCACCGAGACATGAGTTTCCTGGAAGGACGCCTGAAGGAATGGACGTTACCTTTCTATCTAAAGAACTCGAAAGAGGCGCGCGAGGCTGCGTGGGAGTTCGATGCTACGAAAATCAGCATTCCTGTTCCCGTTGAGGAGCAGAGTTCCAGCTCCTCGTACTCTTTCGAGAAAGAGTTTGCAATTGCGAGAGTGAGGTGAAAGGCCTGGCTTGCTCCTATTCTTGGTCCCTGTTTCTATCTTTGTCATTTCTCGGTTTTCCTTCCTGGGTTTTGGGTTCGGTCTGGCTTTCACCTCTGTTCGCTTTTTGCTTCTGCTTGACTGGTTCTGCTACTGGTCTACTGACGTGTTGATTGTTTCGTGGACAGTGGATATGGATAGATGCGCAGATGGTCTTGTCTTGTCTGGGTTGTCAGGTCTCGGGTGTATGGAGTTTCAAGTTGATTCGGTTGGATTGGATAGATTGGTCAGGGCAGGTCGGTCAGGTCGGAGCTTGATTTGATTTGTTTAGGATGGGTTTGGGTTGGGTTGATATTGATCAGTTAACGAGATTACGATAGCGTTTTTGGAATTGTATTAGATATATGGGTTTTACTATATCATATCACTGTGCGAATGGGTAATCTATTGGGTTTTATATTTTACCTAGACAAGGACATACACTGGACTATATTTAGCTTCTTTCGCTTGTGTCATTAGACCCTGGGTGGTATTTGAAAGCTGGTCCATTCTCTCAGTGTTTACTGGGTCATATGGACTGTTGTTCGTAGTTCATAACGCTTAAGACCATATATCATTGCAAGATTACCTAAAGGGGAATTGTTGAAGCTATAGTCCAGCGCACCTTATCTGCGGTGTTTCTATTTTCACACCCATTGCCATAAGACATAGAACATATTAAGGCGCTTGAGCGTCTCGATTAAATCTAGGCCACTACAGACAATATCACAGTTTTGCTGTCATACCGTAGTAAATGATGTTATTTATGCTGTTGCCTTTCCTAGGTATTCCATGTAAGATGTGTGGAAGGGTATATGCCTGAGGTTGATATCTGCCCGGCCATTCCCTCTGGCTAATTCATATATCGAAGATCCAGGAAGAAAGATCTCTTATTGTTCTAAAACCAGCACTACTAGTTGAATTGTCCAAGTATCTGGCTTGATTCCTCCAGTGTCTGTTACATCAGTATGAGGCACTGTAGAGGTCGGCGGATAATCTAGATCTCTAGCTAGAGTCTAGATCTATATAGCTGCATAGAGTACTTCTGTGACAGTTCCAAAGACAATCTATCATACTGTACCGCAGCTATGTCACACCGGCGTGGGAACCCGGAGATGTGGTGAGTAAACAAACTAAGAAGGCAATATAGATGACGGCGTATGTATGTGAGAATACGGTGAGGGATGTTGCATGCGCAGGCTTTTGTGGTTTCTGGTCGAGCTGGAGGGCACGGTAAGAAGTATTGTGAGCGCCTGTTTGTAAGGAATATAGTGGCTGAAGAAAATTGAGTTAACGCGATGTATGTTGGAGGACCGGAGAGAGATGTAGATGTACAGTGGATAGCATTCTTGATATGGCATCTGGGATTATGCTAAATGTGCGGCTCATTCGGTACCAGCAGAATTATGGAAACTGCATGTGATGCATTACATGATTGTTGTCAACTGCTCTCGTCGGATGCTTATCCGAAAGCTTAGCCAGTGAGCATAGCAGAATCGAAAAGTAATGCCCTGACGAAAACAAACGAAATGATCTATCAAAGTCGAGATGTACTGTTTACACTTTTGGGAAAAATCGAGCAAGTGATAACTTGGCTATATTAGGCTATATAGCAAGCTATGCAATAAGTAATAAATGACAGCGATGATCCAGCGCATAAAAAGATGTACAAAGAATCAACCAACCCAGCACTCGACATTCACATCCTCCTCGATCGAAAACCCCACTGCCTCCCACCAGCAAATCACATCACACTGTCACTTCCCAAGGAAAGCGATCCGTCGACCCTCATTCATTTAGAAGGTAAGAGTCTGACCAGCGGTACCAACAACAGCAGCCTTGACCTTGCTGGAGCCAACAAGGTCATACTCATAAGGCACAGAGGTAAGGGTACCCTCAGGGGCGGTGTTCTCGCCATCACCGAAGTCGTTGTCGTTGGAAACAGCGTATCCATCATCGTCAACGCTGTAGAGGGGCTTCTTGGATCCGACGAACTGGTTGCTCTCGACGAGCAGCTGGGCGCCGAGACGGGTGTTGATGCCGTCGGAGGCGTTCTCGTAGTAGCTGTTGTAGATGTGGCCGGTACCGAAGCGGAACGAGGGAGCGCGCGAGTTGACGTTGTACCAGTAGTTGTTGGCGTAGGTGATGCGGAGGTGGCCGGTGTCTTCGTCGGCGTTGGAGTTGGAGTGGCCGATCAGGGAGGCCTTGTAGTGGTCGTGGATGAAGGAGTTGGAGACGGTGACGAAGTCGGCGGCGTGGGTCAGCTGGATTTTGAGTGTGGGTTAGTATGGCCGTTTGGGTGATCAGAATGGGATAGGGAAGTTAGACGTACGTCAATCAAACCGTCGTAGTAGTCCTTGTCGTGGTCCATGTCGGAGGAGACATCGACGTGGTCGATCCAGACGTTGTTGCCCTTGTCTGTGTATTCGTTAGTGTTTGTCTCTCCTGGGAATCACTCAAAGAATGGGAGATTGTGTACGTACTGACGGCAATGGCATCGCCGTTGTCAGCGAGGACCTTCTTGACACCCAAGTTACGGATGATAACGTTCTCCTTCTCCTTGACGATACTATCCAATCAATTAGCACCTCCTCATTGTCCAATAGTTCGACTTCCGCTGTAGAAGCGTGCCCAGAGCCAGGAAACATACACTCCGAATCCCTCAAGGATGGCGTTGGCGTCCTTTCCGATGATGGAGGTGTTGGAGCCGACCTTGACCTGCTTGGCGGTCTCCTTGATGGTGCCGTCAACGTAGACGACCTTCTTCTCGTCGCCCTCAACGGCAGCAGTGAACTGGGCGTACGAGGAGACGGTGGTGGTGGTACCGCCGGCACCACCGGTGGTGCCGCCGTTCTGGCTGGCGTAACCGAAGGCAACCTTTGTACGTTAGATGAGGATCCGAGATTCTCAAGAGTCATAGATGGAGAAACTCACGTCGTCAGCGGAAGCACGCTTCACGTTGCTGGTAGCGGTGGGCGCAGCCAGAGCCTGTCCAGACAGGACGGTGGCAAGCGCAAGGAAGAGCTTGAAGTTGGCCATTGTATTGGTAGTTGATTCACAGAATCGAACTTGAAGATGAAGATAGAAAGGAAAAGGTAAGAATGAAGGTAAAAAGGTGAGGAAGTAGAGGGGGAAAGAATGACAGGAGAGAACTTGCTGGAGAACCAAAAAAATCAGACTGGAACAAGGAGATATCTCTGGGTACTTATACTGGCGCTGACGATGAGACCGTCCTGGTCTGAAGTGCTATGGAGCTGGTTTCCATTTGTCGACATGGATGAGAACTATGGACTAGAACCCACAGACAAAAACATGCCCAGACGCCAGGTCCACATCCATAGGTGGACGGATTCAAGAGATCGGCGTCACACGAGTCCTGAAGCGGACAGGAACAGGAGATAATTCTCCGGCGAGTAAGTTACGTAGGAGCCATGAGGTGCCCAGAACAGAAGTGCAGACTGCAGAAGAGTCGACTGGTAGGGGCGTGGCTTAGCACAAGATCGAGCTATAGTCTAATTGAGACACGGAGAACTTCCACAAATGACTGGTGCGTTTCAGGACGGGGTTGCCAAGAACGGGGGTTTGATTAGCTCTTCCTAAGCTGGAAGACTGGGATGTTATGGCGTCTATGCATCACCAGATGGCCACTTGTGCCGATTACGCATCAAAATGAGGTGATTGCAGCCATGGAAGACCTAATGCGACACGGAAGACGGAGGAATTGGCACAGAATTGCCGGCAGCGAGTCCAAGAGTTCTGATGCCGTCTGTCGGTTCCTGGGAGGCGTCATCCGCAGTGGATCTGGGACAAGAACTCTGCCAAGAGCCAAGGACCGCTTGATGAGAGACATCAGGATGGTGCAAACACCAACGTCGAACCATGATATTCGATTCCATCCCTATAAGGAACGGGCAAGAAAGTAGGGCTTGTCGAGTCAGGGGGTGGTCACTGATCACGGATGAGTAAGAACGGATGCCTGACGCTGAGGCAATTCTCAGGCCGCATGATTGGTGTTCGCTTGATCCTGCCACCCCCGCCGACAAGAAATGTCAATCCTTTGAATTTCCTACAATCATCTCGTCGGTTTCCAGTAATATAATTCCGAAACCCTGAAATCTCACCGGGGTGCATGCATCATGGACAGCGACTTTTCCGTCATCCCCGTCATCGATTGGCAGCGGCTACAGGACCCTGGCACTAAACCTGATGGTTTGACTCAATTGCGCGAGGCCATTTTCCAGGTCGGATTCCTCTACCTGACCAACCATGGCCTTGAAGATCTCATTCTGCGCACTCATGGCAAATTACCCGAGCTGTTCGATCTCCCCGACGAGGTCAAGGAGCGATGCAATATGATCAACTCGCCCTCTTTCGTGGGATATACTCGTCTGGGGGCCGAGACCACGGCCTCCAAGACGGACTTGCGGGAGGTATGTACATTGCACATCATAATTATGTTTTTCCATCCTATCGAGTTGGTCGGTTCTGCGCTGAGCCCTAACTGACAAATGCATAGCAATATGATTTCGGAACTCCGGGCCTGAAGCAGTGGACCCCTCAGGATCCATTCTGGCAGAGGCTCGAAGGAGAGAGCCAGGTGTGTCTCATCCCTTCTGTTCTTTTGTCATGTAACCTCCGTAGCCATCCGCTCTAAGCTCAATAATGCATGTGTCTTCAGTACCCTGACCACCCGGGCGCCAAAGACCTCGTCGAAGAATACATCCGCGAATCCGCATCGTTGTCGCAGCAGTTTATGCGCGCCGTGTCAGAATGCCTCTCTCTGCCACTTTCGACCTTTGAGTCCTTCAAGGGCAATATGGACCGATTGAAGTTCGTCAAATATCCCCCCGCAGCGCCAGGATCCCAGGGCGTGGGTCCGCACAAGGACTCGACGGGACTGTTTACTTTCCTGTCGCAAGACGACACCGGTGGCCTTCAGGTGCTTAACAAAAAAGGCGAATGGATCGATGCCCCGCCCATCAAAGGCAGCCTGGTGGTAAACATTCAACAGGGGTTTGAAGCTATCACAGGAGGCATTTGCACGGCCACGACCCACCGCGTGATTGTATACACCAATTCCCTTTCATGTGCCTGGGTTAAGTTGTTTGTTGGCTGATCCCTTCCAGGCCCCGGTCAATAAAACGCGATATAGCATTCCGTTCTTCCTCGGTGTGCGTATGGATCTCACGCTCGCTCAGTTAGAGGAATCCGCCAAACATATTGTCGAACGCATTCCGGCGAGTGATGATCGGAAGAAAAGGGCTGTAGATGTTCCCAGCGAGTTTCTTTCGCCGTTGTATTCTTGCGTGAGTTTCCCGCAATTTACTTGGCTTTATATTTTACGAGTTGCTGATAGCCATAGTTTGGTGAGGCATACCTGCGAAACCGCATTCTCAGCCATCCGGACGTCGGACAGAAATGGTATCCGGAATTGTATGAGCGGTATTCCAAGGAGGTGCTAAAATAAGACCATGAAGCGCGTACGACTGATGATTCACATGAGACTGGACGTATATAGCGACTTGTAGGTTACAACAACCCTGTCTTAGCCGAACGTATTAGGTATGACTCAAGTTGACATCTGACGGCACTACTTGAATCTATGCACAGTAGTTACCAGTGCAGTCATTCCATGCCTCTATAAACAATGCACAATAGCACAGAGTATACCATCGCAAATACGCTTTGTAGTCCAAACAATCCTAAAGCGAGTGGATCATCGACCACATCAATAATGGAGGCCCCAGCAAGCCACATTATCCACCTACCCGACCGGGTAAGCACGAACTCGAACTTGTTTCAGGCTTTCATCCTTCGGCAGATTAAATGCCCAGAACTGGCAATCAAACTATGGAGTCTTAGCTGTGGATTTCTATTTTTGCCCCCGTCATATGATTGAATCATGTCTGTGGTTCTTCTTTCTCAATGGCCCAGAACGGATTCATTCTCAAACCTTGGGGCCTTCAACCTACAGACGCTATCCATAATCCGTACTTGTCAACGGTCTTGTTGTCTTGGTACAGTCTGTCCAGGCTCCCAGTGGGACCTCCGACTTCCGAGCTCCTTGGCTAGGAGTCTAAGACTTCTACGAGCCTGATCATATAAGTCAGAACCAATTATTCGCGATGCCCAGGCCACAGGTCCGGTAGTATCCGGAGTTCTACCGCAAGCGATGCACTAACAAGGAGTGTAAATTAAGGATTTAATATATCCCTACGGCCCCTAGGTACATACGTTCGTACTCGTACTTCCTCGGAGTCCGGAGTACTGACCTACCCTCTAACGTCTATAACCGTTGTCGTTGTCATATGAATCCCTCTCTTCCCACCTCACCCAACTCAACCCAATCCACGACTCTATGCCATTGTTCCACACAGCATTCCACACCCTCCAACCCCACCCAAAATCCTATTCCTAAATCCCCCCGGATCCCTGATACACCCCCTTATACCCCTCCTCCACCCTCTCACTCATACAATGAAACACCATCTGCGCCAGTCTCGCGTCCCGCGAAACCCGCACCCCGTGCGCATTGAACACTTGCATCAAAGCTCCCACTGCCCCGGTATACCCGGCGTCCATGACTCCAGCGTGAATGGCCACCCCGGAGCGAAACAGCGAGCTACGCACGAAGATCTGGCCCATCACGTCGAGCGGGACGGAGACTGTTTCGTTGAATTCGATCAGGTAGGTTCCTTGTGCGAGGGTTATGAATGGGGTGTCTTGGTTGTGGGTGTTAATGTTGCTGCTGCTATTGTTGCGGTCGGCACTGTTATTGATAGCGGAGGTGGAGATATTGTTGTGTTCCGGTAAAGGAATCTCAGTAGTCGAAGCTGTGTGGCGGTGGGTATTGTCGAAATCGACCGTTCCTGGGGATCTAAAAGTAAGGATTCTTTTGAGGGTCAGGTCGATGCCGCATGGTTGGACTTGGAGAGATGGGGATTTGATGTTTTGGATGATCGAGCGGGTAAGGAGCGTGCGACCGGGGAGGATCATTGTGGAGAAGAAGACAAGATCTAACAGAGTTGCTGCGTAGGTGTAAGACTTTCAAGGTGAGTTATAATTATGTACACCGTAAACAACTTACAAAGGGCGTAGTGTCATAAATAAAGGTAAATTCAAGCAGCAGGCTACACAATAAATCCTTACAATTGCCTACTTGCAGGGAGCTGTTGACTGGACGACCGATTTTGCTGCTGCTGTTGGTAGGAAGGCGTGACAATCCTTCAAGGTGGCGACGATCAATGAATAGACTTCAGGATCATAGCTGAAAGCTGAGAAGTCATTGAACTGTATGATTCTATATCTTTGGCTTGAATGGTCGATACACATGAGCGATGATCGGTACTGCTATTTGAAATATATATCTAGAGTCGGGCAGTGTTTGCAGAAGTCAACACCGGATATACTTTGAGGCGACCGTGGTAAGTACACAACAATCTATTCATTTAGATGAAGATTCAACACCAGAATCGAGGCCTTATACTCCGGAAAACTCTGTGATCGAATTATAATAATGTATTAATGCCCCGGATCGACACTTGTACCAGAAAAGCAGCGAAGGTGTAGAGTGTACGAACAGTATCCCCTCAGGGCTTACCAGCGCACGTGGAACAAATTCCCAATTCGGCCATGATCATGAACATTTCCTTGATATTGCAGAACTTATCGAAGAATTCGATTCAGTTCTTACCCTTCGTATCCTCGAATCATTTTTCCGAACAAGAATTGACAAGCAAGTGGATCTCGCTAAGTGACAGCGCACTACGGAGCAAAGGATCAACACGAACCCCGCAGATCCGATCATCTTCACCTCCTGGATTTCCCCTCTTCCTTCTACAGATCTCCCACCTGCATTATAAAGACGCGCAACATGACTATTTCCGACACAGCTCTTCAAGGGCTCCGTGGTTCCCTCGCCTCTTCCACTATCTACACACCCTCAGACCCTGGCTACCAGGAAAGTCTGCGTCGATGGTCCGACACGGGCGTTAAACAGGCGGTAAGTCCACGCACGCACCCCTCATCCCTACATGTAAGCAAATGATTGGGACTAACCCAAACATCCCTGCAGGGCGTAGTGGTCCAGCCCACTGAAACTGCCGATGTCCGCACCGCCCTTCTCTGGGCCCAAGAGCACACTCTCGATTTCGCTGTCAAAGGAGGCGGTCACTCCGTCTCCGGCACCAGTTCCAGCGAAGGCGGCCTGGTGATCGATCTCTCGCGCATGAACCATGTCACCGTGCACGAGGAGTCCAAGACCCTTACCGTGCAAGGCGGTGCCGTGTGGAAAGACGTCGACGAAAAAGCCGCTCAGTACGGCCTCGCCGCCGTCGGTGGAACCGTCAACCACACCGGTGTCGGTGGCCTCACCCTCGGCGGTGGTTACGGCTGGCTAAGTGGCATGTACGGCCTCACGATCGACAACCTCCTCGCTGCGACGGTCGTCCTGCCTAACGGTGAGATCGTCACCGCGTCGGAATCCTCCCATCCGGATCTCTTCTGGGGTCTGCGTGGCGCCGGCTACAACTTCGGCGTCGCCGTCGACTTCACCTTCCAAGGCTACGAGCAGACTAATCCCGTCTACTCGGGTATTGTTTCCTTCGGGCCCGAGCAACTCGAGTCCGTCATCTCCGCGTTGAACAAACAAATGGAGAATCCGGACCCCAAGGCCGGAGTGATGTGCATTCTCGCGCAACCCCCGGGCGCACCTACTCTCATGGTGAACGTGCTCGTCTTCTACAACGGCAGCCAAGAAGAGGGTGAATCGCGCTTCGCGGAGCTCCTTGCCCTCGAACCCGTCGCCAACATGATCTCCATGATCCCGTACTCGCAGCTGAACTCGCTCCAAAACCCCATGGCGACCTACGGCGACCGCAAGACCTTCAAGGGCCTGTTCTTCCAGACACCGTTGGACGCTGGGTTCCTGCGCACTGTACTCGATGACCTGAATGCGAAGAACGACGCGTATCCTGATCTCATCCCCGCTCTACTGCTCGAGTGGTATGATATGCGGAAGACGTGCAGTGTGCCGTTGGACGCGACAGCGTTCGCGAACCGCAGTGCGACGCAGAACGGACTGTTGAATTTGAGGTGGTCCGGCACGGAGATGGATGGAACGCATCGCGCGTGGGCGCGCGAGATTCAGGCCAGCTTCAAGGGCGAGTTTGAGAGGGTGCATGGAAAGGGAGGCGAGGATGAGGATGTGCCGCAGTACATTAACTATGCGGAGCGTGAGTTTTCTGCATATTACCCTTTATGCTTACGAGCAGATGATGCTGACTTCTATTTCTAGCCGGTGACGCGGTCGTCAATAACATCTACGGTCAAAACCTCCAGAGGCTTAGGGACGTGAAGAAACGATATGACCCCGGGAATGTATTCAATAAGATGCACCCGATCGTGTAAGCGGGGACTAGGATCATGCCTGGTCTCAGCCTGACCAGCTTACACCAATTGCATCATTGTATATAAGAACACATACGAAATAATTGGACATGACTTGATCACCTGTCCAAGACAGAAAAGATCATGTCCAGTCTAAAATCTCATCACCATGATCAGTCACATTATCTCAATAGTCAAGCCACCAACCAACCAATCTGGATCAAAGCCAGTCACCAACAACCGAGTCAAGCCAATCAGCCTGGTTCAAGTGCAGGAAATTGTCCAGTCGGGATCCGAATCGCCTGCCTGGAATGCAGTCAGCGGAATGCGGATGCGCCATGATCGACAGAGCTATACGAGAACCGCCCCCTTCTGGTCAAGATATCCTTGTGAAGAATGCCCCACATTCAGCCTTCATAGGTATTGTCCAGCTGGACCCGCGAGGTCCGATTCGGTCGATTCACCTGACGGTATGTGTATAAATAAAGGCATTGGCGATGGCATTCTACGGATCCCTTTACCTGAACAAGATCTAGCTGAATTATATCTGAATCGCCTTACTTCTAAACAAGATGGCTGGGCGACACTTCTGCCTCCTGGCATGTGCATGCTCATATCTCCTATCCCTGGTTGGGGCTGAACGCCCTGAGTTCACTATCGACCAGCTCTGGGAGATGGAGAACAATTTCTGGACACAGTTTTTGTATCCGGCGAATGTGAAACAAATCAACGCGACAGATGAGTCGGTATTTGCTGAAGACGTAAGCTCTCTCACGCTTTTGCATGTTGCTGGCGTCGAACATGCACACATGCAAACACGTCCACTCACCACCCCGAACCATCCATCCCATGACCATGTCAAACCCTAACTCCACCATTCCATCGCCTCCCCAACATCACCCAAATCCAGAATCCTAACACCCAGTCATTTCAAAAACAGGTCCAAGGCCGCGTCGACATCACCCGCACCTTCGACGGTCGCGAGCTCAACAACGAATACATCTTTGGCCTGTTCACGCAACCCGATACCGTCAGTCTCACCGGAGTGCCCATAAACTACACCATCACGCAGTTCGCCGCAAATCAGAACCTCGCGTCCGCGACCACAGTGCTGACATTCAACGTGACGACCTTCAACGTGCTCCTCCCCCTCGTCATAGACACATGGATCGAGTTCAACGCCGACGGCAAGATCGCGCAATACGACGCCACATTCCGCTGGTTCGATTACTTTGTGGATACGCTGCTCGGCGTCGCAGCGAAGCAATTCAACACGACGGATGAGGCTGAAGTGCAGAGGCAAGTAGCGGGGATTGTTGCGCCGACGGTCTGTGATCAGAGTATGAAGTATTGTGGGGATTATGAGCACTATGAGAGTCATGATCAGTGTGTGGAGTATCTGACAAAGGAGACGCGGTTCGGGAAGCCGTTTGAATTGGGGAGGGATACGTTGCTCTGCAGGGAGGTGCATAAGCATATGGTTGGGTATCGGCCCGACTTGCATTGTTCGCATATTGCGCCGTCTGGGGGTGATTATTGTGTGGATGATATGAATTATCAGCAGGTTGTGTTGGAGAAGTATTTTGAGGATTCGTGGGTGGCGCATGGGTTCGCTGATGATAATATTTGGGTTGCTTGATTTTTGCTTGCTTTTGGTTTATTAATGTCGAACATTGGCTTAAGCTAAGCGTTTGAGTAGAGAGTGAGGAAACACAAAGCATGGTATGTAGAAGCAAAGCCATCTAGGAGACATAGCAGGGCTACCAAACAACAAGACCAAATCAACGTGAGAATTTTAGAGACAGCAGAAGAAACAGACAATCAAGACGAAACCACCTCATCACCCCAAAATACCCAAGCCCCAGCAATCCCCAACTTAATCCCCGCCGCAATCCACAACGACGCATAAATATCCCCCGTACCTTTCGTGATCCAACCTCCAGCAATAGCACCCACCATCGTCAAGACGAACGCCAGCAGCCTCCGATCTCTCTTCTCGTTCCTTAACAAGAACAACTTCGGATCAGACATCATATCACAAATCAGGCTCGTGATCACGACTGTCGGGATCTCGTTGAAGCCTAACGCGCGACTCGCCACGATCTGACCAGCTGACTGGATACTTAAAAGCACGATGGGTACTTCCTGCGTCCATTCCGTTTCTGCCTCACTGGTCGAAAACGGGTCCTCTGGGATACCCGCAATCGCGCCGCCTGTGACCAATGCAGCGGTGAGGATCAGCATGACGACCTGGAGGAGAAAGGAGAGGATCAGGGTTCCTCGTTTCTTGGAGCCCAGGAGGCGGTTGAGACGCGCGAAGAGAAACGACCCTATGATGAAGCACCCGATTGAGGTCAGGGATCGGGCCCAGCCGTATGGTCGGGGATTTTGGTTGGAGGCGCCTAGACCGACGAAAATTGTGTTTCCTGTGTATTCTTTGTGAGAATATGAAATGGAGATGCTTGGAGGGGATAGAGACTGACCGGTTTGCATGGAGACGAAAGTGTTGTATGCTGGGAGTTGGTCAGCAATCACTATTTCTTCTCACTCTGGGGCATGGTATTGTTCAAAAAGGTCAAAGGAAATAAATCATACCATTGTATATCGTGCTATCTACCACGCCAGACGTGAAACAGCAGGCGAGTAGCAGCCAATCTGTATACCTGGGCTGAATGTCCGCCCTGAGAAACGTCGACAGACGATTCTTCTTGGGATACGACACATCAGACATGGTTCCTATCTGCGCAAAGCACACACGACGAGAACCTTAACTAAGAAAGATAGTGACCGAAGTGAAAATGAGAAATGTTAGACGAGAGTCGAAGAGGGGAAAGCGAAGTATACCCATCAATTCGACACCAACATGACATAAAAAACATTCCCGGGGCAGAGAGATAAAAGTCCCCAATTTAACCCCTCAGCGTCGATCCTCTCCGAGCACCAATCGCATCAAAAAAAAGCAAAACAAAGTACGAAAGACCAATAGGCAAACCTCCAAGAAAGCCAAGACACGCAATACCACCTCCGTCCCGCCGAGAAAAGCGACTAACGGAAACTCGCCGGGGATCTCTTCATCAGCGATGGGGATGACGATGCCCGAGACCTGAATGATGCGCAATTTTTCTCCTGTTTCTGCAGGAGGTCTTGGCATACAGTGGATATCAGTTTGGCCAGAGAGGGGCCTTTAGTCACTTTTCAGCGGATATCGATAATATGTTCAATATTGCAGGGATGTGGACTTGGCCCAGGTTTGGCCCGGTTTTGTTCGTGCTAATCGGCTTCGGGCGTGGGAGGACCCCTGAGTTGTTATTTGCTGGCTTTTCATTTATTCTATTCTCCATCACGGCGCTTACAGTGTCTCGTTATGGATAGGGTTGTTATTTCCATATTGTGTGGCGTACCTGTAAGGGATCTGCCACTCCGATAGTAGAAGGAACTTATCTCACGCTGATTGGATAGGGAGATTGTCAGATGTGAAGATTGACTTCAGGTAGCACGAGAACAAGTAGAGTAACACACGCATTCCAAAGTCCCGATCAGTAGTCCCGATTGGTTATTGTTGGCCGGCCAGCCAGCCAGCCAACTCTATCGATCCCTCGTTTCCCAACCAGAAAGACGCGTAGAAGGGCTGCTGACGGCGGTTGGGATTTTCCTCTTACCTAAATTAGACCATTCCCATCACATATAGCCCATATCATAAAATAGCCTGGATATGCTTTGTACTCCAGTCTCGTATGTAATGCCAACCATATATTTGCTCAGCTCCAGCCCTATCTAGGCACGAGGATGATCCACCGAGCGTGGCCATTGCGATTCAGCCCAAGAAGGCTGCAATAATGTGGAACACATTGCGAGTCGATCCGGCCTGGAAGGCAGAAACTCCAAGAGTTGGCAGCATAGGGCAGAGGCAGAACAGGAAGAGAAACATGTTCATCTTCCCTACTTCTGGGCGTAAGACACTTACTCCCATCTAGTCAGCCTGCGTCTCACAAGAAATAATACGTCGATGATGTGAATATCATTTTCTTGGCTTCTTTGCTTTCTCGGCAGAGGGGGTCTTACTGCGCTGGTGGAGTCCCTTCCACGGGAGTCTGGTCTGGTTACTCCGGTGGGTTTTCAGAGGTCCGCCATGTGAAAGAGTTGAGCGATTTGTATACTCCAATCAATAGAGAACCTTCAATAAAACACCTAATATGGGCACTTCCAGGTTTGGAACACCACATCAATTAGACACTATACCCTACCTAACATGGAATGCTCGGGACAAGACTGCCCAGACAGTGAGAAGTAGCGTCGATAAATGATCGACATCCGTTGGCCTCCGCGGACCGAATCTCGGTGGTCCTTCCGAGTGTAGACTGCGGAAAAGAGGTGCACGGCTAGTTCCATACATCCCAGACCATACTAATTCATTCGTGAGGACCTTTGATGGCGGAGAGCGGCGTTATCCCCCACGGGGGGTAGAGTAGCCTTTCGGTCAGTCATTGTGGAGTATGCAGACACTGTTGAGCGCCTATATTGATTGATTGTGGATATCATTAGTATCTAGTTATTACTAAATTTCTGAATTTGGATGCTTCTAGCCCTGGTAGGTGTTATTCACTCAGTTTCATGTTGACGAGGTCGTTACTAGACCATCAATTTCGGGGACTGTACCCGCCACTTCAGGCACATTATTTTCAACTATAGGACACGGAAAGCGAATATCAATGTTAATCGACTGCATTATCAATCACTGAGTAATAGAGCCGTCTATCCATTTCTGTCTTGGGAAGTATGTAACCAATACTACCAGTATCCTGACTATAGTACCCATCCCGCCCAATATCACCGCGTAGTCCAATCAATATCCCTGCGGAAGACAGTGCTCCCATAATACGATAGTTACCGTCGCAATGCAGGCAGAATAACACCTCCAGCTACGACTAATCGGCGTGGCATTACCACTCCTCTTCGGTTAACCTCAGCGTCGCAGGCAAAGAAGTAGGAACTGGCGACGATCCGGAGAAGCAGAGAAGAAGGCCGACAAACCAGCCAAGTCACAACCTCTTGGAAGGGAATCTGAGATCTGACCGTTCAGCATGGCCAATCGGTTCCGTTGCATCAGAGCGAAATTTGGCACGGATGACCGTTCCTCTCGCCTTTAGGCTGGGCGATGGATAATGGCGATGGAGGTTTCGGAGTGGACTCCTTCTTGGCGCCGGGAGGAGATAGAGGAGGGGGGATCTCGGTCTTGGTAGCGGTCTTGTTTATCGATGAGCGAACTTGCAGATCGGATAAGCAGGTCAGCGAGTGACTGGCTGGGCGTGGGTTTTAGGCAGGGTATTTCCGGCGTCTGGGTGGCCAAGACTCGGTATGGGGGAAAGGGGTCGTTTCGGAGAGGAATGCTGGCTTAGTCGGGAGTTTGTGTGCTGAACATGACTGTTGTTTTCCTTGGCTAAATATGTCAAATTAATGGCGTGCGTCTGTGTGCTCTGTATGTATCATATCTGGGGCTGTTGTTTACTTCATCAGGTTTACGTGTTCATCTCGACTCCGTTCGACTCTCTTCTTGGCCACTGTCCTATCCCTGCCTGGAGAGTCATGTCCAAGGTTTCTGCCTGGGACAAGAGACTTTCTAGGCACACGCAACAGTCATGATAAATGATATCTCATCTTATCCTCAGGCATCGCAATTAAAAAACATCATCGCCAAGCGAACGCTAACACGATCATGGATGGTGAAGAGGCCCTATCTCGCTTTGACAAAACGGCTTTACAATGCAAACCTGCATAGACGCGCGAGATGCGAGATACAGAGCTGCAGAATGGAGACAGATTGGTGGATGTCAGTCTCTCCGACAGGTCATCGGCCTGAGCGTCGTGCGTGTGCATGCAAGTTGAGGCTCGGCGCATAGATGGCTGGCTGGCTTGTCGGTAATTGTATTGTTGCCGTTTCTTTGATTTTATTTCCTCGATTTTACATAGATAGCGGACTGGTTCGTCTGATATACCTGTGTAAACTATCTAGTTATTGGTCTCTTCTCCGTTGGTAACTAGGTGTTCCGAGTTGTGGTTCTGAGATTATAGAAGGGGTCAAACGATTGTGCAACCGGTGTGTACGACCTGCACCGAGCATGAACTACAAAGCTCTATGCTGACATGACATTACCTTGGATGGTCTTTGTGGGCGCTTAATTTCCTTTGTATTTCTTGTTGGTGATATGGTTCCACAGGGTCTGTGTCATATATCGCCGATAACGGCGAGAACAACAAGCCATACGCGTCAGTGGAAAAATATCTCCATATCGCTTATAAAGAAGCTCGAAATCTAGATGTATGCTTCATGAAAAAAAGGACTACGACAAAGGTCAGGACCCGCGGCAGCTAGATACACCAAATTTTCAAGTTTCCAAGCCAAGGAATGGCCCACGGACAAGCGGAGGATTCGAAGCTCCGAAGACGTTAAAAAAGAGACGTCGATCATTAATACTACATGTGTGTGAAAGAGGTTTTATCCCTGGTCTTCTAAGTCCGCTGTGGAGGTGTCTAGTTGTAATTGAATGTGGTTGGAGGCTGGTTATGCCGGGTCGTGGTTTGATTGACTGGGATGTATTGAAGAGTTGCCACTTTCTATGATTGATGGTTCCTATAAACCGGAGACCCGTTACAACATTTAGGGGCAGCTATTGGATGGAAATTTGCGAGTTTCCTTCTTGGAAGTTCAAGTCTTGTTGAACTCTCCCGGGAAAACGTACTGATAGTTGTCTTCGAGGTACCCCACTAGAAATCATGTAAAGGTTCGGCGAAACCGAGGGAAGGCTCTGGCGAAATCAAGATAATTATGACCCTAATCTGCGCCACATGCTCTCTTCATTAAGGAATATTGGCTAGATGGTGATACTAGCATATCTTGAGAGCTATGGCCCTCGGTGAGTACATCAACAATCGACTGGTTGACATAGGGTGTAGAAAGCTACTGGACCCTATATCCAACTGGTTACGACACCTTTCAATATGCACCTTCCCCAATAGTTCAAATTCTTTTCATGGAATTATTGATAAGCAGAACAATAGTCAGGAATTCCTTCTGTGGCGTGATAGTGGCCGACAAAATACCATTTCCGCTTGGTTCCCCATTCGGAAATGCGATGAGATCAACTAACTACAAGCAACAAGAGATTACTTGGCTTAGAACGACACATATGATCCTAATCAGCTATTATGATCCAAGATTACCTGGTTTCTATTTCCTAAGGCTATCCATCCCCATCGTGTATTCAACATTCACGACTATTGTCTGAGAACTTATCTGCTCCAATCCAATCACGACCCTTTAGGGAATAAATTGGGACGAAATTCGCCGGTAATCCACTGTTCCCAATTGAGCCGTGTCCGATATACGCGCCGACATCTTCTTCCAAGACTTTAGCATCAAATCCAGACTTGGAGCGGGCTCGGTCCGGAGAACATCTCAACTTCCATGATGTGTACATTCTGGTACAGGGTATTCAAAACGTACTCTATACAATGGATAGCCTATCTTGTCGACTGGCATACGGAACGGGCCGTGGCAACAGAGGAGGGGAGAATAACGATCGCTGTGATGCCCAGAGTCGGGTTCACGATGCCAAGCTGCTTGGCTCCTGCACCTTGGGAGGAGGCCAGCGGAGAGGGAGTCGTAATATTACGCCGTGGAAGAACAGAGGAAAGAAAGCGATGGATGTCTCAATTGCCATGACGGATTGCGTAAAATCTCTGCATGTACCCCAGTATGGAGTCTTTCCGAAGTGTATGTGTGTAACTCGACCGCAGGCCTAGTCAGCTGTGAAGTCGTACAGAATCATGGCCTGGCTGAGTGTCTCATCTCTTGCCCAAACTCAACACTTCACGAGCAGGTAACACAGCAGCTTCTCTCCCACCCCTGATCAGCATGTGCCACATGCCCGCCCGAGGAGAAGAGGGAAACGGTGCTAAACCCTTCATGGCTTATACTGCGGTTTTCGGCGGGTGGCCACCGACGAAAAAAGACACAATCACTCGCACTATCTCAAGTAGATCACCCTGCATGTTTCCCATTCGGCTAATCGTCAGCAGTCTGGGAGAAACAAAATGAAACTCTCCGAAGGTATCTTGGCGACGAAGCTCTGCAGATCAGACCCGCAAATGAAGTCCTCAGGCTAGCGGCGATTCGTCGCGGAATGTGCAGGCCTAGTCTAGAATTATATGAAGCCAAGAAAGGAAGAGAACATTCCCCATCTCAAGGAAATCAAGAGATGGGAGGGAGATACGAAGCACGCAAAACCGCCGAACATGTGCCTTTGCACGTCTGACATGCATCGAGCCCTACAACCGACTCCTCTCTCTCATTCTCGTATTTCTGTTCTCGTCCACTCGTCTGTCCACCCAGCCAATTGCCAATACCCTTGGCGTGCTTCATCGCGATGGATCCGGTCCGGGTGAAATCTCGCCTATTCAGGCGGACTATCCGAAGCGGTTAGTGAACCTCTGTCCTCTCGGTGGGAGTTCCTACTCTGCTGTGGCTAACTGCTTATCTTTCGCCAAGAATCATAACCAGAGTCATGCTCTTGGAAGTTGACGAGGTATGGTATCAGCTTCCTCCTCCTTCAGCACCCCCTCCCGCCCCCTCCCCTCTCTACGAGCGGGTTGATCCAGACTCTTTTGACTACCCCTGTTCGGACACTCCGGAGAGTTCCAGACACGATGTCTACGCGTCTCGAGGATCCTCTTGGCGTTTTCTATTCGTGCATCGCTACCCTGTTAGTCCGTATGTTATGGAGGGTGAAGATGATCGTCATCGGTTGCTGAGCCGGGGATTTGCCCCAGCCAAGTACTTGAGTTGCATTGCAAGTAGACATGTCAAGGCGGGGGTTACAGAGATACCTAGAATTGCGCCATGTAGCAGTCTTGGGGAGAAGCGCAGAGGGGCGGGGATGACCTTGTCACAATCACCATCTGACGGGTGGAATTTCCCCCGAGAGGAAAGGGCCGGGGAAAGGCTGAGCTGAAGTAGACGAAGCACAAAAGGACGAGAGTCTGGGGTATATAAAGAGGTCGTGAAATCGCCATCAGTCCATTTGTATTCGCACTCTCATCCTCATTCCAATCCTCTCATCAGCATTCTCTCATACTATCATATCTTTTCTCTGATCCTTTTCAGTCACAAGTTCTGTTTACCACAATGAAGGTTGAAGAGCCCTCTTCCAATTCCAGCATGGCCATTACCATAACTGTCGAAAAGGATGGCTTCTACGAGATCAATGGCACCCGTCAAGAGCCTACTGTCTCGCTGCACATGCTGGCTGGCGCATCCAAGCTGCGTCGTCAGTTGCGGGAGAGTAATGAGCTGATCGTGTGTCCCGGTGTGTATGACGGTCTGTCTGCTCGTGTTGCCATGGAAGTTGGCTTCAAGGCTCTCTACATGGTGAGTAACATTCGTGACAATATCCTTTGAAAGTCCTTGTGATACTGACCAGTCAGACTGGAGCAGGAACCACGGCCTCTAGACTCGGCATGGCAGATCTCGGTCTCGCTCAACTCTATGACATGCGTACCAATGCCGAGATGATTGCCAACTTGGACCCCTACGGCCCGCCCCTGATTGCCGACATGGACACTGGATACGGCGGTATGTTCCCAATACCACCATTCTTTCCCTTAACGCACTTTCTGACAATCTATCAGGTCCTCTGATGGTCTCCAAGTCTGTCCAGCAATACATCTCAGCTGGTGTGGCGGGATTCCACATCGAAGACCAGATCCAGAACAAGCGATGCGGCCACCTTGCTGGCAAGAGGGTCGTTGACATTGAAGAATACCTGACCCGTATTCGCGCTGCCAAGCTGACCAAGGACCGTCTGCACTCGGACATTGTTCTCATTGCACGCACCGACGCCCTTCAACAGCACGGTTACGACGAGTGCATCAAGCGTCTCAAAGCTGCGCGGGACCTGGGCGCCGACGTCGGTCTCCTCGAGGGATTCACCTCGAAGGAACAGGCCCGACAAGCGGTGCAGGATCTAGCGCCGTGGCCCCTGTTGCTGAATATGGTGGAGAACGGAGCCGGGCCGGTGATTACCACCAAGGAAGCGCAGCAGATGGGGTTCCGCATTATGATCTTCTCGTTTGCCTCGTTAGCACCCGCTTACCTGGGGATTAAGGGCGCCCTGGAGCGCCTGAAGACGGAAGGCATCACGGGTATTCCCGATGGATTGGGGCCGAAGAATATCTTCGAGGTTTGCGGGTTGATGGACTCGGTCCGTATTGACACGGATGCTGGTGGCAGTGGCTTCAAGAACGGAGTCTAGTCTAGTGTTCTTTTCCCTGTTTCTGTGTTTTCATATGATTCGTCGGCGCCTTGCCTCACTGCAGTTTTTCGTTCATCCTGGTTTCCTTTTTCCCGCTATTTTTTTCGTCTCATTTTCCAGACTTTCCTATTGTACCCAACTGCAACTATCTCGCCCCCCCCCACTTAGATACTGCTTCACAAATTGGACATTGAAATGAACACTTTATTTGATTTTTCTCTCCTCTCTGCCGATTCAAACCCTGCATACTATTGTGGCTGTGAACATACCAAATAAATTAACCCAGCATCGCCATTGGTGTGAACATGTCGATCCATGCCAACATCCCTGTCGGACCGTAATTAGTCTCGCTCGGCTGTCTTGCCTGATTACGGTGTCATCTCTCAAGTCTCGTCTAACCCTGGTTCTTCTCTTTCCTACGTCGTAGCGTGGGAAGACTTTTAGCTTTGTTCTCGTCTACTCCGTAGGGGTCTAGACTTGTGACGCTCATTTACGCGGATTGTGGAGGTTCCTAGTGGTGGGAGTGCTTACACCGTTCCCCTTGATCTTAGAGTTTCTGGGGCTTTCATTTTATTTTGTTTTGTTGGGTGGTTGCCTTCGTCATGATTGTCATATTTTGATCATATTTACCAGATACTGAACTCTGTCACCTGCGGGATTTGTTGCTAAGGTAGTTTACGTTTACTCTTGCTTGCACAACTAGCTTCCCAAACATTGCCCATGAAGGCACGACTGGAAATTCGAATCCAAGTAGGAAATCATACGATACGAAGGGAATGCGAACCTTATAATTAGATAGCCATTAGGAACTTTTAGTTTAATCACTCAATCTCGAAAGCGCCCTCAGAATCCTAGACCAACCCCGAAAATACAGCGGAAACCCCATCCGACTATGACGAACCACCCAAACTTCGACGAAAGCTCACCGGCGCGGAAGCCCTGTCCGCAATACTACCAAGGCCCAGGACGCACGGGTGGCCATTGTCGCGATCCCTGGTTCCGTTGGAGCGCGATTAGAAGTTCTTCCTTGATTTCGCGCTCCTGCGCAAGCTTGTTTTCGAGCTCGCGGACGCGCATCTTCAGTTGTTGGATTTCCTCCTCGTACGTCATTTCAATGGGGACCGTGTCTTGAGGGTCTTGTTGGGTTTGAAGATCCAGGCTTTGATATGGGAACCAATACGGTGACTCATTTATCGGGGTTCGCCGGATATCAGGAACAGGTTTCGGAATGCAAGATTGTTCTTCGTAGAGTGTTGGATAGCTGAGGGTCTCCAAACGCGGGTTGATTCCAGAAGCGATATCGTGCGGCCATTCGTTGCGGGGATTTTGTCTGCGATTAGCGCCGTATTGCTGCTGCTGTTGCTGCTGTAGGTGATTAATATTGGCGAACTGTTGTCCGACTGCAGTATGATATAGAGCTGGATCAAACGCAGGGTCCAAGGTCGGCGAGACTGGGTGGAAGACGGTCGGTGAGGGAGGGTGGTTATGAACCTTTGTGTTGTTTGCTCCTTTGGGGGCTCTTGGTGGAAGGAAAGCGTAGTTCTGAATTGCAGGTTCCCATTTTGTGACATAGTTTGATGCTTCGGTGTTGGGGGTCCAGATGGGAGACGTAGTCGATGCTGAGACCTCACTGGATTTGTCGTAGGAACCTATACTGCTTCTTCTGGGAGACTTGGCTGGTGCAGAAGGTCCTTTGAGAAAATCGTAGACATTCCCAGTATCTTCCCAAGGAAGCATGGTTGATGGGGACTTTTCATCGGGCTTTTCGTACCATTCCATATTGCGCTGTTTGGCTCTCTTCAGGTCTTCGAGTTCTGTGGTGATCTTGCTTTTTTCTTCTTGACAGTCGATCGCAAAACTAATGTGGCAGTAGGATTATATGTACCAAAGCAGTCCATTATAACCTTCAATGACATCTAGCCCAAAGCTAAAAAGATGTCATAACTACGGAAGGGTGGTCCGTTGGTTAGTTCCATGACAGTGTTATATGTCATGAAAGGAGGGGCTCAAATGCTGTCCATGGAAGTTAAGTATAGCCAGTGCGTCCGCTCTCCTTCCTGGCTTCTGCGCAAACATACTCTCGTCTTCACCTGAACCCTCCACTTCATCTGCTCTTCGTCGTACAACCTTCCATTTGAATCCAGCCGGACTCATAACTCGTTCATCATGGTTTTCTGCTTCACTAAACCCAAAGACACTATAAAGAAGGACCCTATCGAGGTGCACATTGGTATCGACCTCGGTAACAATTCCACTGGGGCCGCCTACAGCGTCAAAGGTTCTTCGGAAATACGTGATATTGACGACTGGCCGGGCACTGGAGGTCGTATGACTACCCTTCCTATTTGTTCTTGTTCGAGCAACATCTAACGCACGGAGCGCAGGTGCTGTCCTACAAGTCCCTACTGCCATCAGCAGCTCTACTTGGGGCTATACATGGGGCTACAAAACCTATGCCATGGCTGATGAAAAGGTCACTCGCGACGTGAAGGTCCTGGCTGAGAAATATGAGGCACCCAAGTCTTTGTTGAAAAGAGTATTCGCGCCGCCGCCTAACTTCCACATGGGTCGATATCTGGAGGGGGTTAAGGGGCATGTCGAAGACGTACTCCAAAATAAATTCGGACAACTGGCGAAAAATATGAAACTGCAATATTGTTTGACCGTGTCTGATGACTCCAGTCAAGCACAGAGTGTCTTGAAGATCGCGGCATCCTGGGCTAGCATTCCTGACTCGAACTTGAGGATTGTCTCTGAGTCGGACGCGGCTCTGAGGGATTGTTTCCGTGCCTCTTATACCGACAATCCACGCGTATGTTGATAGCTTGATTTATTAATTGCGTTTGGGCATTGCTGATCAGATTGGTAGGAGAATGACGTCGTGCTGTTGGTGAACGCTGGGCACCAGAAAGTCAGTGTTGGGGCTTATCAAATGAGCAGTAAAAGACCAACCAGATTCGAAAGTCTTCAGGGGAAGATTGAGGGGGCTAGTATGTATCTCTGGCACGGACGAAATGAACGACATGAGTACTTACTATGGCATAGCACAATCGTGTGGGTCAGCAATGCTTGATGACCACTTCGAGAAGCTTATGATCAAACTGCTTGGCGACAAAACCTATTCCGATCTGCCACGTAAGACTCACCAGACAGCAATGCGCCACTGGCAAGACATCATCAAGCCATCTTTTGGAAAGTGCCTAGGCAAGGATGAGAAGGAGGATGTGACATACTTTGTCCCGATTCCAGGTGTCCAAGACGACCTCTCCGTTGGAATAAAGGGTGGCTATCTGATGATTGATAAGTTCGTATTCCAACAGGTGTAACAAGCTACCGTGCTAACAAGAATTCCTGCAGAGCTCAGATTCAGGGCATCTTTGACCCCGTGATCCAGCAGGTCAAGGACCTGTTGAGTTCCCAGATTATTAGCGCGGCCGCTGCCAAGAAAGAGGTCAAGGTATGTGCAGAGGGCGAAATCTGAACTTTTACGAGATATGTATTAATTACAGCCTCTAGGTCATTGCCTTAGTCGGTGGTTTTGGTTCATCCGAGTATCTGTTGCAGCAGCTGAGCGTGGCATACCCAAAAGTCAAAGTGCTGCAACGCCCCAATGCGTAAGTCAACACCTGCCAAATCACTTCGAATGACACTGATGGTATAACAGCTGGTCTTCTGCGGCACGGTAAGTGCGAATGATCAATTGACGTCGTCCAGCGACACCACTAAATATAATATAGTGGAGCTGTCCTGCATTCGCTAGACGGCCCTCAGAAGATTGCACGCCGACACTACGGAATTAAGCACACCGAAATATTCAACCCCAAAGTTCATAAAGAAGAAGACAAGTATTGGGATCCCGTTGAAGGAAAATACATGGTAACTAATAGAATGAGGTGGTTGATAAAAAAGGTACTTTCAACCCAGCAACCACAAACACACAAAGAGTCTCTAATCGATATTGCAGGGTGATGAAATAGGCGACGATAACACGGATGTCTCTCCATGGTATCACGTCTTTTGGCTTGATGCATCACTGTCAGGATCGCACGAATTTTATGCCTGTGACAAGGACAAGGCACCAGATGTGTTCACAAAAGGAGGTAAGTGGGATGTTAACCCCTAGCGGAAACTGACTATGACTTATTCAACGGTAGAGGTTCGCCGCATCTGCAAGTACCAGTACAATTTTAATTCTGTCCCCAAGTCGGCTATACCCCTCAAAAAGAATCTCGAAGGGGGCCTGTATTGCAAAGTAGAATTTGAAATTATACTGACCGCAGGTTCTGAGAATCTGAAAATTGAGGATCGGTGCAACGGTATAATCTGTGGAAGCACGAAGACTGCTTACTAGCTCGGTGCATTTTGGTTTATTCTCTTCATTCTTCATTCTTTATTTTCTCTGATAGTGCTTCTTTTGTTGAGAGCCGCAACGTTTTAAGTCGGAACCATTTTCGTGGATCTATAATCTAAAGGTTTAGCAAAAAGACATTGAATTTGTGGTCACAATAACAAATGTTTAGTTAAGCATGCAGTATTTCTCCATTCGAAATGGGGTCGCAGCCCATTGTAGTCAAGCTTCAGAGTCTCTTAGCATTTCTCGCAGTACACTGAGGTCTGCTGTTTTGCGATACTCAGTCTGGGTAAGACTTTTACTGAACTTTATACACCTACAAGTACTTATACTACTTCTATGCATCGCTTTCTATACAACATCCAACTTCAAAGCAGTAGGGGTGTCTTTTGGGTAGTTATGGTTACTTAGGATTATTAAGGGTCGCTACCCACGCCGAGCTAAGGGCTTCACAACAAAAGGGCAACATAGAGTGAAAGATGTTAGACATTATTCGCGACGAGGTAAGCTAAAGAACAGAAAGCAACTTAAAGGAACAATTAAGTAGAATGGAGCAAAAAAAGAAAAGGCTTCGACAAAAGATCGTAACATCCGTCATGGCTTCTAACCCTCGGGGCCGAACGCCGTCAAGGATGTCGTTGACCACCAGGAACTTAATGAAGTCGACGATAAACCAGCATAAAGAGGCAATCATGGAACGGCGGGGTGGACAGGAAGGAAAAGGCTAGAGGTGGAAGGACGACAGGATGTCAAATTAAAGCGAAGGGTAAGATGTCGAGTTCCAAGTATCCTGATTACGGCGTACCATAGATCGGTACTCTTCGAGTTCTGTGAGCGTCTGGGCGATGACATTCCTAATATGCTCAAACCTTTGCTCAAAATGTTCAGGCTCGCACCGCAACTGTCTGGCAGCATCCTCAAAGTGCACCTGCATTGTTCGCTCGTTCAGGGCCGCGTAACGAACCATGCCATCCAACATTCGGACTGCAAAGTCTTGATGTTTTTCGATCAGTGGCCTGAACTTCTCTCGTATGTCTGCTTGCATCGAGTAGTCGTGAGAGATGATATTGCAAAGAAATCGCCGCAGCGGGTCGCCTGGTTCAGTGTAGGTAAACACGTCATCTATAACCTCGACGAAACCATCAGGGTTCGTCCATTCCGTTTTCCAAGACAAACGATGCTCTAGATCTGTGTCGTCCAAAGGCTCAACTCGATGGTCTTGTTTTGTCCAATATACTTCGGCTGAGCGTACGAACCTTTCCTGGGCCAAGAGAAGGAGGGCGGGGATCTGGTATTTTTTCGCAAGGAGATACATCTGAAGAGACGTGGATAAAGGATGTTTGGGATGAGACACAGCATTCTCTTCCTCTTTTTCCTTTTTCCTGATAGATAGGATGACAAGTTTGTGATCCGAGTCATTAGAGGTGTCCATGGTCTCCACTTGAGATGTTACCAGACCTTGGTGGCTTGAGGCTTCGCAAACACCTTCTTCTTCCAATTTGACACCATCTTGGCTGTCAGACTCATATTGAGAGTCAGATTCAAAAGGTTCATCAGATTGACATGGCTCTTCATCTGTGTCCTCTTCCGGTTCGTATATTGGGTCTTCTGTGTCATCGTCGGCGAGGGAAGAATCGTCTACGTCTTCGGCGTATATCAGGTACTCCTTGCTGTCGAGCTTCATAGACATGATTGTATCTGCGAGATAATTTGCATTGGTCAGCCTGGAACACATCCCATGCATTGAGATTCAAATGCACCTGGGTCTTTCGTCAACAATTCCCCATCGACGCTATCTGTTTCCATCATGGTTTGAACGGCGGGCAATTCGTCAAGATACTCTCCGTCCGAATAATTGCCAAGGTAGATGAACTGGAAGAGTAGCGCCACGAACTCAGGCTTCTCATTTGGGAGATCAATCGTATCATCTACCGTCTTCTGCTCTTTATGTCAGTGCATCACGCGAAGCCAGGCCAGGCAGAGCTTTATCCGGACTTACCCGTCCATCATAGGCCGCAGCAAGATATGGGCACTGCGGGAATACGATAGCTTTATGGACCTGGAACGTGCGACCTTGACAGGTGACAGTGAGGTCGCTGCACTCCCCAGTCTTATACAAGTCACGCGATGATTTCTCCATGGTGGGCGTGGAATAATATTGTCGATCACTGGGATGGGCTGTCATAGTCAGGGGAAGTTTATCAAGCAGGTTCTGCAGGTAGTGTGTCTGTGGATTTTGCTAAGAGACTTCTAGTAGTACACTTAAATGCAAGTGGAATTTGGCATGTGATCAATGGTGCGGAACGAATCTCCGTGGACGCGTAGATAGTCTGAGCGTCATGGTGACACCTGTTGCTTTTGCCCTCGGCTGAGCGGTCATGATGATATAGTGATGGCTGAAAGCCATTGTTCTCATTTGCAACGTAACTCCCAGCTCTTGATGCTTATTGATTGCACACCTGTTACGCATCTCACTGTCAGCATGGAGATAGATGGAAATGTTTCTTTTCCAAGAGAAGGATAAAAGGATACTGCACTGTACATAGATTCCGTTTGCGAAAAAGCCGAAGCTGTGTAATCTGAAGAAGCCTTTGTGAGCAAAGCTAAATGTATCTAAGATGAATAAGTTCAACTAATTGAGATGAACATGTAGAGAAAGAAGGCCTCTCAGGTGGTTATGAGAGTTCACTTGGCCGGTTGCCTCAAGGATTTAAACTACTAGTATATCTTTTATGCGTCTTTGTGCACCGCAGCTGACTAACTTTGCGCACTACGCCTCTACCCAATATGGACTAGCGCATCTGCGTTTGTTGATGCCCAGGTGTAACTAGTGTAAGGCGATGATATCTCAGAAGATAGAGCAACCCCCCGCGATCAACCAAATTTATTTTCGACATACTTTTTATCAAGAGGGCTCGACTTACCATCATGCAATCCGCTTCCTCAGATTCCACAACCCAACCCTTGGAATCTGGAGAACCAAAGGCAAAAGAGCAACCACGGCCACAGCAACTGTCCGACAAGGCTTTGAAAAACAGCACCAATGACTTCGGCCATTTTGCTAGCTCGACCCTGCGTCTCTCGCTGTGGCAACTGTATCAAAAAGGCAAATATACCGATCTCACGGTGACGTGTTGGGGTCGGTCGTTCCAAGTCCACAAGGTTGTGGTATGCGCTCAGTCTTCGTTCTTTGATGCAGCGTGTGGGGGGCATTTCAAGGTAATTAGTTGGATACCTCTTTCTGTTTCAACCACTAACAATAGACTGTAGGAGTCGGTTGAGAATAGAATAGATCTGCCAGATGAAGAACCAGACATGGTAGAGCGCCTGATTCAGTTTTTGTATACCGGGAATTACGTCGATGGTGAATACTTCGACGAGTTACCCTCTATCCCAGCCCTGATGGAGCCAGACGACATCGAAGAAGAGCTTGGGGAGAGATTTGGTATACATACCCTGGACCCCGACCCGTTATCAAACTAACGAAACAGTCTAGACGGTTTCCTTAACATCCTTTTCGATGGCTCCACCCACAACTCAGATTATGACCCTGACGAAGAGTCAAGTACCGAAGAACACCCCACCGAGCCCCTTGAATATGACTCCGAGTGTAGTGATCACGCTTCGGAGTTCAGTCCCAGCGAGAACTCGTATCAGGAAGACTGCCCAATTCAACTCTTTACCTCACTGCGCATGTACGTCATTGGCGATAAATACGACATCCCGGCCCTACAACTGCTTGCTAAGAAGCGGTTTACTCAAACTACTGCATGCCACTGGACAACATATGATGATTTTCCAGCGATCTTGGATGAATTGTTCATGACGACTAGGACGACTGATCCGCTAAGGCGGCTGGTTTGCACACTGATGGAACGCGATTATGCTACAAACCCGGCTATGAGAATCAAGATCCGGCCTATAGTTGAGAAGCATGGGGATTTGGCTCTGAAAATGCTGGATTGTATGATGGCACGTATGGATGCAAGGCTGGCTTCCTTTTGCGAGGTAGAGGACAAAAAGGCTCTATTCCATGCTACTTTCTGATCAATAGACCCACTCTGAAGCACATCTGAATGCCAGACACCACGCATGTGCTACGTATCTATCTCATTCTCTATGGTCTTTATCTCCGCTCCATCTCCTTCGTGTGTTCACCTGTTAGGGTATTGCCAGTGGCGGACTTGATCCTAGGCATTTCCGCCCATTCAGGGCTCTCTAAAGATCTTCTTCTTCCCTCTCATTCCACACTACTAATCTTCAAAACATGCAGGTAAGTGCGTGTTTACATCTGTGGTTGAAGTCTGGTAACCCAGGTTTTAACACTTGCTGCAAACATTTGCTGCAAACATTTTCTTGTTAAATACTCGAGTAATGTTTCAACCCATTTTTCTGCCTATTCACACAGTGAACCCGTGAGGAGAAGTGATCAATGCTGTCCATCAAATCCTCTAAGCTCCAACCTCTTGATACCCCCTTCTACCCACTCCAACGGCGCTACCAATGCCATCTGACTCCACGAAAACAACGTATTCTTGCCTCCAAACACAAAAACTTCGAACCGTCCCTTGAACTCCCCATCCACCCACACGCGACTTCCTCCAATCATGTCCGTACGAATCGTAAGTTTCGTCTTCAACGGCACCTTGACCTCCTCATGTGTCGATGATGTTTCGTTCGTCCAGATTCGACCCGGATAGCCCTCGTCAAAGCCGTCGGTTTCGTCAATAGAACGGAGTGGGTAGGGCCAGCCGTCGGAAGTGAACGTTAGACTTCCATTGGGGGACAGGCTCAGTGAGGCGTCTGTGGAGGAGAGTGTGAATGGGCCGGTTACGGAAAGGTCGAGGGTATAGTTCATGCCTTTGCTGCCGTGGCCGATGCGAGTCTTGTTGGTTCGGTTGGAAGTGGAAGGTGCGGCCCAAGTTAATAACGAGCCGGTACTGTTCTTGGCTGGTGGCAATTGACGGTCGAGGTTCTGAGCAACAGCATTAGATGTCAAGATGGACATTGACGTCGAAAGACTGGATTTGTCGAGTCGAGGGCCGCGGTTTCCAGACCATGAGCGCGACCCAACTGTCGGAATGCCGTTGCGGATGGCATAGTAAGATTCCAACTGAGTGGTCGCGTCAGGTCCATTGTCGTTCCATGCTGCAAGTATAGCTCCTTTGACGGGCTTCTGGCTCGGCTGCTCGGTGACATTGAATGGATTGAAGAGAGACGGGTTCCACTGCCAGCCGTCCACGCCGCCAAAATTCAGCACCCGCGTGTTGTTGAAGAATTGCGGATACGGTGCTGGGAAGATCGGCATGTGGTCGTTTTTCAAAGACATATATGCCCACCAGTCTTCTGAGTTAATTGTCTCGTAGCCTTCGTTTGCTAGTTCAATGGGATCCGACTGTCCGTACTGCCAGTGCTGGATTATGATGTCCTTGGAGATCGTCCGGTTCTCGGACGGTTCGTAGGTTCCCCAGATGCGGACCTTCTTTCCAGCCTCTTCGTCGATAAACTGTGCCATTTCATTCACAAAGTCGATGTAAACATCCGCGAGGGTCGAATCGTATTCGTCTGCGCCAATGTGTACTTCCTTTGTCTGGAACCAGGGAAGAAACTCTGCCCAGATAGATTTCACCAACGGAATGGTATCTGGATGAGAGAGATTCAGCAAGTCCTTCTTATCCTCAAGCGCCAACTCCGGTTTCCACTTCGTAACGAAGAGGCAATGACCTGGCGCTTCGATCTCCGGGATAACAGTCACACCACGCTGGGCACAATGGCTCTGTAGATCTTCAAAGTCCTCTCGTGTCAGCGTTTCATTCTGTCGCTGCACGATTCCCTGCAGTTCTAGACTTTCAGGACGCAGAGCAAACTGTGCGTAGACATCGCTCCACGTCTCATTATGACCGCGACTCAGCGGCGCATTGTCGCTAGTATGGTAGTGGAACTCCGACATCTTAAAGAATGAGGCATATGTGCACAGCTCCTTCAGGTAAGACGGAGAATACCATTTTCTCCCTGCGTCCAGCATAAACCCTCTTGTCGAGAATGAAGGCGCATCAATAACTCGACCCGATGCAATGGGGCGCTTGTTTGCCTTTGCGAGAAGTAATTCTTGCAGGAATGTTCGCGTTCCCCACCACATTCCTTGGGAACCTGATCCAAGGATCACAACTCGATTGTTTTGAATGTCTAGCTCGTAGCCTTCTTCGGTGGGATTGCCATTTTCGTAGATAAATTCATTCTGCCGGCTCTTTGCCACAGCGTCGAGGAAGATTCCTGGGCAGTCTGGAGGCAGCGAATCCACAGGATGGACCTCCCAAGAGGAGCCAGTCACTTCCTCGAGATCATCGCGAAATGTATGTGCGAACTCAAGAGCCGATGGGGGAATGAGCGTCAAGCCATCTTGATCACGATGCGAAGCAAAATCATTGCTGATGTAGATGTTCCGCTCAATAGCAGTAATGTCAAAAGATCCACCGCCAGTGCTGGCCCATTGAACAGGCGGAAGGGTTTGCAAAGCCGAAGAGACTGCAAATAACGAATAAAAAATAGAAAACCGCATGATGAGTGACTGGGATGGTATTAGAGTGGACAAAGTGGGAGTTTTAAATAGTTGCAGAAAAGCGTCAACAACGCTTCTCCGCATAAAGCTGCAGACGGTTGCATTTCGTGGGGGTGATTGGCAGGGTTACATTCCGATCGTAGAAGAGGATCTAAATTCTTATCAACGAAGCCGAGGGTAACATTCTTGAAGGAGGCCCATCGCCCTAGGTGCCGTCGCCAAGAATTGGAGATATCCTGTCGGCTTCGTTGGTGGCGTGTCGATCCTAATGGGGCGTGAAGATAACAGCCGAAACCAATAATCAGCGATAGTGAGCTACTTTCTGAGAAGGACTTGCTTGCCAAAACAATTCATGGATCTTTCATACTGCTATACTTCGACCCCTTGCATAACCCCATGTCTAACCTTTTTTCTAGTCTTCATTGCCTTTCTAGGATAACAAAATGCAAATCAGCAGGTTGTCCATACAAGGCCTTCAATCAATCATCAATTCAATGTCTGCATAATTACAGTAAGTTCATGGGACTTTCTAATTATTCTTCCATGCCTGTTTGGCTATATCATTCTTTTCGAGGCTGCTTTCGCGCATGTCCAAGTAGATGGCTATGCATATTTTTTGCCTCCAACTAAGTGAGTCAGTATCTGACTCCTCTTGTCAACAGTGAATAATTCTTCGACCGGGCCTCAGCTTCTTCCTTTGGTAGAGGGGCTCGAATACACTAAGTGGCGGAATTCTCCCTCCATTTGTCTACTACCCCGTAGCGAGGCAACGTTTGGTGGATGATCAAGTGCCCGACTATTAACTAGTACTTTACTAAAGTACAAGCTTTCCCTTCTATCTAATCACGGACAAGCTACAGTCTGGGGGGAACTGCATCAGAAGACATAACATTTGCGATCTTTTTGAAAGTAATCATTCGCCCCGAGGAAGTTTTGCCAGCGGTTTGCTTCTTCTTTGCTGTATTCTTGTATTCTTGTCTTGCCTCTTACGCAAAGCTTTATAGTTCACGAACCGTCCCAGAATATCCAAAGATATAGGTCTTCACTTAACATCACACCCAGTTTTATCTTGCGATTATTGACAAATTCAACGTCTGCTCCTCTACCTGCCTTCTGCTTGGAAGTCCGACACCAGGATATTAGGCGCAACTAAATCCCCTCCAGCTCTTCTTTACTTTGGTCGGCAATCTTCATCTAGCATATTCTCCCGATCCTATTGACCACCTAGCGAAATAAGCCCCAGTCCCGGTATCCAATCCCTCACATATTATCATCACAATTTCAAACAACTTTCCACAGCCATTCGCGTGTCCCTCATTGTACGATACAAAATTCAAAGAACCGAATCCTTTCATTTAAAACCAACCAATGATCAACAAAACAAGTCCTCAACGGCTAATTACTCCACACGCTGCCAAGACATTATCCGGCTTCATAAACGCCCCACGAAGCGCCGCCAAGCCGACAACAGATGTGTATCACTGCCGGTTTAGACAACTAACTAGCACTGCTGGATATCGAACATGTTTATTGCACCGGTCATGTCTAGTACTACACTATGCAGCTCTACAAGGTCCTTAGTTTTACCCCGTCATACCAAACTCAGCGGCGCAAGCGGCGCAAGCGGCTCATCACCAGTAAGTCCCTTACTCTTCAGAACAGCAGCCCGATGTTCCAAGAATGCTTTATACGGTGCTTTCGGAACAGTCCTATATTCGTCCTCCCAGACTTCGTATCTCGTCTCCTCCCAAACCTGAATTTGACGCGTGAGATTCGCACTCGGTTTGACTTTCTGTTTTGATTGGACGAATTCCATTACATCTGCTTGTTTCATAGCAAGTTTACGCATGAGATACGCAATGATGACGGTTGGCGAGCGGGAGATTCCCAGATCAAAATGAACCAGTACAGCCTCTGGCGGTTCATAGTTTGGCTCATCATTCGTTTGGTGGCCATGCTCGACAGATAGTTGAGATAATGGGGAAAGAGCAGGAAATGCCATCTCGTCGATGAAGTCGCAGATATCACTCATATGACACAGAAGGTCTTGCGTCGACGAATCAACACATTGGATCCATTTATGACGATGTTCGGGGATTCCTGCGTTTCTGGTCGAGGAGTTCCACCATACCCATCGAGCATCTGTCAAAGAGACGACGGCGGTGATGTGGTGTTCGAGAAGCATTTCCCGATTATGTGATGCCTCGACGTTTCCGAGGACGAGGCCGGGGACTATCCGTCGCATGCGAGCTGTGTATGCCATTTTCCATTTTAACTCTCTCTCTTCGTGGCGAGTCGGTTCTTCAGGAAGTTCACTCATGTCGTCGTTAACTTGTGTTCTTCCGTGAAGCGTTGTGTTGAATTATTCTACAAATTATTCTGTCTAAGGGCTGGATGATGGTAGCCGAGGGTTGGGGATTGTGTAGAAAGTGGAACTTAGTTTCTCGTGACTGGGGAGGATGTCGAGGAGTTACTGAATGGCTAGGAATGAATCGGCCTTGAAGTTAGGTAATTATCAGCTGACCACAACATCGGCCGAATGATTCTTCCTGGCGCTAATGTGTACCTGTCCGGCGTGGCGTTACATTGCAGCCGTCTGCAGTGGAGTCTATAATTTTTTCTGGATTCATCCCCACAAAAGGGTCACAGGGCAGTGACCTAGGATTCTCAATTCATGCCTCGGAGTTGGTCCCAAACATCCAAGCACTTGCAGGGTTCGTCGGATGAGCCTCATACAGCGCACAACTCCTGTGGAAGTCCTGGACCTCCTCCAAAGCCTATTGAGAGAGGGGAAAGTGAAAGATATATACGCCGCCATGCACCGGTTCAGAGGGCGCTTAGAGATAGACAGGAATGGTCCGTTTCCTATCTAGACGAGTGCCAAGGTTCGTATCCGCGCGCGGGATCCAGAGCTTCAATTCTGATGGACCGAACAAAAAACAGACAGCGAGCAGATCTTAACAGTGGAGTGATGAGAAGAGCGTACCATTTGAAGCATTCAGTGGCCGACTGCATATATTGTTGGTCACAATTTCCCGAACGATCTCTCGTAGTCTGGATTTAAGTTTGTGGCTGACACTGCTAATTCTAGGCAGTCAAGATGATAGATTGACAGCCTTGCCTTTATTCTGCTTCTCCTCCGTCCCCGTTGTAACTAGATGCTTGGGTGTCGACGGAGTATGGCGGACGTAGGGTTTTGCGTTCTGACTTCTGACACGCCAAGACGTAACACCTTCTTTCCCGCGGTCCACTTTCTCGAGTCCTTAATATGTCCTTAGAGTCTAGTTTCGTGTTTGATCAATTCTTTTTATGATTGTCGTGCGATTAGTGGTCGGGATCCGCCGATGAGGGGATTTTCTCGGTCAGCAGCCTGCAGAGGAGCTGTGGGTTGTGGACTCCCCTCTTTAAGGGTCAGGCAAGGTAGCAACCATTCATCGTGAAGCAATGGGTACCTATGTATCAACGCACAAGGCGAATGAGGTCTTTTCTTTGTCGATTTCGCACGAAAGGGCCAAAGACGCATCACAAAGCATCGCAGCCTGGACAATGCGAGTCTCAAATCCCATTGTTTTCCATGGTTGAGTGCTGTCGCTCCCCATACAGTTGGAACGCCCCTTGTGGGCTCCGATCTAGACCTAAGCCTTGTAATCAATTTGACGCTTTCCAAGCACTGGAGAAGGACCAGTCAAGTGCACTTCTCGATCGCCCCTTCAGGTCTTCAGTCTTCACATGGAAATGCGGCGGAATCCTGCAATCACGTCGATATCCCCCGTGGCCCCGTTTTGCATCGCCGAGACCCACCCTTTAGACTTGGGCTGTTGGACGAGACCCTGGCGTTGGTGCCATATCAGATCCACAACAGCTAGGATCCCTGACTTTATCTCCCTCTCTTTCTGAACATGAAACATGCCGCAGAGTAGGGTAGTATCGATCAATAATGACAGTTCCTATACATCTCCAGTCAGTCGTGAGGGGATGGGCTATAAGTAAGAATAATATCTCCCATCGTTTTCTTTCTTTTTTTACCATGCTAGTCATCCATTACCTTCCCTCCGTCATTTTCTTTCTTTGTTCCTTTTGGTTCGTTCTTTTCATATCTGTCGTTCCTTTGCCATCATGGCTATCCGTTTCTTCCAACTCTTTTCTCTCCTTACATTGGCTGCTGGTAAGCCGATCTTCTTCCCGAGACAGGTCTCGGACGCTGCGCCGCAGGTCGGTAGCAATGAGGATCAGGGCCAAGGACTCGTTGACGTGAAGTTGTACTCCCTCGGCAACTCGACTGTCCGCGCGCATGTCACGAACGTGGGGAACGAGGGTCTCCGGTTCATCAAGAGTGGAAGTATCCTGGATAACGATCATCCGACGAAGAAGGTGGTCGTGTCTGGAGAGAGTAAGTTATCCACTCACCACGTCTCAGCTGTAGGCCTGTCTAATACATGCGTTCAGAGGAGAACCCCATCTTCAATGGTGCCGAGGTCACCTACATCAACACCCACCTTACTCCCGATGGCTTTGTGCATCTTGCCCCGAACCAGACCATCGAGTCGATCTTCGACATCGCCAACTCGCATGATCTCTCTCCTGGCGCAAAATACTCGGCCATCGCCGACGGAACGCTGGAATACACTCGGGCCAGCAACCCCAAGAAGTTCTCTATCGCGCCCTTCAAGTCCAATGAGATCAGTTTTGAAGCACCCGAAACTATCAAAAAGGATCTGTCAACCCGCTCGACTCTCGAGTCTTGCAGCGGCGAGTACAACACACTGGTGAAGAAGGCTCTCGAGCGCGCGGCCAAGATGGCCACCGCTGGTGCCGAGGACGCGAGGAACGGTACCTCCTCTCTCTTTGAGAAGTTCTTCAAGTCGACTTCGCAGTCAGACCGCACCGAGGTCGCGGATCGTTTGGATGCTATCGCCAAAGAAGCGACCACCAAGGGTGTCTTGACCTACTACTGCCAAGCCTCTGCTCAGGATTCTTGTGGTGCAAACATCGCGGCGGTGACGTATCCCACCGAAGACCGTGTTGTTAACTGCCAAGGATACTACGAGTCGACCGAGGTGTCCGACACCTGCAACTACCTCGACCAGGCTGCCATTTCTCTGCATGAATTCTCCCACGCTACGAGCGTGTATGACCCCGGCACGGAGGACGTTGCGTATGGATACGACAGTGTGCTGCAGTTGAGCACCGCGCAGGCGAAGAACAACGCGGATTCTTTCGCGTACTATGCCTCTGGTATGCTCTCTTTGCTTGTTAGTGTAAATCTATGGAAGTCGCTAATCAATATCTAGCTGTGTTCTTGAACTGTGATGGCAGTGACGACGGAACCACGACTCCTGGTACCGGTGGTTCCGGATCGGGCAATGATGGATCGACAATCACCCTCCCCTGGGATCAGGGAACCGATGGCTCTCTGACGGGCGACGACTCGAGCTCTGGCACCGGAACTAACACCGGCTCTGGATCTGGCTCTGGCTCTGGCTCTGGCTCTGGCTCTGGCACCGGCACCGGCACTGTTCCCAATGTCGTGACCGTCACCAGCACTATCCCAGCCTCTACTCCAAACGGCATTGGAAACGGATGGACTTTGTGGCCTGTTGGAGGATCCGGTCTGTCTCAGGAATCTGGTCAGAGCAGAGAGCAGGAACAAACCCAGGATCAATCCCAGGCAATTCCCCCTGAGATCCTTTCAAAGCTTGGGAATGGGTGGTCTCCCCTTGATCTTGGATCTGAGGAAGGAGAAGTTCATGTAGTGGCGCCGCCTATGCACCAGGGATGGGTCAAAGGAACGAATGGTGGGCACCGTCATGGAAGTCACTAGGTAGGTTAGGCTGTTAAGCATTAGAGTTACAGAGGTTGTGATTGGAGATGGTTGTGACTTGCCTTGTCTGTGTCTTTGTCAGGCTCCATATCTAGAAGTTGTCATGTGTATATAGCTAGGTAATTTTACCCAAGCCAGTTCACGACAATTATTGAATGATTCCTGTTTGTCAGTGAGGCACGCTAGAGTCGCAGATAGCAATAGATATTAGTTGAGCCAGTTAGCCCAATCCGACTCTGTAACGTCATTGGAAAGAAAAGTCATTGTGAAAGTCATAAATAAGAAATCCATTAGCCCTCATTCTCATCCGTATCCCTCGAAAATTCAAACCGCGAAATAATGTCATCTGAGAGTATAAGCCATCAAATAGCAAGCAGTTCGATATCAACGATGCGAACTCCTGCAGAACGCAATAAAGCGAGCGCAAAAAAAAAAAAAAAAAAAAAAAAAAAAAACATATGAATAACAGAAAGCTTTTGTAATCATCATAAGAATAAAGAATCGAGAAGCACTTTTGAAATCAAACAAATTGGTAACGAAGCAGTAGGAAGATGGGATTGAAAAAGCCCAATATCGTCGTCATTCCCCAGTATATATCTGATTACCTGTCAGGGTAAATTCTCCCTTCTTCAGTTCCTCTGGCGTGAGCTCATCTGGCTTGACATATCGAGCCGTCAAAGCAAAGCGAAGTTTATCGGACGGCGTAACCTTGTGCTTTGAATCGTCAGTATTTAACAACTGAACGGATAAGCTCCTGTCATGCCTCGTAGAATTTCTGAAAACTTTCTCCATTCATCACCACAATATCCCCATGGCGAAGGCGCAGTGTCACACATGCTCGAGCTTCTCTATGCTGGCTCCTTTTGAAGACTTCCCTGCGTAAGTGATCATAATCGTCTATCGACAATTCCCCGTCTTCGAATTCATCCTTCAAGTCCTGTCGTTCGGTCCTGAATTCACATCCATCAAGTACCGGATCATAAGCTAGCAGTTTACCGGATTTAGTCTGTCCATGAAACCATTTCTCTTTCATCCGGATCTTCATCTCGGACGGACCACCCAACGACAGTGTAGCAATTGTAGGACCGAGCGATATTTCGCCATCATCGTGATACTAAAACCTGTAAGCGTGTATGTCCATCCTCTACAAGTCTTGCCTACCCCAATCTTCATTGCTTCGAAGTAACCAAGGGCGAGTAGTTCGTTTGGAGGAAGGTAGTCAGAGCCAAGCGCTTTTTCCGTTGCCCACGTCAGACGGCCCAAGGCCTGTAAAATCACCTGGGGGGCTTCGTTGAACGCCTTAGACGCCACAGAAACGACATATTTGTATGGCATTCCCTAGACATTCGTCAATATAGGTCAAGCCACCTTGAACAAGGCCTCTACTCACATAATTGGCGGCAAAGTGGGCAGTATGCGTTCCTGCAACTAGAGTGTGAGAGCAAAACAATCAGTAACAATACAAGTCGTGGGGCGCACCAAGTAACTCACCAACACTTTGCTGCAATGGATAACGCCTCAGCCCGAAATCGCCCAATTGCAGTTGCTCAAACATACAGTCCGGGCCATGTGGTTTACTGTTGGAAACAGCGCTTGCGACAAAATGAGTAACTGAGCCAACTCCATTTGGCATCGTATATGTGCGTATCTCAAACGGGTAGACCGAGGAGGTATCAATTGCTACAGCCACACTGGGTACTGGTGGAATAGGTGGTCTGGCGGCTTCGCCTATGACATACCCCAAAGGAATTGGGCGCATGGAAACCATGTGCTCAAAAGCACAGACAGATTCTAATGACTTCGTTGGAGGTGCAAGATCATCGGCACATTTCCAACCGCCCCAATACGTGCGAGATACACATTTCGAGCAAGAAGGGCATACGATACCTTTCCATGAAGAGCGCGAGTAAGTATCATCTTCGCTGTACTCTTCAAGGAATGAGGAGAAGCTTTGGACCAGCGCGTAATGACTGTTGGCGTTGGAGGTTGGTGGGGTGCGGAAATTCAGGAAACCTGCATCAAAGTCGAGTTTCCTCGGTGCTTTCTTCTGGTTCAGTGTCCAGAATTGCTTGCAATCCTGGTTCAGACACATCCAACCCTGGTTATATACCTGTGGGCTGATATCTCCGCACGAAAAACACTGGTCTTTTTTGGGCTCGGTGGCGCAATTGCGCTCGTGAAAGGGAAGCCGGTCTGGGGAGTCTTTTGTTGCCCACCAACTCTTGCTTGATATATCGATTTTCTCCAGGCGCAACTTAGCTCCTGACTTGCCCCCGAAATCCTCCCACCACACATTTGTGATGCGGAAAAGATCCATCACGTTATACCTGTGGGGGACCTTCGCTTTGAGCAGGTTATTACGATCTCCTATAATCAATTCAGCAAGGCTTCTTGACAAGGAGATGTATTATAACTCACCAATGACCATGCCAACCGCAATACATTTTTCCATGCTGTTGAGGACACTTCTCACTTGTGCATTGTCTGCGGTCTGGTTCCGGTCAAGAATCAGGCTTCCGTCGGCATCTTTATGACAACCACCGCCCCTGATTTGGTCAGGACCATGATGAATCAAGAGTGTATCAATGGTAGGATATGCAGCTTATGCACTTACACTCTCGTAATAGCTATCTCGTCATCAAGGTACGAGCGGATACCACTATCCTGATCGATGAGGAACCCGCGGCATATTTTACCAGTGTGATAGACACCCCCTTGAAGAGAGTTGAACCATGGGATGGTGTCACACAGTGCTGGTCGGGTCTTGGGGAACCATTAATAATCTTTCATCCCGGTCGCATATCAGAAAGCAAACCTCTGCCCATGCGGGGGGCTCTCCACAGACGACTTCCTCATCCACAGGCCCAGATGGAGAGACAGGATGTGCTGATTCCATCAGCTATGCCAGCTGTATGCAACACGAAGATACTGTACCAGACAGACGAGTCGTCTGTTGTTTAGTCACGCGACCATGTATCACCTGGTCCACCTTGGCCTTCGAGGCCTTGAGCTGGCCTCTGGTAACCATGTCCGGGCTTGATATGCTGCTGCATGTGCCAGATTATGTCAGTATCATCCCTGAAACAAGGGTTAAACGGCTACTTACAGAACTGATGGGTATCGATTCGCCCTCGATGATGGAACTGCAGAGGTGTAGATCCTTTAATTGAGGAAAGGGGATGACCGCTGACTGGCCAAGTGAGGCCCGCTGTGGGTCACATGTGCACTACCGTACTTGATCACCTGACGCACGCCCCCACCTGACGCACGAAAATCCATTCTACACCGATATTTTGAATATCTTTAAACCTCAATATCTTCATCAATATGGCTCCTATTGACGAGGCGATTGCAGAATTAAACTCCCTGAAGCTTGAAGATAGACCTACTCTTACTTTTATTGCGAAAAAGTATGGAATTCATAGGTCAACGCTATCAAGAAGATTCCGCGGCGTTCAGCATTCCAAAGATGAGCAATACCAGGACCAACGATTGCTTAATGATCAACAAGCGAAAGTGCTTATTTCTAATATCAATCGATTGAGCGAGAAAGGCCTTTATATATCATTTAAAATGCTGCGAAATCTAGTTCACGAGATCTCTAGTAATCGTCCTGAAAAACAGTGGCCGAGCCGCTTTATAAAACGATATAATAATGATCTTATTTCTCGTTATACAACTAGAATCGATTCTTTTCGAAAAAAGGCTAATTCTGCGTTGAATTACGCATTATATTTTGAACTTTTGACTCACAAAATTTCGGAATACGATATACAACAGAAAGATATCTACAATATGAACAAGAAAGACTTCTTAATCGGAATGCTTAGTAAAGCGAAGAGAATCTTCTTTAAATCATTATACGAGAAGAATGGAATGAAACAACGGCTTCAGAATGGAAATCGAAAATGGATTACAACGCTCGCCTGTATTTGCGCAGATGAGATCTCGCTATCTCTGGATCTTATATATCAAGCAGCTTCTTCAAAGCTTCAAAATTCTTAATTGCAGGATTTCGATCCTTCTCTTCATTCTTGCTTCTTTACATTCTCATCTTCAGAATGGATGAATGACGGACTAGAATACACATGACTACGAGATGTATTCGATCGAGAGACAAAAACGAAAGCGAGACGGCGTTGAAGACTTCTTATTCTTGACAGCCACGGATCTTATGTTAATATGAAGTTTTTCGAATACTGTGAGACAAATAAGATCCTTCTAATGATCTATCCGCCTCATTCTATGCATTCGCTCCAACCACTTGACGTTGGAATCTTCGGGCTTCTCTCTACAGCGTATAGCGAGAGATTGGAACGATTTCTTCATGAATCCCAAGGTTTTTGTCATATTACGAAAAGAGATTTCTTTCGCCTCTTTTGGCCGTCATGGGAGAGCGCTTTATCTAATGAGAATATCGCTTTTTCGTGGAAATCGATAGGCGTTTGGCCGTTGAATCCTGATATCGTTCTATCACGATTCAATCAGAATGACAATAATCGGCCGTCCTCTAGTGAGTCATCTCGCTCAGTGCTTGGTGCAGAGGATTGGAGGAAGATTGAGAGGCTTCTTAAACACGCAGTTGTTGACTTATACAATCAAAAGACAAAAAAGTTGAGTTCTACGATGCATCACCTCTCTACAGAGAATGTCATCTTAAAACTACACTGCCAGGGCCTTGAAGAGGCCCTTCTTCAAAAAAAAAAGAAGCGTCAGCGAGATAAATCTCTTTTATCTGAATTACGAGCCCCTGAAGACGGCTACGCGGTGTTTTACTCTCCTAAGAAGATTCAGCAAGCTCGTGACCTTCAAGCAGAAAGAGATGAGACTGTACAGATCGTTAAGGCTTCAAAAGAAAAGGAAAGACTTCGTAAGCAGCGAGAGAAGCAAGATCAAAGGCTTTTAATTGAAGAGCGTAAACGAATCCGCGCTTCAAATCGAGAAACGCGGGTTCGTGAGGCAGAGGCAAGAAAGCAGAAAAAGCGGAATGATCAGCTCGCTAAGCAAGCTGATATACAGCTTCAAAATGACTTCAATATCGCTTAAACAGACAAGAATAAGGCCCCTGCAACTCCAAAGGCAAAGAAATCGAGTGATAGAGCTGCTGCAGGACCTGAGGTTGTTGATAAGGTCCTCCCAACGCTCAATCGCCGCGGTAGGCAGATCCGCCTCCCTGAGCGCTTTCGGCAATAAAAATGTTGTAAATGGCTTCATTATACTGCGTTTATTCGATCTTCTAAAAATCTCTATATAATACTGAATGTGTGTGGTTGTAGAGCTTCATTTCTATATGGGTGTTGAGGTAAAATTCGTGCGTCAGGTGGGGGCGTGCGTCAGGTGATCAAGTACGGTAAACTACTGTGGCAGAAATGGTCTTGGCAAAGAGCTGATTAATACGCCGAGCTTATATGATCATATGAAACGATTGAAGGTCTTGATTCATTCTAATCTACTGCAAAAAGAAGCCATATTTATGCAATTTCAGGGGCTTCAGATATGCAATAAAAGAGCTTGATCATACGATTCAAGCTCTATAATCGTACGATCAATATTGATCGATTGCTTAATCGGTTAAGCAAGGTGATGAAGTAATTGCTTAGTCAGTTCCGCGGCCACACACCCCCTCAGCGCCTTGCGTAGGGCCATTATCTCCCTTCTTGAGCCATAATGAGGTCCTTGATATCGACGAGATTCAACATCTTCATGAATTTGTGGTGGTTTTGAGCCGGGAGGGGCTTCGTGAGCCCGTCTGCAATCATTCGATCGGTAGGGATCCACCGTACGTATAGATCACCTTTCTGAGCTTCCTGGCGAAGCCATGAACGGTGTATATCAACGTGGCGGAGCTTAGAACGTTGCTCTACGTCCTCGGAGTTGACCAATCGGACGGTTTGTTGATTATCACAAGAAACGATCATTTCGTGTTGGGAATTGAAGCCCATGGTGTTGAAGACCCTCCTCCACCAATATACTGCCTTGGCGGCTTCAGATAAAACGAGGAATTCAGCTTCGGTTGTGGAGGTTGTCACGGCTCGTTGCTTGTTCGCTTTCCATTCCACGGACCCGTTATAGAGCTTCATTAGGAACCCTGCAGAGCTCCGGCGGTCTGGCCGATCTCCGAAAGCTGCATCTGAAGCGATGATTGCGACCTCTTGATCGTCTGTTTCGGCAGAGTATTCGATTGCATGAAACCGTGTGACGTAGAGATAAGCGATAATTCGATCTGCAGCGCGAATATGATCTGCTGACGGGTTATTGAGCGCTTCAGATAAGCGGCTCACCATGTGTGCAATATCAGGTCGTGTGATCATTGCGGGGTACTGGCTTGACCCTATCTTTATCGAGTATTCCTTGATCTTTGCCTCTGTTGCCTGGCCTTCGTAGGGATCGAGGTTAAGCGAGGTTGAATGCAGTATATTCGGCCATTTTGTGAGATCATTCAAATGGAATTTCACGGCGATATTCTCGAGATATGCATCTTGGCAAAGCCAGAGCTTCTTGCGAGCTCTATCTCGAATGATCCTGACTCCGAGAAACCAGCCCACTTCTCCCATGTCACGCAGCTCGTATTCCTCCGCGAGGGCTTCCTTGAATCGTCTTGCGGCTTCTCGGGCTTCGGCGGTAGGTAGATTGATAATGATAATATCGTCAACGTAGACTAATACGATCATATATCGATTCACGAAGAGGCACTGCTCTTCAGGTACGGGATGGAGGCCAAACTTGAGCAGTGTAGTGGAGAGGGCTTGCTGCCAAAGGCGTGGCGATTTCCGCAATTCATATAGCGCTTTCCTAAACTTCCATATCTTTCTCTTTGTATGGAATCCCTCTGGCGATCTTGTGTATACGGCTTCTTCGAGCAGGGCGTTTAGGAAGGTGTTCACGGCGTCTTTCTGGTCCGTATCGAGGTCAAAGGCAGCTACCAATGCCATGGTGGCTCGAAACACTCTCGCAGATGCTGTTACCGCGAAATTATTAATAATAGTATCCTTTTCAAGGTCTCCTCTTACACAGATCCGTCCTTTCGCTTTTATGAAATTGCCATTTTCATCGAATTTGTATGTAAATACCCATTTCAACGGAAGAACCTGTGAATCGCGAGCTTCCTCTTGATCAACGAGGGTGAAACAGTCTTTTGCCTTGAGATTTCCTACTTCGATCTGCGCAGCATGCAAGAATTCGTTCTTAAGCGGGTGTTGCAGTATTTCTGCATAGGAATTTGGTGGAGGGGGAAGCTCGTTGCGGTGCCAGTGTCTTCTCTCTCTTTCTGCGAGCTCTATAGCCATTGAGAAAGCCTTTTGAGCGATATAGAGATCGGGAATATAGAAATCGGTAATCGCGTTGCTGTAGTAGAAGTCTGGATCCTTTCGAATAGGCCTTGGTCTTCGCTTTGTATGCAGTATATTCTCTTCCCGAGTTCCGTCATCGGTAAGACCTCTTCCTTTACGTCTTCCACCCCCTGATCTCGATGAGTTGTGTGAATCGTGATCACTCTCTGACTCGTGGAGTTGAGCGGATGATGCAGGTGAAGCTCATAAGCTCTCTGCTTCAAGTATCGAGCTCTGCAGCGAATCCTGCAAGAATCCGGACGGTGATTTGTCTCGTGGAGGGGCCACTGAGCGTTGCGGCGTTTGATTCAGCCTTTCGGGTGTAGGATCTTCCGGGAATCTTCCAGGAATTGCTTCAGTGCGGCCACGGCTTGAATCGATTTCTTCGTGAGCTTCAGTATGTGGCTCAGGTGTTGATTCAGGTGTTGGTAGAGCGCTCGGTTGCACGGGGTTACCGTGACAAGAGGTCTGATCTACCCTCTGGCTTTCCTGACTTCTATCGATTTCACCGGTTTGAGCTTCTTCTGATTCCTGATTCTCTGCAGCTTGTGGAGGTTCTCCTATTTCAATGTGATTAGTCTCTTCGTCGAGGAAGATCCCTTCGCCTTTCGGTAAGTCCAGCACCTCTGTGGGTGGCTCTGGAGATGCCTCGCTAAGCAGGTCTTCAGGTCTTCAAGAAACGGTTGTGTGGGATCATAGGATCGTGTCTCGTCAAATACGACATCTCTCGCTTCCTCAACACGTTGTCTTTTCAGGTTCCATATATGCCAGATATTCGAGACCACAAAGCCAAGGAGGATGCCTCTATACGCGCGGGGGGCCATTTTATCGCTTAGCGGTTGGTCCTGTCTCGTATATGCAACACAGCCGATTACACGGAACGCTGAGATGTCTGGCTTTT